TTAGTTTAGGCTTTTGAGGTCGCAGCAGATACCGGTCAGAGGCTCTTCGGAGACTGCTTGCTTGTGCTGGATTGCTTGTCTCCAATGTTAGCGATCTTCAGTTTTCTTTGTCTCCATTTTGAAGAATACGGAACACATAGATCCGTTTGCTGCCGTCCTCGGCCATTGACCGGACAGGATCGGGAAACTGACCAGCGAAGCACTTGCACTATTTATAGGGAATGGTATCTCTATGCACCATATAACACTTCATAACGTACATCCCCTCCAAAATGCTTGAAACACCACAAAATCTAGCCTTATAGCAAAGCCAAGTTTATCCATATAGTCGGACACTGCTGGTGCACGCTACTGTACATATGTGCGTAGCCAGGGACATTTTGACTGCCGGTGGGGGTGTCTGAGTATCGGCGGCCATTTGGTGCGTTTATCCTCATAGGGCTGATGGCATAAAATCCCACATCAGTTCCCCTGTCGCCAACCTCTTGTCCCACTGGGTCTTTACGAGGGAAATGCGAGACATTCTCAAGACCAATCCGAGTCAAACATAGCAATAGTTGATTGGACGAGTTCTATGGCTGACTTCCTGTGCGACTCATCGGTTCCTTCCGTTTTGCTGCTTACCACCTCATTTGCCCAGGCTGCTGGTAACTCTAGTGCGCCGCTGACGCATCCGCTGGGTAACGGTGGTGGCTGCCTGGGCACAGTGGCGCTGAAGCTTAGCATTCCATGTCCTCCCAACAGGGATCGGACACATCATCACCATCACTCACCGCTAAGGTTGGAGTGCGTCAAGTCTTGCTGCTTCAAAGTGATATTTGAAGATGCCCACAGTTATCGTGTCCTAGATGCTCATTCTGTCATAAAGCCTACGTAAGCCAGAACAATCTTGCCGAAGTTCCGTTTGAAAATAGGTTACCCTGCTGTACATTACCCGTTCGTTGATGGCATAAATAATAGAGCATAGAACGGTATCCCGAGAGCCGAGAATATTTGCAATGGCACACATTAGCGAGGCCATAATCCGCCCTCGTTATGGTCGTGCCATGCTACGGATACCTGCAGTGTAGCCGAAATATTGCTCAATGCATGGAATTTTAGGGTGCAGAGTTCCTCTTCCGATAATGGTGAAGATACCACGGGATTCTGATTTACCTTGGCAAAGCCATATGTTTCCAGGCAACCATGAGGCTTGCTGTTATAACCCTTCGCGAATTAAAAGCTCATGTACGCCGTCCACTCACTGAATAGGACAGCACGATACGTGAGCAAGTGTTGTGTTATTCCTAGCCAGACTTTGTTCCAGTTGTGTCCGATCGTTGGGGTAGACAATTCAGTTTTCTGATGTCGTATTGAGTTCTCATGCAAACGAAACTACAAAGCTGCGAGCAGGACGTGCCGCTGGCCACTAGCTGAGAGAATTGTGTGTTGTGGCAGTTCTCAGAAGTCCCAGAACCAAGGTTGCACCGCCCCTATCCGAGGCCGTCGGTTCTTTTTTTGGAGCTTTTGCATGCTGCTTCCCCACACCTTGTGGGAGGACTGGTGGGTTCCAAGAGTGTTCACGGGTTGAATATCGCCCCACTTACCGTCTGCAAGCCACTGGCAGACGGCCACACTTGCGGATTCAGCCACGACTTGTCTCGATCTGGTTTCATTCTTCAAGCTTGATTGGCTCTCTGTGGCCTTTGTCTGCGTTCAACACTCCACGTTTGTCGACTTGCACAGTTGCGAAGAACTTGCTCTCTTTCACATCATTTCCTGAGTCACCTTAATTAGCTTTGGAATCACTCAGCATCTAACAGTCCTGATCCTATTCGGGGGATGTGTATGGTCTCTAAGATTAATTAAGATCAAAAGCGATAGCAGATAAACTCTGAAAAGCGCCAGGTCATAGCTGTACAAGAAGTAGAGCACAATTGGGTCTACATAGTAGGTTCCCCATCACTATCGCCGCATGGCAAAGGATGGGCTAGCCCGAGTCGACCTGGCCTTAGATCTGCTCAGTTGAGGGAAAGGATGAGCTCTGAGCATCCCCTGCTATCTGCTCTTCGCTTGTTCCCGTCGTCGTCCTCGCTTGAAGCCCCTGAAGCATTCATCACCTACTGGGCGAACTGCGCGGTGAGATATTGGCTGTGGACATGGGTATCAATGTAGGCTGGTAACATTCAATTTCTCCCAAGCGGGCACCCACGTTGTAAGCAGGCAGATGCCGGGACGGGACGGGATTGACCATTCCAACCGCCGTGCTGCTGGGACTTTGAATGGAGCAGCAGATGTACGGGACGACGCGCTCTTGCTCCCCGCCTGACCTCACTGTATAGACTTACTGTGGCAGCGGATTGTGATCTTCAGCCAGCCGTGCGTATGAACCATTGAATAACAGATGCTGGTACAGATTTGTTAACGCGGGGGTGTAGTTATGATCCAAACACTTTCCGGGAATAATGTGTGGGAACTCCGTACAGTACAAATCAATCTTGCCGTACTCTGTCCCACAACGTGACCATAGCCGACCAATACCCAATTGGTAATATCTGAAAAGAGATGCAGTTCGCAACACCTTGTACATTTTCCTAGATATGTAAGCAGAGACATACGTCTTGACTTGGAATTACGGAGGATTTTGGGGTGAATGTGTTGAACTTCGAAAGTGTTTGAACCGCACACGGCGACTAGGAACCATGGAGAGGCTCCCCTAAGAGTCTAAGGGGGCCACCCTGTCAGGGATTGAAGCAAATTCTTGGCACAACCCAGATAATCTGCGCTAGAAAGCTTGGCTTCAAAGGATCCAGCAGAACAATCCTCACCCAAAAATTCTTGGTGGGGCGGGGAGGTCATTCAGACCTCCCTCCCCACTTGGGGCTTCCGCACTCCATCGGCAACAAATATTGAGAGAAAAAAAACTTCATCTCGGAAGAATCCTACGGTACGGGTGTATAGAGTCTCAGTTCGAAACTCCACGTGCGTAAGAAATTGAATTCTCGTTCATTTACACGCTGCATTTCATGCTTACACACAAACGACCACTGATGTGAAAACTCTGGTTGGGACACGGATGGGCCAGCTTGAAGCAAGCAAGCAAGAATCTCGTGGACAGGTGAGCTCTGGGTTGACTTTCGTAGTGTGCTGTCACTGATTGGCCACAACGCTTCTTCGCAACTGATATTTCGCAATCCTCAAACTCTGTGAAGAATCAGCATCGAATTTTGATCGGCCTTGCGCTTGTTGACAGGTGATCCATTCGTGCCATAACTTTATGCATGGCTCCAGCCACAGTTCACACCGATATGTTCAAGGCTCAAGCTTGGGACGTCCCAAAGAGGTTTGTGGCTAAGGCTGTGCACCTTATTTCGGGGTGCACACTACCCAACACCGCACACATGGCATATCCCCTTGAGGGGCTCTAGCTTCTGATTGGCCGGCACCAGAACGGAGAGAGACACACAAGCGCAAGACGCTTGGAAGCCAGGAACTGCGCGCTGCGGACGGCACACTTGATCATCCCGTTTTCCAGCTAGCCGGGAATGCGCAGCAGCGAGCACTGCACAATGTGTTGGGTTAAAAATATCTCTAGAAATCTGGCATGCAATGATGTAACCACAACGCGGATATGTTTTGCGGCATTGTGTAGGCAAAGCCTCCACACTATTCGGACTACGGCAGTTGAACAACGATAGCCAGGCAGACTTTCTTTCTCGGCCATTTGGATACACCATGCCCCTTCCTGGCTGTTGATACCAGGTACAGTACGGGGGAACCTGCGGCCAATCTTAGGCACGGTAGAGCAGCCAAGGCGCCTGGAGCGGGCTTCTGGGTCTTTGACCAGGCGCCTACTGCTGGCGAGTGCGGGGGAAGGGATGCCAGCCTGGCAACGAGGGGAGATGCCACACTTCTATCACAGACCGGCGCCTGCCGGGTCTCTTCCACGAGACAAGTGGAAATTTGATGACCAGCACCCAGTCTTAGTTACTCTATGATATGTGAGACAGAGAATGGGATCAATCACCATGTTTTCCTTTGATCAGTACCTCTCGGTCGGCGCCGACGCAAGCTTCCTGAGTGCAAGTGTTTTGTGGCACGCCCGACCCGTCTTCAGGCGACGAGTCGGTAGTGTACGGAGTAAAGATTACACTGTGCATTACAGGATCAATAAGACTTGCGAACTGCATCAGATAACCGATTCTTGGCGTTGTTGCGGCCTTTCCAGTGGTCAAGTTGTGCGGAAGAATCCGTTTGGCTGTGCTTGGTACATACAAAGATTACGTTACGGTACTCGTAAACATACCTATTTGGGCCACAAGGCCTAGAGGGAAAGAGACCAAGCAAAAGTTGCACGTTCAGACTAGAAGAGGGCGAAAGCTTTGGGCTCTTAATGAGCTATCTACCTAGTTTGCTGGGAGAGGAATACGGGGCAAAAAGTCTAGCTTGCTGCAACTAAGACAGCTGCGACTTGTCACCAACAGTGATCTTGCAGAGTTGTCTGGTCTCAACAAAAGACGCTCTCATGAAGTGGCATTATCGAGCTTAAAGTTGGGCCCCAGTGAGACCTGGCAAGGATCTGAAGGACGAACAGAGCGTCTGGCACCCTGACAGGTGCCAATCACACAGCGAAAATTGGCCAGCGAGTTGATGTGGGGGAAAAAGTGCCAGGACAACTCGGCATGACAGGGTTGTTTCAAAGCTCACGCGAGTAGCCAAGACCACGCGAACAGCACGCTTAATACTGAGACTCACTTGCTGGCAACACGATTCTGACCTTGTCCGGGCCTGACCTGAAGGAAGACTGTGGTGCTGGCCACATATCTGGCCTACGTTCCGATACCGACCAAGTCCTAGGACTCTACTGTATGCACGTATAAACAGTCAACTTGGGGGCAGGTGGTTGGTTTTGTGTGCGACTGGACAGCCTTTTGCTCTCGGAGATGGGCAGTCTGTGGATGAGTGGTCGCGGTGTGTCTAGGCCCCGAAACGCTGTCAGGCCCCACGACCCACCAGACAAGATGAGAACCAAGCCTCGATGTCTCCGCCCACTCACTGTTAATCTGGAGGCTGTTGACCCTTGTCGCCTACCGCCATCACCCACGCCGGCCAACCAGAACCAGCAAGCGGGTTTGCTTCTCGAGAGGTCTCCAAGGGCCGAGGTACGTACTGAGGTACGTACCATGACCCCTTGGTCAACCCGAGCCCAAGTAGCCCAGCCCCATGTCACCCAGGGCCCGACGGCCACTGCACACCCTGCAGGCACCCCCTGTCCCCTGTCAACCACCCATGTACAACCCATGCAATGTATTGACTGAGCCTCGCTGGGCCGGGTCATGCTGGGTACCGCGAGATCGTCCCTCCACCAGAGCTTGGCCTACGAGATGGCCATCTGAGGTTATTATATAGAATCCATACCCCCCAAGCTCGGTCTTCCGCTCAGTGTGCTTTCGTGTGGCAGACACGCCGTTGATTAACGTGATATTACGACGATCTTGTGTCTAGAGGACGACGCCAGCGACCCTAGAGGCCTACAGCAAGCACCGCAACGTGACGGGTTGCGACTTGTACACGCAGCCACCAGCCCACCAGGCCTCACCGACCACAGACAACAGAGGCGGAGTATTTTCATAATTGCAGGATCACCCTCCCTGTGTTCGCCGACGACATCTCCAGCACAACATACTCACATTCTATACCCAAAGTACCAACTCAGTCGCGATTACATTCTCACCAGATCAGCTGGCTTCCTATCGCCATTTTTGCATCCGGCGTCCAAGTCTGCAGTTCAACGATCCCACTGCCAGACCATTCGGGCATGAGCATTTACAGAGGTCAGTGACTGACGTGATGCTGTGCTGTATGAGGGATGCACAGCTGACGCGCCATCGTGGCTTGTAGGCTGAAATCCGGCTCTTCTGCAGTCTCCAAGAGGAATTCAGGAGCACTGCGCGCCGCTTCAGTATAGCACCAAATCACCCTCTTAAAACACCGCCCAACAACAGACTATTACTCGCATCGCCAGCTACAGCAACATTCACAGCGCCACCATGACCTACCCGGACCCTCCTCAGTTTTCATCTGCTTCTCTGGACCTCGGCCTGTCCTCAGAGCCGTACAGCGCTTATCCTCGGTCAGCCAGCGACTATCCGACAACGACAATGGGCTATGACAGTGCAATGTATGCAGAGGCCCCGTACGTTTATGGTAACGGAAAGGGGTCGCCTGGCTTGTATCCTGATGACAGTGATATGCACGGGACATCTTCAGACTTGAGCATCGCTAGTGCTTCATCATCCAACGCGGGGTCGCCGATGTCGACTCATGGGCAAATCGCTCCGGTCAATGAGTGGACCGCGACACCCCACGGCCTCGGGGTTACCCCGGGCATCGTCGACCACAACGACTATTTTCCTGGCAACGAATACGCTTTCACCCCCAACGGTGTCGAGGCCTACACACCATCTTACGACCTGGCAGCTAGCAAGGTACCTGGGTTTGTTGGTGAGTTTTCACAGATTCTTAGGTCTTCTTCAGCTGCCCGTTTTTCTCCCGGCCTCATTTCTTCACCGGACTTGCGGTCGAGCGTTGCGCGTCTGAAATCTCCGAGCGCAGGCCTTGCCATTGATACACGCCTAGCGCAACAAGTCTCGGACTCATTCCGGGCTCGTTCAACTGTAGTTTTTTCTCCGTGTTCTTCTGTCTCTTCGTCCCCTTCCCGCGCAGCATGGAGCAGCCCGCTACCAAGCGGCTGGTCACCTGTGCGTTCTGTTTCACTTAGTCCCTGATTTCCTTGTTCTTTTCTCGATCAAGTGGGCATTTTGTTCTTCCTCTGGACACGTCATGTTAGGTTCTCCATTGGCTCGCGATCGGCCTACTGACTCGCTTCAGACCCTTCTCTTATCCATCCTGAGGTGAGGGCGATGGCTATGCCGAACAACTACGAGCAGCCTTATTCGGCTCCTCCGACCAGCTCAACGTATCCCACGTCTCCTGCACTCTCTGTCACGGCATCGCCCCAACTTCGTGCTGGGAGCACTTCACCATTTGTGCCAAATGGAAACTACCAGCACCCTTACTCGCCCTTCCAGCCCCCCGTTGATCAACGGCGGGGTAGCCTGATATCCTTTCAGTCAAATGGCTCGACGGAGCAACCTTATAGCGGCGACGAGTCTAGGGAGAAGCAACGATGCCCGCACCCCGATTGCGGCAAGTACTTCAAGGATCTCAAGGCGCACATGCTCACTCACCAGAGCGAGCGGCCGGAGAAGTGCCCTATCGTCACTTGCGAATATCACATTAAGGGCTTCGCACGCAAGTAAGATTAGCACTGGCATTCTGACTGGCAAACAACTTGAAACTAACCTAAACTCAGGTACGACAAGAATCGTCACACCCTCACCCACTACAAGGGAACTATGGTGTGCGGTTTCTGCCCTGGTTCCGGCTCTCCCGCGGAGAAGTCCTTTAACCGCGCCGATGTCTTCAAGAGGCACTTGACTGCCGTTCACGGCGTTGAGCAGACTCCTCCTAACAGCCGTAAGAAGGGTAGCTCTAGCAACAACAGCACTAAGCCATCAGGCTATGCTCCTGATGCTACAGGCAAGTGCTCGACTTGCTCGGAGACATTCAGCCACGCCCAGGACTTCTACGAGCACCTCGACGACTGCGTCCTGCGTATCGTACAGCAAGAGGATCCGGCCGAGGCAGTCAACGCGAAGCGGCTGGCCGAAGTCGAGAATGACCCCGAGGTTGTCAAGACGCTTACCAAGAACAACCTTCCCGTAACTACCGTGGTTCCAAACACGGAGGAGGATGGAGAGGATGAGCACATGGAGGATCTCGAGGGCGATGATATGTCGAGGCGTTCTTCCAAACCCGGCGTGATGTCGCCAACCCGGAAGACGAAGCCAACTAACCCACCAAATGGTGTGCAAAAGTCGCGTGGCATGACACACTCTCGTGGCGGTGTCCCGCTGATCAAGCCTCGGTCCCGCAAGAATCGGCAAAACTACCCGCAGTCATGGGGCTTCGACAAGGGCCAGATGACCATTAAGAAGCGGGTGCTGACCGTTTTTGACGGGCCAAGGCGTCTGGTCAAGGACGACATGATGCTCTCGACCGAGCAGGAGGTGCGCATCCGGCTGCAGGACAAGAAGCACTACATCACCGACCTCGACCTGCAGACCCTCAAGCGCGCCGAGGGTTTCCTCAACGCCACCGATGAGGAGAAGGGCCCCTGGATCTCGGACGATCCGACCAAGGAGGAGATGAAGCTGATGCTTGAGCTCAGCTTGCAGCAGTCTGCGGACAAGCAGACAAAGCAGCAAGACGAGCAAAAGCCGCAGGAGCAACAACAGAAGCCTTCTGAGGTGGCCGTCGTTGCCCAGTAAATAGTACCATACTCATCAATCTGGTTTCTTTGTTTTCATTCGATACCCTTATCTTTTACATATACACAGCTGTATTATGTACATTTACCATGTACAAAAAACCTATGGTGCGGCTAGCCCCCATGTGGGCTGTTATCTTCTTTTGGAGGTATCATGGAGGACTAAGGCTAGGATTATCCACAAGGGCAGAGAAATACCATCAGGCAAGGGATTATAACGAGGGCTTCTTGAAGAGGGGTTTCTTTGAATATCGGGAGGGAATTTCATAGAAATTAATCTGGTAGGGCTCTAATGATATGAATACATTTACCTGGTTTTGAAGTACTTTTATGGTGCCTGCTTCATGAGCTCCGGATTACACTTCGAAGGGTAAACAGGGAAAGTGATATTTATCTAAGCATCCTTGAGAGCGTGATTGTGCCCAAGCTGCCTCTCTTCATCAAGTGAACTTCACTATCCTCTGATGAGTTCCAGGGATGATGGAAATCATTTTCCATTGGGTTGATGTTGCGATCTCTGATTAGGTTGCACGATTCAATTCTTTGTCATTAAAGCTAGATATGGAATACCAGCATCTGTCATATGCTAGGTGAACCGTTTGTAGATACTGTTTCCTCTCTATAGGTTAGGCTTCCTGATCCCACATGTGTCGAGGATAAATGGTTTGGCAATGTTTTCCTGCGATACAGGCTAGGGATCCACAGAGGAAGATGGATGGAACCATCAATGCGGATACTTATCCCCTCACGATATGCCCCGCCGTTAGCACAAGTTTAATGCCACATTTTCCTCGCATCTGCTGCGGGGCTCGTGAACAACAGAAAATATCACGGACTTGCACCGACTTTTCCACATCTGCCATTTGAGGGAGCCAATTCCTGGAAAGAATCTCAAGGGAGTTCAATCACGAAATTGAAGCACAGAACACAAGTGGGAGGAGAAAGTGTGATGTGCGGGGCAGCTCATGGTACGTCCCCGGGTTGTCAAGAGATCTTGCACTTCACGTTTGCCTGAACTTTAACACGCACGACTTACCTTGGGCCTTCGTCGTCTGAACTGATCGCAATCGTTTGCCTCCACATCCTTGACGTTATTTCTAGAAACTTATCGTTAACACCACTCCACTCTTGACGTGCAAGGTTCATCCCTCCAACACAGTCGCAGTGTTCAAACAGCACAAACACCCTCCTAACCCCCAAAGCAAGCCTATGTCCCTCATATCTCGCATCTCCCTCACCGGTCCTGAGACCTCCGACCCTGAGGACCTCCTCAGTGACTCACTAGGTGTCGTCTTTCCGGATGATGTGACCAACCAGCACGGCGACTCACACCATGGTCTCCTCTACACGTCGCCGTACCTCCCAAACCCAATCCAGCTGGCACTGGCCCAAGTCGAAAATGACAGTGATCGCCGTCTGTTCAGCCACTACTTGTGGAACTCGTCACTGCTGCTGGCAGAATTGATTGAGGCTGGTACATTGGGGCTGTCGTTGCCTCAGCCATCGGAAGAACTCATGGGGTCGGAAGCAAATGATGGATCAAGCATCGAGGCAACTAGCACGGATGATCAAGATTTAAAGAAGCTAAAAAGAAGGCATCTCGGTCCTCCAGTCTCTTTGTTCGATATCACGGGGCTGTCGACCATCGAGCTAGGAGCAGGCACTGCCCTTCCATCGATCATGGCCGGGTTAATTGGTGCTCGGCGGGTCGTGATCACGGATTATCCTTCGAAGCCGGTGCTCAAAACACTGCAGGAGAATGTTAAGGGCGCGATTCAGGCCAAAAACGCCCCTTCGGGGAGATTTGCTGTCGATCCTGAAACCACAGATGTTCTCGTAGCGGGACATGCCTGGGGCGAGTTTGACACGCCGCTGGCGAAGGAGAATTGGCATGCATTCGACCGCGTAATTTCTGCCGACTGTCTGTGGATGCCCTGGCAGCATGAAAATCTTAGGCGGTCGATCGAGTGGTTCCTGAACGAGGATGAGAATGCACGTGCTTGGGTAGTTGCTGGGTTTCACACAGGACGGCAGAAGATGCGTGGATTTTTTGACAAGGAGGCGCTGGCAGCGGTTGGTCTCGAAGTTGAGTATCTCTGGGAACGCGATTGCAATGGCATGGATCGGCCGTGGGCGTGGGATCGAGGCATCGAGAGCATCAGTGTGCGTAAGCGCTGGCTGGCGATTGGGGTGTTGAAGAGGATACGTAAGTCGACGGAGAACGGCGGCCAGGAGAACAGGAGTCAGTAAGACGAGGGAAACATAGGAAACTTGGGGGGCCATGAATATATACCCTGAAGATCGTTCCAGGCATGTTGTTCAGCCGCAGCTGTTCCAGGCAAAGCGTCCCTTGAAAAGAGGTTGAGCTGAACGTGCGTTGAACTCCACTCCGCGCGGCTATCGTCTGATTTATCGCCGTCTTGGGAAAGATCCTCGGGGTCTGCCGAATCACGGGCTGGGAAGTTATGCAAGTGAGAATGAGCGGCCTCCGGGCTTGATTCCATGCAGATGCTGCATTTGTGTGGCCTGGATGGTACATGGGTGTTTTAGCTGGCAAGTCGTAGACAGCTTTGCTTGATCCAGTAACGCTCAGGCTATGGCACTGCTTCTTTACAGGGTAGTTCTATCATCGACTTCATGCTGACACCCATCTTATATATCAACAAAGAAGATAGGAAGAGTATTTTGGCGATCACCGTGTTGAATACCGGATATCTTGAGGATATCGCCCAGATGATCTCAAGTAACTTTGTCCCATAAATCCCCAGGCAACGGTTGAGATAGCAGAATGCAATTGGGTCAGCAATGCCATTATATTGGGATCCAGTAAATCTGCTGGATATCCATGCTATGTGACACGCTTGTCTTTAGAAAGAGGGGTCAAAGTTACAGATTTGTTTGAAACGTCCTTATGCCCATTCCAAAAAGAATTCCACTTCCTTTGGGGGTGGAGAGGGAAGGGTAGGAGGGCATCATTGAGCTCAGCACCATTTATCGGAGTGTCCTTGATTAGAATACTTGATGCACAGTGAGCCACTTTCTTCTGTGAGCAGGCCATTGCCTGACTACAGAATCGATAATATGAGACCGGGAAGATCGGGCTGACTTACATTCAAGGTAATATGGACGGGTATCTGCTCACTCAAACAAGGACGTGTAGAGATCGTTTAGACCTTAAGATCAACGATCTCGCTTCTCCAACCAAAGCCCGCAAGGCTGCTGCTGTCAAGCATTCTCATCCCCGAGGCCTCACAGATCTCGATTGCAACCTTTCGGACAGCTCTGACCTGCTCGACAGTTGCTCCAACGTTGAGAGCACCTCGCAGATGCCCCTTGAGTTGAAGGGGCACCTGTTTGCAGTCAGAACAGCTATCACAAGATTAAGGAAAGATGAAGACGACCTACATCTTGTGGGATTAAACCAGCTATCATGACAAATGAGGTTTCTGCCGCGCTAAGCAAAGTGGTGTTGCTCAGAATGTAGCCATACATAAGCTGAGCCACCAACCCAAGGTCTTCTGTCCCAGACTGGAACATCTGCCGTAAGACCCTAGGCGCAACCTTGCCATAAAGCCTGTCGAAGAAGCTCTGGCCACGCTGGAGGATTTCTGAGGTGGGAGTTTCAAACACCTCCGAACGCCGGTTTGTAGGGGACGTAACTTCAGGTTCGTCCAATAGCTCCTGTGGAGTCACTTTCTTCAATTCCTGCAGGGCATTGATTGTCTAGATGGAGGAGGGCAAAGAATCAGCCAGCCAGGTCCGACTTAGCACGCCGTGCCCCTTGTTAGAGAAAGGAGGCTGAAGATACCCTGGGGACACCGCCTATGGCGGTGAGTTTGATCAAAGCCTCACGCAGTCGACGGGTGACTCTGAGCTGTTCGTCGTAACTCAAAACGTATTCGGCATGATCGGAACCGTTATTCAGAGCATGTTGATAGATCTTAGAGACTTCATCGGGCCGGTTGAGCTGAGTGAGAGTGGCTGCTGCAATCAGATACCATGTGTTGCTTGGCAGATTGGGAGTATTGCGGATCGAAGAGAGCAGCGATGGCGTGAGGATGGCTGGAAGAGAACTCATGGCGAAAAGTTACACAGTCCGATCAACAAAACCCATGAGAAAGAATACCATCAAAGTACTGCAAGCAACCTGCAGTGTACAGACTGTGCTAATATCCCGATGCCTTCTCTTTATAGAGCAGAAAATGATACTATTGATGTGTTAGCCGTAGTGTTACTCAAGGTTAGTTTTGAGTGATTACACCGTCGTCACATGCATTGTCACATGTCCTCAGGATCGCAGTATTGGGAAAGACCACCAAAAGTGTTGCTGGGAAGAAGTGCGCATGTAGCCCGGTGCAAGTACAGGACAGCAATAAGCCGATGAGTGGGGCAGCACCGCCACTCCAGCCTCACAGGTGACCCGGGTTTCATACCCAAAGGGTCTCTGCCTGTGGCTAGTGAAGTGCGTCATTCCTTATCGGTTGGCTGATTGATGTTTCATGGGAGCTGACACTGGGTCCTGTGTCCCCCAAGCTCACTAACCTTAACGTGGCAACAATTGAATTCCATCATCCGTCATCCCATCCTGTCGCTGCCATCAGCTCTTTGTACGGAACGCAGCCATTGGAAGTTTTGCGCCAACACCATGGACACCTGATTTTCAGGCTGACTCTCTCAACACCACTTTGACCGTCTGCCCTTGCCTCACCTTTGATAGAGGGGCTGATGAAGATGCGGCTAGCTTGGTACGCAGGGGTATGTTCGACCTTTGTGATTCCCCTCCTCTTCTCTCTTTGTCACTCTCTTGTCAAAGTCGACGGGAATATCACTTCTCGGGTTGAAGTATGATGCTGAACTGACATGTCTTGGTTGATTAGGCCTCCACGGCCCTCGCGGCCGCTGTGGTTACGTCCGCGTTCTACCAGCGCTCCAACTTCTATTCTGCGATGGTGCATCTCTCGCAAAGCAACTTCTCATTAATGGTGTGCCTCCCCTTTAGCGTCCCTGCCATTGTTGTTATCATCAACTTATTCTGACAACACCGGCGATGTCATAGGTTTTGATTAACTTGGTCCTCGTCGTTTACACCACTTTCATGTATTTACTCCAACGGATTTGCTTCGGCCCCCTCCGTGCCACTGAAATCGAGCAGCTCTACGAAAAGGCTTGGTTCGCTGTCACGGAGACATGCCTCGCGATGACTGTTTTCCGTGATGAAGTCGGCGCCTTTTTCCTCGTCATGTTCACAGCTCTCGTCACCGGCAAGGTTTGGGGCTGGATTGGGGAAGGCCGCGTAGAGGTCTTGGAGCAACAACCCCCGGCCAATCCTCGACTGTTCCACACACGACTCGTCATCTCGCTCTTCATCAGTATCGCCTACGACATCTGGCTCCTCACTTACACTGTTAGAGCAGTGATCCAACAAGCCCGTCCTACTATGATGGTTATGTTCTTGTTTGAGTTTGCTGTTTTGACCATTAGTTCGCTCCACACTGCCTCCCGGTACATCTTCTCCTTGGTTGAGCAGCAAGCTATTAAGAGGCAGACCCGCCAGCGCCTGGAGGAGAGACGTCGCCGCATTAGGGAACAGCGGGCTGAGATTCTCAGACGGAGGGACGCTGAAGGTGCATCGACGGCCGACAACGAGCCCTTGCCAGACGAGAATGATATTGATGAGATGGACATCGAAGTTCCTGGCTGGGAAAACAAAGGCCAATGGGTTCTTATTTTGGATCTGCTTGCAGGTTGGTATCATCCAGTTCCTTTTTAGACGTCTTCCAACTGACTCCGGGACTGTCTCAGACCTCATCAAGCTTGGTATTTACACGGCCTTCTTCCTCGTCCTCCTAAGATTCTATGGCCTCCCCATTCATATCATTAGGGATTGGTTCATGACAACCAGATCGTTCTTGAAAAGGCTCCACGCTGTCATTCGCTACCGTCAGGCGCTAAAGCATATGGATCAGTACCCGGACGCCACTGCTGAAGAACTCGAACGGGAGGACACATGTATCATCTGCCGAGAAGAGATGCGACCGTGGGATCCCAACGACTCTACGTTGGTGCAGCGCAGTCGCGCAAAGAAACTGCCTTGCGGCCATGTGCTGCACTTCGGCTGTCTGAAGAGCTGGCTAGAACGTCAACAAGTCTGTCCCACTTGCCGGCGCCCCGTAACCCAACAGCGACAGCAACCGGCTGTTGTAAATGGTAACGCTATGGTATTTAGACTTGGGCTCAATCTCCCTGCTGGCCAAAACCAACCAGCTCAGCCGCCAGCCAATAACGGCGGTCAGGTTCCTGGCGGTGACCGGCCAGCACAAGCCCCTGGGGCACCCGACCCACGGGCTAACAACCAGAACCGTAACATTAGAATGTTCAACCTGGGTCCTATTAGGGTCGGTTTTGCTCAGGGAGGAGTCGAGGAACTTGGGGAGATGGCCCAACGATTGCAAATGATTCCTAATGCTCCAAATCCTCCTGTGCCGACGCCGATGGTACCCGCACCACAAGCAACTGCACCTAACACCGGCAGCCTAATCCCAGCGCTCGATGACTTGCGTACTCAGCTCCTGACTCTCGGGCAGCAGGTGCGACAGGAGCTGGCAAACCTCAATAACGCGGCTCAGGAGTTGCAATACTTGAACGCCCTAATGAACGAGATCACCCGTCTCCGCCAGCAACAACAACAACAACAGCAGCAGCAGCAGCAGCAGCAGCAGCAGCAGCAGCAGCAGCAGCAGCAGCAGCAGCAGCAACAGTCGAGGAGTCACCAGCAATCAACACAGAATACTACTACGAATTCTCCAAATCCAGTTTTGCATATTCCACAACCTCAACAGGTATTTACATATCCGTTTACTCAGCTTCATGCCTCGTACCCATTGGGGCCAAGGCAGGCTTCTGCCGTTGTCACCAGGCATGTTAGCACTGCACAAGTGGCTCCTATCCCATCTGGCAGCCCTGATCTGCCTGAAGGAGTGGTCATCCCTCCAGGATGGACTCTACTCCCCCTTCAGCGTATGGACATGGCTCATCCAACATCAGACGGTCCCCAAAACGCTGGACAAGCTTCTGTTTTGAATCAACAGGAAATCATGCAACTCCTGATTCCTCAAGCCCCGAATAACTCTCAGTCTCAAGGTACTAGCCCAGCACGTGCTGAGAATGGCCCATCTGGACAAGCGGTAGAACAGAGGACAACGGAAAATCCCCCCCCGGAGCCTTCCCGTACGTCAGAATCATCGGGTACCGCTGTGGACAGCGGAGAACAGAGACAATTATCTGCCTCACCCTCTGTGGCTGCGCCTACACCAGTAGCCCCAATTTGGGGAGGATCGGCACAGCTTTTTGGTGGCCGGTTCACAGTGCCTTCTGGGGCTCAAGGCACGTTGACACCAAGTTCCCAGACAAACCAGGGAGAGAGCAATGATGGGGGCCAACTCTCGAGTACGACTGCCAATGGAGCTACGTCTGACAGCAATGTCCAACCACAAAGCCGTCCCGAAGTTAATGGCACCGCGGGCGAAGGCCAAAGAGGGCCAAGAGCGGTGACAGTGGAGGATGTTGATGACGAAGGTGAGGAAGACAGGCAATAGTTTCCTCGAGGCAAGCTTATGTTTTTTTTTTTTGTATTGTACCGTTCTCAGGTAGCACATGTTCTGGCGTTCTGGAGTTGGCGTTGTTCAAGCCACGGCGTGTGTGCTCGATAGGTTTGAATAGCATCCTTTTACAAAGGCAAGAGCGGAAGTTTGCCCAATTAGGTCGCCATTTCTATTCCGCTTTTGATATCCCCAAAGTGTCTTATTTTGACATCAGCCCCTAGTTTACTTTGACAGAGAGCAGCAACTTCCCACTATGGCAGAACCAATTCGTCGTTGTTCTTACGGGGCAGGTCCCTTCTGCCTTAGATCCCTTGAACCTGCCATTCCCATCGTCATGGAGCCGTTCTCAAACAGTTGTGAGTAAGATCATCCTCCTCTGAGCCATCGTGGACTTGAAGCGGCTTGTCTTTTGAAGGTATTCGAACGCCACCACAATCAATGCTTCCTTTACTTATATCCGTATAGGTATAGTATTACACTTAGCACCGTCTTCAACGCATTTCATACATTAAGTCCCTGGCACTCATCATGTCTGCTATCCACCTTCCCACAGTTGCAGTCAATGCTGCTCTTAATATCAACCCTGACAGCAAACAGAGCCTGAGCTACACGACAAACAGTGACGATGACTGCCCTCCCCCACCACCATTCCCATCCTCCGAATCGTCTGGTTCGCCCGGCTCTTCCGCCTCAACTCCAGACAAGTCACTTTCGCCCGTAACACTGAAGTCTCAATCTCAACAGTCAGATATGTGCCGCCCACAACTTCCATCTGACAGCCCCTCCAGCGGATCATCAGCAATCCTGGCATTAAAAAGCGACGAATCTCCTCGAGGCAGACAACTTCAACGCCGCTGCCGTCATCTACGCGTACACGAGGCAGTGAAGCGGCGAGAATCGCGTCACCAGGCCCTTCGACAGCAGGAGATATGGCTAGAAATGCAAAATAGCTGGTTTGATGAGCCCGAGGCTGTAGAACTCGGGCTCGAGAAGGATACTAAAGAAAAGACCGTTGGATCGAATAATGGGGCACATGAGAATCAAGGGTCGGGGCTCAAAGAAGTGTTGTCCGTGCGGTTGCGCTCGGTCAATGATAAGAAGAACCTTAAAGAGCCTGCACCGAGATTGGATTCAACAACCAAGTCTTCGGAAGCCATGGGATACACCCCATTCAACGGCTGGGGCTTCCGTTCCATGAGGACAAGTTTGTTCAAGAATGTTGCTGCTGCCAGACGATTGAATTCATGTGAAGACGAAAACTGCTGCTATTTGTTGCGTGAAGAGCCAGTTGATGAATACATGTACTGGAAGGACAGACAGGAGAGTGCGGACTACGCTGCTAGAGTGATTCTCGCGTCCTATGAGGCTGGGGCTCGGCGAAATGGTCAGTATCGTCGTCCACATCGGCATGGACATCGTCGAGGTGGCTGCAACGCCAATACCATTGGCCGTAGAGAACGGAAGAAGAGAAGGGCTCTGAGAATGAAGGATTTCTCATTGGACCTGGAATTACGTGGAGGGGATGCTGAGAAAGATGGACTCGAAGGGCCTAAGAAGAAAAAAGGTTTCAAGGCACTCTTCGAAAAGACAAAGGAGATATCAGAAAAGTTGGGCTGGAGCGAAACTCTTGGTCGTTTGAGCATCTTTCAGGCAGTTCCAGTTACTCCTTTTGGATCGCCAATGATCTTGCCCCCCATGGGAACCTTGGACGTTGCAGGAGCATTCACTGGGTTTCGCAACAATGATGACTCTAGCTACAGGTACCAAGGAGATGCATCCTCGAGCACAAGCAAAACTGACAGTCTGACATCCTCCGTCGCCCCTTCATATCGTTCTACGCCTATCTCTTCTACAACCAACATGGCGACCGACAAAGCCGAAGTTCAAAACTTTCGGCGGTGTCATTTGATCAAGACTGATAACAGAAATATATCCGCCCATCCTGCGTGGAAGAACTACCGATGCATCCCGCCCAGGTTAAAGAACCAGCGGTGGAGCGCCCCTGAATATTTTGGCCAGGGTACTCAGAACGTTTATGATGCTCAGGAAGTTTTGGAGCAAAAGCTGGGACTAGGAAGGAAACGGAGTCTCGCATCGTTGACGCGGCAACTCGCAGCAAAAAAAGGTGAAGATCAGCATGGAAACATTCTGAGGGTCATACATCTCGTTCCCTCGGCAGGTCTGGAACCTTGACGGAGTAAAGGAGGACGGTGGGCATGGGGGTTGCAAGTGATAGTCACTTGCTTTTCAAAGTTTATTCTGGAGGGAGGTATATAATGATCTCTCAGGAGATCTGAGAAAGTGTGAGAGGGGATTCTGTCGGCAGATGCCGTTTTCTCAGGTCTCTTACGATGCCAGGAGAGGTCTACGGACAGCGTTCCTGTGTCATATCGAGCAGAACTTAGCGATAACTTGTCATGTTTACCTTCCTCATAGTGAGCAGTTGAACTGAAATTGGCGTGAAGGCTTGGGAACGTGTACTAGTATGTCCAATAGTATGAAATTCCCTGAAAACTTACAGGCTCCTAGGGACTTACCTGTAAACACACTTGATACATATCTTTTCATTGGTTGTGAACCATTGGCTAATAAAAAGGATGGGTAATACAACATCAAATTATTCGCCCTGTTTTCCACCTCCTCTTTTCACTGGTTTGCAATTCGGGCAGCAGCCCGCCTGTGCCGCCGTCCAACGAGATCACAAGTTGTCGTGCCACAATCCATCAACAAGTTTTCAGGTCCTGCATAAAGAGGCTACGAGACCGTGAGACCTGAAGATCAAAGCTCGAGGCTTGCATGTTGCACAAGCCCAACAGAAAGGACTTGCACAATCACGTTCTCTGACATCTAGAGTTGGAGGTTCTTGTCACAGACTCCCTGTGAGCGTCTCCATCAAACTCAGTATTCATGTGACTAGGCTGCTCTACGGGACTCCAAGCAGGGATTTCTCTTGGGGATCTCTGAATGATCGCCATCGGAAAAGATGTCGGAAGTATACTTATTAGTAGATGTTCGGACCCTGATGCAACAACCATGCCCGTGGAATGCGCCACAGTACTAAAAACAGCGAGTTGGAAAATGCAGGAGCTAGCCCCGACTGGTGCATGGCTATCCCATGTCAATGAGAGTGAAACCAATAACGTTACACGCCCTTTGACAAGGTTATACATATTTGGCGGCTTGGGGGCGGCAGCACGCGTGCTGCTGTTATCGCTCCTGTTTGTATGTCAGCGCCGACATTCAGGGTTGACTTTGAACCCTGATAGTCTATTAGAGTTTTGATTCTACGTGTTTTTCCTCCCCGAGGCCTTGGTAATGAACGGTCTTCATTGGCAATATCAAGCGCTTGTTTGCAAGAGATTAGTGGCTCTCATATCTCTGCGGAGATCTGTCAACAAGCTAATTTGTCAGGACGGATGAGGAAATGCGGCACGCTATTGACTCAAGCTGCTTAAAATGCAGCAAGCAGAATGTGTTTCTGCTAGATGCTGTGCGCCACACTCTGCATCAAAGACTGTCTCGTGACCCAGAGGTTCAGAGTAGATAGCCTCTGGAACAAAAAAGTTAATGTCTCGACTTCGGTTTAAGCAAATTGAGTGAAGAAACTCCTAATGAAGTTTTCCTTGTGAGGTCCATAGAGCCTTGAGTTCCCGTTGCCTTATCTGTGCAACGTCACAGACAAAGCCAGGGGCTAACGTAACGATCAAACTCTTGGTAAATAGGATGTTGAAGCAGCTGCCAGCAAAGGTGACAAGTTAATATGAGCCTTGAAGAAGGACCAAACAGGGAATATCCAGTGGGAACTCGAATGTTTCGTGATTCGGGTTGACAAAGTCAAGAGCTTAATGGGGTTTAATTAGGTAGATATCAAGCATGTTAACCCCTATTCCTGGCCATTCAAACTCCAAACCTGACGCATATGCAAAGCTGTTCTGGATTTAACCAATGAAGTCCTAGTCTCCCAAAATCATTCTTCTCTATGCCTCGTTGACCCGACTTTCTTTCCGCTCAGTACGTCCAGTATACAGTTACATGGGAAAGGTAGCAGGTAAAGCGCAGAATACAGTCGATAGAAGGGCAAAATAGAAGATAAAACAGAGTTAAGCCCGTCAACACCGAAGCGACAATTAGTAATGATATATCAAAACGCAACATGTGAACGAAAGACTTCGGATGACAGGCTTTGAGTTCGAGTCTTGCTTGATAGGCATCCATCTTGACCACACTTCTTGCAGCCATGTATTTCAGCGGCTGGTTCTTCCTGTTACGTCCCTTGCTGTCATTCTGTGGGGGACATATTGGTAAACAGTGATGCCATGATTCTCCGAGCCTGATCAAGAAAACTGGGGAATATCACCGAATCTGTTCCCTCAGTTTTGGAAAGCACTCCTCACTATCCGAGCAACCGATCTCCATAGTTTTCTTAAATGGAAATCGGGCGGAGGGTTGTGTTGACCATGGCGGCCCGCTATCCCTTGATGCTGATCAGCGTCGGGGTTTGTCTTTTTGATGGAGCTTCCCACATCTGAATACCCATTCTCGGTACCGGATAGCTCGTTTTGGAGATTTCCCACCGCTGCTGCAGGTGTCTCAACATGCTGCGCTGTAATCTCTGTGCGTTCTTCGTCCTGAATGACAGGATGTGGCGGCTTAACTGAACTCGCAGGAGAACTGTTGGTTACGTTTCTGTCATTGTCGTTGTGATGCGTATGTCCCGAAGTAAGTGCATGTTCTGTGCTCACATTTGTCTGTTCTTCACGGATGGCAATCGGTGATGCCATAACTGAACTCGGAGATGAGTTGTCAGCCACCCTTCTATCCCCAGAATGATTTGGGTCTGTCGGAGATGGTATGGCTGTTGGGACATCGTCCGCCCTTTCCTCTGTCCGTTCCACCTGGATGGCAGAGCTTAATGCCATGAACGAACTGAGTAGTGAGTCGTAGGTAATGGTCCCATCATCCGTCCTTTTATCCTTTTCAGGCATGCCCACGCTGTTATTTTCCATGCAGCTCTTGACACTCTGCTCCTGACTGTCAGAGCTGACAGGGAGACTACCATGCCATTCATCCCAATAGCTGCCATGTGCGGCACCGTCTTTAGGCCACCAGTATAACACCTCCTCTTGCCAGCGTCGTAGATTAGTTAGGCGTCTGCTGGCTTTTTGAAAAACAAGCTGGGTTGTGGCAAGCAGCACCATGCACTCAAGACGGCAGGTACGTACACGGTGCATCAACCATTGGTTGACAAAGTCAACTTTGTTTTTAACGGAAGCCTTCATCAGCTTCAAAATACCAATTTCTTTCATGCACTCAGCACGAAGTTGTGCCGTGGTTGGATCTGTTTTGGGCAGCGCTAGCACTCGTGCTAATGCCTTGATGGGGGAAAGGAGTTGGAGGATATAGGTGGGATTTGACATGAGGATTGAGAACAGCGGATGAGCAAGTGCGCTTGGTTTAACAGAACCAGGAGACGTTTTGAAAGGGTCGTGAGCAGGTTGAGCACGCTGAAGATGGGAGTGAAGAAGATGGTGTGTTGGTCCAATGTCAATCATGCCGTCATCTGGATGTGGGGACCAGTCAGGAACGTTTGAAAATATGGCAACCTCCTCTTGGAATGTGGGATGTTTGCGCATCACTCCTTTACTCAAGCACAGTTCCCGAAGGTATGTGAGGCGTCGTGATGCTTGGTCGACCTTTTCGCGTGCTTCCTTGGCCAAACTCTCATAGTCGCGGAGGAACTCGTAATCTCCCTGATTGATTGACAGTCCAAAGCGTGCCTCGAACTCCTTCATCGTATCAGGAATATTGACCAGTGATGATCGGAAAGACTTTAAGTCGTCGTCAGTAACATTGTCTCCTGTCAAGTGCTTCCGCAAGAGGAACTGCCGTTCCAGATCGGACAAAAGTCGCTCGCGGTCGACCTCAATTTCTTCACAGAAGTCCTCTGCAGAGTTGAGTTTCGCAGCAGCATCTAGGAGCTGACCATAAAGGGGATGTATATCATCTTCCAGTTCAGCGGAGATCCCAAGTAGGATGTCCGGGGTGCGAAGTGATGACTGGTCTTTTGCGCTTGAGTTCTCCTCTTGGGCTTGGTCGTTCAAACTATTATCACCTTGTACTGCAGTTGGATGCCTCGCCAATGGATCTCCATGTAAGGCTGGAAGACTCGTCTCCATTCTCGTTAGCTCCTGCTCTTCCGTCTCAAGTTCTTGCTCCATTGCTTCGTAGGCCAACTCGGCAGAACAATAGACGTTTCGTGCTGCTTGCATTCGCTCGAAATGCTGTTGGATCTCTTTGACTGGCAAGATCACGAACTCTCCTTCAGTGATCAAGCGTTCTCGAACAGCTTGCATGAAGCCATTGTCTGCCAGATCTTTCTCGCGGCGAAGGCTGCGCAACTCCTCTCGTCTCGCAGCCATGACACGCCTTAATTCCCATATCTTGTGACGTTTTGCGCGACGTCTGACTCCCAATAACTTGACAACGACGAACGCGACTAATCCCGCAACACGGAACCAGATTGAGGGGATTCTGGGCTTGGTCGGACCGGGCTGTATTAGAGCGACAGCTGGAGATGTACATCTTGTGTCCTGTGGTGATGGATAGCGGATTTTTCGGTCTTCGTGATAAGGCCCATCAGATGTATTTTCATGTAGTTGCATGGAAGCGCATGAATCAGACAAGGGAGGTGGTTGTGGTGGCGGCGGCGGCGGCGGAGGAGGAATAGGGCGGACAGGAAGAGGAGGATAAACGGGTGGTATGAAAAATGGATCCATCCTGCGTAGCGACACCAGTCGCCGTTGTTGCACACGTCGCTACTTCCTGGGAGAAGACTCGGCCTGGTGAACGGTTGCAGGATGCAGATCCACATCGATAACTCAAGATTTCAAGTTTGTCTTCTTGAAAATGTTAAGGGGACGCGCAGCGTCTTGCTCAGTTGGTACAGCTCACATTATGGTGTAGATAGTCGTGGGAAGAAGAGAAGGCGTGTTGCAGGCTGGGGCCATTTGCTCGATGAAGTGGCACATTATCATTATGAAAGGCGTTCAGGGATTGGTCGCAGTGTCCTGTAGCAGGGGTTATTAACGTGAGCCCTGAAGATGCATACCTTTGTTGTATCGGGTACTTACAATACATTGAAAGATACTGAACTGTAACACCAACAAGGCATAGTTCCGGACATTGGTCCTAATTCCTCTCTGGATCAAATACGTTCATCTCTCTTTATCCCCACAGGTCAATCAGAATGTGATTGCATTTCATTCCCACGTTGTGTCTAGTAGAATCAGACGATATCCACAAGAGCGCTTGCCAGCATTTCTTTTTGGGGTCAACTTGTCGCTTGCGGAGGACCGGCAGACACTGAACTCAGGTATGGTCTCTATTCTGTCTCAGATGCAGCAACTCCAGTGATGGCGATTAGATTCGAAGAGATCGGCTATCTTGCGAATTCCTCCCTGGGCGTGGAAATGGCACGAAATACACTTCCAGAAGGCATTCCCAGCAGTGCAGTTGTCAGTTTGGCCGGGGTCTCTTCTTGGCGCTAATACGCGTCAACCATGCTGTGTTGTATGCTAAGTATCCATAGCGCTTAATCTATAAGTGGTGAACCACTTTCTGTCAAGTTCCATGCAATAGGATAAAAGTATGAGGAGAATGTGAAGTGTTGAGGTAGCAGTTCTAGAGGTGTTTGGGATGAATGCAGGCGAGGAACTGCCTACAATGCACACTTGTCGCTTATTGAGGACATTGGTAATACCAAAGCAGATAATCTGAACTCAAGGCCCCAATAATCGGGTCGGGCCGACAAAGGCTCGGTCTCAGCTGAGGTGCTTGGAGTACATGGCAGCCTATAGGTAACGTCCAAGTGGGTCACGCGGATCGTTACCCGTCAGAATCTGCGAAGGGATACATCCAAACCAACCCAACCTCCCACCCAGTCTTCACCGATTTTCTCTTTCTAGTAGAATATTGTGTAGTTCTGCCCAAACTTGCAGCGAACACCTATCATATCCGTGCAAAGACCTGTATCACTATCGCATTCTCACCTATCCACGTTGACAATAGCATAAAACCAACCTGTTTAGCCTTTTTGCAAACACTCTAGGCTGGGCACTTATGCCAAGTGGTAAGATCCGCAGACCACCCTGGAGTATCTGACTTGGGACCCTATTCTGTCGGAGAACTGTGTAGGTTCGGAGTCTGTATCATAGCATTCCATGATTCCGGAACTGCATTGGAGCCCGATAAGAACGGTAACGCCCACCCAATCCACCTACAACCCCAAGTACTGCACCTCATTGCAAGTGTCTCTAGCCTATGAAACGGGTTTCATGATGCATCCAATTTTCTTACATTTTCTTTTGGGTCTTTTCTTTTGGGGAAGTCAAGGTTGTACAGGCACTGACATCCTTTCTGTGATTGCATTACCATCTACCTTCTCTAGAAGCATCCTCGTGGTATCTTTTCTTCACTCAGATGGGCATGTCCTCCGAAGTTAACTACTGACGGCTGCGGGTAAGCGGGCACGAAGGCTCAACTGACCCCCCCTAATATTTACTGCAATGCACTGGTACCACACCTACCTGGCTTTTTCGGAACGAGAGGGGAGGGCGTCACGAGCCTTTTTTTCTCTTAGCCAATAATGCTTGCATCCGCCCGCAACATAGACAAAAGAAACAGCCACAGCCCCTCTTGAAGATAGAAGGGATATGTTATGTAGGTTATTGCCTGCCAGAAAGTGCCTCCTCGATCTAGTAATTGTAAATTCCAGACTAAGAGCGGGGTCAGCCCAGGCTTACCCGTATGACTGCGGCTCTACAAAACTGTCCACTCTGCCTTGCCAGACGGACAGAGGCTCCCAAAGCGAGAAACATCACCTCTCAACGTTCAGTTCAGCATTTGCACGTATCTATAACCGCTGCCCCTTTCAATTCCGGACAGATCCTCTCACACAAACACGCCCGTTCTTAATCGATATATCTCACTCAGACTTTCCTTTGGTGTTTTTCTACGTACTGATCAGATAACTACTGTGGTGAAAGCACTTCTTTAACGGAACCCCGTTGACCAAATTGTTTTATTTCAAGCCATTGCTTTACGGGGGTTTTCCTCCCAATGTCCTTCAGTGGGAAGCATGCATCGGGTGGCTGGCGTGCGCAGCATTTGGATGAATATGGAAGCCAGTACAAAGTAAATCAAACCAGGCAAGGTAAATACCATCTGTTCTGGAGCTCTACCTGCGTTTCGCCTACTAAGGGCTTCTATTCTCAAAAGGAGACTATGAGCATGATATCCCAGACTACAATCTCGGGAGCGAAACTATACCACGAGGTGGTGCAATTGATTTGGGAGGTTTTTCGAACCTTAGTTTGGGCAACACAGCACCTCAGTACATGCAGGATGACACTTACAGTTATGTATCTGATGCCAACGGAGGTAACTTCAGTTCTCTTACTTTGCTGTTTCTAATTGTTCTATGAGCTTATATATAACATTCTTAGACCAAGCCCACCTCGCAGGCGTCAAGGGAGAGGTTACAGGAATCAACGAGACTTCCTCCCTAAATATTCCTTGTGCGGAACCATTCTATTCAAAGCACGCGGCCGCATTGCAGTTGACCGGTGCAAATACATCTGCTAGTCAAGAACTTGGAGAGAACCAAGGTAAGAACTATCCGGAGAGACTATGTTTATAATTCTAGTCTGACTTGTAGGAACCACCAACCAGGTACCGTTGACTTAGCTGCCGCAGAGTTGGCAGACTCGGTCGAAGGTTATGAGGCCGGCAGTAATCTGACAGCCTACGAACAACCTTTATCAAATGGCTCAGCCATTCCGTACGCAGCAGCGGCTCCCCGGACTCATTACGGGTCTGGTCGTCGAAGGTCTCATCATCCATATCCACAGTTTCATATTTTCGGCTCTGACTGGTTTGTTCCCGGATTGGTATGTTCCTTGCTATCTTTCCGCCCAATATCGCAAAGAATTACTCACAAAACTTTCGGATCATGTAGGTATTTAAAACCAAGTGGTATGAGCCCAAAGGCCGTGGGGCCATAACAGATCCCCGTACTGTCAATCGCTCAGATATCGGTGAGGTGTGGGAAGGGATTCGCCGTTTCATAGTGGTCGCGAAGTCTACGGGCAATTCAGTTTGCGTGTAAGCACCATTTGCTACACTGATAGACTGTGAACACCGCTAACCATTTGGGTTCAGCCCAATATACACCTATAGTTACCGCGCTTGCAAAAAGGATGGAGTCAAGCCCGAAACTCATGGAATCATACACGATGAACGAAATCTTCCTGAGCTCCTCGATGGTGAACCAAAACTAGGCTTTAATCCAGTGCGAGCAAGACTATTTGAAATTACGGAAATGTTGGCCAGGGAGTCACGAGTTGACTACGCAAAACTCTGCACGGTTGAACATAATGCTGCCATCGCGATGGTTGGCTATGTTATTCCCGAGGATTTCGACAGAATTGTTACTCCTGCTGTCGATTTCTGTTGGCAACAACGCGAAAGAAACGCTATCGACTTTGACGGTATACCACTACCGATTCCTATGAATCCTTCTACTTATCAGCACAGGCAGAGACGGAAGGATAGACACCGGTGAAGCCTGTTATCCGAGACCAGCAAACTTCGAACAATCGAAGTTTTGCAATTGGAGAGGAGTTGAACAGATTTCTTCTCCACTATCAGGCCATCTTGACAGGATCATTCCTCTTTTTTCCACCTATCCTGCCTCCTCAAACGCTTTACCGTGGAGGAGCAAACGGAACCACACGTGGATCTTTAGCTGGTTGATGATCGGCCAAAATAATTACGTTTCTCATCTGTCACTCGATTCTGTGTGCCTAAGCAGGATCTGATTTCCAGGCCCCTTGGAGTATATCGCACATGTGCTTGGCAAAAAAAAGGGTTGATGTTACCGGGCTTCCACTAAGACTATGAACAGACCGACTGTCTAAAATCACTTTCATCTCTTCTCTATCTTGATTAGCCGTTAGTTCTTGGCAATTTACTTGCGATCTCTAAACTTAATACATAGAACGAAAAGTTCATTTGTCAACTGAAGGAGGATCGATTCTTATCACATACCTTCTCCGATTTCAGACTGTTGTTGAGATTTGTGGTTTGAGGTTGTGGGTGTAAAACACAGATGAGGTATATGTTATGGCTGATGGCTATGCAGTCGCAGATTAGTTTCGCATGATATATCACTCGTTTAGTCCTCGCATCGGCTTTAGAACAAAGTCACGCCCACTTGTCAAAGTAGCGTCGAGAACATATGCATCCAGCAACCAAACATCTAGACAAATATATATGAACCAAGCAGTATATCGACGTTTTGAATGGAGGACGCTGACTGAGGTTCATCTTAATTCTTAAAGATGCAGTATGGCTCATGACCCCCGATGTCCCGTATCATTGAAGCTCTTGACCAAGACAAACTTTTACAGGATGGTCCAGTGCTCTTGAAGTCATCTCAATTCTAAGCTTACATTAGTCTGAAGCGTGTATATAGAAGACTTGAGTCCGAAGCACGAGAGAGTTGATAGCAGTTGCCATTTCGAGCAATAGCCCCATACCCTGGGCTGATGCATTACCTAAGAGTTAGTCCCGGTCACTGCTCCACGCCACACGTCAAGCCAAAATGCTCTTTAACACCATGAGATGGCCTACCCAATTAGCGTGATCCTCGAGATCATTATGCAATATGAGTGTTGAATTGCACAAGAGGCTTTAAAGGGGTTAAACTGTATGATCCGCGAGACAAAGTCGCTCCTCTCGTCATCCCACAAGTTGAACTAATATGAGCGATGACGGAGCTGACTTCAACTTGCTTCGGACTTCCCGAATTAAGCAAAGTTTTATTACGTGTCTGTGTTGTGACTGCAATGTTTGCACTCTCAAAGCAAATTGCGTGCTGGTACACATCACTTGGGAGCTCTGTGAGCCTGCAGGCTCCGGTTCTCTGCGGTGTTGAGTCGCTGCCGCTCCACCTTGTTGCGAGCTCTCTTGGGCTTTGGGAATATCGTTACCCCGCACATGTGAGTGAAACAGATACTAAATGCAGCTGGAAGCTTTCCAATCTGTAGTTTAGTTGCAGAATTTAGGAAACAGTTTGGAGACGATAAGTTAAGGCCCTCTAGTCTTACCGGCGGCGCACAATGAAAGTCTGGTACTTATTAGAGCCAGTCTGTGCCTGTCAGGACGTGAGTCTCGTCATGGGATTGATGTATGCGGGTCAATCCCACGCGAGCTGTGCTTGCCGCTTATCAGATGATCTAATCTCGCGGAGTTAAAGGAAAAGTGTAGGAAACGCCAGGCTTGGCGCCAGAGTGGGGCTGATTGATAATTTTTTGATTGATTAGATATCCCCCGCTTGGGGCGTCATACTGTGTGTATCTTTCAGAGACACACCGTGTGCCCACTCTCTTGGTTCAACTGGCGGATGGCGCCGAGGTCGGAGAATGGCTTTCGACAACTCAAAATGCAATTGCTGTGTCACGCATTTCCATTGGCACAGCACGAACACACGAGATGGCACATTCATCTCCGTGAAACAAGGCCCATCAAGTCCACTTTTCCCACGCTGAATGTTTGAGCTGTTTGCCCCCGAGATTTTAGCGGCGCTGCAAAGCCCAACGTCCGGCTGTCCAACTCGAGGTGGCAACTGGGGAAGACTTGTTGGGGCCCAGTGGTCTGATGCTCGGCAACAGCCCTCGTTACGGCTGGTATTTGTTCCGGAGCAATGGACTGTTGATGAGACGATGCGAAATTGTCCTGATCTGAGCAGCCAGTGACCATTTTCTGGAGATATATGGATTCGAGATACCTTGTCTGCCGGCGCCAAGTCAGGAAAAGTCTCGCGGAGCATCCCGGGTGACTAGACGCCAAGGCAGAGGGCCGCACAGGGCTGCCGAGCTGATCAGCTCGATCGAGGCACGAGGTTGCAACTACGTTGACTGACCGCTACCGTCCCCCCTGGATGCGGCCTTAGCCGCCCAAAAAGTCGCGTTTAAGGATTGCGAAAGAGATGGGCGCTTGTTTGGCTACAAAAGAAGAGCGCGAAACCTTTGCAGATAATCCCAGTGATGCAGACCCGCGGTGTCGACTGGCCGGTAAATTGTGGTAACGGGGACAACTTGGAAGTTGCTGCATGTGTCTTCCCGCGATCTGCGGAAAGAAACGGCCGACCGGAAAAGGCAAGGCCAAATAGATCCCTGTAGATCGCCCAGTCCTCCCACACTGTATTGGGGCCCCCACCGCAGTTGCCCCCTACACTGTGGGTGGGCTTTTTCATCAGCGCCTGCGCTGTGACTGAAGATTTTAGTCAGGCCTTGCCAATTGCCAGCCCGAAGGACCTTCTCCATTCTTCTTTCTTTGTCCGTCTCCCGGATACTTGAGCCAAGGGTTGCATCGCTCAGAGTGTTGATCAAGAGTGCTCTTCGAGCATCGGCTGTGTGTGTGAAGCCGACATTGGATTTACATCATCCATCCCAACCCAGGGCCTTCGGGTAGTCACAATCCCTTGAGCCTCGGTCCACTTTTGCGCAACCCAACTCCGTCCGGAGGTCTGGAATATTTTTCGGTCATGCGGCAGGGCTCTGCTTGATTGCCGTTCACGAGAGTCTCGATCATCTTGAAAAGGTCACTGCGTTATTATCCTAGGCCGGTCGATCGTCTCCTGTGCTTTTTCTGTTCTTGAGCTTTTCGCACTCGAGTTTTTTTTTTTTTTTTTTTGGCGAGCTAGTCTTCGAGAAACGCCGGTCACCACAAGGCAGAATGACGACACAAACAGATCTGCTCCTTGTCGAGCACTCGGCCGCGAGCATTCCCGAAGAGCCTCAACTCGGCTCCTTGCCGGCTTCAGAAGCTCCGTCGCTTACCTACTCGGACTCGTCCGACGAGCCCGAAGTGGAAGACCCCCCCCAGCCCGTACCACGTCGTCGCCGGGCCTCAACACGGCTGATTGCGCAAAGCCCGCTCGATGTTCAACGCATTACCGGCGAAACCACGACTCAATTGATCAAGCGCTGCTGTGGAGGTGGCTGCTGCCTTGGCCTGGGTCCCAAGAGGGACGGCGTTGAGTCCGAGCCGATTGAACTCCCCGACAACGATGCTTATCGGTCCCTGCTTCTCAAGATTGACCAAATACCAATCACGCTAACTGGAGTATGCGAATTGCCCGAGCAAACCGTTTTTCTACAACCCATGCGGCGACCGTCTACTGTCCCATCTCCTACCGGTGCTAGCCCTCTCCCGAATCCAGACAGTACAAGCTCGCTCCTAGGCCAAGTCGAGTCTAAGTTGCACAGCCTGACCCTCGAGGACCTCGATACGCGGATACAACCCCCTTCCTTTGTCCAGCCGCATCCGCCCCACCATGTCTTCGCTGCTCGCATTGTCAACTCGCGCGAGTTGACTCGTCCCGGTGCCGAGAAACGGACGTTCCATTTTGATCTTGATGTCACGAATTATCCTGACGGCGAGGGTACTGACTTTAAGGTCGGAGGAGCAATTGGTGTCATGGCACCCAACGAAGCTTCCATGGTAGAGGAAGTGCTTGATCTGCTTTTAGTCCCTCGCTTTTTGCGTGACAAGCCGGTTCTGCTGCGGACGACCAAGGGCCGCTGGCCCACCGTTTGGGGCGACGACATGGCACGCGAGCTTGTCACAACCCGTCGTGACTTGCTCACTTGGTGCTCTGACATTCAGTCATACCCGCCCACGAAGCAGCTCCTGCGTGTTCTGGGCGAGCACGCAACCGACGAGAACGAGCGCAAGATTCTTCTATATCTCTGCTCTGCTGAGGGGCAAGGTGTATTCTGCGACTTCCGCACCGGTCCTCACGTGTCGCTTGTGCAATTACTGCACGCCTTCCCAAGCGCTAAGCCCCCTCTCGATATGCTCCTCTCGGTTCTTCAACCGTTGATGCCTCGCTTCTACTCTTTGTCCAACGACCCGCATGAGTCATACCTGAACCGAGATGGCAAGCAGCACCGGCTCATCGAGATCGCCGTCACTGTCCATGAGACTGCGGACTGGCGCACAGGCAAGCGGCAAGGTGTTGGCTCTGGCTTCTTGCAACGGCAGGCGCTGCGGTTCCTTGAGGCCAAGGAACGCGGCGAGAAGGATCCAGAGTTATACGTTCCCATGTTTAAAGGGCTGATGCAGAACCCTCTGGCAAAGCAGTTCAAGTCGGATGGTCCCATGCTTCTGATCGGCGCTGGTGTTGGCATCGCACCTTTTCGTGGCTTCGTCCAACGCCGGCTCAAGACTGCCAACTGTGCCAACAAAGTCTGGGTGCTGCAGGGCATTCGCGATTCCCATGTCGATGAGCTTTACAGTGGCGAGTGGGGCGCACATGAGGGTGAGGTGAAGAGGGTGGTTGAAAGTCGCCGCCAGGGTCGCTATGTTCAGGAGGAGGTCAGAGCACAAGCCGACCTTGTCTGGTATGTCATCAATGCCGTCGATGGCCGTGTGTTCGTCTGCGGCAGCAGCAAGGGTATGGGCGAAGGTGTTGAGAATGCGCTTGTTGAGGTCGCCATGCGCAAGGGTAACCTCCAGAGGGAAGAGGCAGAAGAGTTCTGGAGGCTGAAGAAGGAGGCTGGACAGTATATCGCCGAGACTTGGTGATGCATTGATAATAATTTTGCTCTTTCGTTTCGTCTTCTTACCTCTATTCTTTTTAATCTTTCAGAAACCTTGAACGTACCATGTGTACATAACATTTATTGGCTTGGAGGGGAACTGCGGGATGGGATACGGCGTTTGCGGGTGCGCTGATCATGGCTTATGCTTAGAAGGCGCTGATATCTTTGATACACATGACGGCTCGGGCTCCGTGCTAGAGTGGACATTGTATACACTAGCTACCGAAGAAGACAAGATAAACGGGCAGTAGAAATTTGAGAGTATGCTTTTGCTTGACATGGGCTTCTGGTAGAAGTGAACGACACTAGTCTCAACACGAGACTGCTTACACCGCAAGACCCAAAATGGACAACGTGAGCTTGTTAATGTGGTTTAAGGTTGGTGAGGCATCGGGAGATTCAACATCGTAGTCACGATTCTAGAAATCTCCATAGGATCCTCTTATTAACCCACCAACGGCCAGATACCACTTGCCTGCCTGAGCGACCTCCATTTCAGCCCTCCATGATCCTCGCATTACAAGTCATCCTCAGGCCCTCTGCCAGTCTGGATTGGATTTCTAATCATGGCGTATCTGGAAGTGTCCGCAACCACTCCCTAACAGAACCTTTCTTGCCTTCGCATCGAAAGAAGCAAGTGAGAAAAAGCGTCACCGCGCGCTTGCGGCCTTGCATCGCATCGATGGTGCAATGAGGTGGTTGGCATTCGGTGACCCTCTCGGCGGGGTCATTACTTAATGCCGAGAGGCGGTCCCCAGATCCACATGCCCATATTTCTCCACAACTCTCGCAACGCAACGTTTTGTCAGCATTTTGAAATGCTCGTCAAGCCCCTATCCGCCTGGCCCAATACAAGGCCCTTCCCGATATGGACGGCTAGCCGGTGACGATTGGATGGTACTGCGCCGCCACGCTGCCGCCCCTCATCTGTTTTTTTCTTTTCCCGATTAGTCTTCCGCGCGGTTGAGGTTGGCGGGTAAGTCGCCCAACCGCCCATGGAGAGGCTCCACAGAAGTTTTTTTTGTTGTTGCTTTGTTCTAGGATGAACACTGCGCGCACGCCAACAGCGCTCATGATGGGGCAAATCTTGGGCCCAAAATGGTGGGATCACGGCTGCCAAGTGGATGCGCCCAAGGTCCAACTGTTGATCAATTCTCCCAGTGGGTGGGGTAAAGGGCCGTCTGCTGCGCTAATGTTGAAGAAGAGAAGAGAATGCAGCATCCGTAATCCGAAGAGAAAAAAGAGATAGCCATGGAATCCCCGCGCGCGAGACCTTGATTGGCCCCTGGCAACTGCCGGCTCTTCAAGGGGCCCTTCTTGTCTGATGTAACGTCGAAATCTGATACAGGAGTATATAAACCCGGGGAGCATGCGATGCTTCCCCTTTATAGCCCGGTCCTTCTCCGTTGATGCCAGAGAAGAAAACAAGATACCCTTCATGCAAAGACTTCATCGCTCCATCAGCAGAGCCATCACTAAGTTCCACGGAACAATTTTACTTCGGAGAGTCCAGTCTACCGCCGCTGCTGCTCAGCAAACCATCGCCAACACTTCCACCAATAATACCACTCCCGTCACATCAGTCAAAATGGCCACCTCTCTGAACGCCGATACTTTCCTCGCCCACATCAAGAACCGTCGCTCCTACTATCCCCTGAACAAGGAGCTGCCCATCTCAACGCAGCGCATCCAGGAGATCATCGGCGAGGCGGTCCAGCATGTGCCCTCAAGCTTCAACTCTCAGAGCAACCGCGTCGTGGTGCTCTTCGGAGCCGAGCACGAGAAGTTCTGGGACCTGACCACCGAGGTGCTCAAGGCCATCGTGCCGGCCGAGCAGTGGGAGCCGACCGGCCAGAAGATGGCCATGTTCCGCGGCGCTGCCGGCACCGCGCTCTTCTTTGAGGATCAGGAGGTCGTCGAGGGCCTGCAGGCCAAGTTCGCGCTGTATGCCGACAGGTAGGTTGGCACATTGCGACGACTGGACAATGTTAAGCGAGGATGGTATGGTATGCTAACGACAACCTCTCCAGGTTCCCCATTTGGGCTAGCCACAGTACCGCCATGCTGCAATTCGCCGTCTGGACTGCTCTTGAGGCTGAGGGTCTTGGTGCCAACCTCCAGCACTACAACCCTCTTGTTGACCAAAAAGTCCAGGAGACCTGGAAAGTGCCTGCTAGCTGGAAGCTGAGCGCTCAGCTCGTCTTCGGCGGCAAGGCTGTCCCCGATGCTGGCGAGAAGACCTTCCAGCCGCTTGAGCAGAAGCTCAAGGTCTATGGAGCTTGAGTGTATATAATGTCTTTCCATGAGGTATATTGATGTTTTCTTTTCTGGGTTATTCTTGGCAGGTGGGAGCATGGTTGGCGGAGTTGAGTAGAATCGTTTCGCCTAAACATAAACGAATAGAGCATATCGGTTGACTTTAAATACCTATTAAGCCAATATCAAAGAGTCAATGTGGATGGGAAATTAGTTCTTTGCTCAAACAGTATTATTCTATGCTTCAGATATCGTTTCCACGACCAACAAATTGATTGCCAATATCGCAGACCTCAAACATTTTGTTTAACCCAACAGCTAGAAATTTTGTCTTGCCCCCTTGTATTGGTATGTACACCCAAAGCGTCATCTTATGGACAGTTCCGTTGAGGAGCCCACTTATCCCTGAGCGTCTTCATCCAATTGTTGATTGTTGAATATCACAGATCAACATGTCCCAAGGCCTGACCGACCTTAACCCGCTGCCCCTTCTCTACACTCCACTTCCAGCCGGCAACATGGCGTCCGCTCTCATCATGCTCCGACGCCGGCGCCTCGAATACAAGGACGATGGTGCTGCCCAGCTGAAAGCCACCCATCTCCTCACCACGTCTGAGCGCATAGCCGTGAAGCACGGGGCTGGCAGCCTCATATGTCGCCTCGGCATACCCAAGGTAGGGCTCGCCGCGCTTGGCCGCTTCCTCAGCGTCCCTTGCAGCCTGTGTATCCGCAGTCAGGCTATTGGTGCGAAGCTCCTTGTCAAAGTTAATCTTGATGGAGCCTACATTGGTCGCACCTACGGGTACGTAGCTGAAGAAGCCCCAGCGCCAGCGGCCCAAAAGAACGACACGCTCATTGAGCGTGAACAGGCCGGGCAGCGTGCGCTGAAGATAGGGCGAGACGCTAAACAGCTCGCCAGCAAAATGGCGTCGCCGCTCCACAACCCAGTTTGTCGGGGAGTGGAAACGGTGGTAATCGCCAGGGGCCAAGTAGATTACCGCGTAATACAGTCTATGGTGGCTGCTGTTCGTCAGGTAATCATGCCAGGGCTTTTCGCCCAAGGCAAGCTCGGCGCGCACTTCCGAGACAGAGGCTGGGGAGGGCGTGATTGATTCATCCTTTGGATGCTTGTCCATGCTGTCTCTCCGCTGTTTCTTGTCACCGGATAGCAGACTCGGGAGGGTGTATGAGATGCCATTCATGCGAGCAAACTCCTCGTCTCTCTTGACCAGCTCCTCATCCCCTTCCAACTCATGGACGCTTTCAATGGCAAGCGAATCGAGAGATGTCGAGCTGGAGACGCTGGGTGTCCGGCTGTTTCGTCCCAAGAGGGCGTCGATTGTATAGGTCATTCCCTTGACCTGTTCAATATCGCCGCCTTCGATCTGCCCAAATTGGAGAATCCGGCCATCTGAGGGAGAGAGAAGCGCATTGGGATTCGGGTCTAGAGGACGGGCGCCGGGTTTAAGCTGACGGTAAAAGAAGGCAGCTAAGTTGGGGTATTTGCGGAGATCGGGTTCCGCAATCTCGTCCAGGTTGACTCCAAAGATCCACGAATAGAGCCGGAACCCTGGGGCCCGCAGGAAGGTAGGAAGAGTAAGTTCGTTGAATCTGCCCCAGAGCCTCGACATTGCCTTTAGTGGCAGTGTTGACATGATCTGGACCTGCCTGGACAAGAGAACGTTAGCAGCACATCCAGACGCTGCCTACGGCAAGACAGTAAGCCAACACGTACCACGGCCCATCGGGCCGAACCCGCCTCCTCTTTGGGCGGGCATTCTCGACTTTTTGTTCCTGCTCTCGGCTGTAAACCTTGTAGACTTGAACTAGACCCAAAAACCCAACGCCGAGACCGACGGGGATCGGGTACCACCGAATCCTTGAGCCGTTCACCTTGGAAGAGGCCTCCGGGCCGTGCGAATGCTCCTTGGAATAAGAACGTCGGCCGAGAAGACGCGGCCGCAGGTAGACTCGACGGGAATAAAAACTCGAATGGAAATGGCGGTGGTGACTGGACGATGTCAAGAGAGCCGGGGAAGTCGTGCGTCGAGGAAATGCCGTGCGAGCTAACCCGACAGCTGTCGAGACTGGGCCAATCTGGAAAGATGCCATCGCGAACGGTTTTAATATATGTCTGGCCTTGGAGCTTTGCATCACGTTGACGGGGAATGGGCGTGGAAATGAGAGGGAAACTCAGGAGAGGGTGCTCCTCGAGGAACGAACCTGCATCATCGGCCCGTCTGCAAAACAGCAGAGTGAGATGGCCGGGCGCCAATCAAGGCCGTACGTTACAATAAGATGGATGTTGGTCGTCGGATGTCCAGTGGATGGTCACTGCTCCAGCGTGTATCCGTCCGTAACCTGGAAAAGCTCAGACTGTCACCGTCATGACGCAAGCCGTAGTTCTGTGTTTGCATGTGCTTCGGACGAGCGTTGATTCCAGCGATCTGGAAGCCCAAGAACCGCTAGGGGCGCCCAAGCGTCGAAGCGACTGGGACCCGGCGCCTTTAGTAGGGCCAGCCCGGACCAGGTAGGGAGAGGTTGTGGGTACTTGCAGGACAAAGAGCGTGGTGTTGTATGGCCTACATTAAATGCATGCCATGGTGCACACAAATCCCCTTATTTGCAGACTTTTTTGTCTTGAACTGGTGGGGTGAGGTAGCTGTACCCCACTTTTACATTTGTGCGCCATCATTACCCTTAATACGGTAATGAACGGGCTGCGTTATACACTGGCCTTGGCGGCCTTGTGCAGGTTGCGGGCCACGGACAGTGGATCCCACAAGCCTCGTGCCTTCGAATGGCAACGTGGAATTTGGAAGCCGCAGCATCATGCTTCTTGCATCTCGCCTGGTACTGGGAAACAAAACCAACATCGCCAGCCCTGTCGGTCTCTCCTCGACGCACCAAAGTCCTCATCAGAGCTTATGGGACTAAAGTCATTTGCGCAGTCTGACTTAATCACAATTCAAATTTGAAGCTTCATGGTCGCAAGGGCATAATAGCCCCTCTGCCCTGGTTTTGAGCCGTTCCCATTTGTCTCTTTGCCTAGCATGCCGTCTTGATCACGCACCCACGGATTGACAGCGCGATTTGATCTTCCCTCCATAAATCCCCTTCACATCGCCTGGGGGTTTTCCTTCCCTCTCTTTACCCACAGTAGCTTGCGCAGATCGGCTGATCCCTTGTTCGTGACTCTCCTTATAGAGCCGACATTCTATCGCCTTCTGATACTTTCCTTCCCTTGCGCAAACCAGTCAGCTAGGAGCTATGGCGGACGAACAGCCGAGGACATCCAACCCAGCCCCTGTTTCCCAGGAAGATGGTCCTTTGCTGGTAAACCTCCACATACTGTCGCCTACAGACGGGGTGGGAAACCTGCGGTTTCCGGGTCTGCCAGCTGCGACGACCATCCGTGAACTGAAGGCAAAGATTAGAGAGACTCTTGAAGCGCGACCAGCAGATGAAGACCAAAGGTTGATCCATCGGGGTCGCGTGCTCGCGCGCGACACAGACACACTGAAAGATGTATTCGGTGAGCAAGAGGTATGTTGCTATGGCTACAAGTCAACAAGTAGTCAGCGAGACTCGGACTGACTGAGGGAGGGCAGATTCGGACAAGCGATCAACAGACGATCCACTTGGTAGTGAGGAATCCGGAGCACCAGCCATCTCGATCAAGCACCACGAGTTCGACCCCTGGCCAAGGCACCTCAACACAGACGCAAGCTCCTGGTCCTGACTCTGCTCTGCCGCGTCTTGATGCTCAGCCCCAGCGCCCGTTCCAGTTCCAGCAAGCCCATATCATCCGTCAGGTGGGCCCAACCTTTGCTGTTGGCGCTGTCGTTCGACCAGGTTCGGCGCCGATCACGCTACCACACGTCACAGGCCAAAACCAACACCAGGAGTTCCTTCAGCGACTAAATCAGCTTCATCAACGGGGAGAAGCATTGCGGGAGGCAAACTTGCGCCAGCTTCTTGCTCAGCAGCGTGGTACTTTGGGTTCCCATGGCACAGTTGAGTCTGCGAACAGCCAAGGAAGCTCAGGAAACTTAGGCAATTCAGAGGTGGGGAGAAGTAGCAGTCCGACCCGACAAACATCACAGACAATTACCCGCGAGGGCACCACGCAAGATGGACAGCATTTTAGCTTCAGAATCACTTTCAACGAAGTCGTCACCCATGCCGGTACGACTTCACGCACTCCTACTGGGACAGCGTCATCTGGTGATGCAGCTGGCCCACGGCCTCTCTCCGCCGCTGAGGTCCAGAACATCATCCAAGCTGCTGATGCTGCTAGAACTGCTCAAGTTATGGCTAATGCCATTCAACGAAGCACATCAGAACCCCCGCCAGCGAATGTGGTCGAGAATCTTGCTAATCACGGCTTCGGTAACCCCATCCAACCAATCCAGCCAGGGGTAACGACCCCTATCATTCCTGCCCTATCACGAAATACTAGTCACACTGTGACCCCTGATCCATCAGCAAGATCACCGAGTCAGAGAAATAACGCTGTGTTCAGCAGCCAATATGCGGAGCCTAGCAATCAGCAAAACGAACAATCCACCTCGCAGTCCGCTACGGCAAACCAAACTACCGGCTTGTCCAGCAGTCAGCAGGCATCTTCAGAACAGCGACAATCACCCCAGACCTATCCAGAGGTTTATCTTCTCTCGTCCCCCACCGGCCCTCGGGCGGTGTTGATTAACAACGGCCCGTCTGACATGTACATCACATCACCGCCGCGAGTTTCACAATATACCCCCAGTTACTACTACAGGGCACCAGCATTTCCCTATATTGTACCAGCGCAAACAGCAACACCTCAAATTCAAGTTCAACCAGGGCAAGCACGCGTGACTATAGCCGTGCCGGGCCAGGCAGAAGTGCGTATAGATACACCTGCTTTGGCTCAGCAACCGCAGCCAATGGCGGCTCAAGTATTTGCACCGCGCAATGATGAGCAAGAAGGCCTACGTCGACGACCAGTTGCCGCCCAACCTGTGGCTGCTGAACTGCCACATCCTGTCCCCCAGCTCCGTAATCCCCATGGAAATCCCGGGGCTGTTGCCGTCGCCGTTGCACTGTGGCCACATATCTGGTTGGTGATCCGACTGCTCGCTTTTGCATGGTGGTTCTCGTACAGTAATCCGTCCTGGGAGCGTTGGCTGTCACTTGCCATCGCTGCCCTGGTCGTGTTTGCTATTAACACGGGTATTTTGAATGGCATCATCAACACTGCCTTCCATCCAGTTAGGGAACAGCTGGAAGGCCTTATCCCGTTCGCAGATCCCAATCGGCAACCAGAGCAAGGCCAGAACCAGAACGGCCAAAATGGAGCGGACCCTGATCCTGCCCAGATGGCTGCAAGGCTCGTTGCTGAAAGGAGAGCTGCCAACCGCAACTGGCTAATGCATCAGTGGAGACGGATTGAGCGCGCCGGAATCCTCTTTCTGGCTAGCTTTGCCCCGGGTGTGACCGAAAGGCATATTCAACTGCTTGAGCAGCGTGAGAGGGCTGAGCGGAGGGCCGCTGAGGAGACAAGGGCAGCTGCTGAACGGGCTGCTCGGGAGAACCGTGAGACACAGCAACAAGGACAGGATCAAGCGCCGTCCAGTCAGACAGGGAACGAGCAGACCACTTCAGGGGCTAGTGCACAGCAACCGGCACCACAGCAACAACCTCTTGCTCAAGCGCAGCCGCAACTAGTTGAGACGTAGAGTCAGCGACCGATCATGGGATGGGGTTGTGTGGCCTCGGTGGTCAAGGTGTGGTGGGTTTATAAGAATCTTGGCGTAGGGGGTTTCCTTCCAAAAAAAACCATTTTACATGGCATTTGCAAGCGGCTCTTTGTGCAAGTGTGTCTCTATAAAGATGTATGTGTTTTCATGACTTGTGTCCATGTTATGAATCTAGTTATGCTGTCAGGGTAGGGACAGAGCAAAAGGAGATGTAACAACGCAAAGTCTAGATATAAATACCGCTCTTTTAAGTCTATGAATACCGTGTAGTGCTGTCAGTTTATAGTACATGAACCTGTCACTTATATGTACAAGCCTGATCGCATCCACAGCAACCCCCTGACTGCGATCCAATGCTCCGGCAAGAATACCATAGCAAGCGGATTTAAGTCAAGGGCGGTCTGGGCTGCCCGAATGCCTCGGAGGATTGACAGGTAGTTCCGTTAGTGGCTGCCGACAGCCGAAGTGGGACAGCGGTGACGACAAATCTGGGGAATGGCAACCGAGGCTCTGGGATTCCCCGCAGATCCCATCCAGCTGGAGCAACCGAGCCAACGTATTATTGATATAAATGGCGGGGACTAATTGAATTCAACGTCTTCACTTTCAAAACTCTCTTCTTTAATTTTGTGCCGTTGGATTACACAGTTGTCTTGAGATTTCCTCTTTGAGTTTATCAAGGTTGAGCCCGGACTGAACACTTCGTACCAAATTCCTAAACCATTGCTTACCTATCAAGTTCATCCCCCCCATAATTAGAGTCAATAACTCTCAAGATGGCCGAAGCTCAGCTCCATGACTTCCCTTCCCTCTTCTCCCTCGAGGGCAAGGTTGCTGTTGTGACGGGTGGCTCGCGTGGTCTCGGTCTCAGCGCTGCCTCGGCGTAAGTTCACCCCGACTCCACCCTATCTCGAAAGGGGCCCGGGGCCATAACCATCAAATTCCACAACGCTAACAGCTACAAACTAGTTTTCTCCAAGCCGGCTGTTCTAAGGTCTTCATCTCCTCCCGAAAGGCAGCCGCCTGCGACAATGCAGTAAAGGTCCTCAACGCTCTTCCCAACCTTAGGCCAGGCGCCGTGGCCATCTCCGTTCCCGCGGACGGTAGCACGCTCGAGGGCGTCAAGCACCTGCTGGCGCAGGTATCGGCGCACACCGACCATGTTGACATCCTGATGGCCAACGCGGGCGCGACATGGGGTGAGAAGTTTGACACCCATCCGGACTCAGCCTTCGCTAAGGTCATGGACCTCAACGTGCGCGGCGTCTTCAACCTCGTGCGGGAGTTTGCCCCGCTGCTGACCAAGCGCGCCAGCGTTGAGGATCCTAGCCGCGTCATCATCACGGCCAGCGTAGCCGGTCTTGGCGTTGGCAGCCTGGGCAAGCAGGGTACCTACGGCTACAGTGCCAGCAAGGCGGCTGTGATTCATCTCGGCCGGAACCTCGCCGTCGAGCTTGGCCCCAGGGGTATCACAGTCAACAGCATTTGCCCTGGTTTTTTCCCCAGCAAGATGAGCAATGGCCTGCTGGAGATGGCAGGCGGTGTGCAGAAGATGGCTGAGGCGAACCCCATGAGGAGGCTAGGCAGGTCTGAGGATATTGCTGGCGCAGTGGTCTACCTTGCCAGCAGGGCAGGCTCGCACGTCAACGGGGCGGCAATTGAGATTGATGGCGGTGCGCTGTGGTCGCATGGCCAGCTGCTGAAGCTATAAATGGGGGAGAAGAGAGAGGGGATGAGGGGCTAATGGGATACGAAGTGTTCAAAGGCAAGGTACCGGATGTAATCAGATCTCTATGCATGCATTACTACTACAACGGGTACGGAGTACAATTCCTAGGTTGTTTTTTATCCTTGTTGTGTATCGAAAAGCAAGGCGAAATAGTATCTAGTGCCCTAATTCTCCTTCAAAGGCTTGCGAGCAATCCAGAAGCTCGCCCGATAGGAGGTCTGCAACATCGACTGTGTGTCCATGATATACGGCGTCTCAAGCCCCGTCTGACGGTGCTCGACCTTGAATCCTATTTGTTCCACCAGCATCATTACCTCATCGTCTGTCAGCTCGAAGTTACCTGGGTCAGCAATTCCCGAGGTGTCAGTGTTGCGCTCGTCGCTGTCATCACCTTCATCCCTGTCCCACACTCGGCCCTCAAAGTGCCACAGTAGCGGCCCTATGTTGATAAGAATACCGTTGGGCTTCAAGCAATGATAAATAGTTTCCAGATACCGGATCAGATTGGGCGCTGTGTCCAGGAAGAACACAGAGGCAACGACATCATACATATTCCCCCTGTCTTCCTGTGCGTACAAACACAGGAAATCAGCAGCACTCATGCTCATGGTACCGACACGCCTAGTTTTCTCGGCCTCAGCGAGTGCCGTTGCTGGATGGATGTCCGGAATGGAGTAACCTCTCAAATGATTGGCGCGGCTGCGATGGTTGGAGAACGTATGAATCCAGGGATAAATAGTGTGCATCCCGGCACGCTCGCATGTGTTGAGGATGTAGGATGATGCAAGCAACTGGTGATATGAGATCTCATTACCCTCGGTGTCGAAACCGTTTAAGCACAACTCGAAGACAAAACGTCCCAAGCCAGCACCAGGAACAAGGACCTTGAGTGGGGGGTACTCCGGACCCCGGGCTTCCTGCTCAGCAGTGATAGCCCGCAAGACTGGCCCAAAGCAGGCTTCGCGCTCTTGGGCACCCTCAGCGGACCAGTCTCTGTAAAACTGACGGATCGTACTCCTGGCTTTGTCAATGTCGTTGTGCCTGGCAGAGCCTTCCCACTGACGGGGAAGCCTAAGGGGTCCAGTGGGGTCGTTATCTGGGCGGACGCCGATACGGAACATGTCGAGGCCGGTCTGCACAATGATACGAGCCAGTTCAGCGTTGCTGTCGATGGCCTCATCTACCTTGTCTAAGGTGTCCAAGTAGTTAAATGGAGGCGCAGCAAGCCTCTTCCAGTGAGCTTGCGGCAGGGCATAGAACGCCTGCCTGCGTATGTGAGTGCACTGGAAGTGAGCGACCTTGGCGTATTGTCTAACTCTGTGGTCAGCTCCAGGACAATAACCGCTTTTCACGATGGCAAGATGCTGAGAAAACTTACTGGTAGGAGTCAAGGGTACGAAAGATCACTCCGAGCTCCTCGGGATCCTCAACGGTCGTCTCGACACCACTCCACGGGGTTTCATTCTCCATTTCGGCAAGGTACGAGACTCCTGATGACGCCGGCAGCAGTGCTGAGTCCTTGAAAGAGCCGGTTTTGAGCCAAAAACTGGAGTTTGTTCGATTCGGACGGAAAAGGAAGTTTTGCAAGCAGTGTCCTCAGGGGCAGACTCGAACGGGAGCCAGTACCAGAGTACCTCTTTTTTTTGGATCGAGGATATTGGGAGCCTTGAGACAATCGAGAAAAGCCGTCCCTTGCAACACGAAAAACGTAGCTGCAGCAGAAAGAGACAATACTGCGATCTCTCTCTAGAAAGTCATGGACGGATTTGGCCGATTCCAACTTGATGATTGATCTCAAGGAGCTAGACACCACCTTGATCCTCAAAATCCTTGTCAGCCATCCACTGAAGACTGAAGTGGGCCTCTCCGGTGGCCGGGCAGTGCAGCAACCCGAGCTTTACTCAACTGTTTGTACAGGATGTACCTTGACCATTTGTTGGTGGATTGCAAACACAAAAATCTGGGACTAATGGTGTTATTTCGAGTTGAATCCAGCAGTTGTGGACAAGCGAACAACCTCCCAGAACCATTCCAAAGCTGTTGTCGACATACCTACCTAGCTAGGCAGCTGATAAGCTTTTTGATCCATGAGTGAGTGGTTTCAGGACATAATAAGTGCCCTGGAAGCGCATCACAAGTGGAGACGAAGATGATAGGTAGAGGTACCTACTCTAACGAATAAGGCATGGTTACTCTAGTTACTGAGACTGAAAACTTGTGTGTCGTTCAAATGATTCTCGGATAAATCTTGGATTGATATACAAGAGCGTAAAGGTTTTTACTCAGTATAAGTGCCTTTACTGATATATTTTCCCTGATCCTACGTGATTTTCCCCTTCGTATGTGTCATTTGAAGCAGGCAAGCTAAGAGTTTGTGCACTTCCAAACTGGGTGACCATGTATCCGTACCTGATTGGCTGTCTGCAATCAAGTGACCACCGAGCAGGTACTGTGTACGCTACTCCTCCCAAGTCTCAACTTCCGGAATCCTCCTCGCAGCTTCGCACCTTGCACGTTGTCCTTGCAACAGCCAACGCGGATACCTTAACAAGGTTTCGATTCGTGTTAGGCAAGATGCATGAGCCGATTCAACTTTCCTTTCCACTCCCACGCTCACTAGACACTCGCATTTATTTGCACTTGAGCATCAAATCCAAGGCAATTGTGTTGCATTTGACGACGGCAGCGCTCGAAGATGCAGGTGCATCAACTCCATTAGGCTCATTTGTTTACGCCTTGCCTGACGTATGTGTCTCTCTTTGGGACGACCCTTTCGTCGTTTTCACCCGTCTCTTACATCTAATTACTCACATGGCCATAGAGATATAACCCAAGTCAACCTTTGTCCACTCCATTATGTACCGTGGAGCCTACATTGGAGTTCACTACTCGCCTGGCAAAACTTCTTGCGAGGAAGACACAGCTCCCGGTCTATGTGGGCAATTCCATCAGCTTTGCCAGCACTGCCCTTGGGGGCTCTGTCGAAGAGGAGCTTGATGCCTTCAAGAAAGTTGTTGACGTTGTTCTGTCCAAACTGCAGTCTGTTCTCGCATCCGTCCAAGGTCTTTCTAATGGAGTTAGGTCGGAGTAGCTTCCTCTAGGGATCAGGGTTAGGGGATTCAGCAAGAACGAGCCTCCTCGCACCAGAGTACCCTTGGTATTGGTTATGGCATCAACCTTCTACATGACTTATTCAGAGGCACCACCGCATCTTTCTAGCTTCCAGGCATTTAGTCCAGCTTCATGTGCACTTCTCAGGAGGGTAAACACGGAGTTCGGAATGGCTTGTCAGCAGTTCGATCTAGCGACTGACCCGAAATACGGGAGCTTGGTTCTTGAATGTTGAACCGCAAAGTGGAAAGCGATGTGGACAGCGTTGTTCTGAAGCAACTGCATCAAACTTCGAGACTTCTATCTCGCGGCGCGCAATCTTAGTACATGACTTTGCCCAAAAAGAGGCTACCATTGGCCACAACTTGCTGACTATCACAGTCCGCACTTAAAATAATGGTTGCTGGGCAGACACAATGTCAATAGGAGCAAGCTCTTGTGTCTTGGCTCCGAGCTTGATGCTCAAACGTTCGCATCCTTTGGTGGGGTCAAAGTTAGAGAGACATGGTCTGTGTTATGTCATCCAGGTTATTGTGTGGCAAGACGGGTCGGCGCATTGCAACACAACACAGTGTAGGGCGTTCGACGACCAGTGAGTAACCATTGACGAACATCTTCTCGGCTTGGCTAGAAGAGCAAAAGCATCCCAAAAGCGATCTGACAACCGCCGGGCTGGAGCATTGTTATCTGCGGTGAGTTGGCTGCGAGCTGCTCTTGCTGTCCGGGAGAGGGGCTGTGGTTGGCTGGCTGCTTTTCCTCCCTCATCAGTTGCCCCGCCACATGCCGGCCCCACCTTCTTCTCTGCGTGGCAACCCTGGTCAGGGTCTTGTGGAGGGACGCAAAGATTGTAGGGAGAAAGCAGAAACGGGACAGCCACCTGGAGGTTCAAGTGCTGGATTTTGAAGCACCCCACTTTACAGGTTCAGTTAGCCTTGACTTTGTGGGCTGGCCGAGGCGACAGCCCAACCACTAGGTTTTCTTACACAAAAATTCGAAAGGCGCTCGACAAACGGACGTAGGGCTTAACTCTTCAATCTAAAGGTACGGCGTATGTATATGGAATGCCGGGTTTTGGAACTCCCAGGGAATTCTGCGCAACGGGCGGCAGCGTCTCGCCTTGTCGGGCAGACCTGGGCGTTTTGTGCCCCTGTTTGCCATTAGCATCCACTGCGTTTTACTTTGCTGACAGCCCACTTCAGCAAAGGAAAGGACCGGCGGGGGACGAAAGACTGCTTGCCCAGCAGGTCAACTAATAGCTGTTGAGTCCACCCCACTTTGCGCGGCAGCATCACCACCACGAACGGTCGACCATCCACCGAAAAACTAAACCACCGAAGACCCAGACCTACCCACTGTCCCGTTTACTACCAACGGTTTCCAACGCAAGCCTCTTACTTTATCCCTTCATTTTTCCCTTGCCCTTTCTTGTCACCGGGCTTGCGCAAGCAGACTGGTCGCCAACATCACGGATTTCTGCCAGGCTTTCAGCACGCGCCTGTCGCCGCCACCAACCCCACCAGTCTCGGTCTGCAAACTTGCGCGCCCTCCTCAACACACTCCGACCCCGCCAACATATTCTAAAGTTCCGTTCAACCACCTCTGCCATGGATTGGCAGCCTAACCCGGAGTCCCTCGGGACCCTCGCGGCCTGCTTGAAGGACTCGCTGAGCGGGTTCAACAAGGCCGTGCAGAAACAGGCTGAACTTGTGAGTTGGTGCTTCGAAGAAACCATTGGTGATGATTGATCATATGGCACCTAGGTGTGAAGCAAAACAACTGACAAACATGTCGCACGTAGATGCTGTCACAAGCAAAGGCTAATCCCGATATCAACAACTACCTGGCATTCATCTTCTCTAGTACCGAGTCCCCTCCGGTGCTGGCGCTGTCTCCCAATGACTGGCATCTTGTCCGGTCAGCTGCAGCCATCATGCTCAAGAACAACATCAAGTCGAATTACAAGCAGATCCCCGAGACTAGCATAGCTCTGATCAAACTTGCTGTTCCTATTGGAATCCAGGACAAGAACTCACAGATCCGCAACTATGCGGGCAACATTGCGACGGAGATGATTCGCCGTGGTGGCCTCTACAGCTGGCCCGAGTTGCTGGAAGAGTTGTTGCGGCTGTTGAGCAATGAGACGGGTCAAGTTCCCCCGGAGGCTCAGGAGGGTGCCATGGCTGCGATGGCTAAGATTTGCGAGGACAACACCAAACTACTGGAAAGGGAACACGCTGGTCAACGGCCGTTGAACGTCCTTCTCCCCAGACTAATCCAGGCGACCAAAAATCCTCTGCCCAAGGTTCGTGCCTTGGCCCTGGAGGCCATCAACGTGTTTACACCCCGGAAATCACAGGCCATGCTTCACAACATCGACGACCTCCTGCAGCACCTCTTCTTCCTAGCTCAGGACCCTGTGGCCGATGTTCGTCGCCAGGTTTGCCGCGCCTTCGTCCACCTTGTTGACACACGGCCAGATAAACTCCTGCCCCACCTCAGCGGACTGGTTGATTACATCATTTCACAGCAAAAGAGTGACGACGAGGATCTTGCTTGTGAGGCTGCTGAGTTTTGGCTTTCAGTTGGTGAGCATGATAATCTGTGGCGAAGCCTGGAGCCTTACATCCAAAAAATCATTCCGGTGCTGTTAGACTGCATGGTATACAGCCCCGAAGACATCGCCATTCTTGGGGGCGCCTCTGATGATGAGGACGAGGAGGACAGGGAAGAGGACATCAGGCCACAGTTCGCCAAGAAGAGCTTGAAGCGTGGTGGTGCTGGAGACGCCAATGGCGATAGTGCCAACGCTTATGAGAAGTTAACGAGCATGGATAACGATCTGGAAGAGGGAGAGATCGATGAGCTAGACGAGGAGGGTGATGAAAATCCAGACGAGAAGTGGACGCTACGGAAATGCTCAGCTGCGGCACTGGACGTTTTCGCTACCGACTTTGGCGGCCCTGTCTTCACTTGCATTTTGCCGTATCTCCAGAAGAACTTGAAGCATGAAGATTGGCCTTATAGGGAAGCCGCCGTTTTGGCTCTTGGAGCAGTTGCTGAGGGCTGCATGGACGTGGTTACTCCACATCTCCCAGAGCTTATTCCCTACCTGATTAGCCTCCTTGAAGACCCAGAGCCTGTTGTCCGGCAGATCACTTGCTGGACACTTGGTCGATATTCTTCCTGGGCAGCTAATCTTCGCGATCCCGCCCAGCAACAGACTTACTTCGTCCCACTCTTGGATGGCATCCTCAGAAAGATGGTTGACAAGAACAAGAAGGTTCAGGAAGCTGGTGCGTCGGCCATGGCAAACCTGGAGGAGAAGGCTGGCAAGCACCTCGAGCCCTTCTGCGGGCCTATCATCCAACAATACGTCCTGTGCTTCAGCAAATACAAGGACAAGAATAGGTGGATTCTTTACGACTGTGTGCAGACACTAGCTGAGCACGTCGGCCCTGTGCTAGCGCGCCCAGAGCTGCGAAACCAGCTAATGCCTGCCCTTATTGACCGGTGGCAAAAGGTTTCAGATCAGTCGAGAGAGATGTTCCCGCTGTTGGAATGTCTCTCTTTTGTTGCTATTGCTTTGGGTGATGCCTTCACCCCCTATGCTGAGCCAATCTTTGCACGCTGTGTCAACATCATTCACCAAAATTTGGAGCAGGCAATGGCTGCTACCAACAATCCCGACCTAGATCCGCCCGAGAAGGACTTTTTGGTGACCAGTCTTGATCTGTTGAGCTCCATTATTCAGGCTCTTGACAACGCAAAGGCTGTCAGGCTAGTTCAGTCAAGCCAGCTTCCGTTCTTTGAGCTCTTGAGCTTCTGCATGGAAGATCCGGCTGACGAAGTCCAACAATCTGCCTATGCTCTCTTAGGTGACTGCGCAAAATTCGTCTTTGAGCAGCTACAGCCATACCTTCCCTCCATCCTGCCAATTCTCCTGAAGAGGCTGGATCTAGACAACATCCTTGATGAGGAGGTCGATGGTCACTTCAGTGTCGTTAACAACGCTTGCTGGAGTGCTGGGGAAATTGCGCTGCAGTACAAGAAAGAAATGGCTCCCTATGCGATGGAGCTGCTTCAGCGCTGCGTTGAGATTATTTCTAACCCGGTCGTTCCACTGGGCGTTCTTGAGAATGCCGCCATCTTGATTGGCAGACTAGGGATTGACAACTATGAAATCCTTGCTCCACATTTGTCCAAGTTTGCAGAGGACTTCCTGAGAGTCATGGAGGACACCGACCCTTCAGAGGAGAAGGCAACGGCCTTCAAGGGATTTAGCATTGTCGTGGCCGCTAATCCCCAAGCAATGGAAAAGGATCTCTTGCGTTTTTTCACCTCAATCGCGAGGTACCACGATCTGAAGCTACAGAATCCCATCAAGCATGAGTTGCATGAAGCATTCCAGAATGTAAGTTGCCATTGCTTGGGTTGACTACCTGTTACCACTGAATCTCTCACTAATCACACAAACCATCCACAGGTCCTCAACATTTACCGGCAGTTAATCCCCCAGTTCAACCAATTCCTTGCTCAGCTCCAGCCCCAAGATCAGCAGGCTCTCAAAGCTACCTATGCTCTTTAATGAGTGGAGTAAGGCTCCTTTCGCTCGCCAGTTTCACAGTGGTTTTAATGGAGGAAGGAGAAGGAAACAATGAAAAGGACTGGTTCCCACTGCATGATTCTACTGGCCTTTTCCTTCAGAAGAAACCTGCGGGGTGACTCATGTTCTCTTCACTTGCTTGCCTGCATTTACTTCGGTTCTCTGCCGGATAGCCTGAGCAAGTTCGAGCAAATGCTCGTCAATCATACAAATATCTTCCTTGACATTTCCTTGTCTTATAATGATAAGTTCCGGTTTGCTCGCTGCAGAACCAGATCACTCAGGGAGGTTTCTATGCCGTAGATAGGTTTTGTTGTTTTTTGTGTTTCTTAGCTGGGATCAGGAAAGAAAAAGAAAACCGAATATACCCCCATGGCATCAATCGGTCTTTGCTTTCAAGATACACCGTCATTGTGACCTGAAGCGAAGAGGGGTAATGCCGGAGGATGTTCAGTGGCATGACTTGCCTTTCTTTTCTCTCGATCAGTCTCTGCCTTTTTCTGATACCCCTGGAAGAGTCATCCTTTTAAAACTGCGGAATAACTCGAAGGTATTGCTCTTGAAAATTGAAGGGATGATTTTTGCACCCTCACTAGGCACCTGCCCGGAAATGTGCTGCTGTTGTTTCGGACCGAAAGGTGATAGGTGCTGCAAAGGACTAAATTTTATTAACCAATCTCTTTTGAAACAACCATCGGAGAGGGACTTGGGATACAGATCTGTCTCTTTTTGTCTCGATTTCGAGCGTTGAATGAGATCTTTTATTGGTTCGTGTCTGAAAGACATCAAGCAAAAAAACAAGGCACCCGTTTTTCCCCGTTAGGGGGAGGGAAAGTAGAGGAATACCAGAGAAAGAATATAATGGATGACGATCTCATGAGAATTGTCGAATCGATGCTAGAGATTTTCGCATTGGGCATAAGGGTACCGGATTTCTGGGAGTCGGGTCCGAAATGACTAGTCGGGCGCCTATCACCTGGCGATTGAGCAGGAAGATCGACAATGGCTGTAGGACAACACCTTGGAAGAAGCAAAGTAATTACCGGTCACCCAGATACATGTGAGGAAATATGGAAGCAAGATTTTAATGGGTCGCTTTTATCATAGCCTCAGGAGCCTGATCAGTCCAGACGATATTAGCCAACATAGCCAAAGAGAAACCAGTTTGGTCCTAGGCAACAGTCCCAGCCTGTCGACCCTGAATCTTCAGGGAGTATTATATTGAATTCGTGCACACTTCAGCACTTCTAGGGACCTGATCATGTATAACTGATAGTCTCAAGTGTCTGTCTGGGAACTCAAGCCGAATGGTGATGGGATCTGATAACTGATAAGATGGGTTTTCTGGCGATATAAGTTCTCTCTTATCATCCTTACACGCATCCTGTCTCCACAACACCGCGTTCACATGTGTACGGTAACTGTAAATGGTTACCTAGTTTTCTATCTGGCGATCTCCGAGGAGTTAAGCTGCACCATTGATTTTATTCGTAAGTATGACAATAATTTCTACCATTTCCAGAACAAGGAATACAGAAACCAATGAGATCACGATGCTCGCACATTCCGATATGTGTCCGTCAAGTTATCCAGATCACCACTTATCTATAGACCAGCCGACAGTGGTGTGGTGGAGTGTTATGACCTGGTTGTCTTGACCTCGGTTACTTCCGGGAGTGGCTATGCTTCTCGATCCTGAGAAGAGTCTACACCTGCGGCGTATGCAAAAGCATCTTTCCTCGGAATGTGACAACTTGTGGCCTTTTCTCCGAATGGATCAGGGACGTCGGACGTTTAGGTGTTAAGATTCTTAGTGGATACTATGACCAAGCTGGAAACTTGGCCGCAATGTATGTCCGAAGGAGTCTCCACACCATGTCATGTACAAGACATTGTTATCGTGGCTAAAACTTGCTTTTACAAAAGCTTATGGATAAGGCAATCAATGCTCTTGGGAGAGTTATTTTTCACGAAAGGGAAGGTATCGCCTTATGGTAAGCTTTCACTCGTTTTTGCTGACCTGCATCTCCCATTCCCCACTAGCCACCCCGAGCAGCTTGTGTATACCGTCTTCGAAACAGCTTAGGTGTATTTAGCTAGAGCATCATGATGATGTGCTCCTTGCTTGAATATAGCGCTTGAAGAGGATTACTTGGCTGGTTTCGACCATTTTGACACCTTTCACAATGAGAGCGAAGTTCCAGTATGGAACATAAAAGTTGCACTCATGGTATGCTCATTGAGGATGCCTGCTTCTTGTTGGAGCCACGCAGGCAGCTCGGAGCAGCCAGTGTGCCAGGTGCTCTCGATATGCTTGCAGGGAGATTCGTAGCTTTCTGACCTGACCTTCCGACTCACGCCAGATGTGTCGTTGTGTTGTAAATGCCTGATTGGAGAGGACTCAGGCTGCCCCTCTAGAAGAGCTGGTTTTATGTAATTTGATGCTTCCTTGGCCTCTGATTTCATAAGTAAATGGCACAGGCGCCATGTAATTAGCCATTCAGATCTCCTGATCTCATTCCCGGAGATGGTTGTGTACATATAGCACGCCCGTGGCGTCGTGTTACTGGGAAGCTCTCACTCCCGGGTACCGTTAAAAACAATGAAGCACTTAGTCAAGAATTTCCGTAGCAGCTCTGATGCCACTTCAGCCCGTTTGAGGTTTTACAAGCCAAGGAAAAACAAGCCAGTAGATGTAAGAAGGCCGAGAGTTGCCCGGAGCCTAGCATTAATCCCAGCTAGCATTAATCCCAGCAATCCCTCAGTCCCTAACAAGGTTTCAAACAGGGTATAAATCATCGTCCTAACCGACTCCAAGTTACCAGGAGACTCATATATCGCTCTGCTAGTAATGTGTATCTTCGGCATCGTTTCATTGGGGAATATATGAGCCCAGATCCGACTACTGACACTGAGTTATTACCCTAGCCGTAGACGAGTTGAAGGGGCAGTAAGGAGGGAAGGCAAACGAGGGCAAGTCTGACAGCGATGATTTAAGATCTCTCTCTACTAGTAGTGTTAAGCGCTCAAATAATATTTCTGGAAAACTGCGATTTTTTGTAGAGGTAATGCCATGCTTCAAACGTGCTACCTCGTGTAGACTTAGATGAGGAGCTTTCCTTTCATTCTCCGTCTCATTTGCGTTCTGCCACAGACTCCCTGTCCAAGAAGCGTGTCAGAGACTAGGCATAAGCAAAGGAAACATGGAATGCCTGCGCTGGGGCAGGCTGGTCAGTGGAAAACGAGAAAATACCAACTCGGGGCTTGGATACATTCAACATGGTCCTTTATTGGTGCTTTTTGGGGCTCATTGGAAGGATAACATTGACTGACAGGATATACAACGGCTTCTAAGGCCACTTTGACGGTGGCAGTGCAGCCGTGTTCAAGTATTAATGCTCAACAGCACTTATTGAACGGCACCAGCGCTCTTCCGTTTGTTTCGAAAGGGCATGGCATATTTACCAGGGCCTCCATGATGCCTGCGACATCATGTAACCTATGGATATGATTCAATCATGCGCAGCCGGATGTTTTTGTTGGGTATTCTACTAAAGCTGAAACTGCCCGAGCTATAATGTGAGTGTCAGAGGATGGGTTCATTGGGCCCAGCGTCCCTGGGCAAGATGGATGGCTGGGCGTACGAGGAAGTCGTGGCTGTTCTCTGTCCATTGCACACAGACACGCACAGTGGCGGACATACTTACCTGGCTATGGAAAGGGAGAGGATCATTGCCAGTTGTGTAACGGTCAAGGGATAGCTCACGTTTGGCCTGCGTCTCCCCTGCAGTTCAATTACACCTATAACCGAAGCAGCAGGAACACACGCAGATGAACTGGTCATAGAAGTACCTATGCACGCTTCTCATTGATGAAGGCAACTTGGAGATCAAAAACCATCGGAAACACTCCATACCATAACATCCAGGTGTTGAAAATTCCTGTTACCATTACCCTTATCTAAGAGAACAACAAAGGTTGGGAAGAGGATAAGGACTCAGAGCGCACACCTGTAGTAACTAGTAACGGCGGCAGAGAGCATGTTGCCCAAACCAAACCACATGATCAAAGGCCATCGGTTTCTTTACTGCTACTTCGTACAATACAGAGCATCTGCATATCCTTACACCACACTGGATTATGGGATAAGGAGTGGTGGACGGAGATGTGGCTGTGAAGCCCTTGAAACGCGCGACGTCAGTGTGGGGCCCGATGTGCTGGTTAATTGGCCCAGTACGATCGGGGGCCGGAATAATAATAGAAACAAACTATCCCCGACTTGAATGCAATCCGATGTACGCACACCCGTCGTCGACTGGCCGTGGGATGAGATGGGGGTCCGGTGTAGGTAACTGCCAAAGCTTAAGGCTGCACAGAGTCCACTGCCAAATTGTTTCAATAGCAGGCAGCTTGATATTTAGTTGGTTTTTTTAAAGGTTCTTATGAATTTCCAAGATACCCACACAATTTTGAATGCTTACTCATTGACACTGAAGAGACCGGATGCATTCACCACATAGGTACAGCATCGGTAATCCGGGAAGCTGCCTGCTCAGCGAGAACAAGCTGTTGTGGCGGCTGTCCCAGCTCCAGGCTTGAGGTTGGAGGGTCAAGGATCCATTTGGACCACCTGAAACTAGGCCAAATGCCTGGCTCCCGGCCCTCAAGCTATGATGCAAGAGGCCGTGGACATGCCACAATGACTGAGGGCGGATATCCTAATGTCAGTTAGTGCTGCGGAGGGCTGCTGTTCTTTTTTCCTCTCCTGGTGGAGATCTTCGATACAAGCATATGGATGAACTGTTCTTTTTGAGCACTTCCAGAGGCTCCCAGGGCATGTCCCCACATCCAGGGTGATTAAGCCCACAATCTTTTGGGAAGTTGGTTGATCTCGCTACACAACTAGCGCAGGGAGTGAAGACTTTTTGCGCGATCGGCCTTTGCTTTGCTGTAGCTGATGCCGTCTACTGTTAGTGCTTTCAGAGCGGAACTTGTAAAGGTTTAGGCCGATCTGTAAACACGCGATAAGCATAACAGATCTGAGATATAGCGGGGGAAAAGGCTTCGAGAGCGTGCCGGGTGTTTGGGGTTAACTGGGGGGAGGGGGGGGGCCAACTGCAAGTACTTGCAGGTGTGCAAGGCTTGCAAGGCTTGCAGGGGTTTGAGACGGATGCGCGGAAAGCCAAAAATGGACACGAGAAAAACGGTCGGCCCCTCCAACCAAAGCCGCCAATATCCCCCGATTCATTCGCTGTTGAGACAAGGGTCCGCCAGACCGAGAGGGACCCTTGGCCCAGCAACCGTTCAGGTTGTGCAGCTCCACACAAAAACGTCGAAGGAAACGTTAGTTCCAAACTTCCAGCCATTCAGCTTAGGCTTAGCGTACGCCGGACGATAGTCAACAAGACGGAAGAAACGGACAAGTTATATCTGCTTACAGCTCTTGTTTCTGCAGTACTACGACATGTCAGCCGGCCGGATATGTAAGATACAAGGACGTGCTTACCTTAGAAATGAGGACGTGCAAACTCCCACGTCAGGGTGTCTGGAACTCCACCAAATTTCACGGCTTTTCTCCGCTGCGCTGGGGATTCAGAGAAACCTTTCCTCTTCCGGTCTGGAGCTGCTCGCGGCTCTGTCCCGCGGTTTTCCTGTGAGATCGATTCAGCTTCCAGTGCCGTCTTCCTGGACCAATCGACAGCCACCTAAGTGGAGCTCGGTCACCACACATGTTACCAGCCAAGCTCCAGTGGGCTGGGCTTTTGACACGGTAAAAGTAAGCGATGACATCAGTCCGTAAGCTCCACCGAAGTCAGGTTTTGCCTGCGGATCGGGCGAAGAGAAGCAAAAGATTTCGTTCCGAACGTACTTTGCAAAGTTAAAAGACCTCATGTTATGGGCATGTTGCTTGATGGGTTGCGGTAATAGTGAGGCCACAGCAATCATCAACGATCAGTACGGATATAGTATTCAAATCGTTTCAGGAATAGCGGTGAATGCTCTTTGTTGCACGAGTATTACCCAGCGCGCACGAATATCCTGGAGAAGCACTGGAAAGCCCTGCTTTGTAATTTGTATGTATGGTGCTAGGGAGCTGTAGAGATACCGGGTTCGTCGGAGAAGGTAAACTTCATTATGCAAGGAACCAAACACGTAGCGAATAAATGCAAACATTCATACCGTGAGAGAGATTGAGAACAGCCAGAGACCAGAAGCTGGACACGAGAAGGCCTGTAAGGTAGGCATAGTCTTTTTGGTGTTGTAGCAGCAATGAGGAACCTCCCTTGGTCGTCCTGTTCCAATCGTGCGAAGTGCAGCACCCTCGCCTGATGGTGGTCTGAACCCCGCACTTGCCGACCAACCATACGGTCTTCATCAGAACGGGTAGCAACAAGCAGAGAGCAGCACGTCACCAGAACATCCGGCAATGGGACTTTTTGTGGAGATGCCGAATTCCTTCGATTAGCCTTTGTTTATCTAAACCGGTTTCGAAGCATAAACAAAAGATGAAAAAGCTGCAGATAAGTTGTTCAGATTCTGGTGACTGCAGCCTTCAAATTCAGATGTGAGCTTTGTAGTTATTGCTCAACAACTGTCTCATCCAGGCTCTTCTCCGTTGCCGAACACCCACTCACAATCTCTCAGGATCCAACTTGACTCCCAACCCTCCTTGGAAGCCCCGCAGAGGTGCTGGAGCTTCGGCCAAGTCCTTACCCACACCAGCGTGTCCAATACTTCAGACGAGAATCGACCCCGCAGGCCAAACCTGACAAAACGCGCAGAAAGGCCACCATTGTGTCTATTATCCATGATGTACGGAGCGCGTCCATTCTCTGCACTTTCCTGCTAGGTAGTTTTGTGGGAGCGTTCGCACGCGCTTCTCCAGTGTTGAATATTTTTGCTTGGCCGAGGTCCGATGGCGGGATTGAGGCAACCAGCTTCCACGTCTTTCACGCCCGCGGTTGTGTGATGGACACCAACACCAGCCTTAGTTTAATCAAGCTCTGTGATGCCGATTCAGTGCTTTGTTCACCCGGGCTAATATCAAACTTAAAACTCGCTGTTGAAAGATAGCCAATCCACGTGGGCATCAGCCTGCGGGAAGTGGACGGCCTACCATGCCATTGGACCCTGTCAAACTTGGTGATTACTGGTGACTGACGGAGCTGGGAAGCCGATCATCAGGTTGTCAGCCATCTTTTGCTTTTTGCTCGCATTCAGGCCCAACCGTGATCCCGTCACGCCCGCCCCCAAGCGGTAACGTCTGGTGCTCCGCCTCAGTGTCCTCGCTGCAAGGTTGCAGTCCGGAGACCGGATTGGTCTGGGCATGCAGCGGCTGGCCAGGGAAAGGCTCAGATAATGAGGCATGCCCGCATCCATTGTAACCCTCTGGGCCGTCGAGCTAAGAGACAAAATATTCCTCTCTGCCCGAGCAGAAAAGACCTGTTCGTCCATTATCCACATCACAAACTCGCAGTGGTGACTAAGTCCCCACACTCTGTATGTTCCTCAAACCGAAGTCATAGTGCTGCGTGTGTGTCGTCAATACGATTCCCATCAGTACCTCTCTACCAAATGGACATAGGAATTGCTGTTGGCATATTGGTTGGAGAAGCTACCAGTCTACACACCTAGCTACATTCGGATGACCGATACAAGTAGAGCGCTGCGGGCGTTGTGTGGGCAAAAAACCAGCTCAGGCTAACGCCACAAGCGCTGATGGTTCCCTTACCCATTCCGCCCAGTCTCGCAACAATTCACGGCGCTACCACACGCAGTGTCTTGCTTGGAACAGCGATAATGTACGTAGGCGTTTGCCAGAAACTCAGAGACGACCTTGTATAATCTGAAGAAACAGGTGTATTGATGGCGCCGGATTCGGTGGGCGGTTTCCGACTTAGCAGCTGGCTTCCGCTGCACTCTCCTGACACACATAATCCGCAGGTATCAGAGAAGGGTTGGGTGTTTCCAGCCGAGGGACAGAAGCTCCGTAATCCGTAATCTGTACACTGGGCTACCTGGTCCAGTTCGCGAAAGACATCGTGGGCTCGACGACATCGCTGCTGAAGTCCGCTCCCGTCGAGCCGGCATCCAAGTAGTGCTTCCTTTGTTTTGAGTCCACACAGGCTTGCCTGCTGTTCAGCCAGCAACGGTTGTAATTACTACAGCGCAACCATCAACAGCTCTGTTCTAAAAGCTTATTCCTTCATGCGTACGGCCAGCTTTCAACAGCGTTGGATAACATGCACACAATAATAACACCCATGATTTCTCTTAACATTCCGTACAATACAGGCATGACACTGGGCAAATCTGCATGGATTGATTAGAACCGTGCACAGGGGATATGACGGCTCCAGATCTGTGATGCGCAAAGTTCCGAGTCGCCGGCACCAGTCGATCTCCTAGTCGTCCTGTCTTGCTGTGCACAATGACACATCTGGTCCGGCTCTCGGTGTCCCGTCGCCCTTTCGAGAATCTTGGATCTTTTGTTTCAGTGGGGGCGACTTGCAAGCCGACTGAGCGCTAAACCGCAGAAAGCAAGCGCCTAACCCATTATGGAATAGACGCGTTTCCCAGTGGTGGTGGGGCAGCAGCAAAACATGGTGTGTCAACATGGGAAGTCTTGGCCGTCTAGCTTTCCCAATGGGGCAGATGGCTTGGGGCCCTGGGCCCAAGTTGTTGTGCGGCGGAGGTGGTATCCCACTGCCCCAGCCATGGGGTGCGACATGCGACACTAGGCCCAGGGCTTGCAGGGCCTAAAACATTAGAGGTATTTAACAGTGCAGCACCCCCGAAACGGGGCGTTTCTTGTTTCTTTGCTCACCAGACCTATCATCACTTCGTTCAGCACCTGTTGCTGCACCACTACTCCTCACGCTCGCTTTTTGCACCTCTCTCCCAAGGAAGTCCTCGTCGACTCCTGTCATTCGCTTGTTTCTTGTAATTGGTTTCCTTCTGTGCCGCAGACTCGAGCTTCCGAAAACCTCAAGTCGAAAAAATCCTCGGTCAAAGCAGATCCGAAGCAGCTGGAGTCACCAAGAGTTGAAAACCCATCGGTCACAGTGATCACCCAGCACAAAGCTCATCTGCAGCCCCTGGTCCGCTCGGCCGGCAGCTTCTCGTGCCAGTATTTCAGGACGAGAAACGCAGATGTCTGTTTGACGGCCTCGCTCGCTCTTAGCTCAAAACAGTACTCTCGCTCAAGTCTCGGTCTCGCAAACGTCCCAAGTATTCCCACGATCGCTACTCTGAGGGAAGGAGGAAGGAAACGGAGAGGAAGGAAGTCTGCCTTGAATCAAGACGCCATCGAGAAACGCAGAGGATCAAGCGCATAGGGCAGGTCCACGAGGTTGACCTGTCAGCTGGCTGAAGCACCTTGTTTCTCACGAACTCGCGCCTTGCTACTTGAATTTGCTCTGGTCGCCGATAACCTGCTCACCTGGCGGCTGCTCTTATCGGGTGAAGATCGAGCTGCACAACCATCCCGATCTGATTGTGTGTCATCAGTTCAGTCCCAGTTCAGGCTTGATCCCGCTGGCCTCGCAGGCTGAGCTATCTTGAGTGCCCCTCTCCTCCTGCCGCAACTCGCTCCGCTCGCTATCATCTAGCCCTAGGAGGCATATCGTGTGTTTACTCTTAAACGTGGGCATCCTGGCCAACCCATCGCTTTCACTATCCACACCACTGACTGACCAACGCCCTCCAGTTCTTTCGTTAATTTAATTTCTACGTACCGTAGTCGTAATCATGGCTGGTCCTGGTGGTGGTCCCCCTCGGCGGAGGTATGTGTTTGATGACTCTTCTCCTGCTGCTCTTGGGAACATATCAGCTAACAAGGTCTCAGTCACACCAAGTCCCGAAAGGGATGTGACACTTGGTACGTTTAGACATTCGATTGCCCTCCCAGATTTGGCTGTATGATTGTCCAGCCCGACACCACCTGCTAACAGCTTTATTGCAGCAAGCGTCGCCACATCAGGTGCGACGAGAACTTCCCTCAGTGGTAAGATGACACCTCTTTAAGCTTTTTAGAAGGGAAGCACTATCAATCCAGCTAACAACAACAGCCGCAACTGCACCAAGCACAAAATCCGTTGCCCTTACAATGACCAGGCGCCCCCAGACAGGTCTGGTTCGCCTGACAAGCCCGATCTGATGTGGACCCCTGAGATCGAGGCAACGATCGACCAGTGGCGCCGCACTGGCATGTTCCCGTTCCCCAGGCTCGGAATCTACCCGGCGCCTTCTCCCGAGCGCCTTACGACCGAAGATCTGAGGTTGATCCACCATGTGGCTTCCATCTGCGATCAGATGCAGGAGCTCGACGCCAATGACTTCACGCTCTGGACCCGGCAGATCCCCACGTAAGATTGACCCCAAACAGGATTATTACTTGTTGTTTACCACAGTGTTAACATATTCTACAGGATCCTTCGGATCGGCGCGACCCACAGTTACGTCTTGCATGCCCTGCTGGCTTTTTCTGCCATGCATCTGGCATACTTGACGAACTGCCCGGCTGTCGGCAACATGGCGTACGAGCACCGTGGTGTTGCCTTGAGTGGCCTTCAGGAAGCCATCAATACCTTTTCCAAGGAGACTTCGGACGCTATCCTTGCCGCTTCTCTGGTCCTTTCATGGCAAGCCACAGATTGGTAAGCAATACAATGCAACCTCCCGTCATTGCGCAAACAGCGGGGGCTGCCAGGAGGCTTGTGCTAACAAGGTGTTCTGCAGGCGGAGCTGGACCCAGCTGATGCAGGGTACCTCATCGGTCAGTTCACATTGCGTTGCAGCAGTTGTTCGGAATTGCATGCTGATGCTAACTGATTGGCTGTAGATCATCGAGGCGATGGATCCATGGAAGCATGAGTCTCAATTCGGCGATCTCATTGCCGAGATTAACATATTCCCCACGACGCCATCCTCGCCTACCCCAGATCATAGGTCCAACCAGCCTTCCGAGGAGGACCTCGAGGCTTTCCAGAAGGCTCTGCAGCAGCTTCAGAAGCTAGAGACCCGTCTCAAGAAAAATCGCGAAGACACGAAACCTGTTTCTCAGCTCATCACCTTCCTCAAGGGCTCGCGCAAAGTCACGTCCTCCCTGTCGGTGGCACAGCAGTTTGATCGTTTGAAGCCTCTCCGCACTTGGCTCTTCTGGCTGCCTGTTTCATACCTCCAGCGGAATGGGGTATCGCCAAGCGCTTTGGTTGTTATTGCTCACTACTATACGGCCGCCCTCCTGATGGAGCGCCTATTTCCAGAAATTGGTGCGGCTTACTTTGGCAGCATGACGATCAACCCTGTTGAAGAGATCGCCCGTCGCTTGTGTTCCCTTAACGCCTCCGGACAGCTCCAGGGCAATCTCCAGACCCCCCTTGCTTTGATGGAGTTTCCCATCGAGACTGTCAACGAGTTTCGCTCACGGATGGGTTGGGGTCACCCTATGCGCACGTCACCCTACGCCCATTTTGACACTCCTGGCTTCTCTATGAACGAAACGTCGCCGTTGATGATGCCAGCCGGTGTGTCTCCCGAATACCTCCCGTACGGCGACAGTGTGACTTTCAGCTACAGCACGGAGGATCTGTCCGTCATCCCCGAAGCCGGCACAAATAACGGTGTCAGCCCGCTTCAGCTGTCGCCCTCATTCGCCAACACCCAATATCTTAGCATTCCCAGCCCATCTTACGGAGCTTACAGTCCGGCATCGAGCACGTTTGGCGACTTCAGCGATTTTGGCGATGCTTCTCCAATCATCTACAGCGATGCCGAAGACTCTGCCACTGGACCCTATGGCATCGGGTATACGGCTGCCTCGCCCATGATGGGCGGTGCCAACACTTATGGCGTTGGGTTCGTCTCTCCACTCCAGCCTGTGTGGACCTGATTCCCCTAAAGTGTCACCAAGGGCTGCTGCATCCTGGACTTGACGCGAAGGAAAACCATGATTAACTGTAACAACCAGGACTCCTCTCATCAGCACATCTCCGGACTATCCGCCGCCCGAGGATCCTTTTGCCTGGCTTCCTGCTCCATCCCCGGCTTTCCTGCCTTCGCCCTTTTTGGATCCTAAGCAGCAACCCATCTTCTCAGTTCCCGGTTCCCCGATGATCGCTCAGGACAAAAGTAGTGCGCCATCCGAAACTGTCCTCCCCGCTTCACAAAGCCCTGAGAATCCTGAGAAAGGCTCCACGAATTAGCGACTCTGGTTTTCTCCTCCGGTCCCACGTCTTGTGATCCCACCTTGTTTGTTTTTATTTTGGTTCGGCTTCCTGATCTCTGCTTTTTGGTTTTGGACCGCTTTTCCCCTCAACACAGACGCAATGTACACCACCCTCGTTGGCGATCACCATACACATCGGTATCGGCTCGACAGCAGCCAGTAACCCCCCCGCCATCTCCGGTTGATGGCGCGCCACATTCCTTTTAACGACTGCGACGAAACGCATCCCAACAATATAGACTAATACCGCATCACAATGCGACGACGCTCCTTATTCGAGATACCCTAACTTACGACGCTCCTTATATCGCAAAACCGGCTGGTCCACCTAGTTCAACTATAGACTTTCCTTAATCGATTCTCGCGGATCGGACGGACTATATACATGTATACACCATTGTAATATCCAACTTGATTAGACATTCCTTTTCGGCGGTAATTATCATCATATATCGGGCATTCATCATTGGCACACATATAGACTTTTTCGCTCCTTACGCAATTACAATTGGATGATCACGATACCCAACTGCATAGCGGCTGTTGTTTGGATATAGCGGGCAATTTCATTTTTTCTATCTTTTGGAGGGGCTTGGTTACTGTCCTTTTTGGTCAGCTGTGTGGCTCGAAGGCTGTTGACAGTTCTTCAATCTAAAGTGTTGTCTTGGAGGAAAAATGCCGATTGTATTTCTCTCGGCACTCGGCGGATTTTAGGTTATCGGCATCGGGCGGCGTTCAAGGGTTTTTATTCCGTTGTTGATGTTTAATCTCTAGTTGTTGCTGTTGTTGCGATTCTTTTTGTGGCTTAGCAATGAAGTTAGGACAGAGGGGGAGAAGTGTTGGAGGCTACGCAGGGATATGTGTTCTTCCCGGGAAGAGGAAAGGTGGTAACAGCCTAAGTCTTCCTTGGGTTAATCGTAATTGTGGTAGCGAAGAAGAAATGGGAGTCGTTTGGTTGTCCTCGAGCAATCTCGCTAGTTCTCTTGGTTCATATGCACCCACGTCGTGACGCCTTGATTGTCTTGCTCTGTGCGCTGTTTCCCTATCCTGTACCATTACGAGATGACAATACACTCAGCACTCCAATATCCATTTCTAAAATGATGGGAGATGAACGAACATGTTGCTAATCGATAACACCTATTGTATATATACATGCCTTGTTACTCAAGACTCAAGTGGGACTCTTGATGCTCGCCTGTTTGTACATAGAGTTGTATACCTGCTTTAGTACCTGCCTTGTTCTAGCAAAAGGCCTGATTCTCCCAGTCAACCATCGAGAAGGAGTCCTGAGAAAAAGAAACATAACATCTTAGGTTAGACGTATGTGAAGTAAACTAGGTAGCAGTAGGGAATGTTGCGAGAACAGTGTGCTTGTAATGTCCATTCCATTGGGTTGGGATATCTTGCAACCAGAACAACGCCATAAAAGGAACACGTTCTGTCAACTCCAAAATTGACCCGGCGACACTCCAAATTCACCAAGGCTCATCAGCCCACCTACCACCGATCCTGAAGGGGAAAGACGCCCAAAAAGCCGCCAACCAACTGTGTCCAAAGCCTATGATGACAGAGCGAAGCGAGCTGCCTTAAGCCCATAATCGATGGCTCGCCCGTCCTCTTGAATCATTCCTGGGGTATATTTCCTTCTGCTTCCCAAACAACAAAAACAACCGAGAAACTAACTAGTTGTCATCATGATAATGTTGACTTTTTCCTTGTTGACACACATCACCTCGAATCTGCCCTTTCGCTTCTCACACTATCACTTCGGTCATGGCCCGCGCCCTGCCGGATGGCATCTTGATAGCTAGGGATTGGTGGGCTAGGAGGGGCCCTCGACGTGGAGGGAGCCACCCGGCTGCCGGCTAGAGAGTTCCCGCGGCTTCGAGAAAGTAAAGGTGCAGTTTCACCTCGACCCCCGCTCCGACGACTGCCATTGTCCTCAGTATCTGAGTGATCGGGGGATGTATATTCCGGGGGGGGGTCATTAGGGATGTCCGCCGGGCCATAGGGCCGCACTAAGGCAGCGGTACTACTGCTAGCTTCGGCGCTGTCGTCTGTGGGAACCAGATGTGCGAGTGAGATGTCAGTTGGGCTACGAGGAGGGCCTGGGCTGACCGGCGGAAGGACACGGAAGTTGCCAGACCTCGAGCGGCTGTGCCCTGGGTCTAGCTGGTTCGTGCCAGGTCGATACGGCTGAGCAGACTGGCTGTAGTGATGGCCGCGATAAGGACCACTGTTGAATCCATCCTTTGTTCCCGTCTCGAGCAGAATAGTATCCTCCTCTGCACCATAAGGTGGTGGCGGTGCTAGCGAACCCGTCATGGGAGCAAGGCCCCATTTCTTCACGTTCGCCTCGATGAAAACGAAACCGGCTTGGCCAAAATTCACGTGGACGACACATGGCCCAATAGCGCCCACAGCTGGGAAGAAATTAGGGGACTTCAAGCCATGAACGACATCTTCGAGTTTGCGGCCGTTCCGAGTAAAGAAGATAGTGCCTGTCCTGGGGCGATACCCGACACCAATAACATCACCCTGTTGATATGCAGGGCCATATGGGGTGGCTGAAAATGGCTGGTTAAAGCGACGAGTACCATTCGAAAAATACGCAACCGATTGTTTATGGTAACCTGAATAAATAGGCTTTTTAGTCTCTGGTACAAGAAAGGGGCGCAAATAGCGATGGCTGCTATTTCTTACCTGGTAGCCTGAAAAGAGGATATGGCTTAGTGGCCATGCCTATACTAATCAAGGTGGTTTCAGGCTTTTCATAAATCTTCGCTTCCCAATAGTAAACATCGTTTTGTTTCGGAACTGGAAGATTGCTCATGACAGTGCACTCGGAGTCGAAGAACTCGATCTCGGTTCTTGCCTCGACAAAGCAGTTGGCAATTTCCAGCTCGGGCTCGAACTCCCATGCCGACACTCCCTTCTCCTGGATGGCCAAATACTGCGAAAGCGAAATATCTGTTGGAACAGACTCGGGAGGGTTTGCGGCGATGAAAGCTGTTGAGCAAATAGGGCATCAGTACACTGCTTCACAATACAATTCACGAGTAAACTAAGGCAACATACCCTTCGCTCTGAGATACTCCGTCCTCTGCATATCATCCATCGTCTCGAGGGCTTCTGCTTCCTCCCGCGCAAAGGCCTGCTCGTCATCGTACTCGCCCGGCCGGCCGATCCGGTCAAGGAAGATACGCCCGGACGAAGTATATCTAAAGAAATAGAAGACGAGCAAGATGCAGAGGACCAGAAGTGCCGACCCGAAAGACGACAACAGGCCTATGATAACACCGTTCAGGCCAGAATTGTAGCCAGCCATTGTGTCTAGAAAGATGAGAAGCGATGCACGCGAAATCAGAACGCTTCGGATTCGAGCGTATCAAAAGTATGAAGGACGGCGGCAAGCGCCAGGTCGGGCGAGCATTCGCAGACAGCTCAGTCCGCCAAGGTACACTAGGTATCTGTCGTCACGGGTTGAAGCACAGGGTTGCGAACAGCAGCGGAAGCGTTATCGTGGCGGCTGTCGTCGAGAGCGACTGAATGCAGCAACCCACAGGAGGTGGGAAAGGCCGTTGGAAGACAACAACAGTCGACAGTAAGGATGGCGAGGATTGTGGGAGATTCACCGGGGGATGCAAATCGAGGTTTGTGGAATCGTCGTTGAGCGATCAGCGGGCGGCAGCCGCGAGGTTTTCGTTGTGGTATCGGTGGTTGTTCTTGTTGGACAACGTCAGGCCTGGACGATCAGGTCAGGAAGTGTGTCACGACGCCGCCCGGGTGGCGGGGAGCGCTGCCAAGAGGAGAAGCGTGTGGTCGAGCGGCAGATGACGCAGGCGAAGGAAATCGCTTGGATCGAACTTCAAGCACGACGCAACTTTAACAATGTGCAGAAAAAGAAGGAACTGCCCAAGCGAACAGACAAGATGCGCCAAGTGACACCACTGATGACAAGAAAGAACAATGCACACAAGAGACGGAAGCAAGAGAGGAAGGAGAAACCAGATACACAGAGAAAAAAAATAGCAGTAAAACAAGACAGAATCGAGAGTGGGATGGATGCGAGTGGATCAGAGACAGAGAGGTGGGATGGATGCGCGTGGCATACCAAGGTCGGGGAACGACCTCTGAAAGCCCGGAAGGAGGTGGGAGAACCTGGGCTGGACGGCGACAGCGATTGCCTGATGCTGCCACGATAGTGGGCTCAAGAGTGGGCCTGGCCGGTGTTATGGGCCCTCCGTGCCACTTGAAGAAGATGGAAGCTGTTTGTGCACTAACAGAAATCTCGAAGAACGCCTGCGTCTTAGATATAGCACTATTGGCTAAGAGGGGGGATGTCAGCACAACTCAGCCTCTGCGCTTCGTGCTGGTCGGGGGCACGAATGACGCTGAGCAGGTGGGACACATGCCGGACGGGTTGCAGATCGCGCCCTCGCGACCCCTCTTAGGCTCTGGCAAGAACCCCATCCAGCATGGCCAGCAGAGCAAAACCACCGAAATCAGAACGGTGGCGGGCCAGCAACCAACAAACCAAGAACACGTCTAGTCCGGCTCGAGTCAATGAGTCCACTTTCTCTTCATTCCCTAAATCCGTTTGCTGCGTGTGCTTACACAGTACCTAAGCTAAACAGGCCGGCAGGGTGTGCGTCTCTAGGCTCTAGCTGCAAATCGAGAGCCTTTTGCATTGACAGGACTGCTCATCGGGCGCAATGGCAACAGAAGAATGTGCAGCCCGACAGCACAGAGGACCAATTGCATTAAAGCTGACGGTTGCAAGTCAGCCCTCAAACGCGGTACGGTTTAAACGCCCAGAGCATTGCGGGAGCCAAAAGCTTTGATGCGGCGTAGAGGGTGAGCAATGTGCCCTGTGGAAGGGGCTGTAGTGGTTTCAGAAACAGTTCGATGGTGCCATAGCTGCTTCCTCAGGGCCCCCAGGGGGAGTCAGGGTGCTGTAACTGGCCTGAAAGCGGCGTGTCTCGAGTTGACCGGGCGGGCTCCAGCTCACCTTGTCCTGTGGACTGGGTGTTGCGGCTCGAACAGCCGCGTTATGCTTACTCTGTGCCGCCCCTAGATATCAAAAGCGGTCATTGATTGCATGGGGTAATGCTTGCAGGTATGGCGTATATATGCTTAAGTCGCATGTTTGTCGTGTTTCTTCATCGTATTTACTCACAGTAACATCAAGTATGTCCCAGAAAACGGCCATGCGTACTCCCGTCAACAGCTCAATGAACTCTGACGGAGTTGCTGTTCCAGAGCACAAGGAGAAAATGGTGCTAGCAACTGATCTGTAGGACAACAGGCGTAGGGCGCTATCCTTGCCCAGCGTTTGGTCAGCTCACCGTGTCAGCGCCGACATGGTTTTCCGCGTAATACGGCCTTTCTAGTTCTCTCCCTGAGAAATCTTTGCGCGAGCGTTTTCTGTTTTGCTTAGAGCGGGCTGAAGGTGCTGTTTTAACGGGTCTACCGGCCATTTTCGGGACCTCGTTCCGGGCCAGCCGACTTCCATGGGGATCTCGGACCCGGACCTGGGCCGGGGATCTGCAGGGGTCTCTCGGGGTGCAAAACAGCGGAGTTCACATGCTCCAAAAGCGTGACCTGACCCAGATAGGTAGATAAGGCATCTGGGTGGACACCTAGACTGAATCAGGCCCTGTTCTCATACAGCAATTCATTGTCGCCATTGCCTTGCCATCGAAACCGTTAGCCATGGCAGAAGGTATCCTCATGTTACACAGGTAGGTACAGTAAACAGCAACGCAGCCGAAAACCAAACAATCCCATCTACATCACGGTGATCAAAAAGTCATATCATAACCCATCCGTCTCCATCAAATGCCACCCGTCAATCATCCATAGACATAATCCATCAATACCATATACCTAGTGTCATAAACCCTGTTTCATCATCTCAGCTCACTCCTCACTGGTGCCTTCGCGCGCCGGCCCCACCCCTCTTCTTTCTCTTCTCCTCCGCATATGCGAAGTCGCTCACCGACGTACCACTGATCTCCGACAGGGTCGGAACGTGGTGCGGGTGCTGGTACACCTTGGTGCCGGTATCATCGGTGGCGGCGGAGGACGCGCTAACCTCGCTCTCGGTCCAACCGCCCGAAGCCTTGGACTCAGAAGCCTTGTGCCGCGAACGTGAGCGAGCCCGTGACGCTTGACGCGCAGCAGCACCGCCGTCGGCTACAGACGAGTTGTCACCAGCGGTGATATACCCGCTAACCATGCTGCCTGTCGGGACGCTTTCTTCATGGACGGCCTCATCGATTCGGCGCAGCGCCATCCTGTCCTCGGCTCCGCGGACGAAGCTGAAGTCGCGCCGGAGAGGGGTGATTTCCTTGGAGCTCGACGACATGTTCGATAGGGCAGCAGCGGCAGCCTCCTGACGGCCCTTCTCCTGCAGACGGCGGGCTTCGGCACGGATGCGCTCGTGTTCACGCATCGCTGTCTTGTCGGCTGTCGAGTAAACCTTGCGAATACGGCCGCCCCTATTACCTTCTGTCTTGGCCGGCGAACGCTGGCGGCTACTAATGAGTTCCGAAGTCACAGTGCTGCCCTCACCATCGCCGATAGACGAGATACTATCACCGCGTGCATGGCTGCCACTGACTGTCGACCAGGTCGGGTTCGTTGACGCGTCCCAGGTAGAAGCGTCGGATTCAGTGTTGATGCCGCCGACCCGAGCGGGCTTCTCGTCGCGATACCTGCGCAGCTGCTCCTCAGCTTCTGCCTCAGCCTCGGGATCAACCACCACGCCACCCGAGACCCTGCGGCGCGACCTCTTTTCCTTCTCGCGAGCCTTCTCCTCACGGCGACGTTCCTTTTCACGCTCCTTTTGCTCCTTCTTCTTGCGGCGTCTCTCACGCCCAGAAATATCCGAAACGCCGCCCGTAATGCCTGTAATGCCTGTCGTGCCGCTGATAACCGTGGTATTATCGTCGGCCGTCATCGTAACGCCGTCGTCAACTTCCTTGTAAATACTCCCTCCATCGAGCACCGTGCTCGGCGTGGCGTTCGAATAAATAGTGCCGTTAGGGCCCTTGCGACGAAGAACAGTTGATACATACTCCTCCCAGTCGTCGTCTTTGAAGTAGAAACCTCCGTTCTTTGCCCAAAAGAAGAACCAGATGCCGACAAGGACAAATGCGGCGCCAATAAGGCCGAAGACAGCGAAGACAGCATTGTTGTTGATTTTCTGGGGAGGTATTATACCGGCAGACGGGTCATTTTCATAGACTTGGCTTGGGTTTCGTGCCAGAAGAATTGACCGAGCGGCAATCGGGCCAAGGGCCCCGATGTCATCGGAGGCTCTCGCCCGAAGCGCAGTCGAAAATATCTTGGATAAAATCGCTGGCGCCATCGTGGACAGGTCGATGAGGTGGTCGGAATGTTCAGTCTAGCCGCTTTGTAATGGGTGAAACTTGGCTGGCACTCGCTGGTTAACCAGCGGTGGTTGTGAAGTCCGCTCAGCTTTCGTCGTTCAAGCCGATGCTGGAAGAGTGAGATGCCAACAAAAAACCAACAGAACCGCTGTCAAGGGGCATAAACTCTCAGAGAACACGAGCTTTTCCTTGAGAACAAGTAAAGTTGACGTGACAATGTAGGCAGTTACAGCGACCGAAGGATCAGTGTTGTGGTCGAGTCGGTCCACCCAGAAACTGGGAGGCTGGGGTGGGAGGAACACCCCTGATAGGAGGCTGGGGTCTGTGCCAGGCACGGCCAAACAAAAGTACCCAAATCCTCACCACTTCCAGCCCACGGAATTACTGCAAGTCCGACGTTTCCACGCACAACGCGAAGGCACCAATTCAAGTCAATGAGAATGGATTTCTGGGACATTGCGGCAGTCCATTTAGCCCTCTCCCGAAGTGAACCAACCTCTGTAAACAAGCTGCCCTCGACGCCCTGCAACACCGGGGCAACCGTACTTGGCCAATCACATCCGTCCCCCGCCCTCCCAAATTCGCCTCACTCGCAGGCGTAAACTGGCCCCACCCAAACCCCGCATTGGGCCCCAGCATGGAGTGGCCCCCATCGACTTCACCTGCGGCAACCATCACGCTCTTTCACAGCTCACTTGCTGCTGTGTCCGGAACACCACAAATTAATTGCCCACCAATTCATGCTGTAGTAGTACAGTGATACTTTATGCGCGGACTAGTTTTAGACCAGCCGAAGTTGCCTTTCCCACAGAGAATGCCTACCTAGATGCTCACACATTTGCCCTTTGTTTGTAGCATATCATCCCTCCAGCATTCAGCAATGTTCCTGTTATCCAATGCCCTGAAGCCTTTGTAGTGTACGAGGTTGACAGGTATGTTGTTTATCCGCATTGCATGGTCCTGCAAGAAAATGTCACATCCCTATCTCAAGCTAATTCAGGGCTCCAAGCCGTGTCTGGACATCCAGAGACTCGAACTGCTTCCTGTAAGATGAGACTCGTGGGTATAGTCATGACACACCGGAGTATCGACGCTGAAACGGAACGAACAGTTTGCTCAAAGACGCTGCTCGCACCGATCCTTTGATACTTGCCTCCTCAGGTTTCGTTGTCTGACTCGAGCTTCTGGGAACAGGATCTGCTTCTCTGTGGTCTTATTCGTACCAGACACATATTGGAAACTGTGACACTCAACTCTAGGTTCAGGACCGACGAGAGGGGAACAGTGACACTAAATGAGTCCGTTTCAATGGATTGCATTGTAAAGTGTGCCCTATAGTAGGCGAAAATGATTCATGGCCTGCCAGTTCAATATCTGTTGAAGGTGGCAAACATGAGCCTTTGTATCACGTCTCAGAAGTCCGCGCCAGGTCACCGACTTATGCAGGTTTCGTAGTTGGTCGAAAAGACCAGGGAATAAGCCAGACATACCCACAATGCCAGTCCAATGTCTATTGGTATCATTATATGTGCTTCCCTCTTAACTGACTGTTGGGCTCTTGGCCGGAACGATAGGGATATCCATTCATTTTGTCCATGGCAGGATGAGGACTCGAGAAGGGTGAGAAGCATCAAGAACGAAGCAAAACATTGCAGGAAGGTTATGATGCCATGTCCAACACTCACAGTTACAGCTCCACAGATCTCTGTCACAATTGAGGGGACAATCTGTGTTGGCGTTGTCCTCCGTCTTCCACGTAGCTCAGAAGCTGAATGGTTGCATACATTGCAGTTCCGGCAAATGGTGGTTATAGATAGATAGTTTACATGAGAACACTTTGGGTTTGCTGTATCCTTTTCTGCGCTTCCATATCTCAACACGCACCCAATTTCCTAATGAAATATGGCAGCAATTGTAAACGTCCACTTCCCAAGAGAACAGAACGGATGACAGCTACCGAAACAGACCATAGCAACCTCGATGATATGATGTCAACAATATGTAAACCAAGTAAATGCCAACGAGTCATCAACTAGCCATATTCACTTAACTGACAAGCAAAAGACACATATATGCATTTCTTGGGTCAAGAGTAACAAAGGCAATTTTGATGTTGTACGCAGTACATGATACGTAAATCAGTTCACCAGGCGAACCCGCTTGTTCCCATGCCAACATCATAATGTGGGGTATGAGATTCATTCTTTGCCAACGGTATCATGCAGATAAAACAGAGATAACCGCCACTTTTAGCTTACAAAAATTCCATCCAGCCATACAAACATTGTCAAAAAGCAGTCCGTCAACAAAATAGTGTATGAAGTGCAAGCAACAAGATGGCCAGTACAAGCTAGAAGCCGATGGGCATCCCGTGCCATCAAGGGAGAAGATAAACAGAAAGGGGGTATAGAAGTCCAAAACTAACCGAAGTGAAAAAAAAAAAAAAAGAAGGCCAACAAATCTGTCCTAACCTCACAGTTAAATCATAGCATTTCCCAAAATCCGATGTCATGACATTATTCTTCGGGTCGCAATCAGGAGATCAGCCGCAGTCAGCTGGCATTCTCCCTGAGTGTGTCGTCATAATTGTCATTAACATACTCATCGTTAGTGATGCAAGGTCAAAATGGCTAGCCGGAGCCAACAGAGAGCAAGTCAACCATGCCATGAAAGGCTTTTGTACAGTGGCTTGATGACGAGGTTACGACGGACTACCGCCGTAATAGTAAGCACTGTCGTGGCGAGAAGAGTAAGAAGAAGAGAAAGCTGGGTATGAAGGAGGAGGGGGCGGCAGCGGAGGAGGCGGTCCAGAGAGATATTCATATTCCTCATCATCATACTCAAAAGTGTCCTGCCTTGGATGGGCGGGGCGTGAGAATGACCGAGCACGAGATCTGGTACGGCTTCGAGAAGGCGGGATATCGACGCGGGTGCGGCGGTCATCTAGATCGATGTAGCTTGACCTGGCGTCATTCATATTACGCAAATCAGACGCACCACCACCGGTGCTGATGTTGATCTCCGCACCGTCCTCGCATTGGACCTCTGCGCCGCCAAGCCGGAGTACCGTGCTCCCTTTGACGCGAATCGTGTAGTTTTCATCATTGGGGCCTGACCTGGTCGTCCGCGTTGTAGCCGACTGCCTGTAGTCGCTCTCATCATGGCTACCTGAGCTCCTCGTAGATCGGCTGCTCCCTCCATTCCTGGTCGCCTTTCGCAACGCTTCAGCAGTCAAGGGAAGACCCGGTCCTGTCAACTCATCTTCATATCGGTCCTGGTAACGACGAGCTGTGAGGAGCTTATCCTCCATACGGAGTTCCCTTTCATAGGCGCTTCCGGAGGAAACAGAGTTGCCCCCGTAGTACGAATGGCGATGAGCCCTCCCAGGTACCTCAGTCTGATAGTCGGGAGCGTCGTAGGAGTAGTCGGGACTGTATGACGACCGCGGGAGAGGAGCAAGCGGATTGCCGTAGTTTCTCGGCGAAAGGTCACGGAAGAAGGGTTCCTCATAGTCATCGTCGTGATCGTCGTAGCCGCCTATCCGCCTGGACGCTGGAGTTTGGGGCACAGGCGGGGGAACAGGAGCAGGGGGGGCTGGCGGGGGGCCACGAATAGCAAGTGACATCGGACGAGCAGAAGCAGCTCGCCGAGGCAGGGCCATCGCTTTACGATCGTCCTCGACCTTGGACATTCTCCGAGAGGCTGATGGACGTCGAGCGAGCGCTCTGTCATGTGGCTCGTCATAATAATCATCATGAGGGTTGTACTCGATCGGCGAAGGCGCTGGTCTGAAGCCAATAGATGATTGCGGCCGGGCCGAGGGGCCGAATCGAGACTCCAGGGGGCGAGCGAAAAGAGGTGGTTCAGGAGGGGGTAGTGGTGGCCCGCTAGGTGGAGGAGGGCCGAGTGGAGGCGGTCCAGGAGGCGGAGGGCCCAACGGATGCGACAAGATAGGGCTCGGCGATGGTGGTATTGGGGGGCAAGGTGGATGACCGGGAGCCCAAGGAGGGGGAGGATATGATGTGGGGATACCACCTGGAGGTTGTGATGCGTAGAACCGGGCATTCGCAGGAGGTGGTGGCTTTACAGACATCCCTGGCATTCCTGGGGGAGGATAAAAGCTCGCCGGCCTGCTCTGGGATCGCGGCCGCATTGGAAGAGAATCGTTGGGGTCAGCGATGCCGTAGAACATTGCCTCGTCCCTGCGTGGCAGGCTCGACGTCGACGTTGCCTTAGAATGCTTAACCGGCGGCCGTGAAGAGGACGTCATGAGCGCCTTCTTGCTGCTGCTGGAAGAGGATTTCTCGCGATCCTTGCTCGGCTTCTTGGTGGACTCTCGCCGTGGGTGTACAGTTGAGTCGGAGTCAGTGACGGCACCGGTCAGTTCATGAGAATCAGAACCTTTTCTCGTGCGCTCCTTTCGTGCTCGGCTCGTGTTTGGCTGCTCTTTGGCGGGGCTGCTTGGGGCAACAGATGATGCGTAGCACTGGGTTCCCTCGACAGGGTTCCCGTACTCGTCGGCGTCCTCGACAGTCGCAACCCGTCTGGTCGACATCACGTTGGCCGGCTCTCGAAAAGAATGCCGAAGGGTGCACACAACCTAGTGATCGCGATGCTGAAAAGGGGCGGTGATGCCTCTGGGTGTCGGAAGGCCAGGCTACTGGGAGCACAAGGCCAGACGGTTCACTCGACAGTGCCAGGTGGGCCGCCTCAAACAGCTCTCAGCCGCTTTAGGTACTTCAGGCAGCAGTGACAGCGACGAAACGGGTATGATGGTAAGAAATATTGCAAAGACTCTGTCCGATTGTTAAATAAGTGCTGATGGGAGTCAGCGGGTAATTCGCTGACACAAAGGACGTTGAGGTCAGCCGATGGGGGGGCGAAAGGAGTTGGGATGAGGGCTGGCTGGTACGGAACTGATTGGGATGAACTGTCAGGCATTGATGGTCCCAAAGGTGGAGGGGTCTCTGGGACAGCGATGAGTTTTATTCCGCTCGTTGCGGGGGGCGGAGGGTGGGGGAAGCCCAACCTGGGGGGGGTGTGTGTGTAATGTGAGCAATACCCAAGCAGCATCCCCTTTCTGCTTGGTCTGCCGAGAATAAGGCGGGCTCTTGGGCAACAAGAGGTCCCATTTGCTCAATGGATTGTTGTGGCCGCTGACTACAATACAAGCCACCCACTGCGCAAGTGGGAATGCCTGGACACAGACGGAAAGAATATTTTCCAGGTGTTTTCCTACCCTTTTTGGCGATTCCAGTTCGGGATAACGAGATCTGTAACTGAATTACAGAACGCGATTTCCGTCAGGGTACCTGTTGGTACGAGGGCCAGAGACGGGGAGTCTGGCCGTTGTCACAATTGCAATTGAACGGGGTTAACTAAGCATTGCGCGGTGTGCCAGATACCCATGACAAACTTTTGTTTATCGATAAGTGCGGGGTGTTGGGTACGGAGGAAGCTTGGGCCTTCGGGTGCTGCTGGACGACTGGCTGCCTGAGCTTGAGTGCTGGCTGACAGGAAGCCGATTTGCCAGCAGCAACAAGCAGCACAACAGGCGGGAGCAGCGACCACGGCACATCCTGTGGACGGGAGTTGGCCGAGCAGCAGGCTGGCTCAACTTTTCCCGTGCCCATGGATTCCCAAACAAAGAAACTCACAGCACATGGCCCAAGTCTCGGGGCTGTGCACGCGGGCTGGCGCCAGATCGCTTACCGAAGTGAGGTGGGCGCTTTTTTGACTTTTGATCGTGGCGCCCAGGGGAGAGGGCTGGTCCTAGCTGTCGGATCCGTCGGCTAAGAACAGGCGCTGAGCGCAGGTCATCAGTGTCTTACGGTAACTAGAGTCATTGCTACGCACCTGGGATCCAAAAAGACAACTCATCGACACATCGCTCGAAGCGATAATCCGCCTCGGGAGGGTGTTGGAAGGGGGTCCTAGAATGGAAGCCGTCAGAAGACGGGATAAACTGTTTAGTCTTCAAGCGTTTCAAAGCATGGAGCGTCTCCTATCCTTAGGTGAGCGAGGTTGTAGTACAGAGCTTGAAACAGTCTAGCAGGTTATCCTTGCAAGTCGAAGCGTATACTCTGTCATCTTCCTTAGACACAGAACACAGCACTACCCAGTAATGCTCTCAGTTCCATGTCAGACTTGCATCAACCTCAAGTCACAACAGGGCCCCTGGAGTGAGGACAGATCAAGCTGCTTGACAAAGCCCAAAAACCCTGTCGGTGGAGACTACACTGGAGCAGCCCGAAGCTAGGTACACAGCAACAACGGAATCAGTGCGTATAACCGACCGCTTAATTACACGGGCAATCAAGGCCAGCACTTCACCACTGAGGTCTAAGAGTAAAACCCAACCACCATCACCTGAGGCAACTACGGATCCGTATGGTCATGGACGATTGCGGCAGCGCCATAAGCACTCTGTAAGATAGGCAAAAACACCAGCAAGCCCCTCTCACCCTTCCGCCGTATGTCGTCACCTTTGCTCCGTCATCCCAACGCTTAATGCCCGACCTCGCTACTTGGGTATCAACAACAACTGGGTCGCACCAGCGGCAAAATCTCTCGATGAAGCAATCCACTGATGGCCGTTGACCGAATGCAGCTGCATGTTAAACATTCGGTGAACACGGGAGCCTGCGAGTAATTGATCCGGAACCTCGGGGCCTTGATTGGAAGCGCAGGCAGTGAGCTTCTGGAACTCGCCAGCAAGATCTCTGCACCCTGGAAGGGGCATCCATCATGGGCCTGAATTTTCGTGCCATGGGATGGCCTGCGGGGATGCTCGGGCCACGCATTCATGCCGCGAACCAACGCGACACGATTGATGACTCGTACCAAAAGGGCTAGTCCAGAGTCAGCTACCGTCCGTCTCCTGTTTCGATCTCTCTCAGCAATACAATATGGCTTGGAAGTACCGATCCGTACAGTTTAGAGTAAGCAGGTACATAAGCTTTCTCGCATAGCGAACGCCGAGCAGCAGCCAACTTACAAAATCAACAACTTGACATGGGAATCCCCCTCCCAGTCTACATACGGGGCTATTTAATACAGCCTTGGAACAAAAGGTAAGCATTTGCCGCCCAAGCTTAAGTTGCCCAAGTAGAAGAGCCAAGTAGCAAAGCAACGGAGGAACCAATCCTAATCCTACTTTCGCGCGATCATGGCATTGTGAAATCGACGTTATCGGGTCTCTATCAAATTTTCTCCATGGAGGATGGGAGAATCACACAGTCATCGCCGTGCCGCTGGGAACGATGCAACCGTGGCGTATCCAACACACATCATATCCATCCCATATCACTCAGAAGAGCAATTCCCGAACACCATTACGGACCCGCAGCGCCCGCTGAGCCGCGTCTATCGCAGGGAAGTAACTGCCTATCTGCGATGCCATCTCGCGCACAACCACAAAGTACCCAAATAGCGTGCAGTGTACCTCGTGAAAACCTTGACAGACATGGTGACATGGCAAGACCAAAATCAGTCGACCACACCACGGGCGCCGTCGTTCGTTTCCTCAGCGACGCCACTGTTCCGGCTGAAGATCATCTTATGCGCGATATTTCGCGCCATGAACCGGTTTTCTGTCGAACGGTCCGGCTCCAAATGGCTGCCAGGCCTCTTCTGTAAACTGTTCGCCTCGTGCTTTTGTTTGTGTTCGGTTTCATTTTCGTCCAATATGTCCCATTGGCCTTTGATCGCGTCGGGCTGACCCGTGACGGCAAATGATCTCCCTCAGTCGCTGAGCGATCCCCTCACACCCCTCATATTCACGTTTTGGATAGTCAACCTTGATTGACTGTAAAATCTGGGGTTTCTCGATGCATGCTGTATATATACGGCCGATAACATACACTTGCATGCGATTTCCAATTCCGTATTCGCTATCAACGCATCTCCCTCTGTCGTAGAGTTTTCAGAAACCACGGAGATGTTGCTTGCCCCAATTGACACAATACAAGCCATCCATACCTCTCCCGTTTCATCATGGCCAAAGCGCTCTGTTATCCTACTTATCATCTCACCTTGCCTTCGCGACCTTTTCAATCGATAAGCTGTTTGCGAGGGCCTATCGGTATTTAAATGTAAGACCGGAGTCCTGCTGGTTGTCAGCGTTCTTGCACTTCGCCGTCTGTAACTGCGCCTATGGGATCTCCAGACCCCGCATTGGCGCCACTCCCCCATCTCTTCGAACCAGCGAGTCAAAGTCTTAGATGATCAGCGCCGAGCCATTCTGTCGTTCATACCCATTCCGAGTCTGTGCGCAATGCAGACAGCTCGCTTTTCGTTGGGCCTGCTTACCCAGATAGATGCCCAGCATTCCACTGCATCTGTCGCATGCCCGACTTCCGTGGACGCTGTCTGTCTAAGCCATGACACCGTTTTTTGTGTGGTTTCCAACCAGATTGGCGAATGTCTGTTTCTCCAGAATGGGCTTCTCGACACACAATATGCTGGTTTTTCGATGGTAGCCAATCTAGAGCAAGCTTGCAGAGGCAAATACATACGGATCCGTACATATATACATTACCTACAAAAAGCCTTCAGGCAACCAAGCGCCAGGGGCTCTCTTACCAGCCAGACTTTGCCATTGGTATGGGTAGATGAGCGAGGTGTATTTCTGAAACTTTGAACAGCAAGCCATTAGACTATGGCACACCCTCAGGTTACCCTTCGAAGTCCCTACAATGGTGAACCCACCGGATTATGGAAACGGCTGGGAAAGAGAACACCAAAAACGAGAGGTATCTTCACCAACATGGGCTCAGGAGCACGGCTCACACCACCATTCTGGGGCCGGCCTCCTATCCTACAACAGCTTTGGATTGTATACAGCCAAGAGCAAGTCTGTTGTATGTGCAGCTGGCAACGTGTAACAATGCTCACGGTATGTTCATTCCCAGATGGTTACTATGGATACAACATACAGGTACTTAGGTAAACAAAGGTTTAAAGTGAAGGAAGGGGTAGCGGTCTATTCTGCCATCTGGTTGTCTCGAAAGGAAGTGCCAAATCTGCCACCACGGGTCTGTGGTCTGAGAGATAAATGCCATCATCAAAGCGATTTGGCAATATCCCAAAAGTCAGGACCTTCAGATTGAAGCTCTCTGGCTCGCAAGCAAAGAGAAAGTCGATTTTCCCAGGCCGTTCGCCAGGTTCCCCAAAAGACGTGTAAGTTATGTCTCGGTTTCCATACCAAACCTCATCCTCAGACACAAGCTCGGAGATATCCTTCATCCCTAAGCTTGGATCAGTCAACAGTTTATAGGCCTTATCGGTTTGGGTGCTGTTGAAATCTCCTCCCAAGAAGACGGGAACATTGATCTTTGCTGTCCCATCATCTCTCGTTGTCGTCGACCAGGCCCTAGCCAAGTCAATAATCAGCCTGGCACTCTCCTCTCGGGCAAGCTCTCCTCGGTGATCGAGATGAGTGTTCATCACCACAACTCTGCCTCCTGTTGCCCTGTGACGGAACAACCCCACGGTCACAACGCGGAAGCATGCTGCATCCCACCCTTTGGATGGCTTATCCGGCGTTTGAGACAGCCAGTATATCCTACTGCGGACACACTCCCAGCGGTCGGCCCGGTATAGCACGGGAGAGTATTCGCCGGCCTTGTCGCCGTCGTCTCGGCCACACCCGATGTAAGTCCATGACCCTTTGTTACCCCCCATGTTGTTCAGGCGCTCGAGTATGTCTGTTAGCTGGGAGTCCAAGACTTCCTGCAAACAGATAAAGGGCGAATCTTGGCCGGTCGTCAGGAACTTCAGCTGTCCACAGAGACGTGGGCAGCGTACTGCCCATGGTTCCTCGCCGGGATGGGGATGTTTGGTGGCATAACGGACGTTGAGTGAGATTAGACGTAGCGAGATAGTATACGCCTCGAGGGCATTGAACAATGGAGGATGGATAGAAGCCATGATTACTGTGCTGCTAGTCAGTCAACGATACCCTGGAGGTCTCGAAGAGGAGTCGTCATGCTAGAACTTTAGTCTTATCCGCCAGTCTCTTCAGATTCTAACGGGCAGATGTAGTAAGGCCTGACGCAAGTTCAGGAATCGACAAAAGACTTACAGCTTCGACCTGAACCTTCCATGCTAAAAACAGGAGACCCGGCAGTCCCCAGGAGCCCCACCCCCACTTACAGAGGGGAACATCCGAGCGCTTCTCACTGCATGCGAATCTCAGGTCCCGTACTTACTACTTTTGACTTTATCCTCACATGTCATCCGCTCATTTCGAATCGATGGACTTAGATTAGGCAGTGGTGGTCCATCCATGTTAACAACTTTAGGACCCAGTCGAATGTCAACTATTCCATCATGACTGGTTTGTTTCTCTTTAGAATGATCGGGCAATTTACGATAATGATTCATACCAGTTATATTCCACCCCCCCTCCCGGTTCTCCCGAACAAGTATTTACAGCTCGAAGACACTGTTCGATTGTGAAGGGCAAGCCCAAGTTCTAGAGAAAATTAGGTATAACTGGATGGGTAGAATCAAAAGAGCTTATTCTTGAAGTCGCATGGATAATTCATTTGCTGTACACATGCTGTAGCATCAGGCAGTAAGCTACAACAACGACCTGATAGGTCAAGGTGTGCCTGGGCAGGTACCTTGAATGGTCTTTATTGTGTTGTCTACGGCTCCGTGCTGTTAGCATCCATTATCTAGTTTTATACTTTATGGCATATCTTGCAATCAACCACCTTCCGAAGAAAGTAGCGAATCCACGTAACTCAGTTTGCCAGGTTCACTGTTTAATGCTGGTGATTTGGTTCTATCGGATTCTGAGAATGCCCGTGTTGACTATATGTGAGCACAAGCAGGTGGGCAGTGTGTTGACCGGCCCACACCACCATCCTTTGCCCAGCTGTCTAAAGTGTCACGCGTCAACGCCTACAAAGCTGAAAAGCGCTCCCCCTCCTCCCAGCCCCGGCTGCCAAATACGATAGCTAAACTGACAGTCATGCGGTCTCTTCTAGCCATTTCAGGCTGACTTGAGCAAGTCAAGTGCTTTCTAGCTGTGTCATCCAAGGCCACACTGCTCACTAGGTATTTCTCTTGTAATGATAGCAAGCCTGTTTTCCTTTTAGATCACATCACCCGAGGTGGGTATGAAGGGCGCAGCCGGACACACTAAGTAAGTCTCACTCACACATGCCCACAACAAACCCGGGTTATAACAGGGTAGCAAATGCCATGTGTTGCCTAGCAGGGCAAATCCCGCTTCAAATTTGCCCATTCCTTGACAGGTGGCCCAAAGCTTACCTAGGTAGGACCTAAATAGGAGGTAAGAACCTCGTGGCTTGGGGGGGGGGGGCTGGGCACGGGCATGGCTATCAGTTCAGAGTGAATGTTCCTGTGAGAGCACCTATCTAACATAAATAGATCTGGTACCACAACGCCCGGACGGGACTGCATCCATCCAGAGTTTCAATACCCGCACTGTTGTCTCTCCCGGAGATTTGTCGCGGAAGTTCAGTGGTACCAGCAGAGATGAGGGACCCTAAGGAGCCATCCGGCTCATGCATACCACATGGGTCTGGGCCATGGTCTCCCGTCCAAGTATACTTAGAAGTTTCAGGTTCTTCCAACGACGAGGCTATCACCAATAATTCAGATCTCGCTCACATGGGTGGAGATCCCCTTGTCTATTTCCTAACCCCAGAACCGCCATCCTATGGTATTGAAGAAAGCGGTATTAGTGATTTAGGCGATATGGACTTCCTCATGGAGTTTGACGCTGGTATTGAGGACGCAGCACACCCAAGACCTGTGGTACGCAGCGTGAGCCCATCCAACTTGGAGGGGTTCAGCCGACCTCCGGGTTTAACCACACCGCCCAAGTCACCGACGATGCCAGATTTGGACTACGATACAACTGCTACACCAGACGAGCACGACCTTCTAAGCACGCCGCCGTCCAGTTTCTCGCGCCGGCTCCAAGGCCCTGTGCTGGGACAGACGCAAGGTGACCGACCGGATGATGGTCGTTCATGGGAAGGAAGCCAAATGTTGACACCACCTTCATCCACTCTCCTAGATGGCATTCCTTGCATTGGCTTGTCTTCAACAGCATCAACATCCAACCGTGGTCGTGCTCTTAGAAGAAACTTACATCCTCGACGACGCTCACCGCACGCATGGCGCGAGCCGAGCCCCGACGTTTGGGCCATCGAAGAGGAGACGGAAGAAGAGTTGGTGAGTGATAGCCAGATGGCTATAATTACCGGCCAGAAGATGAGCGAGGAAGTAGCAGGGATAGATGTGGGCCAAATCGGAAAGCCAAAACCGACAATGAAGGAAAGGAAGTAAGTTCGATTTGTTCTGCCTGAGTGAAGTTACCATGGCATCTTGGAACTCCTGAAGCAGGGAAATGTTTTCTCTTCTGGTCTTTTATCTGCATATTGCTTTTTTGTTTTGAAGACATAAGCTTGATGATAATGACATTAGTAAAAACTGTATGTCATAAGCATGTTAATAGCAACTTTTCAAAAAGCTCTCTTTACCCGTAGATTGCTTGTGGTGAAATCAGTCCTTTTATCAATTTACTCTGAGCCCATGTTTAGTAACTAACGATTCCCTGACCGCTTACCTGATAAGAAGGTGCCTATTATCGACGTTTAATCGGTAAAGGAACGGCCTTGATGGGGGATGATTCTGAACTTCCTGACAGGTTGGTGCAAGCAAGACGAGTCTAGAAGTTTGGATACCTACATGCGCAGTAACAGGTACCAGCATGCATGCTGACCCCAACCCAAAGAACGGCAACGTGCATTGACAGGTGAAACAACATGGCCCAAAAAGGTGGAATACGGAATGGATAAGAGCTGCTGGGCACCATCAGCCCAGGCCACATTCTCCTTTCCGCTCTGACAGAGAACCTTGGAACTTGGGGTTCAGTAGCGTAAAGCCCTGGCGCTCTCTTGTGCCTCCCCATTGTCATGACGAAGCTCCACTATGGCTAGTTTTTTACACGTTAGTAAGTCCATACCAACCACAAGCACAGAGAACCTTGCTGGCTGTGGCTGATCTGATGTCACGTCTGGAAAGCTTGACAAAACGGCCAGCCAAGTTGTTCTGTGTACACTCTAAAGCACAAAGCCCCCTTTCCGAGGGTGTATCTACAATACATAGACCATACATGCACTCAGGCTGCCATCTCGGCTCATCTTCGACTTGTAAGATCCTTCGCTTGTCCATTGTTATCAAGAGCCGATTTTGCGGACTATTGAAGCTGGAGGCTGGATGTCCGCTTTTCTTCGGATGGAAGCAGAATGGTGTCCACAATCAGCAAAAGCCCCCAAGAGTTTGAGGTAAGATCGAAAAAGAGCTGGAGGATTGCCTGAGGTGAACTAAGAGAAGCAATTCATCAGACGAGAGCTTCAAATCTCGGAAGGTCGAGGCTGAACTGCTTTCCATTACCCACTGCTCATGGAGCAGGGACCAGGAGTTGATTAATGTATGCGGCAGCCCTGGCAGGTGACAGCCCGAAGCTTGGCAAAAAGTTGGTGGGTCGGTGCCAAAACTCACATCTCTGATTGGTCCCAAACAAGCACGCCAAAGCCCGGGCTGCGCTTCGGGCCAAAGAGGCTCGTGCCGTGTGTTGGTGGCGGGGGTGGGGCTGCTTGTGGATTGACTCGGGAGGTGCATCCTCCACTCAGCGTCACAACACCAGCCCAGCACTGTGTTCAGTTGCTGCTTGAAGTCACCTCAGTTTGCTCCATGCTGAGTGCATGTCCTTCTTTTTCTGCGCCCAGGTCGTCAGCTTTCCATAGTGTACCATTGAAGTGCCGCCCGAAGTTTTCCAAGCCTTTGTGCTGCCTTGGACGGCAGGTAGGCTGCGGTAGTCGATTCCCAGCCGCAAGGGGCCGCGAGCTCTCTCTTTCGGTCTCTCTACTCTCTGCCACAGCGACATCACAAGATTGCTTGTCTCTAATTCTGTGCTTGATACCTTTCTTTTCTGGTCGCTTGAGACAGCAATCCAGCGCCCCCTCCGTTGCACTGCGTGCGGGTCTCTGCAGCACACACCTAACCCGCTTTGCAGTTGGTCCGGTTGCAGCAGAACGGCAAGGACCTGCTCTGCGCAACATTCCAAGCTGCCCGCTTTCCATTAGCACAAACCCAGACGCCGGGGTAGGGTGAGACCGGAGCAAGGAATGTCCAGTTCCCACTGAGGTTGTTGCTTTGTTGATGGGATTCGTATGATTCTAAAAGGCTGGAATTTGGGCGAGCTGGCGCTTTCTGGTCATTGGCTCGGTCGCCGTGGCACGGGGACTTGGGGGGCTTCTCAGACGTGTGGTTTCCGCGGCGCCGCTGCGCTCCCATTTGTTTGTTGACTCCGGAAGCGCAATTCCCATCACACGTTCCGCGCGACCCCGATTAGCTCTCTCCTTCTCTTTCAGATAACTCGATAAACAGACGTATCGAAGAGCAAAAGTTCAGGGACATTTCAACAAGAAGCAACACTTCTCGCGTCGCTTGCTGTCGCCGAAGTCGTGGAATGCGGGTCGCGAACGCAGACCGTCCCCCCCTTCGTCGCATGGTCTAGAAACATGTCACCAGCGCAACAAGAAGAGACAGCTCCAGCCGCAAAATCAGACTCCTCTCAATGCGCCGCCGCCGTTAATCATGCCACCGCGAGTGCGACGACACCAACAACCAAGCGGGCTTCGGCCCAGGCCAAACCCAGGCCGAAGAGCGCACCGGCTGCCCCGAACCGAGCATCAACTCATAAGAGGAAGCAGCCTGAACCTAGCTTGCTGGTCGACTTCTTTCTTGGTCGCCCATCGCCAGCGCGCGTCGCAGCGCAGCGTGAAGCATGGAAGCAACGGCGGAAATCAATATCTGCAGATGCCGCGCATGTGCGAGAGGAGTTGCGGCAAGAGATGCGTGCTGCGGCAATGCGAAGACTTCAGCAGCCTGGGCGAGTCGCCGATAAGGTATTGGCGTGGCAGAAGAAGAACGCGGAAGCAATGAAGGCTTATGGCGGTGGGGTTCCTCGGGCAGAGGATGCTGCAACAGAGCCAACGGAAGTCGCCGTTAATCTTTCGCCTGCCAGTGTCACCGAAGAAGACCGCATGCGCATTGGAGGGCGAGATAAGGTAAAGAAAAAGAAGCCGATGACAGGGGCTGCTGGGGAAAAGGATAAGGAAAACCAGAGCGCGGGGGAGAAGACCGAGGGCAATGGACAATCTTCGAAGGCGAGACTCCCGAGTAACCGGTCATCGCAATCGTCTATTCCTCTTGTAGTCAAAACCGCGCCAAAGAAGAGAATCGTGAGCGATGATCACTGGATGAAACGGGGGCAGTCCAAGACGACACCATCTGCAAGCAGTCCTGCGAAGCCAAAAGTGCAAGCGAAGCCAGCTCCCATCCCAAAAGACTTCTTGAAGCGAACCGCTCAGAACCCTTCGGTGCAGAGTAAGATCAGAGATTGGGCCCAACGGCTCGAGACATCGACCACTTCTCCTCCTCCGCCTCGGGTCAGGGAATGCTGTCGCAAGAAGTCTGCGGATAAGATGGCGCTCTCAGAGAATTCCTCGAGCAGCGCCGTAACATCTGACACGGAGTCCACCAAAACGCCGGAAGCCAAGGTCGACAATGGAAAAGTGAAAACTGCAAAGCCAACAACTTCAAAATCCGATGTCGATGACGGTATCAGGGTCAAACCTTTGATGGCATCAAAGTCCAAGCCTGATATTAATGATAGAATTCGCGTCACACCAGTCTTCGAGAAGGAACAAAAGGGTAGCAATCCCAATCCGCGGCCTATGCAGAGCACGGCATCCGATGATGGGATCAGAGTCCGAGCATTGGACGATCCCAAATCAGGTGATGGCATTAGAGTTCAGCCGCTTGATCCCAGTTCCGAGGACGATAAGTCCGTTGAGAAGTTCATGGAGAAGGATATTGCCGGCAGCAAGGCTAGTAAAAAAGTCCCAACCAAGAAGACGGCCGATAAGCTCCGTCAGAAAAAGGAGACTGAACAGGGCTTCAAGAAGCCTAGCCAAAGTATGCCCGGGAGAAAGTCTCCCATCGAGAAGACTGCAGACGTACCAACAACCAAGGAAAAGCCCGTTGAGGGGAAGACGACGACAACCACTGTCAAGTCATCCGAAGCGAAGCCCTTCAAAGAAGCAGCGGAGAAACGGCTTGCCAAGCAGAAGTCTGTTGAAAGAAAAGCCCCGTATTCTTCGTCAAAGACCACTCCCGTTGAGAGGAATTCGAGTCCCTCTAGGCCGGCGAGCACACCCAAATCTTCAGGTCAGAACATCCTGGAGTCAAACGTTGAAGATGAGACACCTGTCAAGAGAAGGCCTTCTCGGAGGCATTCGAGACGTCGCCCACGAAGCCCAAGTCCGGCCAGACGAGAAGAGGGTTTGCATGAAAAGCAGCACCGTGAATCATATTCGGACTTGTCTGGGGATGAGTCGGATAGAGTACCGCCAACTATCTTAGGAAACAAGTCATTGCCAGAAATACCGTTCGGTTCCTCTGCATTTAGTGTACTTGACTTGTCCTTGGGCACCGATCCCCAGCAGACCAAAAAACCGAAACCTCAGCGAACCCCGAGTCTCAAGGCAGTGCCTAAGGTGATCAAGAAGGTGGTGGCGGGTGCAAAAGAGATACTTCAAGAGAGTCTCGAACCCCCTCGACCACCCCCGACCGCCAACAAGCCTCAGACCATAGAATCATGGCTTAACTCAACTGTTGACCCCTTTGTGGATGCCGCGTCACCGCCAACAGTCGAGCCAATTGAGAGGGAAGCGAAGGCAGAACCCACGAAGCCAACCCCAGAAGCTGTTAAGCCGCCTATTGGACTTGAGAAGAGACCACCATCACGGGCACAGCAAGATAGCCGGCAGCATGAAGCAGCGCTCTCCACGACTCCAAAACCAGGACAGAGCCGCGAAAAGGTATCTGTGCAGTCAGAGGACCATGAAGCAACCACCAGTACGACGAAGACGACTCAAACTCCTCAATCGGTGGGCCTGAGAAGAAGCAAAGCCACAAGAAAGCCTACTATTCCGACAAAGCCAGCTACCAAGAACCCTCTCCGCGACTTTCTGAAAGAGGCCTTCTCGGGAGAGTCCGGAAAACATAAGTTTTCTCCCACAGAATACCACAGCTGTGAGGCCGACAAGCAGTCCGCATACCTAGAAAGTGATTGGGATTCGACAGAAGAGCCCCAACGACGTCCCGGTCCGGCTCAAAGCGATTACTCTTCCGCTTATGGATCAACCCTGTCCTCCGAGACCTCCAGTCATCCTCCTCCAAGGCGGCGGCCGCCAACCAACGGGATTCATGAGCTCTCCACGATCGCGTCTGAAGAGCCCAGAAGCGTAGCAACGTTTGAAACAGCTTCCGATGTCTCCCAATCTACCATAACTCGAACGACTGCCGTTGCCAAGCCAACCGAGGTGTCAAGGCAAAGGAGCCAAAAGTGCGGGCTCAAACGCCGCCTTACCAAGCACTCAGACCTTGTGTCTGTACTCTCACATCTTGACGACGGCCATCCCCCAGCTCGCTCCAGGAGCGCCAGGTCATCCAGAAGCATCCGTCGCAAGCCAAGCAAAGCCAGCAGGCAAAAGGCGGACGATCTTTTGGAGGACTTTGCTGATGATGAGTACTACTACGGCAAAGAGCTCAAGACACTCGTCGATGGTGTCATCCCAGTGCTGCTGAGAGATATTATGAATGGTGATTTTGGAGGTACCAAGGCGGATGTTACTGCAAAGTCGGTCGTCAATATGGGTATGACACTGGAAAAGCTCAAGAACTCTCACAAGCAGGTACCACTGGCTGATTTGGATGAACTTTTTGTCTGGCTGGACAATATATCTTCGATATATGATCACTACTTTGATGTTTGGCGACTCGGTTTCCACGGCATTATTATCAACCTGGCACCCAGGCTCAAGAATCCAAAGGACAATGACTCGCTTTTGGAGGCCGTCAGCTGGAATGAAGATGGCGATGTTATCATGGAGACTGGCGAACGGGTGGACGTTGCGTTCCTGCTCAAACGTCCCTTGGTCAGGGTCAAGTGGATAGTCAAGTTCCTCAAGGTGAGTCTGGTCGCTACCTCTCAATCTTGCAACTTTTCTGACTCCGATAAACCAGGCCGCGGTTGAGGTCACCGGGTCATCGGAAGCCCGTCGACTAGTCGGTGTCTACGAAGATCTCCAACAGAAGGCTCGGAAACGGTACCGGGAAGAGACTGCTCGTATGATGGACGAAGACGCCAACAATACTGACACTACTCGTTGCCGAGATCTCCGTACACTCTTCCCACTCGAGGGCGTCGTGGTAAACAAGTTGCGGCAGGTTGTTGCGCTCGATGTCTTCGAACTGGACTTGCGCCACTCTAGCGGCCAAAGGTTGGAATGCCGAGTTGAGTTGATTTTTAGGGACAATCCGGCGCTCCCTAGCGACAAGGGCGACATCTTGATTCGAGAAATCGGAAATGGCACTCGTTCATGGCTGCTTTTTCCCCCGGTGCCCAGACAATATATCTCGGCACGAAGGGATGATGATGGTCGATCCCTCACAGCTATGATCCGCGGCACACACAATGGCATTGAGTGGTATGAGTTGCTCAAGTTCTCTTCAACGAGCGAGGAGCAGATCGATTATTGGTTGAATGTGTTGGGAACTCATCCTCTTCCACCTACAACTCGAAGCAGGCCGGTAAGCATGGTGGTGGAACCAAGTCCATCCAAGCCAGATGGACTGCCAGTAGACATCCCGGTGGGAGAGCGCAGACTTCACCAGAGCAGGACAGAGACACGTGAAGACCCTCAGACTCACCCACAACATGACTCTCAGCCCGCCAAAGGGTCTTCAACTTCGCCCCTGAAGACCGTTCCCAGCCAGCATCCTCCTCAAGCTCCTCGTCCTGGCAGCACACCAATTCAATCGTTGGAGAGCTCCCCCATTGACATTGATACACCGCGACTTGCGAGACCTACCCCGAATTCGACACCATATCGTGCAGATGGTGCTCCTCCTCCACCAATTCATCGGACCCTTGGTCCCTTAAACTCGGGCTTGCTTGTACCACCGGTTGACTTTGCTTTCCGCACCCGACTGAGGAGGAAAACATCCTCTCCACTCAAGCATGAGTACCATCCATCAGATGTCTCGTCCGAAAGTTCAAGTTCCCTCAGCAGTGATGAGGATGATGTACGCCCTGATGACGACGACGATAGCGACGAAGTTTCTTCTGAAACTTCGGAAAGCTCCTCCAGTGAGGATGAACTTGAGGATGATGAGATCCCCGACACGATTCCGGGGTACAGCATCAAGGAAGACTCCAACCCGGCTGCAACTGTTTTCTCTGAGAACACTATTCTGCCGGAGCACTCTGCTTCTCAAGTAGCAGGTGCGGCCGACCGGGACCAAGCTCAAACAGAGCCGGATATCCAGCGATTTGTGGCATCCGTTTCATACTGGTCAAGCCGGAAGGGTGTGTGGAAAGATATCAACGATGGCCAACCGGCATCAATTTTGGTCCACCCTGGCTGTATGGAAGTGCACGTGTTTGACGAGCAACATGCCATTCGTCAGGCATACCAGTTGCAGACATCGTCCCTTTCCCGAACTGCCAATACGGACAAGGAGGCACCCCTCATTCTATTGGTGTTGACTCCGGTGGTTATGATCCGCCGCAGCACAGCAGTTGACCTCGAGGTCCGTAGCCCGGCGTCTCCCGAATCGCGGCTGAAGATTGATGCGACGATGTTCCGATTCCGAGCTGCCAACTTGGTGGAGGCTAAGGATCTTTATGACGCAGTCCACTTTAGCAGATTGAATAATTCACGGTATATTCAACTGAGTGAGGAAGCTCGTGTGCGTGCATTTGGTCAGATGCATGCGCAAGGCGAAGAGGACAGCATGGATGGTGATAATTCAAGCCACCGGCGGAGTTGGTTCGGGCGCAAAAACAGCTACCGTGCATCTGCACGTGCGCCCAGTGTTTCTCAGGGGAGCCTGTCTACAACGATATCTGCAGGTAGCTTCCTGCGACGACTGCTCGGCGGGGGCAATAACTCTTTCAATATTGACGAGTCATCCATCGACAGACAAAGCCATCCCGCATCGCATGGAGGGCCGGGCCTCTGCACCCCCAGCGGTTACTCTCTCTCAGGAACTAATATCTCTCCTCCCCGATCTGTTTCACTCTCCGGATCCGGCAAGAGTCTCAGTCAAAGCATTCAAAGCAGGCTCAGCAACGGTTTTGGCAGATCACCTGATAATCCCTTTCTCATTCGCTGCCATCTGAATGTCGCCAACAACCGCTGGCTTGATAAAGGCGACTGCATTCTTCACATCAGCCGACCGCCGCCGGGCGTCCGCCAAGAGCTGTCGCTGTATAATGGGCTTGAGAAGCGCATCGTCGTGACTCACGCAACTAAGAAGCAAAAGAAGGGCGTCATTGGAGGGAACGATGAAGGCACTCCACTGATCCTGCTTGACGCTGTGCTCGGCAGCAAATGCTTCAGCATGCTGGGTAGCAAGGGTATTATGTGCAGCGTGTGGGAGAATCTGAGAGATGAAGAAGGAAACATTGGTGTTGCGCCACGCAACGGGGCCATTGCCGGCCGTGTAACGAAGTGGTGTTTCCAGTGCAAGAGCGGGCAGCAGGCCCAGTGGATTATGGGCCTGTTGACGGCAGAGGTGCCAGGGTTGATTTAAGGGTTTGAGGGGAATATTACATATAAGGAGGGAGATAAAGGAGAGGAGTCCTACGTAAGTCGGAGTTTTCGCGATACTCCCATTGTGGCATGGCGGTATGGTGGGATGGGATGATCTGGACAGGCAAGGACTTGGCAATGGAGTTTGTGGATTACACTATGTGGCATTCTAGTATATACCATAATGTGATGTTTGATATAAGTGTTGTTTCATAGACATAATTTCAAGCAAAACTGTCAACTGTTACAAATAGGTACCAGGCAGGTAGACTTGGTGTTGGAGCGGGTTAGACTTATTGGCCCCAGTGCCACCATAATATGTCTACGCACATACTTCTGTGGGTATCTACAAACGGCGAGAGGCTTTTACTAGGACACGCACAGTCTTCGTTTCAACAACTATCAAGGCAGAGCTTCCGATCCTCTTTTGGATGATGCGGTACGTATTGTGGCCGCTATGGCCGCTGTGGCCAGGGCTCACAGCACAGAACCACTGAGGGTTAGGGTTCAGCTTGTGCGTAGGGGAGGGTCAAAATTGGAAAGAGTAGTGCAAAACATAAGGGTTGCTTGGGTAACTCTTACTTCATCTAACTGGCAATTCTCAGAAAGTTGTCTTTTCCATGGACACAATAGGTAAGCAAGCCTACACAACAAACCACTCAGCAAAGTGCCGACGAGTGAGGGCTAGATAATAATGGTGTCCTAGGTATTGTTCGGCTTCATATCAGGGCGTGCGGCCCTCTGTGGTTGCATCCTCTGTCCAAAGATAGGGACAGCCAATGAAAGTCGATTGCGTGTGCTCAAGGTGGGTCCAATCTGTTGGTCTGTCGCAAGTTCACAGCCGCCTTGCCCTTGCATTTCAGTGACGCGTTCCCTTGCGCGCCTTTTCCTAGAAACCTCCCGGGCCTCACAGCCATCGCTCGTGTCAAATCTACGCCTTGCAACTCTCAGCAGCCACAGCGGATTTTCTGACTTTAAATACCTCTCAGAAACTCAATCTAACAACACCTGGCAGAGCACTTTTCTAAATTTTTTTTGCTCGTCCCTCTCTCCGTTTTTGTTTTTAACCTTGCTGAGACAGTAAAGACTGTCGCGCCGCCGTCTCCACAATGGTCGACTACAGCTCTATGAAAGTTCCCGAGCTCAAGAAGCTTCTCTCCGAGCGTAGCCTCCCTCAGTCTGGCAATAAGGCAGACCTTATCGCCCGTCTCCAAGAGTACGACAAGCAACTGGCTGCCAAAAATGCGGAGCCGCAGGCCGGTAAGCCTTCTACCTTCGAAGTCCTCTCACGAAGCGCCGACGACCCATGACTTCACGTCCTTATCATTTCCTCTGTTTTCTTTTGGCGTCGCGAGTGCCGGGTTCATCACAAGTACCATCCGGCGACTCGCTTCCTGAACATTGCGCAAAGACCGCCTTCTCAGATCCGTCGCTCGATCGGCGAGAGACGATCCTGAAACCCCCTCGCTGACCACAAACCCAACGAGCAATCAGACTCCAAGAAGCCTGCTCCTGCTGAGGATGAGATCGATTACGAGGATGACGACCTTCCGGCGACCACAACTACCACTACCGCGACCAAAGACAACAAGGATACCGTAGCCGAGAAGCCTGCGGCCAACGAGAACGCACCATCTGCTGTCTCGGCTCCCACTGCCAGTACCGAGGAAAAGAAGACGGAGCCTGCCGCTACAACTTCTGCAACAACATCCGAGAAAGCCGCAGAAGAGAAGAAAACTGAAGATGCCGCCACTGCCAAGACGACATCGTCCTTCACACAGAACCTTCCTCCCACCGACGCGAAGACGGAAGCCGAAAAGCGCGCTGCGCGCGCCGCCCGTTTTGGTTTGGATGTCCAGTCGGAAGAAGCCAAAAAGGCTGCTCGCGCGGCTAGATTTGGCCTGCCGCAGGAGGCAGTGGCCGCTCTCGACAGTGCTCTGCCCGAGCGTGTTCCTCGTAAACGTGGTCGCAGTGGTGAGGGTGACAGCGAGGCCCGTGACAACAAGAGGCGCGATCGTCACGGTCCCGCTGGTCGGAATCACCAAGGCCGCGTTAGTTCTGGTCGGCATCAGCCTCGTCGTGGCGGCGGCGGTGGTGGAAACAGGGGCAATGGGTACGCCAATGCCAGGAAGGGCAACAACAACGGCCCGAAGCCTGCAGTTAAGAAAATCGCGGATGATCCGGTTGAGAGGGCGAAGATGGAGGCCAGAGCTAAAAGGTTCGCTGCCAAGCCTGCTTCTTCTTAAGGCTTGAGGGAGGCCGGATTGCTTTGAAGGGAGAGATATCGATGACTGAGTGACTTTGCAATCGTGTACGGCTGAATCGTTCCTGCAAGCTTGCTTGTTCACTCTTCTCCTTTCCCTCTCCATGTCTTCATCAGAGTTGCGCCCACGTTTGCCATGCCCTTGTTCTTGTGGCTAGTCTTGGGGCTGGACGAGACGATATGGCTGGCGATGAATGAGGGTTATGAACAAGATGACATTGGAAGGACTGTAATGATGAGAGAGGACGGGCATGTTCCCCCATCATGTTACGGCTATCCGCTTGCATAATTTCCATTACCTCACTTTTCCTTCTTTTCGTCCTTCCTGTGATTTCTGCTTCATCTTTGTTCCGTTGGGAAGTGGAAGGTGTGGGAACTCGTGTGTCAATGGGATGGATAAACAGACAGATAATGTGCTTTAAAATTCGGGCGTTATTGGTCATAACTCTCTACTGGTAAACTGGTGATGTCTTCAGCTTTTAATGGTGGGCATGTTGCTGAATCAAAGCCAGACAGTCAACAACGGCAACGACCATGTGTATTGGTTCCGCTAGCTCATTGGGTATATCTGCGCAGCCTGAGTTCCATACATGCAGATTCTATTCTCCCATAAGCTTTGTACCATTGGGCATTGATCTACAACATTGCCCGCCGACTGAGTAAAGCTCCGGTCGCGGAGCAGCAACGCGACACAACTGTATCATCAGCTACCAGTTAACAATTGGCACTCTGACGTAATTACCTAGTTATCTAAGGACTTGTGTTGCCTCAAGAGGTAAAGATAGGCTCAGGCAGATAGGTGACGGCTCCGCAGATACCTACCTAGCTTGGCCGTAGTAAAGATAGGAAAGAGCCGTGAGAAACATGATCATCGGCCTACCGTAGGTAGTGCTGTCACTAGTTCGATGAGAATAGATAAGAATTGAGGTGGTATATGAAGTTGATGGACAATTATCAGTTCAGAGTGCAGTCGACAGGTTGCTCTGGCAGGTCTGACAAGTTGTGAGCTTAGAGTTCCGCCCAGAGAAAGGATGTAGACAAGTAATCGTTCTTAAGTTAGCCCCTGGCGTTGTTAACCGTAGCCACCATTCCTGACCTAGACCAGTCCAGGCCAAGAGTTCACCCTACAATGGTGGAAAGCACATCTTCGATACTTCCTGACTCGACATTCTGAAGTTCTTGCCATAGGCGGTGGGTTACACCAAGACTGGCCACGGAACATGGGCGCGACATCATCTTTGATGGACAAGAACCAGACAAGAAGAGGGAAGCTCGCTTTGGAAATGCAAAGGACTTCTGGGAGTTTGGTCTCGGGATGGCCACCCTACTTGTTATGCAAACCTGAGAGCACTGGTTCCTACATCGTATGCTCAAGAAGACCCAGATATCGAACGTCTAAAATGTCAGGCATGTACCCTGGTAGTAAGTGACAACTCTTTCATACAGGCTTAAAAAGGCAGTCAGGCGATCACGTTACGGACAAGGCAAACCTAGAGTACATGACTTGCAGGTGTTTGTGTGACGGGTCGGCTGCGTGTTTGGTACTGGACCGCAGATCAGAGAAGTAAGGAGTAAAGGAGAAGGCGGTGTTAGTCACGGCTGTAGGGTGCAGACTGCGCGGACCTTCAGGCTGCTATTATGTTCCATTCTGCGTTGTGCATGACGAGATTACTTGATCTTATCAGACAGGCTTGGACTTACTCTTACTTCATTTCGATCAATCCCTTCGGATGTGAGCATGCTCGTTGGATGTTGTCAGTAAAGAATGAGGACAACCTGCCAAGGCCAAGAACAAGTGACGCAAGAGGGCTCCTGCTACTCAGTTGCCAGTCCTTTAGCTTCCTACCAGGTAGCCACTCAAATCGCTTAGAATCGACCAGTGAGATATGAGACCGGCTTTCCTCCGTGTCCCTGGTTAGCGTTCTCCACCGGTCTTACAACTGGACCACAGGCGTAAATTCTTCAGGTGAGTCACCTTGCACAGAAGCGAGGGCGAATTTTCCTTTTTAAACGGCTCGAGAACTATGAATTTAAACGCCACGTCAGTAGTTCCGAGTGCTATCAATAGACGAGGCGAACGAGGGCGGCTTTGATCCAAACGTGGACTGTGGCTGAGTGCCGACGGGGGATGGGCTTTTGGTATCTAGGCCTTCTTCAGGGAGACGAGTGCCACGGCTGAAGAGCAAAAAGGCATCAGCGGTACAACATACCGCCATATGTCCCGCAGCATGCAGATTGTGCCCAAACAATGACCCAACACTCTGGGAGCATCGACAAGGTTGTCCATTGTCTTCGATCCGGCGGTCGGTGAGCTGATCGGCAACACATGAGGTGGTACAACATCCCCCAAGTCAGCCTTGCCCCGCGCACGAGGGAGCCTCATGTCCGCGCGTTGACGATGCCAACTCATCAGGCTCAAGTTCTCATGACTCTGAGTCCTGGAGAATTGCGTCATAGCTCCATGCTAGTCCTAACAATCAAATAGCGAAAATTTGAAGGCTGGAACTAAGAGTAGCCCGGCGAGTTTGTTTGCTGATATCATGGACTCGGCAGGTGTATGCTCTAGTGCCTAGTGCCATACTCTGTGTATTGGCAGGGTCCAAATCTCAAAACTTTGATCCGTTCGGCAGCCGGATCGCCCATTCGCATAAACGCCCGTTATTTGATCAGAGCAAAGAGCGGGGTTTATGTTTGGAGCGGCTTTCATCGGCCAATATCCTGCGTTCCCATCGTGGAGCCGGAACTTTGGCCTACCCGAGTGATACGGTTCGACGCTTCCCCAACGTACACAATTGACTCTGATCCTTACGGCTAATCTCTAGGAAATGCAGTCGGGGTCTGCCAGGGGCAGCGAAACATGCTTCGTTGCTCAGAGACTCGCATCAGTAGCAATATAAAGAACACAAAAGAGCACATGCATACCTCGGTACCTACATAGCAGGGCGTATGTAGCGTAATACTTGTGGTTGCTGGGTGAGACATGCATGTGTCAAGTAGTGCGATCGAGAAGCAAATCGATCGTCTTTTAAGCGCATTGAACAAGGGCAGCATACAGGTTGCTTGGAAAGAGTTCCAGGCGACTAACAAGAGTAGAGCCCCGAAGATGTGAGCAACGATGATGTACATGCTGCTCAGTGGAAGGAGGGATGTCATTAGACAAACAGCTTCGAAACTTCGGCCAATCGCAGAGTGTAGAGGCTCTGAAACTCTAGTCACCCCACGGAACCCATTCTCCTGTTTACGTTAATTGGAACACAAGGGAGACGCCGTCGAAAAAAAAAAAAAGCCAGCTGGCGCTGTTAGGCTAAATCAGCCGTTTATCTTGTTATGTCTTGGATGTTGGGGTAAAAGGAGAAAGGGGCAGGAGAGGATTGTGGAATGGATGTTGACCTATATAGTCCAGAATTATAGGACCTCAACAATACGCATGAATTACAACCTACAGTGCCCTCGCCAACGATTAGATACGAAGGTATTTACGCCTGACTTGGCACCGAAGTACTACTTACAAGGAGACTATGAACCCTGAGCATTCGCATGTTGGACCTGTGGTCTGTGGGAGCTTCCTCCAATGCCCAAAGTCTAGCAGGCTCTCTGTACGCATACCTACATTCACAAACGGCGAACCCTCAACGAGGCACTGTTGGGTGGGTGACGTTGACTGGTGACTGGAATCCCGTCCAGGTCTGACTCTACGATCCAAGACATTCCCTTGCCGGCCTGTTCATGCACCTTTGCGCTAGGCCAGCCCACCTGGAAAGTCGACGCGAAGGGAGGTGGCAAACTTCCAAAAGAGTCTCCCCATCTGGGGCAATATCGCACTATCCTAAAGTCAACACGGAATGTTGGACTACAGCAGTAGGGGCTAAGATAAAACGCAGGCTGCTTGCGCTATGTTATAGGCACGATGCACGCAAGGAGCAAACAGTTTGGGAAGAGCTTGCTCAGCTCCAGGCTCGAGAGACGAATGTACGATCTAAACAGCCCAGTAACAGCAACCCAGCTCATGTTGAATGTTCACGGTCTAATCAAAGAGATGAAACAGATGACTGGGAAGCCGCTGTGCACTCAGGGTCAAGTAATCCGTACGAATCCGCACTGTGCAGACGATCGAAGACTTCAATCGCTGGGAATATAGACCTGCGGCCCAATGGCACTGCAAAGTGCTTTCTCTGGATCCTCATAGGACACCGGTTGTATGCAAAGCCCAGGACTGGTCCAGTCCTTGGGCGAGTCTTGAGCACATGGGGGTGCGAGAGACCTGCAGGGCAAGCGTCTAGCAGCCCACGGCGGGACTGATGAGCTGTGGATTGGCTTTCGCCTGAAAACCCCACCAAGCTGCTTGTCGTCGCTCCTGCCAAGGCCAGACCCACTTTTTAGCTCAGCATTCCAAGTTGGGACCACAGTCAAAGCCCAAGTGCAAACACAGGACGCTCGGCTGCCTCGCAGGAGCGTGCATGAAGCACGCCTCACCCGCCGGTTCCCTCGTACATCGCTTTCCTCCGTGCCGGACAGCTCATCAGTGGCTGGTGTTTACGTTCCCACGCGCCGACTGGAACCGTTAGCCCAGCAGCAGCGGATCCTCGCTCGTCTTCTGCTCTCGTCGCGGCTAGTCCACATGACTTTGGCGACGTCGTCGCTTGTGGTTGCAGGGCGGGCCCGAGAGGCTTGCCCTGATGTCTACATACGTCCCACAATATCTACGACGCTACGCCACTCAGGCGAAGGGAAGATTTGCAGAAGCATAGCCTGTACAAGCGTATGTATCTTGCTCTGCTCCTCTCTCCGAGCCTGGAGCTCTCATTTTTTTTTTGGTCCGGGACGATGATTTTCATAGCCCGGGCTTGGCCGACATCAGCTATCAACACCCCGGCGATCGGACGACAGGCTGGCATCGATTAACTAAAGCCTGTCTCTTCACCGTCTTCTTGCCGTTTTGTAACGTTCTGCTCTTCTTGCTCTCTGTATTGACTGCCAGCGCTGTGGCCTCTGGTGTTGGTGTTGTCATTTCCCTCTCCATCTCCACTGCTGAGTTGGCAAGTTTGGGAGGCAACTCGTCCACTCTGTGCTCTTCCTTTGCCTGCCAAAGTTACCCTCTGTGGCCCCGAAAACATACCATATCTCCAGCCTTCTTCTTCTTTTTACCCTTGTGTTTCTTCTGGAAACACAGATCGAGCTGGACTCAGAATCAAACTAAGACGGCGCCAGCGCTTGTTGCCCTCTCCCACCATCGCCCCCCTTCCCTTCCAAAGTGTGCTTGCAAGCTTGTGTGACACACCAGTCCCTCGCTCCCTCATCCCCCTCAACACTCTGAGCTTGGCTCTGCAGGATTCTGATAACAAGCGCAGTCCCAAGGCTCATCTGTTGATCCTTCTTTTTATCTTTTGGGCTTCTTTTCTCCTTTGTGTTTGAGAGCTGCCGGTCTGCTCGCTTCTCACAACCCCTCCCTGCTTTTGGAAGGTTTTGCATAGGCTACACTATTGGCAGCCTAGTAATTGGACTTCTGGCCTAATATTGGAACTATATACGTCTTGTAGCAAGGCCAGCCGGAGACTTTTTGATACAATCTGAACGTTATGGCCAAGTGGATGGGCCCTTGAGCTCAAGGTTGTCCAGCTCGCTTCTGACCGGTCTCAAAACTTTGAACTAACTCCCACCAGATACAAGTGCCGTGCCTTTCACGCCACATCTCATGTCACGAGTTCACTGAGCAGCGGTGATTATGGTCCAAAAGCCGAGTCCGCCAAAGGCAACAAAACAACAATGGCTTCCAGGAGGCCAGGGGTGCATAATTTTGGATGGTCGGGAAGCACTGGGTCAAAGGAACCGCGAGTGGCAACGGAAATTCGGAGAACAATCAAGACAGGCATCAAATTTCCGGAGAAGGAGACCGAGCCAAGTCCCCGGTCGATCCGGGCCCTACCACAACCCAGCGTCTCCAACCGACTACCACAACCTTCATCTCATCGACGCCTGACAGACAGCAAATCCGAGGAACCACGTCTTGTCCAGCGACATCGGTCTCAAGATTCCGCTGGAAGTTCCCGCAGCTTGTCGTCAAAGAGTCCCTCTGGGCCGTCCTCCTCAATTCCATCATCCACCAAGCTTTCAACTTCTGCTCTCAAGACTCGAAAGGTTCTAAGACGAAAACGTTCAGGACTGTCACAAGATACAGCTTCCAGCCAAGCCCATGCCCACAATGACTCGACTGGAACGATTTCTTCGGCTTCGCAGCCTCGGTCCCAGACCCCTTTGGACCTTTCAACGACTGTCCAGATTGATCGAGACTTGGCACAGAGCCCAACAGAAATCAGGGTAGCACAGCAGGTTGAAATATCCAAGAGCCAGGCAGTCACCATATATCCAGAACTGGACAGATACAGAGATGTCTCTACTCAGAATCGAGCCGAAACTCCCGGTTCCAATGTCCCTCCTCGGATAACTACTGACGATCTCCCCCCTCCAACGCCTTTGTTCTCCGGAAACAGCAGTCAAAGTGCCTTCAGTGGCAGCCCTTCGACGAGATGGTCTGAATCACCAGGCCCTGGTCCTTATAGCCGGGACACCACACCCACATCCTTCTCATCACACTCTCCAGGACTTGTGGCACCTATACGTATCGCTCCGTCTGGCTCCCTAAGTCGGCCGCCGGTAACGCGAAGAAGAGCTGGAAGTCTCTCCAATGAGGTCGTCTCGCCAGGTCCTGATCCACAGGGCCTACCAGCCGTCAAAGAGCTGCCTAGCTCTGCTTCCTCCAACTCGACAGTTCGTGCCACAGAGAAGGATTCAAGCATGCAGAAGATCAATACGCTACCCGTTCCGAACTCTGATGAGAGCCGAGAAGTTGGATCGCCATCCAATACTTCACTCAAGCCTTCACACCACCAAATAACATCAGCGCCTCTGGGACGCACTAATTCAGTTGCACGGTCACGCTTACCTAAAGCAACACAACCAGCCGCTTCTGCAAGGCCAACTCCTCCCCCGAGACCTAGCCGCGATGGCACTCCCGATCTGCAAGGGCAGCTAGAGCTTCCAATCCCAATAATCCATAGCAACCTGTCTGTAACTTCTATACCGGAGAGGCGAGAAAGTGGTCAGTTGATTCCAACTTCTTCCAGCAGGTCAGGATCTGTGTCAGCTCCGTCAGATCGGACAACTCATTCGAGGACTTCATCAAAAGAGGCTGGGTTGCCAACATTGACAACCGGCGAGGGTGTAAGGATTCCATCAAGACAAGGCTCGTCTGGACCAACTCGAACACCAAGTCCTGCTATTTCGACTTTCAAATCTAGATTTGGGCTTTTCGGCAGGCGGGCCAAAACGGCTCCTGAGCCAGCGCCACAGGTGAGAAAGGAAGATAAAAAGGACCGACCGCCAAGAAAGGGGCCAGCAGCTGGGACAGGGCATGAAGGCTATGGACGAATTGGCTCAGTGCGCCGGAAGACTAGTCTTTCACATGCGAGCCGCGCAATTCCTGGTACAATGTCCTCGCAGGACAGCTCTAGCAGCAATCAGTCTTTGGATAAGTTCTTGAAGGAGAGGATGGCTCCGGTCATCATCGCTGGTGGCGAGGTTATCGAAAACAGGAACCTGAGCATGGAACTCTCCCGCACTGAAAGCAACAGAAGCTCTGTTTTCCGACGGCCGAGTGTTGAGTCTCGAAACAGCTCCCAGGTGTCCTTGGCGTCTCGTGAAGTCCCCAAGAGAACCTTATGGCCATCCCCGTTTCCCCGAAATTCCGGGCAAAGCTCATCGCTAAGTGCCCGTCGACCCTCTGAGAGCAGCGAGTCTGATTTCCCTGGGAAAAAGCCGACCATAGCGCTTAGAAGATCCATACAAAGACTCAAGTCTGGAAAGCAGGATTCGCCGAAAATACCCAAGCCGATCATTACTACAACTCCTGTTATGTCACCACCGTTGACGAGTTTGGATGCCAGCATCCTGTCAAATGACTCCCTCGCAGAACCTTCGATGATCCCAAACGCTGTATCATCCGCTTCGACAGATCTCTCCGCCCCTAAGAAGCTCATCAAAAAGGCGCGAACTCCGAGGTGTTGGAATCTGTTTGGTCGATCACAGGCCGAGAAGGACGAGTCTGCGCCAAAAACCGTGACTGCCACTGTCAAGGTTGTACCGAGCAAGCCGGTTGCGTTCTACACTATATTGGACGGATCAGAGCAGGATGACAATGAATCGTTGGATGTGGAAGAGGTTCTCCGTGAGGCCAAGGTCATACCTGATACCTTGGGACAAAATGGAAGCAGAAGACCGCCTGTGGTTCAGAACTCGACCACAGCTGCCTCTCCGAGTACCGCTCAGCCTGTTTTTGAGCCAGCAACCAGGGTCGGGCGAGCTGCGACAGTCCCAGAAACGATTCCGAATCAGCGTCTTGCGTCTACTTCACAGGCGGACCCTCTCCCGGCATCAGAACAACAGCCTACCTCGACGGATACCACCAAGGTGACGAGCCGGCCAAGTAGGCTTCCACAGATCGGCCGCATCCCGAAGGTTGGGAGCACCAAAACTACCCTGACGTCCCCAAAGAGTTCCTCATCGAGACAAATCACTCGGCTCAGCACACTGAAAACATCACCAAAGCCTGTCACCCAAGACGATTCGAAGGGCAAGGAGCCCAGCGTTCCTAGTCAAACCATGACACACCCAGACGATGATGGACGCGTGTTCAAAGATCCTTCCAATATCTCGGCCTTAATCCATTGTATTCCACGCTATTCGCCGCCGATTCCTCGCCAACCTGCGCAGGAGTTCCTCTCATTTTCTCCTCCGCAAGACTCGACTACGACGACGGCGTCATCCGACAGCTCGTGTGCTTTCCCCAACTATGCCAATGCGATCGGGATTGTACCGGAATCCCATGCTCCTCTCACTGAGGACGAAATCTGGGATGAGTACAATGACCTGCTTGGAGAGGACACGATCCAGTTCTCCGCAATGGAGGGGCCATCGGTTCCCAAACCCCTAAGGCTTGAGAGAGATAAGGCGAAGGAGATCGAACCATCTCTTGAGTCTCCAACGCTCAGCCCTCCTCCTTTAGGCAGCCTCGTCGAGGTGCTGCGATCATCGAGTGTTCGTGGCTCTGATGTCCTGCAACAGGCCACAAGGGGAGTGAACGGTGAAAGGATATCGGCTTTGCCAACTTCAATTCCGGAGAGCGGAAATCTGGCCACCACGGACGACAGCAATCCAGAAGCCGAACCGAACCAAGAAATTATCTCACTTGAGAAACAGGTTCGGCTGTCAGATGCCAGTGGAAGCAGTCAAGGCTCGGATGATTCCTCGCCGCTCGCTCAGGTCAACCTTCGCGTCGGCTCCATGACAGTGAGCAAGTGGCTTACTTTCGGTCATGTTTTGTTCAGTCCTGTCCGCGACGAGCTGATTCCCGTCTCCGGCTCTCTGAATCGTCCTTCGATTCTGGTGATTGACGGTCTAGGCAATGATGACTGGTCCTTTTACGCCGCAGAGACATATCCGGCTGCGACTTTCTTCAACCTCTCTCCTCGCGCTCCACTCCCAGCAGAATACCGGACCGAGTCATCATTTCCGCTTACTCCTCCAAACCACCATCAAGTCCAGTATCTTTCGTACAGGGATAAATTTCCATTTGGCGCCAACAGCTTCACCGCCGTCGTCTTTCGTTTCCCTGCTGCGGCCCCCGAGAGCCATTACCGCAACATCATTTCAGAAGCCCGTCGTGTCCTCCAACCTGGTGGATATATTGAGCTCTCGATCCTCGATGTGGATTTGAACCAAATGGGCAATCGTTGCCGCCGTGCAGTGCGCCGGCTGAAGGAGCGGATTCACATCACATCCCCCGACATCAGCCTTGCCCCTGCGTCTGACCTGATCCTTCGGCTCATGGGGCGGCGCGGCTTTATCGACATTAAGAGTTGCCGTGTTGGTGTCCCCGTTGCGAGCTCTATTGCGAAATCCCTCTCAGGAACCAACAGCAGCGACCCTAACAAGTCGGTGGAGGAGAAAAAGAAGTACAAGGACAAGCGCAGCCTCCCGGAGATGATGGACGATGAGAGCCCTGTTGCAGATGAAAGCATTGCCAAGTCTGTTGCAAAGGTCGGCCGCTGGTGGTACACACGTTGCTACGAGAGTGCAGCTGGCGTCGGAATAGACGGAGATGACAATGAGCAGCCGAGCTATCGCAGCATGTGGAGCGATAAGGCACTGCTCGCCGAGTGTGAGCAGTGGGGTACTAGCCTGAAGCTGATGGTTTGTCATGCGAGAGTGCCAGAGGGGCCAGCGCGTGTCGCAAGTATTTGAATCTTATATCGTACCTCAATCTCCAGCATTTTGATTTATTATCTTGTTATGTTCCTCTTCTTTTCCCGGTTATCAGCGTTATGATGGTCATGAATTGGAGCATGACCAGAATCATCAAGACCAAGAGGGCGCGAGCCCGAGGGTATTTCTCCTCTATCTTCCACGTTTTCCATTTTCTTTTCCGGAAATCTTCACGCAGTCGACTGGTGCGAAGCGGGATGACACTTGGTTGAAACATTCGACTTTCCCTGAATGTTGGATAATTTATAACGCGCGAGGCTGGTGTCTGTCTTTATTGTTCTCTCACATGTTTCGCCTTCGTTGGGAGGGGAGTTTCCATACATGTTCTCTGGCATGAACTCACTGGTTGGGTTACCCTCGCTCGACACACTTGGTCATGTGTTATGACTTTGTTCGCTGTTGGTTGTTTACTCTGTGTATGAATCGTAATGCTGGTTTGGGTTTGATGATTGATACCGAGGGGGAAGTGTTGAGATTTGATACCCAATTCTATCCCAGCTGGCAGGAGCACATGAGAATGACGCCTGTATGTCATGTATGGAATATTGTACGGCTACGCTATGTATAATAAGATTCAAGGAGAGAAAGAATATTTACGGGATTGCGGAATGACAAATCTCTAAGCAATCTGAGTATTGGATTCTTGACATGGTTGGAAGGTGCTTGTAATCAGGACTGTCCCCAAAAGGTTGATTGGGTCTTCCAGAGCTATCCCTGGTGCTGAGCCCTGGCCACTTGCGTCCTACTCACATTTCGGCAGTGGCAAACCCTGGCATATGTCTCTTCCCCGGATTGGCGGCCGCTGGCGGCGTTCCCTCCGCTTGGGCCCAGACCATGCCGAAATTGAAAGCCCACTGCAGAGTGGTGGATCAATAGGCCAGGGAACTTTTTTGGCCGCTGCGTTTTGCCAGGCTAACAGGGTGCCCATTGCATCCGTTCGCGATCAACACTGGCCAGCATCATTTCCAGATCTCTGCCTACACCTACCTAGGTAGGTATTTCCCCAAACATCCGTCCTTCCTTTCGGTGCCCAACACAACCACCACGGCATCAAATACTTGCATAGAACAGAGTATACCGAACAGCAACCAGAGAAACTCGCGTCGTGCCCAACCAGCCAGAAAAGGCGCGGGCTGTCCAGACTCCTCGATTGCTGCGTCCACGGCGCAGACCCAATGTTGGCCGACTGATCTAAGATGGGCCTTGAGAAGTTGCGAATCCTTGGGCCTTTGTTCAACAACTGTCATCCCGTCCAATTCAGGTAGAACGACGGACCTCCCTTTCCTTCCTGCCTGCGCTACTCGTGCCGTCTTTGCTGCCCAATTTCGGATTACACCCCCGCGGCAAACCGGGCCACGCAAGGTCCGGTCGATGCTCGCTGCTTGCGTTGCAAAAAGGGGCTCCTCGGCTTTCCCGAATCCATCAGCCATGACGCGGCGCATTGTATGTTTACTCTGATGTCGTGATAAGAAACGGTAATCCTGGCTTACCAGTTTTCTTCTACCTTGCAGGTCCGCACGATAGTGCAAACATCCATCGCTGCCCTCTTCACTTTTATCGTCGTTTTCTTCCTTGACCGCAACTACCGCGTGCTTCCCAACGCCATTCATACTTACTTACCGACACACCATGATGGCTACGTCATCACCGACATCACCATCACCAAGTGTTCATCTATAAACATTTTCTCCAGCTGCAAGCTCGATCCAACGATCTGGACTCGCATCGAGAAGGACCTATACTTACGCACGGGAATCTTCTCGTCCGCTTACCTTCATGTACAGCAGAAGCGTGAAGAGGAACTGACACCCAATGATAAGGTTGTCATTGACGTCTCTGTTGGACGACTCAACCCGGGCGAGAGTGACAAGAAGAGTTGGAACAGGCGGAGTGACAAGGATGACGAGAAGTGGGAATCTCGTCCGGGTGGCTTGTGGATCAAGCGGTCCAATAAGCCTGGCGTGAGCGACTCTAAAGATGCTGTCACCGGAGTGGATGTTCTCTTTGGGGATGATGCTGTCGAGGTTAGGCCCGGATGGAACATTGTTGGCACTCCTCTTCTGTTGGACACCTCGTCAAACACCCCTGTTGCACTCCTCACGATTCGGCGAGGACCAGAGCCTGAACCCATTGACAAACCGATTCCGAAGATTCAGGACAATGGAAGGTTTAAGATCGTGCAGCTGGCCGACTTACACTTGAGTACAGGAGTTGGCCATTGTCGTGATGCCCTTCCGAAAGACTGGAATGGCGGTAAATGCGAGGCTGATCCTAGGACTCTTGACTTCGTTACCAAAATCCTAGACCAAGAAAAGCCCAACCTCGTTGTTCTGAGCGGTGATCAGGTTAATGGCGAAACTGCTCCCGACACACAGACGGTCAGTTGGCATACTACATTTGGCTCGTTTCTGATCTCCCTAACGCTTTCCCTCACAGGCAATCTTCAAGTATGCCAAAGTTCTGATCGAACGCAAGATACCATATGTCTCTATCTTTGGCAATCATGATGACGAAGGCGATATGTCTCGCGCTGCTCAGATGGCCCTAATTGAAAAGCTTCCCTACTCCCTTTCTCAGGCCGGCCCTGCTGATGTTGACGGAGTGGGAAACTATTACATTGAGATTCTCGCTCATGGCAGCTCGGGACATTCGGCCATTACAGTTTACCTTCTAGACACGCACTCCTACTCACCAAATGAGCGCAAGTATCCTGGTTACAACTGGATCAAACAAAGCCAAATTGACTGGTTCCGGAACACGGCGCAAAAGCTCAAGAAGAAACACAAAGAATACACTCACCATCACATGGATGTTGCTTTTATCCACATTCCCCTCCCGGAGTACACGACTCCGAACGTAACGATGGTGGGTGAATGGAAAGAGCCCAGCACGGCACCTTCATACAATTCGGGGTTTTTCGATGCTTTGGTTCAAGAAGGTATCGTCATGGTGAGCTGTGGACAGTATGTCACCCTTTGCCCCTTGCTTTTGAACCGCTTAAGCTCATTAATGCTCAGTGACCACGTGAACGAATACTGCGGTCTGTCATCAACCCCCGACGAGAAGCCGGCCATCTGGATGTGCCATGCTGGTGGAGCTGGTTTTGGTGGCTATGCTGGTTATGGTGGTTTCCACCGCAAGATTCGTGTCTTCGAGTTTGACATGAACGAGGCACGCATCACCACCTGGAAAAGAGTTGAGTGGGGTCCAGATGTGGACAAAAGGATCGAAGAGCTGCGTCTGGTTGATGCTGGGAAGGTTGTTGCACCGGTGCAGGAGTAAATGGTTTGCAGGACAGTTGGTTGTATTAAGCGGGGTTCAAGACAACTCTCGGCTCGGATGGTTCAGGACGTTGGCGTTTGGGTGTCTATTACGGCCTGTTATCTGCAACTTCTACTCGTTTTCTCTCCGAGCTTTTGGACAGGGATTGAACCATTGACTGCCGTGAGACGTGCTAACTGTTGATAGAGAGCTGAATAAGTATACCGTAGGCGTATCCTTGTCACAACAAGTTCCCTGACTTCACGGAGCAGATTTCCAACGTTTCCTGGTCTCAATAAATTGGTTTTGCTTGGATGAGTTAGATCAATATGCGGAGCTGTCTTACAGTGCATTATTAATCATCACCTTGACAAACACTATGGCTTTCAGGTTCCCCTCATTTTGTGGGTCCTCCGGCTGTTAATAAATGGCAAAGCACAGCAGACTTTACCTTCATGCTACCTAGCATGATGGATGAGGAGGTGATTTGACATCAAGGTTTCTAGTCCTGGGACATGACTGGTCAGCCGATGGAAAGAGCTTCTCTGCTCGCATCACATCTGTCAACGTTGTCATCATCGGAAAGTAGCGGGAATTCCACTACAAAAATGACCGAAGCAATTCCAGAGCCGACCATACATTTGTATACAGCCCAGACTCCAAATGGCATCAAAGTGTCGATGTTGCTGGAGGAATTGGGACTGCCTTACAAGGTACCCATCTCAGACCGTCGGCAGCAGAACATGAATGGTAACGCCAGTTAGGTGACGGCCATCGACTTGGCCAAAAACGTTCAGAAAGAGCCGTGGTTCCTTGACATTAACCCTAATGGACGCATTCCTGCGCTCACTGACGTGCTGCCTAACGGCGAGCCTATTCACATCTTTGAGAGCGGCGCCATCATGCAGTATCTTGTCGACCGTTATGACACTGAGTACAAGGTTTCATACCCACGGGGTACCAAAGAGTACTGGGAGATGACTAGTTGGGTAAGTGGATGCAGTATTTGCCTCCAGTCGAAAGCTGATGTTCGAAATGCTCTGATGCTGATGACAAGTTTAGCTTTTCTGGCAGATGGGTGGGCTAGGGCCCATGCAAGGGTATGTTTGTCTCAAAAGATACCTGGGAAGTAAGACTAAGTGACACTCCACAGTCAGGCAAATCACTTCTCAAGTAAGTGTTGACTGCCAAGTTTGAGTTGGTATAGCGCGTCTCACTTCACCCAGGATATGCCCCTGAAAAGATCCAGTACGGCATCGACCGGTATAGGAATGAGACGCGACGTTTGTACCGAGTTATGGACACACAGCTAAGCAAGTCAAAATCGGGATATCTCGTCGGCGACCGCTGTACCATCGCAGACCTTGCCTGCTGGGGTTGGGTTGCTGCGTCCCGTGAGTTTCCCCTGGATGGCCCAAAACCACTCGATGCTAACTCAGTGTTCAAAGATTGGGCTGGTGTTTCTCTTGACGAGTTTCCGCATCTGAACGCCTGGCTTGATCGTCTGCTGGCCCGGCCTGGTGTTGAAAAAGGCCGCCACGTTCCCAAACGGCACACAGTGCTAGACATGCGTGGCAAGAGCGAGGAGGAGCTAGACCGTGAGGCTGAGAAAACTCGGGCCTGGATCCAAGAAAGCATGAAGGAAGAAGCGAAGAAGTGAAGTTCGATATTTTCTTGTCCCAAACCAACTTACACAGCAGCTCATCGTTTGCGGGATCAAATGTTCCTCACTGGACCGGCATCAGGTTGCTGTACATATAGGACACAATTTGTAAGCATTCCAGCAATCCAGTTCGCCTCTGACAAAAGCCAAACAACTCTTCCTATCCAAGCAAATTACTGCCATACTACCATAATATGAGGCCCAAGCCTTCATCTGGCCAAAGTTGGATTGCCTACATGTTCATCCTGGCAGCCTGCATCATCCAATCGATACTTAGGGAAGAATAAATCTGGCTAAAATTTCTTGGATTAGCATAACAACGCTTGGGCATCAAGGCTGGATTGCTAGGAGGTAGTGCTGTCATCTTTCCTAGCCCCTCCCGGCTCATCAAATGTCGTTCTATAATATTTCTTCAACAAGCCCGCATGGCTCAGTGGTAGAGCGTGACACTAGTATGATGCACTGACCCAGGGTTATTACACCGGGTTGCGTGGACACATCTGGCTATGTCAAGGTCGTCAGTTCAATTCTGGCTGTGGGCAAATCTACTTGCCAAGTTAGGATCTATGGACACTCAATGGTCCATTACTTACCAGTTGTACTGTGAATTTTTGTGCTTGTGGAACTCTGTGATATCACGCCACCAAGGGCTCGAGGAGCATTTTTATCTATGGTTAAATGCAAGTGTGTGAAGTAGATCATCGATAACTGCATCAAATATCACGTGCCGTTCTCTTCCCGGAAAGTGAGGCATGCCCCACAGGGCAGGTGAAGCAGAAGGGATTGTTGCCTGTCTCTTTTGCCGCTGGCGCGCCTCATGTCCGACTCCAACACAAACGGATTTATTTACCTACCTTTCCCAACCTATCGACATCTGCCCTGCAATTTGCATTGCGCATTTTGCTGTTCCCGGCATTCCGTTGTCGGGTTTTTTTTTTAGAAAGTTCTACTCACACGCGATTGACGCCGGCACGATGGCTTGGAGAAATCAAGGCATCACCGGTTCTAACAACATTCCCTTGGGGAAGCGCCGCTTTGGTGGCGATGCCGATAAGGACAAGGAAGATGACGCAACTAATGGTAACATCACGACTTCGAACGGCATCGAGAATGGCGATCTCAAGCGCGGCCGCAGTCCGGAGCGTATGTTTGTGGTGGCTAGTTGTATTTCACGACCTGTGCTAATGATGCATGCAGGTTCCGAAGAACCGCGTCGTCGAAAGAAGCGTAATCGTTGGGGCCAGGCTAGTGACAACAAGGCTGCTGGTTTAATGGGCTTGCCTACCGCAATCGTTGCCGACATGACCGCAGAGCAGCTGGAAGCCTACACATTGTATCTGCGCATTGAGGAGATTACCCAGAAGCTAAAGATCGACGATGTTGTTCCCGCTGATGGAGACAGGTAGGTTGGCTTCTTTCTTGGGGCAATTGAAGCCTTTGTGGTCTGGATGTTCCCTGACGTGTGCAGGTCTCCATCTCCGCCCCCCCAGTACGACAACCATGGCCGTCGCATCAATACTCGCGAGTATCGTTATCGCAAGCGCCTCGAAGATGAGCGTCACAAGCTGGTCGAGAAGGCCCTCAAGACGATCCCCAACTACCATCCACCTTCCGATTATCGCCGGCCAACCAAGACCCAAGAGAAGGTTTACGTGCCAGTCAACGACTACCCAGAGATCAACTTCAGTATGATTGCTAACCCTCTAACCTTCCTAACCATTCTTGAGTCCCCCTTTCCCCTGGTTTGGTACTTCGCCAAGGCACTTGTGTGTTGGCATCCCTACCGTGATGCTGCGCTGTGCGGGCGTTTGCGCTGGGCACTAACCTAACCACTGCTGTTTCCCCTTGTATTCCGGTTTACTAACACTTAGCTCTCCCCACTTAAGTTGGTTTACTCATCGGTCCTCGTGGCAATACACTCAAAAAGATGGAGGCAGAGTCTGGTGCCAAGATTGCTATCCGTGGCAAAGGTTCCGTTAAAGAGGGCAAAGGGCGGTCTGATGCTGCCCATTCCAGCAATCAGGAGGAAGATCTGCACTGCTTGATCATGGCAGACACTGAGGAGAAGGTCCAGAAGGCCAAGAAGCTGATTCACAATATTATTGAGACAGTGAGAATCTCCTGCTTTCCCAGACAAGATCGAATGGCATGAACTAACACGTCCAGGCTGCCTCTATCCCCGAGGGTCAAAATGAGCTTAAGCGAAGTCAGCTCCGTGAATTGGCTGCTCTGAACGGCACACTGCGTGACGATGAGAACCAGGCCTGTCAGAATTGCGGTCAGATCGGTCATCGCAAGTACGACTGCCCCGAAAGGCAAAATTACACGGCCAATATCATTTGCCGTGTCTGTGGTAACGCCGGCCATATGGCTCGTGATTGCCCAGACAGGCAGAAGGGTGCCAGCTGGCGCAATGATGGTCCTCGGGGCGGCAGTCGGTTTGGAGGTGGCGATGCTGTGGATCGCGAATATGAGGTAAGTTGCAGAAGCTACCTATCACCGTCCGAATAGCACCAGACTAGGACATTATACTAATTTTCCTCAGCAACTCATGCAAGAACTTGGTGGTGGCCCTGCTCCTGCGCGCATTGAAGCTGGTCCCAGCTCTGGCTCTGGAGGTGGGAGCGAGCGCCCGTGGGCTCGTGGTCCCACAGGTGGTCCTGCCCCGTGGCGCGTTCGTAACAACAACCCCAGCCACGATACGGATGGTGCTCCTTCGGGCCCTTCAGGCGGGACTGCTCCATGGGTGCGTGACCGCGAGAGAGATCGTGATCGCGGATTCCGCGGGTCAGACGGCCCTGCCGCAGGCGACAGTTACTTTCCAGGCCAGCCCTCGTACGGAAGTGCTTCTGCACCTCCTGGAACTGCACCTTGGCATCAGGCACCTCCCATGAATGCTCAGCCTCCTCCGCCGCCGTTTGGTTATCCTAGCTATGGAGCTTATGGTGCCCCCGGTGCTCCTCCAGGTCTTCCTATTCCGCCGCCTGGCCTTCCTCCTCCCCCTCCTCCCCCTGGAGCGTCAGCTCCTGGTGCTGCTCCTCCCGGTCTTCCTGGTGGTCTCAACACACTTATCCAGCAATATGCTGGCGCTGTGCCCCCACCGCCCCCGCCGCCCCCGCCACCTCCCGCTGGAGATGCTCCTCCTCCTCCTCCGCCCATGGACTTGCCGCCTCCTCCTCCCCCTTCCGGTGCTTAAGTGCAAACGTTGGGCTCTAGTTCAATATACTGGTGTGCTGGGCTCGGGAGCCTCGTTTACTGACTAACAGGGTGCTCACTGGACTAGTCTACTATACTCTGGCTTGGTCAATCCAGACGGCCAACGAACAGGATCGAGGGACGATTTTCTTGCAACTCCGGGATATGCTACTAACTGTACAATTAGTAGAGCACAAGATTGCTTTATATGAATTAGTTTAGATATTGCAAGGTCCACTGACATGACTGGCACTAAGATTGTCTCTATAAGCACGTCTGTCCGGCGAACAGGAATGGAGTGCCTTAAAGTAAGTCTGCACTGAAGAGTCCTCTTAGCTCAAGAATAGGTCTATAGACATACTCTGTAGAGGCAGGCCTCTTCGTGAAACTGGCCCCAATAATGCTAGTTGATGACATCACTGCTAGGAGCTTGGACCACCTGCAAGGGGCTGGAGCCTCTCGCCCACCATGCATGTAGATGTCCCCGCAGCCAATCCCAGGGCCACAGCAGCTCGTGAGCTTCGCCCTGGGTGCCATTGTCCATGCAGGTCGCGTCTCTTGTGTGACAGAGCTCACAGGTCTCTCCCAGTCCAGATTCTACACAAATGCAGTTTTGCCCTCCATTTGCATAATCCAACAAATTGCCCCCCTTTCATCGTTTTTCTCACTCATTTTGTGAGCCAACGGCCCTTCCATTTCCGGCTGCTTGTTTGTATCTGACAAGAGTTTGAGAGCAAGCGATTCGATTGTTGTGTCTTATCCACCTCCGGGCTGTTGGCGCGCTGTCTCAAGCCAACAGCTACACTCGGGACAAGTCGTGTCGCGGCCTGCCTTCGGTCTTAACAAACCCGTTGGGCTGACTCAGCTGTCGCATTGTCTCCTCTACCTACTGCATCTACCTGAGGTATCTTCTGTCTGTCTGATGGAACGCGCTTCTTGGAATTTAGTCTAAACACACGTCTTGGACTATCTAGATTACCATTCCATGGTGGTCACTCCGCTTCTGAAGAGCTAATGAAGTCTTGGGCTCTTTAAACCTCAAGCCCCAACTGTGACGAACAGTAACCAGTGTTATCACCGACACCAAATTTACATTGGCTTGCTCGTCTCATAACTCCAGTTTCGACCTCATAGTTGCGCTGAAGGCTGTGTTACAGATCCTGAAAAGGCTCACCATGGCAAATCCTTTCTCCTTTCGACCAGGCCAGGTCACCTTCTGGACAACCCTAGTCTACCTCGCCCTTCTTATTCCCATCATCATTATCAATGAAGCCCCTCCTCCATCGCCACGAAACACTGAATCTCCCCTTCCAGGCATCAACCTCACCCAGGCGTGGCTAGACTTGACCACTATTACCCGCGCTTATCATCCGTACAACAGTCATTATAATGAGGTTGTCCGGGGCTACCTTCTCAAGCGTGTACGCGAGATCTTGGAGGGAAATGGTGTGGCCTGGAATATTGATGGGTAAGTCTAACCAAAGTTCATGATGGTTATGGGTTCTTATTGATTGCTGTTTTGTAGAGCCCAGTCAAGTGATTCGAATCCTGCTGTTACCGTATTTGACGACACCACATCCAATTGTACATTTCTCATGGAATCGAGTGTAGTGCCTGGCACACATGCCCCTCAGGTGGCCGCTTACTTTGAAGGCACGAATATTCTCGTCTATGTTCGTGGAAAGCTTGATGATAAGGGCAGCTGGTGGAAGACGGCCGGTCCCCGCAATTTCGGGCATGTCGAAAAGGGTTTGACATTGGTCAACGCTCACTACGACTCGTAAGACACTACGCCATCTCAGTTGAGCCAGTGTGCGATTTTGCTGACGGATTGCGTAGAGTGTCCACGGGCTACGGCGCCACAGATGACGGCATGGGTGTGGTGACTTGCCTACAACTGATACAGTACTTCACGACCCCGGACCATCAGCCAGATAGAGGAATCGTCATCCTGCTCAATAACGGCGAGGAAGATTGGCTCTACGGTGCTCGGGCTTTTGGACAGCATCCCTTGCTCCCGTACATTCATACGTTTTTAAACCTTGAGGGCGCAGGGGCTGGAGGCAGGGCCAACCTATTTCGTACGACAGACCGCGAGGTAACAGCAGCCTATGCTGGATCTCCTCATCCATTCGGTACTGTCATTGCCTCAGATGCCTTCGGTTTGGGCTTCATCCGCAGCGGCACTGACTACTCGGTTTTGTACAACGTTTATGGCCAGCGAGGACTCGATCTAGCCTTCTTCAAGCCACGGGCCCGTTATCATACTAATCAAGACGATGCGCGTCACGCTTCTCTCGGCAGTTTGTGGCATATGCTGTCCGCTGCGGTTCATACGACCTCACGTTTGTCCAGTAACGCCATGGGAAATCGTTTCGTTGGGCCTCGGCCAGATGGTGCTCGTAACAAGGTGCGCAACGGTCGTCCCAGCGACGGCGTCTGGTTTGATCTGTTCGGCAAGGGCTTTGTGCTCTTCGGTCTTAGAGGAATGTTTGCCTGGTCCTTGACCTTGTTGGTCACCACTCCCCTCATTTTGATGTTCATTAGCTATGTCCTGCACCGTGTCGACAAGTACTATCTCTTCAGCTCCCGCGCTGACGATGTGCGTGGCCATGCTGCGGATGATGACGGGCATGGGCTTGGTGACGAACCCGTTTTTCTGGGTGGCTGGAAGGGCTTCTTCCGGTTCCCGTTTGCGATGCTGGTATCTGGCTCCCTCACTCTGGGCTCTGCGCTTCTGATGAAGAAAGTCAATCCGTTCATTGTATATGGTAACCAGTATACTGTGTACGTATCGAGCTCCCTTATTTTTGTCAAGGCTGACCTGCTAATGATAACGTAGCTGGGCCATGATGGTATCGTTGTTCTACTTCTCCTTTTGGGCCATCATGCGCGGTGCCAACTTCGCGAGGCCCAGTGCTCTACACAGGACCTATGTTCAAGTTTGGCTCTTCGTTATCGGCTGGGCTATCCTCGTCGCCGTTACCGTTAGCGAAGACCGCCTTAAGATCGCAGCCGGCTACGTGTTTGTATTTCTTCAATCCTCCCTCTTCTTAACACTCTTCATAGCCCTCTGTGAAATGTTTGCATTGCCGAAGAAGGCAATCTGGGCTGCACATATTCGTGAGGCAAGGCAGAACCAGCAGGCCCATGACTTCCTCCAAGGCCAGACCAGCATTGGTGAACACTCACCGTTGCCAACAGTCCTTCGTCAGGAACAAGGACTGTCACCAAGGGGTTCGAATCACCCTGCATCTCCGCACACCAACAACAGAGACAACACTGACGACGATGTCGAAGCCGAGCTGCCGACTGAAAGGACACCTCTTGTTGGGGGCAATATCGGAGGGGTTGAGCAGGTCCCGACGACTTTTGCTACCACCTACAGGAGATCTATCTCCTCTCTGGTCAAAAAAGCACGCCAAAAGTACAGCACTCAGGGGTATGAGGCCTTTGAATATGAACAGCCCTGGTCCGCTCACCTTCCCACATGGACTTGGCTCCTCCAGTTTCTACTACTTGGCCCCTTTACTATCGTCTTGGTGGCACAGACGGGCCTTATGCTGGTTGATGCTGTCCATCAGACTGGCGCGGATGGTAGCAACCTGCTCCTTCCTTACTTGATCATATTTCTCTTTACTGTCCTGCTCATCCTGCCCCTGACACCCTTCATTCACCGAGTCACCCACCATATTCCTGTTTTCCTGCTGGTGGTTTTTGGATCCACACTTGTATACAACCTGGCTGCATTCCCCTTCTCAGCCTCCGCCCGTTACAAAGCCTACTTTATCCAAACACTTACCCTCGACAACCAGACAAATACCATTTGCTACAACGGTATTGAGAAGCCAGTTCGCAAAATCATTTCCACCTTACCTTCTTCTTTGGGTAAAGAAGTTGCCTGTAGTCCGTCGAAGCGCGAGGGCCTGGTAGCGTGCTGCTACGAAGGGTCGGGACTCCCGCTACCAAAGCTCACCCAATCACATGCATCATATAATAAAACCGAATGGGATAGCTACAGAGACCTTGTAAACATCAACGCCACCCGTCTGCCGTCATTAGCGCCCGATTTATGGCGCGCACGCCTGGAGATCTCTGCCAGTAACACCAAGGCGTGTTTTGTCGAATTCGCGACGCCAATCTCTGCCCTCAAGGTTCACGGCAGTTCTGCCTGGGATGACCGCTTCGGCGTGCTCCCGGAGTCTGGAATCAAGACACTAAAGCTGTGGCACCGCGAATGGAATAAAACTTGGGTTGTCGATGTGGAATGGAACGGACAACTGGAAGAGAATGATGGCAACATCTTTGATGGGCAGTCAGGCGGGAAGCGCCGAAAAATGATGGGTAACGGGGAGCTGAAGACCAGAAATCGCCATAGCAATGGGCTCCATGGAACAGTGGCCTGTATGTGGAGTGATGCAAATGAGCCGAGTTCGATCCCGGCCTTGGAGGAAGCATTGCAATATGCCCCCGTATGGGCTACGGTTTCTAAGCTTTCAGAAGGGCTTGTAGAGGGAAGGAAAGTGTTCTCAGTGTGAGGAGGGGGATGACTCAAGGTCTCACTGCGCAGTGTGGGTTTGATTCAGTTTTAACCGGTGTCGGCTGGCTTAAGTTTGGTTATGGGAAATCAGGTTCGACAAGCTCATGACGATCACCCATGGTGCGGTGGATTAGTCTGTTGAGTATCGTGTTTTTAGCAATCCTCTCGGTCAGCATTAGGAAATCAAGGTTTATGGCAAGCCAGTGGCCAGCTTTTAGTAATGGATCTTATGGTTTCTAGACTTGTGTTCTCCAGGAGGGGTCTAAGGGTGTGTGTATAAGCGGATGTACCATGGGCTTTCCTGGGATGCCAATGGCCTCAACCCTAATACCTGACACCAGTTACCCAGAAGTTACTTCCATGATAATTGGGCTAGCAGACATCGTATTTGCCACTCCTGTCATCACGGAATATCCCCCCTTTCTGAGCGGAATTTGTTTTACTTAGGTCCTTGATCTTCGGCGTGAACGCTCTTTTATCAGGATCAGGAAAGCTGGTAATCTGACTTAGGCCGTGAACTTTGTGTTAGCGTCAGTTACAGAGCGAATTCTGTTCTGAGGGCCCCTGACTTCCATGAGATTACTAGTTTGGCGAGTTTCATGTTCATTATCTGAATCTACAAGCACTGTGACTCCAAACCTGTTTTCTTACAGACCCATGCTCTCGAGACTTAAACTGTCCAGTTCGTTCTACTCCCAGCTTGCTGACCACACTATGGCATTCTAAAACACCATGTCTAGCCAGGTAACATCAGCACATGTATTGCACTGCATACACAGCAAGCTACGGCACACAAGCGTTGTACTTTAGTTTCTCGATGGTGCACTCATCCGTAGTGCATGTCTAGTGCATGTCTGAACGGAAGGTTGTGCCAGGGGAAAACTGTGTAACTGACACAAAAACAGACAGTCTTTGTCCGATAAATGAATGTTTGGTATATACACTCTCTATGATTCCTTGTCTTTGATGGTGTGGGACAACGAGCGAGTTAGAAGCAGTAAACTTTTGAGTCTGCTGATTCTAGCCAGGACAGAGACTCTCGAGAGAAACAGACAAGTAGCAGCTTCATGCCGATGTACCATCAGAGCCGGTATTGTACAACATGCCAGAGACACGGCTGCTTCCTCGACAGCTTGTCATCAGACACTATGCACTTGTGTTTGAGTCGTCATACTAGTGGCGCAGGCACATTGTACTTCCAAGTATTATGGACAGAAGATGTGGGAAAAAAACTGCCCGGTTACATTGCAAGGTCAAGACCTGGATATGGGTGGTATAAAAGAAATCGCGTGTCCGAGAAGTTTTGGTTGTGCGGCCATAACCCGATATCAATCTAGGCCTTTAACAGCCAGGCATTCTGGAACTCTTCATCTGGCTTGGTAGGCTCAGTGGTATTTCATGCTCACATATCAATTGCCAAGTCACAATAGTCACCAGGCAAATACCAACATACAGCAGGCAACAGCCAGCAGGAAAGCCTTCCGTGTTTGGACATGACTTAGACAAAACGGAAAGGGCAACTCTATTATCGCTATTCCACCTGATTGCTTTTCATTCAGGTCATCAGTGTGCTTATCGATTAAAAACTTCTGGACCACACATCTTCCGAGTCGTTACCAACTTGAATTTTTCTTTTCTTGGACACCTCTCTTCTGCGGACTCCCTCTCATTCTCTATCTTACACGTATATCCTATTTCCCTCCTCTCAATCCAGCCTCATCAATATCTGTACAATAAACCAGTCAACATGGTCGCTACACCAAACATCGATCACTTCCTTCTCTGGGCCGCTGTTGCTCTGGGCATGGTTGGCGCGCTCCCTGTACAGGACTCTACTAGTATGGTCTCAGCGGAGAGCAGCATTTCCTCTCCGATTCCACCATCAGAGACGAACGATGATGTCGCTGCTCTCTGCACTGATGGTGTATCTGCCACCAAGCAGAACTCCGCCGGCGGCTATCCGATCAACAATTACACTGTGGTCACTCCCGGAATGAACTGGACCTCGTACACGGTTGACGGCGACTGGTATTACAAGCATTATGTCTCCGGACCTCATGTGCGTTATTCTCTCCCCTTGTATATAAACTTGGACTTGGCTCTAATCCTGAAGCAGTACATGACCTTTACCCATGCGAGTGATCCTTTTGGTGCCTTCAAATGCCAGTTCACTTGCAATGCCGACTCGAAGTGCGCCTCATTCTTTGTCTGGTATGGTAAGTACATGCTAGTTTACTTTGATTCCCTCCAATCTCATTCCAATCCAGACCGTGCGATAGCTGATATCAATCTCAGAGGACATTGGCACTGAAGATGAACATCTCAACTGCGTTCTTTTTGATGCAATGTAAGACACAGCTCTCTCCTACTTGCATTTCTAATTGCTAACTAGAAGATAGCATTCCCGCCTCAGCCTTTGTGAAGACTGAAGGTATCATCTCAACAGGTGCTTACGACCGACTCTGCGACAGCCACTCCGTCTAGGGAAGTAGCCGAATCCTCAGGCAGAGGAATTCAGCAGGTGGCGGCGTAGGCAGTCAGGAAGCTAGATGTCATGGAGAGTATGCACTACTTCACCCTATGAGTTCTTTAATGGTGTCAACAGCTTCGCACCAAGATATAAACACATTTTCTGCGGGGTCTGATTAGAAGCTGTTCAGAAAGGCATAGATCATCTAGGAGAACTGGGTGAAAATTTCCCTTAAGTATGGATTTGTAAGAACAGCATGCAAAACAAAGTGTTTGCCCTCGAATATTTGCGTGAATGAATCCTCTTAAGACATCATGGTTGATTGCGTTTAGATATATCCACCATGATTAACACATGCTTTCAATTCTCGTTTCTTCTGACGATCCCAAATACAATAACACCGTTAAATCGTGATATAGTCGGTCCAAATCACAGGCACTTGCATAGATCATCCACCCATCGATTAAAGCGGCTTTACTCTTCCATTCGATCTTCACGTCCAGAGGCCTGGGATGTCATTCTCCCAAGATGTTCCCTTGCCTTACGCCACAACTCTCCTTCCATTTCCCTCTCAACAATGCTACTTGCCATGTTGAGTCTGCCGACATCTAGTTTTCCATACCTTCCCATGCCGTCAGGCTCCAGCCTTGCTTTGGGAACGGGAGCAACTGATGCATCAGCCGTGATTCCTGCAGCCTGTGGCTGTCCGGGGATCATCTGGGGCTGAGGCAGCTGCTGTGCTTGCTCTTCAGTAGCACCGGCTCCAACGGTCCCAGCCCCGCTTCCAGTGCCACTCTTCAGTGTTATGATCCCTGCCTCTTCCAATGCATAGATCTGCCGCGTTAGATGCTTATCAATCCGATCAATAGTGCGAAAAAAGTCATTCTGCGCGGTTTTGAAGGCAGTAACGGGGTCAATCCCACAGCTAGAAGGGGGCGTGTCATTCGGGTTGCTGGTATCCGAGGCAGAGGGAGAGTTGGACTCCGAGTCTTGCTCTTGGAAAATTCTCTTTCCAGGTGGGGTGGCCAGAGCCTTGAGAGCAGCAGACAAGTGTTGGAGGAGAGATGCTATATCCTGTTGGGCTTAGTTAGCAGAAGGAACATGCATGGTTACTTCTAACTGGTAAAACAAACTAACATTGTCAATTTCGCCGAGCTGTTGAATTCGTTCAGCCGGAGTAAATGGCTTGTGAATATCGACAGGAAAACTACCAGCATCGCTTTCAGGGACGGATGACTGAGATGGCTGAGCCATTGTTTGTATATGAATGGTATGTAGTGACATTGACGGGAGGGCTTAATATGGTACTTGCTCTCCACTACTAGAGAGAAATACAAGATATGCTCTGAAAAGACAAGCTGACTAGGTAAGGTAATTCAAATGCCTCCTTGCCAAGTATATCGGGGTTTTGGTGAATAAAATTAGATCGAAAATGCGCGTCTATTCTAATCTGTACCGTGCTTCGCTTTCGGCCTTCACGAGCAGTGAGCCGTGCATTGGACAGTGAATTAGAATTGGGATCTGGAACTGAGGTACGTAATAAGCTGCAGCCCCACAATCTGCGGCTCCTTTGGCTGCCCCACATATCCATCCTGTGGGTTCTAGGAGTGGTGGTGCACAGGCCACCAGATGCAGCCTTGGTAGGAACTTGCCGTTAAACCACGACTGGCTCTCACTATTTCCCGCCCACGCGCGATTGACTGTCAAACCGTCATCTTATACAAACTCCCTCGTCGATCCTCCGTTGTCAAATTCTTCATTTGTGGTAACTTTCTCGTGCCATTGATATTTTGAGACCATAATTACTGCGTAGTCTCTGAATTGCGACCTCTTCAAGCATTTATTCCTCCAATCATCGCGAACCAGACGCGTACCTACCCGTGGCAGAATCACTTCGGCTGCCTTAGGTAAGTCGACTTTCAAACCTCAACACCCGAAACGATTTGCAGTGAATCTAGCTCTTTTTGTGGCTACCAGATCCTTCGCATCAGATAAGTGTTTGATTGTGAACTGACGGATCAAAGCAGGCCAGCATGTCGAACCCAGCTCCTCAGGCCGCTGGCCAGGGTGCTGCTGGAACCCCTTATGGCAACCCCCCTCCTTCAGCAGGCGGAGCGGGCAGTGGCTCGGCTGGTGCATCAGCGCCATCTACCACTCCATCTGCCCAGAATCTAAACCAAATTGTAAGCGATGGATAGCTCTATTTTTACAGTGTGCTCCAATTGCCTTCTGCACCGTCCTTCATCCATGGGCAAGCGCCTGACCGGATATTCGGTTGTATGCATCTTGCCACTTTGTTCGATTTCGTGAAAGTTTTCAAGATATGCAGCCTCATTTCTGGGAATTTCAAAAGCCTCACAGTCACTCGAGTCTCAAAAGGGGAGCGTCGGTTTCAGATATGTTCTGAGCTTCTCATGCCACAATTATGACCTTGTTGGTCCCTCGGGGAACACAAAGCGAGGGGACATTGGTTTAATAGCTTCACTTTCCAAAAGGTTATCATAAACCCTCTGTGCTACAGTCTATATCTATTCTTTTTCAGAAAAGGAATGCAGCACCGAAGTTATGGAATCTTAGGTCATTACTCGGGCAAGTGCCCTCACCGCACATGTCCTTTATTTCTCCATTTCGCAATGAGACAGTCCCTCGATGCATGTTTCGAGTGGGATAGGATATTTTGCAACACACTTGAAGGAAGTAGAAAATACTGTGCCACTGGCTAAGTAACTTCCCTACTTATTGTCAATGAGATACCGGCAGCTGGAGCTTTATTGAGAGGCAGCTAAACTCTTCCTCAACTCGATTGGCTCTTCCCTATTCTCTTATTTTCCATTTTGGTATTGTTCTTTCAGAGTTGGGTTTACTTCCAAGCCCCGCACACAGCCTCCTTCACTGACGGTTTCTTTTCCTGTTTTCTCCCTCACTCCTCGTTCTTCAATCTCCAACTTTTCTTCCCACCTTTCCTGCACCAACATTTCAGGGCCCAGTAACCATAGAGTTTTAACACTCGAAATCCTCCCACCATGTCCCATCGCCCAAGAACCTTGACTCCTGACCCCGTTGAACGTTTGAGTCAGCCTGCATATGATGTACAGGACTTACGTCATACTCTTGTGCAGGTCACCGATTATCTGAAGAAGAAAGGCTTCACCAGGACTGAAGCAGTCTTTCGTCAAGAAACTGCTCACTTGGGCCCCGATGGCAGACCCGTAAATCGAAACGATGATCCTGGGCCCAAAAAGTACCTGAAAGCTTTTCTCTTGCTGAAGAATTGGATCGACAACAATCTCGACATCTACAAGGTGAGTTGATTTTTCTTTGCCTGAGTCATGATCAGAGTTTTGTTGACACAATGCCAGTTCGAATTACGAAAATTATTGTGGCCGGTCTTTGTCTACTCGTATTTGGAGCTCGTCAGTCAGGGCTATGTCGATGATGCCAAGCACCTCCTGGAGACCTTACGCTCGCATTTTGAGGCCGTTCACCAAGACCAGTTGGCTCTTCTAGATACTGTCACGCTTCCACAGCATGTCAGCGAGAACCACACCACTCGGCTCTATCGCGAGAACAAATATCGTATTCCTCTGAACCAATCACTCTCCGGCAATCTCTTTCATTTCTTAGAGCGAGAAGCAGACAACGGAGGTGCGACAATCATCTATATCCTTCAAACTCACTGTAGTGTGGAGACTAGCGCTCGCGGTCCAATTGAGCCTTACAGCTTCGAGGCTATCTATCGTCGGGCTCGAAACCTCGACCTCGACGAAGCTGACGCCCATGAGGGTATCCCTGGTATCTTCACTGGCGTGACCAATCGAGACGTGCTCGACACAAGTGCCAGACTTAAGCTTGGGCCGCTTCCTATGGAACCAGAGCTTAGAGAAGATGTTCGGGCAGAACTTGAAGAAGAGGATCAGCGGAATCCTCCTATGGACAACCGTCCGACGCTTGTCGAGGAGTTTGACAAGAAAATCAAACGTGAGGAGAGCGCTGACTCTCCTTCCCGCAACGATCTTCCTCTTCCTGCATCCCGGGCTCGCGATGTGGTGATGGAAATGCAAAAGGTTCGCGAAAACCGCGATCGATTTGTGATCGAGGGCCGAACTGGTGGTATCGGCATCCCCGTGTCTGCCTGCATGTTCACTTTCCATAATACGTTGGGAACGTAAGTGATTCTATCCTCTTCGACAAGCGCTGTCTAACACGTGTCTTGTAGTGTCTCGTGTATGGATTTTTCCAACGATCATAAGTTAGTTGCAGTTGGCACCATGGACTCCTATATCCGTGTCTGGTCGCTCGATGGGAAACCCCTCAAATCCGCTCTGGAAAACGAGAAGAACCTCAAGGTCAATAATCGGAAGCTCATAGGACACTCCGGCCCCGTTTATGGGGTGTCATTCTCGGATTCCATCGCCAACCTTGACCGCAACATATATGGAGAAGGAGATGACAAAAAACCGGACACCAGCAGCAAATTGCTTCTGTCATGTTCAGCGGATGGTCAAATCCGACTGTGGTCACTGGAAATTTGGGCTTGCTTGTGCATCTACAAGGCCCACGATGGCCCAGTCTTCCGCGTCCTTTGGGGTCCCCATGGCCACTACTTTGCATCAGCAGGATGGGACAAGACCGTTCGCGTCTTCACTCAAGACCATGCATCGGCGGTTCGCATCATGGTTGGGCACGATACTAGCATTTCGGCACTGGCTTGGCACCCCAACGGCACTTATGTCTTCTCTGCCTCGGATGAGATGGACAAGTCCATTCGCATGTGGTCGGTAATTACTGGCAATTGCGTGCGTATCTTTACTGGGCACACCCACTACATCACCGCGCTGGAGTGCGCGCACAACGGCAAAATCCTTGCCAGCGCCGACACCGGTGGAAACATTTTCATCTGGGATATTGAAAAGGGAACGCTAATCAAGAAATGTCGCGGCCATGGCAAAGGAGGTATTCCGTCACTCAGCTTTAGTGCCGAGTCTAACGTCCTCGTCTCGGGCGGTTTGGACTGTACCGTCCGTGTGTGGGATATCGAACTGCCCGCCGATCCCAACAAGAATAACCCCCTCGCTCCCAGCACTACCCAGTCCGGCCAGCAGTCAGATGGGACTACAGCAACAGGTGACACGATTGCGGTCGGAGGATCGGCGGATGGTCGTAATATTACAGTGGGCGGCCAAGGCACCCAGGCCGGGGGTGCTGGTACTTCTGGCAGCGGCGTTGCTGGTGCAGTCACCGGCAAAAAGAAGGCCAAGGAAGTACAGATCACTCCAGACCAGATCAGCGCATTTGCGACCAAGAAGACTCCAGTACTGAAGGTTCGGTTCACGCGGATGAACCTGATCGTGGCAGGAGGTTGTTATGACCCGGAGCGTTAGGATCGCCTGCGGTCGACGTCCGAACAGGCCGAGCCGAGGGGTGTGAAGAGGAAGCGTTCCGCAAACGCTCTTGACTGAAGTGTGCAATCATTGATATGCTACTTTTTCTTACAGAAAACTATATAATTTCGACTGGCGGATTACGGATATTTCAGATCACCCCGGATTGGAGTTTTGGGCGATGGACAAATAGGGTCTTTGCGTGTTTGTAACTAAGGGGTTTTTGCTGGGATGATATCCATCGGCGCAATACAAATAGGTATCTAGGTCTGCTTGCCATCAAGATTGCCTGACTGGATCAATGTAATGGTCAGAACAGAAAGCCCTCCTACCTTAGACAGACCTTGATGATAGTCTCCAAAGCCCTGGCCCTGGTGTTGTGAAAGTGATACGGCTTGCGCTGGCGGCTGTGCAGGCAAGGATTGGACCTTCGCTACCAAAAGTCAGCCCCACATTCACCTGCCAAGATAGGCAGATAGTTCCCACTTACGCAAAGCAGCTGTGGGCTGTAAGTAGGTACGTACCAAACGGCAACATCGACCCGGGCGGAGAACAACCTCCATGTTGTGGAAGCACCTACGCAAGCCGTTGGTTCCTAACCAACCACCACTCACCTTCCAGTCGGTCTCTCCAACATCTCGCATTGCATTGTAAGAACAGTTTACACAGGAAAGAGCGCAGACCACTGGGGCTTCATTTGTACCGATTCCATTATACACTTAGAGCCAAAGGTCCAATTGAGCTGCAAGGCACTTCCGCAAGCTCTTTGACTTGTCGGTCTGTACACCACCCCCTTTCACCATGGAGGACCCTTGGGCCGATACAGCCAGCCCGAACAGCTCGGCGCCGCTCTCACAGCATGTCGAAGACAGCTCCTCTGCACCCGCTGCCGCTGCAGAAACGCCTAGCAATACGGCTACCACAACCGCCCCCTCTATTTCCACATCCTCTCGCCCCTCCCGTGCGACCCCGCGTCGTATTGTCGCCAAACCCAAGAGTCTTGAAGCCGTGGAAGATGACCCCCTTGGCCCCCTCGGCGCCCCTACTCCGTCCTCCGATAGCGACAATAATGGTTTAGGTGGCGCGACTGCAAGAGGCGTACAGCCTCCTGTACCGCCTCTCAAGGAGCAGCTGCCCCTGCGAACGACTCTGCCACCATCGACCACCAATCGCGGCGGCAGAGGCCGTCGGAGTGGACCGCCAGATCCGCACCATATCGATGATGACGACGATGATGCTGCATTGTTCGGCTCCGCCGGTCGTGGCAGGCCTCCGCCGCCAGTTCCTGCGTCGCTGCCCAGCCCGGTGAAGTCAAGCACGGCACCCAGCATGAGCGTCGAGCAGGCTGCGAGGCCGACATTTCACATCACAGTGGGCGATCCGCATAAGGTTGGAGATCTGGCGACAAGTCATATTGTGTACTCTGTGAGGACGAAGGTAAGCGGCATACTTAAACCAGACCAGCTGGGGCGGACAAGTGCTGAGTAGAACGGATTTGCAGACGACATCCAAAGCTTACAAACAGCCCGAGTTCGAAGTCAAGAGGCGCTACCGCGACTTCCTGTGGCTGTATAACACGCTTCACTCCAATAACCCCGGTGTTGTGGTTCCCCCGCCTCCTGAAAAGCAGGCTGTTGGCAGATTTGAAAGCAACTTTGTCGAATCACGCCGTGCTGCGCTTGAAAAGATGCTCAACAAGATCGCCGCTCACCCAACCCTGCAGCTGGATGCAGATCTGAAGCTGTTCCTTGAGAGCGAGTCCTTCAACATCGACGTCAAGCACAAGGAGAGAAAAGAGCCACCCCTAGGGGAGAGTAAGGGCGTGTTTGGGTCACTTGGGTTCGGTGGCGGTGGGAACAAATTTGTCGAGCAGGATGATGTGAGTATCTGGGGTTGACTTGCTGGCATAGAATATGTTCAAGGATCCAAGACTGACTCCAGTAATATAGTGGTTCCACGATCGCCGGGTGTACCTCGATGCCTTAGAAAATCAGCTGAAGGCACTGCTCAAAGCTATGGATAACATGGTTGCGCAACGCAAGGCCATGGCCGAGGCTGCCGCAGACTTTTCAGCTTCGCTTCACGCCTTGTCCACAGTGGAGTTGTCCCCAACACTTTCTGGCCCGCTGGACGCGCTGTCAGAGTTACAGCTCGCGATTCGTGATGTCTACGAACGACAGGCTCAGCAAGATGTCTTGACATTTGGCATTATCATTGAGGAATACATCCGGTTAATCGGTAGTGTCAAACAAGCCTTCTCGCAGCGCCAGAAGGCTTTTCACAGCTGGCACAGCGCCGAGTCCGAGTTGATGAAGAAAAAGGCCGCCCAGGATAAGTTGCTCCGGCAAGGAAAGACACAGCAGGACCGTCTTAACCAGGTCAACGCTGAGGTCATTGACGCTGAGCGCAAGGTGCATCAAGCTCGTCTGCTTTTTGAAGATATGGGCCGCTTGCTGAGGTCTGAGCTCGATCGCTTCGAGAGAGAGAAGGTCGAAGACTTCAAGTCAGGAGTGGAGACGTTTTTAGAGAGTGCCGTTGAGGCACAAAAAGAGGTAGATCTCCAGCGTACCTCTTCCGCTTCCCTTCTTTGACCCATGCTGACGGTTTGGTCTAGTTGATCGAAAAATGGGAGACGTTCCTGATGCAGTTAGATGCCGAGGATGATGAAAGCGTTTTCTATCGGCCGCCGCCTGTCCAGACCAAAAAGCCGGCCGGGGATACGGCGGTAGACAGGGCCCGGGCAAGAATTGATGAAGATTCAGACTAGGTGTCTGTCGCAGAACGGTCGGGTGCCACTGGCCACCTTACCGATTGCACAAATAGGATGATTCCTGCTCCAGCTGGGGTTGGTCGGGTGGAATGAGAAGTTGATTGGCCTTCATATTTTTTCCCCCGGAATTAGGCGACCGTTGTGATATCGCGTTGACAAGTCAGCCGCATACTCTGATCAACGGATGCCAAATTGGCTGTTCATGCCATAGGTGTATTATACAAATCCATAACTGCCAAACAGGATGCCGGTAGTGCCATGGTATTCTTGATTTATCATCTCATTATCCGAATCCAGGTACGGTCACCGCTGTGCGCTAGATATGCGAAGAGTCTACAAAATTGGATAATCTTCTATGTTTACAAGATCAAAAGACCAAATCGTACAGAATACAATGCTTCTCCATCATACGCAAACGCTCTTCTCAAAGGCTTTGTGCATGCTACTTATTTCTTCTTTGATGATTTATCCTTCCTAGCCTGGTCCTTCGCGCTCAAGCCGCCCTTGACATTTTGATCCTCGACCGCATACGCACTCAGCAGATCAGCGAATGATTCGAAGAGATCCTCCTGAGCCGGCGCAGCAGGACTAGAAGTAACGGCAGCAGCAGCCGCGGCCGATGCCTTCTTCTCTGTAGTCTCTGCTGGCTTGACCTGGGCAGTAGGCTTCTCGGTCACGTCACTCTGCTGAGGAGCCTTGCCCTCCGTCTTCTCCTGCCTCTCAGCGGCGTCAGCAGCGGCCTTGGCCTCCTCAGCAGCCTTAGCAGCGGCCTCGGCGGCACCGCGCCCACCGTCTAGATCCCAGTGAGTGCCGTAGCGCCCACGGAAGGCAGCCAGCTTGCCGGCCTCGTCGACCTCGATGTTGCGTAGCTGTTTGTTGTTCGGCTGCCAGAGAATGTGATTGCGGCTGTCCTTGGTTGACTTGTACAGCGCCTGCGGGGAGGTGGTGCGGATTGTGAAGGTCGAGCCGTCGCTCAGCTGCACGAGTTGGGTGAACATGTACGGCCGGCGTGGCCGCGGGATGAAGGTCGCATGTCGGACCTGAGTCGGGGAGATTTTTATTGATGAGATAGTAGTTGGGAGGACTGAGGAAGATTGAAGAGGAAGCGAAATTGGTGTATGGCTACTGCTTGAGGTCGAGAATGTTTGAAGGCAACCCGCGGGGAGCGAGGGTCGACGAAGGAGGGTCGTGGGGAGCTTCCCCATGTTGGTGGTTTTTGGCTTGTTTATTCTGTGCTTTCACGAGGGTTGTGTTCGGTACGGTCCTCGCGACAGGGCGGAGGTTGGATATGCAACCGTCTTGTCAGCGCTGGGTTGGGAATGCTCCAACCCCTGGTACTCAATCGCGACTCGAGCCGTTCCTTCTCAGATCTGAAATTCTGACGATTTTCTGGCTTCGCGGGCCCACTTTTTAGAGTGACTAAGAGCTGTCGTTCATCCAATCAACAAACGCAATTGGTGAGCCTCCGTTCTTTCGCAAATGGCAAGTTCAAGGGTTAGGGTTATTTCAGCAATATGTGATGGAAATGCCGGAGACGACGTTTTGCGGATAGCAGCATGCACTTGGGATCATTGGGACTCGGAAATCTACAAACAATTGGGCGGTTTTGCGTATTTATGGAGCAAGTAGTCTGAACTGTACTGCTCTATATGCTATGTCACAATTCACCATGCCGCCACTGTTGTGTCTGGTCTTGCATCTTGTCACGGTGGAGCCACCACTTCCAGATCTTATCTCTTATCGCTAGCGGGACCTCGGCGCTATTCGCAAACTTATGGACTGCGACAAATTTCAACCAAAGGGTCGGCGCTTTCCTGCTTCTCGGCCCGTCAAGTCTTTCGGTCTTGTTCTATTTGCTGACTGACTTGGGCCACAAGTCACTCGGCATTCGATGGGGTTGAGATGAGCAGCTGCCGCGTCCTGGTGGGCTTCGCCTCCGAGAGCGCGCTTCCACATCCGACGACCATCCCCCTCATCTGTCGGGTTAGTAACCGCGGATATGGCACCGCTCCAAGTTTTGCGGCAATGGGCCAGGGGCGCTCAATGACCATTGCGAGCATAATGCTCATGAGTCATTGGGATTTACTTCCTAAAGCGTGTTTCAGCGCCTGTACGGACACTCTCTCTTCCTCATCTTCAAAGATATCCTCTTGTGGCTAACGTACCCCTGCTCGTACTCAGCCCGTCGGCCCCAAGCTCGCCCATTTCGCACCTCCTACACCGTCAGAAGCAGTAGCAGTGACAATGGCAACAGAAAGACACCTCCTCAGGCCCCCCGAACCTTCCAATTGGCCCCTCCCCAACCTCCTTCCGTCCACCCACACAGCTCGCACCTAGCCCTCTCCGAGCAGTTTCGCGCGCTGATGCGCCTGCTTACACACCCAGTTGTCGTCCTCACGTCCACCTCTCCTCCCAGCGACAGCCACCAGAACAAATCCATCCCGCGCGCTATGACTATGTCCTCCTTGACCTCGCTCACCCTAAAGCCGACACCGGTCGTGTCTTTCAACATCGCAGTTCCGAGTCTCACGCTGGACGCCGTATCGGCTAGCCGACGGTTCAATGTGCATGTGCTCGCTGATGATGCCGACGGCGCACGGATTGCGGACTGGCTGGCGGGAGGAAACTTCAATCGTGGGGAGAAGGAAGTTTGGGAGGGACTCATGAAGGATGGATCTTGTGAAGTTGAGTTCCAAGATGACCAGCCGCCAATTTTACGTGCAAATGGGGTCTTGTATGTGCTAAGATGCCGCCTCCTGGACGATGCACCTGCGAATGGGCTGGTCAAGGTCCGAGATCATGTTATTGTGTTGGGGAAGGTCGAGGAAATCGTCAAGGGGATAGGGGCTGAGAGAGGACAAGGGGAGAGGTATGGTTTGTTGTATACCGACCGGAAGTATAGACAGCTTGGGCGGTGTATTACACTTGTTGAGGGAGGGGAGCAAGGGGTGATAGATGACGGCACTGAGAATGAGAGTCAGTCGTGACTTGCATAGACTCTACTCTATTTACCGGGTCTTCTACTATGACTTCGACATTGGTAATGACGTTGACTTGGGATAGGTATTGCATTGAATAAAAAGGTCACGAGAATAAAAAGGCGGTTATTTAAAGCGGAAAAGTCTCTTTTATAGATTCCTCGTTTGGTTATGTCCCACTGAGATCTTCACTATCCAAAGAATTCTATATCCTACCCTCACTTAATTGCAGGATCATCCAACGAGCATTACTGCCCAGGGGCAACACCTTTGATGCCGACCAACTCAGTCTCAAATATGAGGGTAGCGTTGGGGGGAATGACGCCGCCAACACCACGAGAGCCATAGGCGAGGTGAGGGGCGATAGTCAGCTTGCGCTTCTCGCCAATCTTCATTCCCAGCAGACCTTCATCCCAGCCCTTGATCACTTGGCCAGCACCAACCGTGAAGTTGAGAGGAGTACCACGGTCATAGCTGGAGTCGAACTTAGTGCCATCAGTGAGTGTGCCCTTGTAGTGGACATCGATGTTGTCCCCTGAAAAAAAACAAAAACTGTCAGTCAAGAGCCATCGAAAAGAGCAGCGTAGATGCCTGATGCTTGGCACCGGTGCATGCTGGTGCCAAATCAAAACCACCCAGGCAGCCGATGTAGCCAGAGCACAACGCCCCATACAAGCCACAACAACTCGAGCGACAGAAGCCGTTGACCAAAGGGATGCAACTTACCGCGCTGGGTCTCACGGGTGCCCTTGCCCTCAGCCTTGACCTCAATCTGCAGGCCTTCCAACTGGGGGATCGTCATTTTGGCAGGAATGAATGTTCTGAGAATGGGATTGAGCGATATCCAAGCCAATTAGGCAGCTGGCTATTCCAAGCATGTAGCAGCCAAATAGCTGATGAAAAAGAGAGGAGAGAGAAAGAGGAATGAAGGCCAGAGTTTATCCACAGCTCAAAGGTGGGGTAGCTTGTGTGACGCAAAGTGGATGGAGGGGTCTGTTCACCAGGGGCTGGCTGGCAAGCGGCCTTGGCGCGCTCGATCTGCAGTGCACACAATGCATGCTACTTCTGGACGGTTTGTTGAGAACACCAACTTCAACGGTCATTGGATACAAGAAGAGAAACAACTTTACCGCATGATCGATATCTGAAAGTGTGATTGGTGATTTCACCAGTTGCCCTGCATCTCATTATAATCTATGGTGTGAAGGACGATCAGAGCGCATGTCTGGCCAGAGTTAGGGTACTCAATCTGTAATTCATACATGTGGCAAGTGAAAGCTGAGGATAGCATCCATCGACTTTTGTTTAATAAAGGCTTTGTTGAAGAACTGGATCTAACATCATTAGGTAAGGTAATGAGATAAGTAATGCTTTTAAGAATGCTTTGCAGGTTGTTACTTCCTCCAAAGTTTCCCCCTAAATGCCAAAAATGCTAGAGCAACATTAGTCTAGAGTACAAGTTACCTAGACTGTTAGAATCCAATTTGGGAGGTCAATAACTTCACAGCCTCTGCTAGATGTACTATTTTCCATGTTACATACATCTTTGGGGATATATAGCTTTCCAAGTCTCTCACCCTGTCTATGATCAACTCAATGATTTTGCTGACACAGTCCATCCAGGGAGGTCACTGAGCTTCCGGTCCTGGAGCTAGGATGCCAAGACTTGTACTTAGATGCAGAAAAGGATAAATCGGAATAAATGGCATAACAAGAACACTATTTACCTATTACATGAGATTAAACGTACCTTTAGTGAGTGTAATTGACTATAATACCAACCCAGGTAATTGTCAAATACTGCCGTGAAACTTCATCGTAAGGTCCTTCAGTTCGCTGGGGAACCTAGGGATCAGGCCAAACCAAAGCATTCATAGGATTGAGTTCACGATCAGTATTTATTCCGTAGAACCCAAGTTCATTGACCCTCCACTGTATGCTACAACATATAAATACATTCCTATGCAGGTAGGTAGGCAAAAAGATGACGTTCTTGATTCTTGACCGCGACGTTGCTATTCCCTCCACCCACATCCCTAACACCTGTACTGTATCCACCTTGGCGGAGTGATCTCGATGCTTGACCGCTTTCCTCTCCCACACTTATCCGACAAAGACAGGACGACCCTGAATCGCGCTTTCCACGCGATTCGCTTGGACAAGCGTCGGTGAATACCTAGTCGGAGGTTGCCTGGAGGCTTAGCCTACCATGGTTGTTGCAAGCACCTGTATCATGCACGTCGAGGCAGCGCGGCAGCACAGAAGCAGCCTCGTTTCAGCCTCGCAAGCGGGGTACAAGCTAGGGCCGACTCTTCTGGAGCTTTCTGCAGCACCCAGGAGTGCCAACAAAGGGAAAAGAAACTGTTGTTAATTGCAGCGTCCAAAAAAGCAACACGCCAAAACAAGGACCAAACTCCAGATCACAGTTCTGGCTGCTTCCACTTGTAAGCTCTGGCCTGCTGTCAGTTTCCAGAGCCATTTGGGTGCTTTCAGCTTCTTTTGTGTTCGCTGCTGGTTTGTGACTGCAGCCGCAAGGTGGGGTTTTGGGTGCGCGGGGCAACCTGAAAAAGAGCCAACCGCTGGCCAATCAACGGGTTGATCTGTCCCTGTGGAGGCGGGTAGAAACAAATCAGAAGAACGCCGCAGAAACTTGGGCGATAGAATCTCGTAGAATCTGCCCAAGCACAGCCCAGGGCAGCCCGCCGAACACATTTTAGCTGCCTCTTCTGCTCCTGTACCTGTTCCAGACTCTTTCCTCTCCATTCCTCAAATCTTGATTCACTTCTTTAAAAGCCTCCTTGTCTTCTCCCTCTACCGATTCTCTGGCTTGATCATTGTTGACGAGTGAAAAATCTCTTTGGTAAGCCACTTACAGTGGGCCGTCACAACAAGGACTCAGCCTTGCTGAACCCACTCATCTTTTTGCCTTGCCCCTCCCCCTCCACCAATCAGTCGCCGCAGCATTGGTTCTACCTGCTTCTTTCGCCTTCCCTCCCCGAAATCCCTAAAAGCCGTCTGGAGCACGAGGGTTGGGAAATTTCTCTTAACTCTTGCAGATCGCTATACAATTGGCTCTCTACCGCTCGCAATTCGCTCAGAGCCGAGACACTGACTTGACCGCGCACAATTAGATACCCAAAAAAAACAAGTCAACCAGATACCCTCATTCAAGATGGCGCAGGCCGAGACCTTCGAATTCCAGGCTGAGATTTCTCAGCTGCTTTCGCTCATCATCAACACCGTCTACTCTAACAAGGAGATTTTCCTTCGTGAGCTTGTTTCGAACGCCTCCGATGCGCTCGACAAGATTCGCTATGAGTCCCTGTCGGATCCCAGCAAGCTGGACACCGGCAAGGACCTCCGTATCGACATCATTCCGGACAAGGAGAACAAGACCCTCACCATCCGCGATACCGGTATTGGTATGACTAAGGCTGTAAGTGTTCTACCTGCTCGCTAATATTTAGCACAGGACATGGAATTGACCTGTATTTCTAGGACCTTGTCAACAACCTTGGTACTATCGCCCGCTCTGGCACCAAGCAGTTCATGGAGGCCCTCTCGGCCGGTGCCGACATCTCCATGATTGGTCAATTCGGTGTCGGCTTCTATTCGGCCTACCTTGTCGCTGACAAGGTTACTGTCGTTTCCAAGCACAACGATGACGAGCAGTATATCTGGGAGTCCAGCGCTGGCGGTACCTTCAACATCATCCCTGATGTCAATGGCGAGCCTCTCGGCCGTGGTACCAAGATTATCCTCCACCTCAAGGATGAGCAGACCGACTACCTGAACGAGAGCCGCATTAAGGAGGTCATCAAGAAGCACTCAGAGTTTATCTCTTACCCCATCTATCTCCACGTCAAGAAGGAGACCGAGAAGGAGGTTCCGGATGAGGAGGCTGAGGAGAAGGCCGAGGAGAAGACTGAGGAGGGTGATGACAAGAAACCCAAGATTGAAGAGGTTGAGGATGATGAGGACAAGAAGAAGGAGAAGCCCAAGAAGACCAAGAAGGTCAAAGAGACCAAGATTGAGGAGGAGGAGCTCAACAAGCAAAAGCCCATCTGGACTCGTAACCCTCAGGATATCACCCAGGAGGAGTATGCTTCCTTCTATAAGTCGCTCTCCAACGACTGGGAGGATCACCTTGCTGTCAAGCACTTCTCTGTTGAGGGTCAGCTTGAGTTCCGCGCCATCCTCTTCGTTCCCAAGCGCGCTCCCTTCGACCTCTTCGAGACCAAAAAGACCAAGAACAACATCAAGCTCTATGTCCGCCGCGTCTTCATCACCGACGATGCTACCGATCTCATTCCTGAGTGGCTCGGCTTCATCAAGGGCGTTGTTGACTCTGAGGATCTTCCTCTCAACCTGTCTCGCGAGACCCTGCAGCAGAACAAGATCATGAAGGTCATCAAAAAGAATATCGTCAAGAAGTCCCTGGAGCTCTTCAACGAGATTGCCGAGGACAAGGAGCAGTTCGACAAGTTCTACAGCGCCTTCTCCAAGAACATCAAGCTCGGCATCCACGAAGATTCTCAGAACCGTGCGGCACTTGCCAAGCTGCTGCGCTTCCACTCGACGAAGTCGGGTGACGAGATGACCTCGCTCACCGACTACGTCACTCGCATGCAGGAGCACCAGAAGAACATCTATTACATCACTGGCGAGTCCATCAAGGCTGTCGCCAAGTCTCCCTTCCTTGACCTGCTCAAGGAGAAGAACTTTGAAGTGCTCTACCTGGTCGACCCCATTGATGAGTACGCCATGACTCAGCTCAAGGAGTTCGAGGGTAAGAAGCTTGTCGACATTACCAAGGACTTCGAGATCGAGGAGACCGAAGAGGAGAAGAAGAAGCGTGAGGAGGAGAAGAAGGAGTTTGAGGGTCTTGCAAAGTCGCTTAAGAACATTCTTGGCGACAAGGTCGAAAAGGTTGTTGTTTCGCACAAGCTCATCGGCTCCCCTTGCGCCATCCGCACTGGCCAGTTCGGTTGGTCTGCCAACATGGAGCGTATCATGAAGGCTCAGGCCCTCCGTGACACCTCCATGAGCAGCTACATGGCCTCCAAGAAGACTTTCGAGATTTCTCCCAAGAGCCCCATTATCAAGGCCCTCAAGACCAAGGTCGAGGCCGAAGGCGAGAACGATAAGACCGTCAAGTCTATCGTTCAGCTCCTCTTCGAGACCTCGCTGCTGGTTTCTGGCTTCACCATCGAAGAGCCCGCTAGCTTTGCTGAGCGTATCCACAAGCTCGTGTCTCTGGGCCTGAACCTCGATGAGGAGACCGAGGCCTCGACTGAGGCTGCCGCCGATGCCGGCGCTAGCGCTGCCGAGACTGGCGACAGTGCTATGGAGGAGGTTGACTAAATGACGGGCATGACTGGAAATCAAAAACGGGGAAAATGGGTTTTGGAGTTGGGATGGGTTTCGGTTATGACGTTTTTAGTTAGCCGCTTGCATCTGTTTTCGGGGCCTCATTAATTTCTCGACCTCGGTTACTCTGTACTTTTAGCTTCGGACACGGGTGCCGTCATGATCTTTCTCGTAGACATGAAATTACCATGGATTAGATGGAGTTTGGAGTCCCTAGTGTTTTGCTCTGAGAATGCGTGTTGGTTAAGTACAGATTGATCGTAGTCTTGTTAAAGTGTCATGGCAGTAAGATGTGTACATGAATCAATGCCTACCCTCAAAGCCAACCTCAAACCCCGGGAAAGGATACAGAGATCCTCGAAGTCTCGCGGTCTGTTCTGGCTGCTTGTTATTTGTCTAGAGGCGAGACACATCATCCGAAACAGAAGCCAGGGGGAGTCCAGTACGTATTAAAGGAATGGAAAGGAATGCAATACGTTAGCGTATCATTGGGTGCGTGCGCTGCCATGATCGTCTTGAAAATCCGACATATGATCAACAGCATCGCCTGCACAGGAACGGGCACATATAATGGAGTAACCAATGAATCGATAATGAAAGGCAATTTTCTGGTGGTATTTTGCCCTAGTAAGACAACCTGCCCGGAGGTGGAGCAGACAAAGATATACAAAGGGGAGGATAAGTGATCAGAAACATGTACACCGTAGAAAAATCCCTAGGTTAATTTCCAGTCCAATCCCTACACAATACACTTGCCCACCCACCCGCTTATTTTCTCTGATCAATACCAGATGCAACAAACCAGTCCTTTGACACAAAAAACAGACCCATCTCAATACTCCATCTTAATTTCATCATGCAAACCCATCCAGCCATGCAGTATTATAATATGACCGAGAATAAACCAAAAAAACCAAACCAAAATCCTTCGTGCCGTTCTTCCCTCTCCCTCCTCACTGAGCCAAAACTTCTTCGCCTTCCTCCTCTTCTCGGAATCGTATCCCTCCAGGGACGTTGATGCCACCCTTGACCCATTCGATTTCGGCAATCTTAGCTAGTGGCCAGCGATTCCGGGCACGCTTGAGCAGGCCCTCAACAGCTTCACAAGCCCCTTGCAGGCCGGCAGCAGCAAACTTGGCGGGGTCAGCGTCGTGGTCACCGTCAGCGTCGTCTTGGTGTCCGTCGTCGACGCCATACAAGTACCAGCGCCATTCGACACGGGCGATTCGGTGGCTCGTCCGAGACCGCATGCGCATATGAACGGCATAATCGCCTACGAGATTGGGAGGTGGGTCGAAAGGCAAACGCGACTCCATCAGGGCGTAAAGGAGGACGCCAAGGGACCAGGCGTCGGTGGCGCGGCCGTCGTAGGGTTGGCCCATGATGACTTCAGGAGCAGCATAGTCGTCCGAGCCGCACCGAGTTTCAAGCTTTTCGTCGGGGGCCACTCGGCGCGAGAGACCGAGGTCGGTCAAGGTGACGACTGGATAGGGATAGGTGGTCCAATCCATGTCAGAATCGGCGAGCTCCTTGGCGGGGAGATTGACAAGAACGTCTGTGGAGAAGGGACGTTAAAACCGAGACAAGACGAGAAGCAGACAGTAAAGAATAAAACTCACTTTCGAGCTTGATGTCGCGGTGGACGATGTTTCTGTCGTGAAGGTATCTGACTGCTCCGACAAGCTCGGAGAACATGCGGCGCAGCAGAGATTGGGTGAGAATGTCTCGATGGTTGGAGGCGAGGTCGAAGAGATCGCCGCCTGGATAGTAGCTGAGAACCAGGATGGCGCGGGATTGATCGATATTCCAAGCTTTCAGGTGCACAAGCGAGGGGTGCCGAATATCTTTCATGATCTCAAGTTCGCGCTTGAGACTCATTTCGATGCGCTGCTCGGATGCACCGCCCCGGGGACCGTGCTCGCAGATCTTGACTGCAACGAGCGAACGGCGGTCATGTTTGGATGGCGAAGAAACGTCGGCATGGGCGCCGGTGCCATCTTCATCCGGGGCCGTTGCTGTCGTTTGGCTGGTGGCAAGGACGACCTGGCTGAAGGTGCCCTGGCCGAGAACCCGGATGGCACGCCAGCGGCGAAGCTTGCTGTCATAGCGATCATAGGCCTCGAAATACTCGACGTCGGCAGATTTGCTGATGCACGGGGGGTTGCTGGATCCGGAACTAGTCATGTAGCCCGAATCGGCAATACTGAGCGATGACTCGCTCGGTGGTGGGGTTGGCGGCTTTTCGATCGACGTCAGACCCCGCGCTCCGGCGAGGTGGGGCTCTCGGCGCAAATGACCATCGCCAGCCACAGACTTGGGGTTGATGTCTTTGGGGCGAGTGCCCGACACCGTTGGCGTACGCTTAGGAATCAGCACAGAGTCTGGGCGATAGTCGCTGATGCTCCGGTTTCGCGTGTGCCCAGACGCTGGTTTGACAGGAGTCGCGGGCTGGCTCTCCTCAGGAGTGTTGTCGAGCGTGGGCCATGTGGTAAGCCCCGCATACGGCTTTTTGATGGATGCTGATCTCGACGGCGTCGCAGAAGGAGCGCCGTCAACGTCAGGACTAGGAGTCGGGCAGGCAAAGGAAGTGTCGCGAGATGCCTTCCTGCCCATCAGGTGTTTCCACGGGGTCGGGGAGTCGCTGCCCAGAAGGGGCGACGGGAGAGGTGTGACTTCGCCCATGGCAGAGATAACTGGGCTGGGAACAGTGGAACTGGTGGCTGAGGTCGATCCGAAAGGGTTGCAAATGCTCCGTGCTTTGAGACTGGGTGTCCTTGACACGGGTCGAAGTGATTGTGTAGAAGATTTAGCGTGAAGTGTGAGAGCAGGGCGTCGAACACCGTTAGAATGCACAAATGTGTTATGCGAAGTAGTGTTGCCATACGAGCAGTGCATGTCGAGACTTTCTAGTCGAGGAAGAGTAGCATTTTGGGACTCAGTCTCTTCGTTTATACAGACAGATATCGCAGAGTGATCGCGAGATGCGGCGCGAAACCCGGGCAAAGGAAGGTGTTCGAGCGAAGTAATTGTATACGAAACAGACGCGGGCGCCGAGCAGTCGTGAGCCGTGGAACTCAGAGGATGCGTTGAAGCTGCATCAATTGCTGTGTTACTAACAGCAACGGGGAGTAGAGGGTAGAAGCGTGAAGATGCAGCAGCATGGACAGAGTCCAAATGAGTGCTCTGCGTGGCATCTATTGAGAGGGCAACGGGCGCAGAAGCAGGAGGGACGTCAAGGGCAATGCGCTCCTGGTCATGCTGTTCGGAGTGGCTGTCGCAGTCTGTTATGCTGTTGACACTACTACTGCTACTGCCGCATGCGTCGTCCGAAGTCAAAGGCGGTATTTGCAGTGGTTGAAGGGGCAACGAGGCCATTATGTCTGGAGAGGTGAGCAACACATACAGCGCTTTGTGTGTCGTCAAAGCAGCCGGGCCGTCGTTTTTTGGAGGGCACTTTGAATGGGGGCCGCTCGACGAAACGGCGCGTTTTTCTTTGGAGGTTTACGCCCTGCGGGCTCGTCAAGACCCACCGTTGCCTTCAGTCGGGTGCGGCCAGTGGCCCACTGGCAGCGCCCTGGGCCCTGTGACTCAGGTGGGGCATCTGCCACAGTGCTTGATCAGACACCCAACGCCAGGTGTGGGCGAAAAGTGGAGCCAAATCCAGGCGTTCTTTGCAGCACGATGCCTTTGGCTGGCACGCGGCTGGCCCGGGACCGCAGCACCCACCGAAGCCGCAGCACAACGGGCCCCTGCAGGGCAGCCGAAGGTAGGAGATAAGGTTGATTGAGATGGTCCGGCGGCGCTACGGTTTACCAGGAATATTAGCCGCAGCTCAATGGCGACTCTCTGCTGCCATGCCACGGCCGATGTCGCGCACCTTATCCGTGCTGCGTCGGCACGGGCGGCGAACATGGCAGCTCATGGTGGTCCCGTCGTCAGATAAGCTGGACGGGCCAAGGCCGTGCAGGACGAGAGATTGCTTTTGAGATGCCAGGGTTGGAGTGCATCAGAGCGCACCCCCGGACAAACGAGATGCGCCGTTGACCTTGTGACCAGGCGTGGCTAGTCGCGATCGTTGCGCTCTCCACTTCTCGGGGTCCCATGGTTCGAAGCGTGGTTCAAGGTTCTGGACGTAACGTTGATCTCGTTGGACTCCTGAAAGTAAAATGAAGGTATATAACCGGTAGCGTGTTAAAAGTACCTGACGGAGTTCCCCCGGACATTACCTACTATTAGGAACATTAGCCGCGTCAGGCCAGCCATTGGCTCTGTGACCGGCTGCCGTTGGATCATGATGGCCCAATGCTGGCGCCCAGAAGAACCGAGCGGCGTCTCCCCCCTCCCCCCAGGAACAAGACCCCAAGTCGCACTTGCCAGAGCCTTGAAGAACTTGCAAGTCGCCCGAGATTTTTGGATTTCTGGCATCTACGACGACGCTCAACTGCTCCAAGGAACGGAGCCGTTCATAGCCGGTACCGGCCCAGTGGTGTGCATCTTGCCCATGGTTTCGGAAATGAATGTACGCTGGACGGATTATTTGGGCCTAGGAGTAGCACTGCTTCACAACCCTCTTTCTTTCCACTCTACACATATCCGCATTGTTGGTTACGGATTACAGAAAACCTACTTAGTGGAAGCTTCGCCCATTCCAGCATTATCAGGCTAGATAATTGGTCGAGCAAAGCACTGCCTCACCGCATGCTTCGTGTGCTTCGTATGCGCGGTGCGACACACTTCAGACCTTTGGCTGATTACCGTCAGATTAGTTCTCTGACAACCAAGAGACCTTGCCAAGGATCAAGCATATCAGATACGGTTTCCTAGCACAGGAATTTGTGATAGGCTGCTGAACTATCCATGGCCCGAAGTGCCACCTTCAACCTAGGTAGAGACCACCTAGCAGTACTTGCAGTCTTGGGATCCGCCCGGTATCTAACACATCTATCCCCAGGCAAAAACTGGGCAAAGGTACCTACTGACAGGGAGTAAGAACCTAAAAGCGAAAGTTGTAAAACAAGGGGCTGCTCGAAGTTAAATGATCAGTAGCCCTGGTAACCACCTGGGTGAAGGCCCTGGCGGCCACGGGAGCTTTCGTGCGTCACGTGGCAGTGACGTCGTAGCCAAGCTCTATCCCGGTGCGGCAGCTGCCGGCAGCCTCGGGCCCTTTGCCCAAGCTTGGGTCGCCATGGGCTTCGAGGATTTTCCCCTTTTCTCACCCTCCTGTGTACTGTACACAACAGATTACACAAGGTACCTACTTGTCAGCGTGCTTGTTGGTTGGTCAACGCTCAGCCAGGGGGCGTCCAACTGTTCCTGTGAAAAATGGCCGACAAATGGAAAGAAATTCTATCATCAACAATGCCATTGACCTAACATTCTGATTTCTAGACTTGACTGCTTGCCCTAAAGTATACGGATACGGAGGACGGATCACCTACTACTGCAATTATTAGGCCTAACGCAGTCTCCCAACTCCATCCCATAATTTGCCCAAGATATCAAAGACAACAACGCCCAACCAGCCTGGACCAGCAATGCACGCTTTTTATTCCCACAAAGGGTCTGCATCTTCACACCGCGATCCATTCTCGCTAGCCAGACTCCCGGCTTCCCATCTCACCAACTCTGCTAAACGATCATCGGTCTAGTTTCCGCTTTGTGTCGGCGAGCGGCTGTTGCAATACATACGGCTTGGCAGTAGCGCAGCGCAGACCACACAGATCACGGACAGAGGCGTGTCAATTATAGGCTTGGTTAGAACAAACACGACGTGAGTCTCATCCCGTTGACTTCCGACGGAGACCTCCCCCGGGCGTCATGGCAACCACCGCTGCCGAGATCTCAGAGGAACCTTCCGTCCGCAAATTGCGGTCTCGGGCCCAGAAACGCCCCCTTCTACAATCCCAACTTTCTCATTCTAGCACGGCTTCCGAATCGAACGGCGTGGAAGCTACCAGCAATGGCCATGTCACTCCCCAGGCAAGGTAGCCCTCCTTCTAGATCAGGCCCTGTGCAGCAACGCTCTCTGTAAAACAACTCCTGGCTGACTGTTGGACTTTCTGTCTGTAGCGGCTACTCGACGCCTATTCCCAGTGATGCCCCGCCATCTGTCAAGTCTCTCTCGACCGTGCGCAAGCAGGTGAGAGCAGAGCAACGCCGCCGCCTCTTCCCTACCGTCGAGTTCGCCAGTCGTGTCTCCCACTTTGACCCAAATAGTGACCATCGCGATTTTCATGGCTTCTTCAACCTCTTCTGGATCGGCCTTGCCATCATGGCCATTACAACCATGCTGCGTAATATCAAGGATACAGGGTATCCATTCCGCGTACAGATATGGTCTTTGTTCACCGTGAAGCTTTGGCATTTGGCCATCGCTGATTTCTTGATGGTCTTCTCAACCGCCGTGTCTCTACCTCTCCATAGGCTGTTTCGTGCTGCTCCGGCGAACAGTGTCCTGACTTGGGCAAGAGGTGGCATTGTCATCATGAGCATATACCAAGTCTTGTGGCTGTCTGTTTGGATAGCCGTCCCGTTTCTGTTGGAATGGACTTGGACTGCTCAGGTTTTCCTCTTGCTTCATACCATGGTCCTTCTGATGAAGATGCATTCATATGCCTTCTATAATGGTCATCTCAGCGAGACTGAGAAGCGACTGCGCGCGCTGGATAATCCAGCTACCGCCTCTCGAGCTCCTGCCTACCTCTATCCGACCCTTGAAAACCCTATGGGCTCCCTGGCCGGCGCGATAACGACGACGAGTAGTCCAAAGAGTCGGCCTGGCGATGATGACGCGGAAGAGGTGGCTCAGTTGCGCGAGGTCTTGGCCCGTGAGCTGACCAGTCCGATGGGCAACATCACTTACCCAACAAACTTGACCTGGTCCAACTATTTCGACTACTTGTGCTGCCCAACGCTCTGCTACGAGTTGGAATATCCGCGAAACGAGCGCATCGATTGGCAGAATCTTTTCTCCAAGATCCTTGCAACATTTGGTTGCATCTTTCTCCTCACTGTCATCTCAGAGGAATTCATTCTGCCCGCTTTGATCGATGCTCAGAACCGACTCAACCCGGCATCACGGCCAGCTAGCTCACCACTGACGGCACTGGAGGTTCTGTTGATCTTGGCTGAGACTATCTCATGGCTCCTCTTCCCCTTCATGCTGACCTTCCTCCTCGTCTTCCTTGTTATCTTCGAATATGTACTTGGGGCATGCGCTGAGATGACGCGCTTTGCCGACCGCCACTTCTACAGCGATTGGTGGAATAGCACCGACTGGATGGAGTTTTCGCGCGAGTGGAATGTGCCTGTCTACAGCTTCCTGCGTCGCCATGTCTATTCAGCCAGCAGACCCTACATTGGCAAGGCTAACGCAACCGTCATCACCTTCCTCATTAGCGCCATCGGCCATGAGATTGTCATGGCCTGCATCACAAAGAAGTTGCGAGGCTATGGGTTTGTCTGCCAGATGTTGCAGCTCCCTATTGTCATGCTTCAGCGGACAAAGTGGGTGAGAGGCCGCAAGACTTTCAATAACGTTTGCTTCTGGTGCAGCATGATTCTGGGCTTGAGCTTGGTGAGTTGCCTTCCAATCTATCTTTACCTCTCATTTCACGCAGTACTAAACAGGTTTCAATCTAGATCTGCTCCCTTTATGTCTTGGTGTAGACAGAGATCATGACAGAATCATCAGCATTCTCCATGAACACCTTTCTGGCTAGTCTTAGCCGCTTGTGCTCTGACAATGTCACTATCATGAGCATGCCAACAGCTACAATTCAAGCAGCATCATGATGATATTATCACTGCTCAATTTGTATCAGATGTACAAGACTTTTCTCCTCCGAACGGCTCTGGCGTCATGAAGGAAAGCTATAGAGGCAAATTATTTTGTCTTTTTTGACTAGTATGTTCTCAGCAAGTATATAAACCGGGACATGTGGAAAGATGGATTCAGCATCCAGCGAACATTAAGACAGCACATGATAGCACACAACTTTAGTGCACTTGATTCATCAAAAACAAAGATCCCGTTTCCCTATCCATGTCATTGTCAGGTTAGCAATTCTTTAACACACTATTTGAGCCAATGAGCAGTGGTTTGAAGCATTTAAGCTGTTAGCTAGTCCATAACAGTGCGTTATATATGGTTATCATAGAACCAAGCCAAAGACGATGAAGCATGAGGGCTGTCAAGCAGCATATTCTCATCAAAAATTTCAAGACAAGCAGTCCTGGTTGCCTAGCTGGAATAAGTAAAAAAGAAGATCCATTGGTCGACCGTTGAACCCGGTGTTGATTCAAACAGCATTTAACATGATTTGAGGGTGCATCACGTACACAAAATGTTAGGATGTGCAGGAAGCCAGTCTTATTTGTTTGCCGTTGTATGTTGCATAAGCGTGTGCAAGTTAAGCATCTGGCAGTTGAACTTCTTGTAACTGTGTTAGATACACTTGAGAGAGAGAGCACATCCAACGAAACAAAGACAGGCAAGAACAAGTCAGAGCAGGGAAAAACCCATCATCCATCATGCACAATCATTGCTCATCATCGTAATATATCATGTTGTGCCAGGTCATGCCATCCTCATCCATCACATAGTGCCTGTTCGTATCTTGATCCAAAGGAGGATCACACCCAAGCCAGCCGCAAGGATAGAAAGGATTCGAAGAGGACTGGACTGTAGTTCAGTCTCTCTTCTAGCTCCCTTGTCCATGTTTCTGTTCATGGCCTACCAACCCCCTACCCTTCCTCCCGTCCAAATCATCATCACTCCAAGCCAAACCCAGCTTCAGGATGCAGAAACTACCAACCAGCCAAAACTCCAACCCGAAAAACAAAAGCATGGCATCCATCAACCAATAGAGCAAACTCATGTGCCTTGTTACTGTTGCCCACTCGACACCTTCATCTGTTATTGTTGCCGTTGTTGAAGTCTGTATGATCGTTTAATGCAACAAATGGTGGAAAGCGAAAAAAAAATCAAAGCAAAGATGGAAAAGCAAGACCCATTGCCATATTATGAATGCCCCAAAGAGAGGGATGGCATCGGTAAGACATGGATGGATCGACTTTTTCTGGCGCTCTCTGCTTGGCACAGGAATTCGACAACATCCTTTCTCTTTAACGGAAATAATGTTGCAAGATCAACACCAGCCAAGAGATCGCGGAACCGGGGTGAAATCTGCACCAAACCATATATTCAGACCTCGACATAAGGGCCATCATGGTATCCCTCAGTAGGCGGCCAATAGTACGATGGAGGGTCATGTTGCGCATACGAGATATCCTCTGGGCGTATTTTTCGTGACTCTCTGACTTTGAACGTTGCACCCATATATGTCCCTGATGTGCTGTGGGAAGCACCATCTATTACGTCGTACCGACTGCTGCGAGTTGAAGCAGGAGAACCGCCATAAGCATATTGCGGGTGTGCGTAGCGGTTGCTGCTGCCACGTCTGCGGCGCCGATTGTGCTCACGGTCACGGTCTTCTTCCGAGTCGTAGTCGGGCCCGTCGAAAACACCATAGTCGTAATCAGCAGATGCCGCTCCAGCACTTCCTGGGGCCCAAGTTTGCGTCCGGCCGAGCGGTGGGATCGAAGACTTCGTATAGGAGGATGACATATAGTCCTGAGAAGTGGCGCCAGAACGGCTCACGCGCGGAGGAGATTCAACAATTGGAGTGTGAACCGTATGGGATTTGGTGAGAATCGGAATGCCACGTGAGTCCATCGTATCGTACCGAATTTTGTCTCGAGACCTTGACTCGTGAGAGGGACGACGACCTGCCGCGGCGCGGGCAGCTGCTTGTTGGATGCTCTCTTCCTCAAAGTCAGCGCCAGGTGGGGGAGGTGTAGGGCAAGCGGGGACTGGATTGGCCGAGTTGGGATGCGGAGCAGTGGAAGAAGTCTGTTGCGAGGACCAAAATGTCCGGGATGGCGAAGAGCCACTTAGAGTAGCAATATAACTTGCAGCTTGCTCAAATGTACTCTCATACTTTGTGTCCTCAGCCGGATAGTCGGACTTGGGGCGCCGTGAGCTTGATTTGTCACGTTCCCGACGTTCTCTGTCCCGGTCACGCTCTCGCTCACGCTCCCGTTCCCGTTCACGGTCACGGTCCTTCTCGTCATGCTTCTTCTTGGTTGATGAGCGCTTCTTCTCCGACTTGGAAAGGTATTCCTCATCAGCTTCAAAGAGCATGCCTTCGTCCCATTCTTCCACATATGGCCCACTTCGGTGAGTCTTGTCTGGATCCGACTTTCGTTCCTTCTCTCGAGTCTTATCGGCCTTCTTCCTCTCTGCTTTTCGGGCTTCGCGGTCTTTCTCCCTCTCCCGGGATCTTTCCCTTTCCCTATCCTTGTCCCGCTCTCGTTCCTTTTCGCGGTCTTTTCCTTCTCCCGGTCCTTTTCCCTCTCCCTCTCCCTCTCCCTCTCCCGGTCCCTCTCCTTTTCTTTGTCCTTCTCCCTCTCACGATCCCGTTCCCTCTCCTTCTCCTTCTCCTTTTCCTTTTCCCTCTCCCTCTCCTTCTCTTTCTCACGCTCACGATCCTTATCCTTCTCTTTCTCCTTTTCCCTTTCGCGTTCCCTCTCTTTCTCTCGATCCTCCTTGTCTCGTTCCCTTTCCTTCTCTCGCTCTCGTTCACGCTCCTTTTCTCGTACTCGGTCTTTGATCTCTTCTTCTTCTTTTCTCCGTTTACGCTCTTCCTTTTCACGCTTCTCCTCGTCCCGTTTCGATGGCTTTTCATAGCTCGCTGTTCTCCGGGCTTGGCGATCGGATTCGTCATAGTAAGAGCGAGACATCTCCTCAGCTGAGCGAGTGTGAGCCCCAGAAGAGTGAGTATAAACCTTCCCGTTCGTTGGTGACGGATGCGGCTTGTATTTGGACGGATCGGGGGTGCGGAAGTCACACGTGCTGTACTTTGGAGCTGAACGAGGAACAGATGAATTAGGTGCATTCTTCACATCTTGCTGCATCTTGGCAGCACGCTGCTGCAGTAGCTCAGCAAGCTTGAGCTTCTGCTCGTATTTTGCCTTTTCAGCATCATCATTGAGCAGTTCATATGCTTGCTGCACTCTTTGGAATTCGTCTTGTTTTTGAGCCTTAAGAGCCGGATCCTGCACCTTATCCGGATGACACTTGAGCACAAGCTTCTTGTATGCCGCTCGAATTTCAGCCTTGTCCGCGTTTCTGTCGACACCGAGAGCTTTCCAAGGGTCCGGTGGAAGGGTGCTGGTCATGTTGAAGTGATTCAAAAGCGACTAGAGGGATCCAGTTCCCGATTGACCCCAGAACCCAGGATCTGGTGAGCTGATCGGGAGAGGAGAGCGGTGAAATCGTGCGTTCTGAACGCAAATGTCGGATGTGGCGTGAAGGAGAGCACGGCGGTTGGCGTTGCCACAGTATTGGAGGTGTTTACGCATCAAATGACGGGCAATATCGACGCTGACCAGGAGCAGCGTTTGTTTATGTGCTAAGTGACGATATATGGAGGACTTCTCAAGGTCCAGAGGAAAAAAAGAAGCGTGCCAAATAGGATCGAAGGCTGCCGGCGCCCTGGTGCTTATTTGGCAGGCGGCACAGCCAGTGATGATAAAAGACAGAAAATACAGCAAAAATCAAGATGAATGAAGTCAATGAGATCAATGAGCAGGATTCGAGCAATCTGCTGAAAGGGGGGAGATGAGGTTGTGCTGCTGTTGTTTTGGAGTTGTGTTGTATGCGTAGTAAGAGTGGTGCGACGAAAAAAGCGGGGTGAAATGGCACCAAGTGGACAGGAAGGGGTTGTGTATATGTTTATGGGATGAACTCGGTCGAGCGTTGTTGGTGGAGTAAGGGACCCTGGCACCTAGCAACCTAGCAACGAGCAACAATCGGTATCCGTAGTCCGCAGCCCGCACACTACGCTAGCCGTGGTTCCAGATGCCATCCAAACATGCAGCAACAAGCAAGTGGCAGCGTGGCCAGCACTTTGGTCAGGCCCCTCGTTCTGACTTGGCGTCGTGATCTCAAGGGCACCAATGGCAACAACAAGCAAACAAGCAAGCAACAATGCAAGAGGGCTAGAGGGAATGAATGGCGAGAGCGAAGAGACGGCCGACTGGTCGCGTGCGTTTGTGTGCCTTTGACCCAGGTGGCGACCCGAGGAGGAAGCAGCTGGAAGAGATGGAGAAAGACGAGATCAGAGATCAGGCTTAGCCCACGTGCCGGCCGAGTGCCAACGGCGGTACTGGTCCAGTCCAGTGGCAGCCCAGAAACCTCTGTAGGGTCGGCAAAATGGACGCAATGGACGTATGTCGTGGTGTAATGCGTGAGGTGATGGGGGAAAGAAAAACAGGCGATAAAGTCACCCGTACAGGGCGAGAGAATGCAGCTGGGCGGTGGGAAAATGGATGTTCCCGTGAGAGCTAAGGATGGCGATTTTTGGATAGTCCTGGCCACGCTTGCTCTGGGGTTCGAAGAGGAGCAGCAAGGGGCAGCAGCAGCGACTCCAGCGAGCCAGCGACTGGACCAGCCGGGCACCACACGGCGGGACTTGGGAGCGGGGGACGCCTAAGAGCCCCAGTTCTGTGAGAGGGGTCATGCACGTTCTGGGGCTGATTCCCAATGGAGGTGAGCCATATCGGTATCTGCATCGCAGACTGGACGGCTGCTCTGGGAGATGGACGGTCACTGGTCACTGGACGTGGTGGATACTCACTTGCGGCCAGGGCCAACACAGTGGTGCGCGCTGGATTGGCTTGTGGCCCTGTGCGTGGCCCTGTGTGGATGTGGGCAATTCAGGTGTTGTGGGGAACGGGGAGCCACACGAGGGGAAACGTAGGGTGGGGCTGCAGCATCTATAAGCTCTGATTGGTCATATCTGCTCTTGCACGCCCCGTTCGGCTGGCTTATGACATCGCATCTGTGGCAGAGTCTCCGCTCTCTCTCTTCTTTTGGATTCTGTCGGATGCCCTCTTGCCCTCTCAATGTCTTCTTGCCCCCCTCACCAGCAGCACACGGTTCAGCTTTGCTCCAAGCCGCGCTCGATGCAGCTGTCGGCATCTGCTCCAATTGTTTCCCACGGGCAGTCCCGAACGACCACTTTCATGGCTGTGGTCTGCGGCCAAAGGCCCCTAGATCCGAGGGGGTCTTTACGCAAGCCAGCTGGGCGTATGCTCACTAACCATTCTCGGGTTGTACCATCGCCGACTTGTATACTGGGCTTAATTTTTACGGATTTCCTCACCTGGAGACGGATTCCCTCCCGGTGAGCAATAGCTCCAACGGCGGCTTGCCCGACGCGAGCACAACGTAGCCGCTGACCCTCCGTCATCAAGGTTAAGGCTTTTTATATAGTATTAATGGTTGAACCTGTGCATACCCCTTACCCTCCTCGAAGCCCAGCAGGTGATCAATCCAAGGATTCTCGTTACATACGGCGGTTCAATAACTGCTTTGTTGCCCTCGACTTACCTACCTCTTTCTTGATTTAAACAGATGGACCTGACGAGGCCAACAAAGTTGTTCTTGGGCAGGTAGGGATCATTATCTTCCATGTTGTCCTTCCCAGATCTTTGACCGCGCCACCTCGAAGTGCTGCCTAAGGGCAAGATCTTCCCGTCTTGATGACGGCCTTGGCTTGTGGCAAACGCGGCCCCTGTGGACAACAGCGCAAGGCTTGAATCGACAGTCTCAGCCCTCTCCGAGTTTGTGCCAGCGGGGGCCACTCCGCACTTACTTGGCTTTCATGGCGCATGTGGCCGGATCAAGTTTGATGTAGACGGGGTTTTATTGCATCCTTGAGGAAGATAATCGGCGGTGAAGATGCATGAAGTATGAGGCCCAATCGACAGGATGCCTACAAGTATATACAAGATTTGATCAGTCACAGCCACTACAAAGGCGAGAAATGACCCTCTAGTTGCTGTGCCTTGCCAAAGAGAACCTAAGGTACTGCGATGAAGTCTCGCTTTATAAGGGGAAATGGTTCCCTCTTGTCAATGATTGCCAATCTGCATTCTAGATATTCGTTCTCATGAGTCTTTGATCATCTTCCATCAACCGATCACGTCTCTTGTGTTCCATGATAACATACAGCATCGAAGCGCCCATCAATGTTCACAAACCTACCCTCCGTACGGAATAAATGTTCATTCCGTGTTAGGCAGAATTCATCAACACTATGTACATCAGTCCCGCAGTTCAGCCCCAGGAAATACCTTCAACCATTTACTTTCACAGGCACACATACTGGTTGGATGTCAAGTGCACGACGGGTAGCCTTCCACGCCCAACATCTGTGTGGTTCTGCCCTTGAAGGATGAGAACCGCAGAACCATCCAGAGTTTCGTTGAACAGCATCCGTCACGATTGATGGATATGCGTTAACCAAACTTGGAAGTATTCCTCAGATCCGGAGCACCCTTCCTTACCTCAATCAACCCCTGTTTAGACGTTGCCCTCGTGCGATGGTGGCAGCAATTGATGATACCCGATAACATACAAAGGTCCCACTACTGCGTGGGATGCCAAACTGTGTCCATTTTCCACACAGTAGGTTTTCTTGTCAGTGACCGAAGCACCATCCTCTGCTTCTCAAACTAAAACGTAACTGGACGATGCTACCCCGCTTTGATTGACCAACACATGTTCAAGAGCCAGAGGTCGGTACGTGCATCGCTCCGATCGCCTGGCAGTCATGCCCAGGTATTTGGCCACAGCCCTGCGAATCAAGTACTTATCCCAGGAATGAAAGCTGTGTGTGCTGTAACATTCTTAAGAATTCAACCAAGCACTTGACGCCTCATCAAGTAAGTAGCATACCGACGCGAATAGTGGTACCTAGGAGAAATGGGAGAAGAGGCATCCAGATGCGGGACAATGCTGATCTAAGGCCAGGGCAGGCACTGGGGAACCCCTCATTTGGTTGGCTGTCTTCCATCCTACCGGCTTTTCGGCAGTGCGCATGGCTCCGGTGGATCTTTCAACATGCGTCTTCTCATCTTTAGAAGAGGGCGTTGAAAATCTGACGGTATATATGTTTAAGACGGAGTAAGGGGGGTACCTGTAGTTACCTTTGGTGCACAATTGAGTAAATGGAAATACAAAGTACCTACAGGTACTCAGTACGCTGGTCATTCAGATTCCAGAAGAGGGAACAGCGCCGGTATGATGATCTGTTTCGAAAACCCAAAAACGCGGGGTGATGGGTGGGGGAGGACGGACGTTGGTAGGCTTTCTGCCAATCAGCTCTCATCCTTCATCAGGCTTGGACTGCTACTTGCTGTTGTCCGTTCCGTCTCGTTGCCTTACTTGTCGCGGGGTCAGAGACATGAACAACAGTGGAAAGGTAAGGAGAATATGTGAACGGGCTATACATTACATGTGGCCAACATTTGATCAGTTATCTTGCAGACAGCGTTTCCTGCTGCTTAGGAGGCGAATACTCCCAGTGGTGTTGGGCAGTTTCATGTGAATGTTTCACTAGCCGTTCAATTTCGTCTGGTCAGATGGAACCTCCATTGGTTCTGTTTTTCAGGAGAGCATGGTGGATGAGGAATGCTGTTCCAATAGTAACAGAGGAACTATACGGCGCATATGACATGTGAAATTTGATCTTGAAAATGGGATAGCCTCAACTTGGGACATAGCCTGCAGCGCGGGATGAGATGAGCCCCTCCGTGATCTCTTCGAGATCAGACTACATGCGCAGCGAGCGACAATATACTACGTGCCTTAGATCAACTTTCTGTTGCCCACACGTATGGCCTCATAAAACCATTACAGTTGCTTCAATGGTCAGGAGACGCCATCAAGCATTGTTCCTATCCACCATTTTTACGAACCTTCCCCACAGAAACACTTACAGCTACATAATATACCCTGCTGAAGCCACGTCCCCTTTACCCTTCCGAGGCCTTACCCTTAAGGATACTATCTTGTCGATGGCGAGATTCACATCCCGGGCACAGAAAGGAAGCATCCTGTGGGTTAATTCGTAAGCTTCCTCCTGCATCCCGTACATATATATAATCATGGCATGGTTACACAGCTGCACAGGCCCTGGAAGTGGACTTACAGCATCTGTGAATTGGCTCCCTTGGCATTGCATCAAACATCTCTAACTTGAAGTCAGGAAGCTATTTGACTCAGCCAAGACTGCCTTATGTTGCCGTCTACGTTAGCAAGTTGGCGTCCACACAAGGGTATATATTAATGGCCAAAACTTTACATTGTGTCGTACCTATAATTTGGTATCCACCCATCTGAGCAGCCTTAAAGGCTTGTTGTCTATACGTAGTAGGAAGAAGGCTTTCCTATTGCTGTTAATTCTCATGTAATCGACCAACTTCAGAACCTGCCCGGCCTTCTCGCTTCTAGAATTATAAATGCTCAGGTATGTAGGTATTCATGCTTGAAAGTCAAACTATATATAATGTTTTTGTACTTCTGTATTGGCCTATGATGTTGGCTGACAATGCCGTCTATAAGATAAACACACAATTTCTGTTTTGACACTCCGCACATATCAACCAACCCTTACCCATCAGTTTATCTTCATCTTTGTCAACTTATAAGCTTTCTGGCATGTCTGGGCTTAAAACTTAACTCTCCAAGAGAAAATAAAGATGAGAGAATCCTGAAAGTGCAAGCCGTATGATGTATGTCCTAACAGTGAACGTATCTTTGTTATTCACATCGTTCATCACGTGCGTTAAATAACTTATTCAGTCAACTCATCGCTGATCTCTGCAACACCTGGCCATGGGCATGTTTTTGATCGCAGGAAACACCTGATTGATTGCAGTGAGTGTCCCATAACTCTTTCATATGGGGATCAACAGTTCAAGAGGTCAGAAAACGCAAAGCAGGTGATAAAAGTACACATTTCCAATGACATGGGGCAATTATAATGCAAGAGCTTGCTTTTACTCCTCAAAATCAACCTGATGTTGAAACGACGAGGTACTTAGGATTTGTAGGACACAAAGTTGGCCCGCAGAGGTTGGTCTTGCTGGCAGCTCAGGAAATAAGAGAGCAATGATTCAAAGCAGAAGGAGCACACAATGATCTTGGGACTATATCGTTCTCTTTGAAGTTACAGCCGATCAAACATCTGTGATATTTTAGAGGAGCTACCAGAGCAACGTGAGGTCACATGGATTCAGGGACGTTGTGAGAGTTGGAGTTAAAAGCAGTATTGGGATAATCACTTGGAAGGTGTACTATGGTCGTGTTTCCACACAGGCAAATCTAAGTCAACCACAATTGGCTTGTTCAGCCGTTTCCCACCAAGATGTGGCCAACTCGTAGCCATGATAGCACAGTTGACTATGCAGGTCTCCCGTCGGCCCAGGCGTTGGTTCCCAGCTGGCAATGGTGACTTGTTTTTGATAGCTCCTGACCGAATACCGGCATCATTCGTGTTAGACGTGCCGGGACCGGGGATGGGAAAACTCCTCACGTCCCATAATTCTGAGCCCTGAACCAACATGTTGTCTTGCACAGAAGGTTCCCATGCTTTTGACAGCACGGGCAAGTTGGGGGTCTTAGCAAAAGAAGACGTGACCGTTGCTGCTGAGTCTTCGAAGTCAAGAGGCTGCTTTCCACCCCTCGCTGTCAAATCAAGAAGGCTCATCTTAGCAGACTGTGGATCAGGGTTTGGATCCTGCCATTCGTCAACCGAAGCTTCAGGAGCGATGTCCTCAGGATGAGTCAAACTCGCAGTATACCATTTAACACGCTCAGCCCCTCGACCTTGATGTATATGACCACAAACGTGGAGGCGAGGACGGACACTTCCAAGTCTTTTCTGAAGCTCTCGGCAACCAAGACCAGCATCACAGTGGCCGTAAGGTGGCGTATGCGTGATGAGAATATCGGTATCCGGGGGTATATCGGCCCAGATGCCAGCAGCATCCCGGTTTTCATTTGGCAGACCAATTCCAGACTTGGTACCAGGACTTGGATACATAAAAGCCCAAGTACCGTATTCAGGGCAAAAGGGCGACCCAAACACAGTGAACTCAGTGCCAGGGCCTTTGGGATCGGTGAGTCGTATAGTGGCACTGCTGTGCTGAAGGTATATAATAGCAGGATTCGAGGTCAACAGGGTGAGGCACTTTTCTGGGTCTTGAGGATATCGGTTATGAAGAGTTGGCCCGTGTCGCGCATAGAACTCGCGATCTAGAGTGACGTCGTGATTTCCTGGAATATTGTAAGAGCAAGCTCTGAATCAAGTGGCATCAACTTTTTGTAGCTCTTGGATACCTGCAATAATGATTTTGACCTCAAAATCGGTATTCTCCAGCCATCGAATAGCCTTTGAAAGCTTATTTCGACCAGTTAGCTCTAATGAAAGTTTGACACAATCCATTAGCATACCTCCGAGTAGCTTCCCTGGTTAGAAAGATCCCCGGCATGAATCAAAACATCGCCTTTGGGCAATTTGGGTGTGGTGTTGTGGGTATCGCTGATGCAGACAATTCTGGTCCGCCGAGTTTGACGCGGTGATGACATCGAGAGAGCTATTTACACTGCGCCCCCAAGCTCCCAGTTATCTGGTTGTTTCCAGCTCAAGCTGTCCGGCACGATCAAGGCGGGCCACGGCCGATGATGGAGGAAAGAAAAGACAGGAGGACAAGTTGATAGAGAAAATGACATTCGTATCATTTCGTTCAAAAGCATGGACGTTGAGCAGGATGCAACCTGCTGATGGGTCGGTAGGTGTTAGCTAGGCTGGTTTCTGCCTGTTGCAGGACCAACCGGCCGAAACTCCGTCCTCCTCCATTTTGCGTTCTGTGATCTTTCAAGTCTCCAACACTCCCAAATTGAAAAGATAACGGAAAAAGAACGCAGTCAGCTGTCTAAACAGGCATGGAGATTAGCAACAGCTCTAATCCGAGACCCAAGAATATGGAACTGGAGCACAGGCGCAGATCCAAGGAAATCAGAGACTGGTGTGAACACTACGAAGTGAACAGGTACATAGAGCCACGTCAGAGGGATGGTAGACGCGATCACTGGGAAGAAGTAGAGCAAAAGAAAATCCCATGAAGCCCATACTATTGGATTCGTATTGTATCTCGTTTGTGACAAAAAAAGCTGAGTTGTACACTACATACAATAGGTACTTGCTCCCTCCTGTTTGCACGAAGAACGGAGAGGTAGCATGATTTTGTCCGTGTGCATGTTGCGATATGGCAGTGCATGGCTCGTCGCTGATTTCCGTGGTCAATGAAGCGAGCGCCTGTGGATCCAAAAATCGCGCCGTGATTGGCCAATAAGAGCGCAAATGCAAGATGAATGGAGCCCATACCCTTGTCGGCCCCCAGAGATGCAGGCCCCTGTTGATGCGCCCCCTAACATTGGCGACCTGCGAGTTCGAGAAGCTCTTCCAGGTTTGGCGGGCAACGACGGTTCACATCCTGGTAGTCACCATGCCCTCCTGTCTTTGAAGCACCCGAGAAGCAGTTGGTTGCCTTCTACACCCATACACTACTCCAAGTTTCCAGTCTCTGGTCTCTGCCAAAAAAAGCTCCGAGACATGCAAGCTGCCAGCTCTCTCGCGATCTTCGCCTGCACTTTATCGACACTGAGCCTTTGTTTATGAGCAGGTAATAATTTGGCAGTTTGACTGGAGCCTTCCATCTGACACTCTGCTTGGAATCTTCCCAGGTTGCCATCAGCATTCCAACGCAAGCCACACCACCTGCAGCGCAGGACGTTGGGACAAATAGGGGGTGGGATACAGATACAGCTTCATTCTTTTCGATTATCATCGGCCTTGTTCAAGCATCATCCCCATCACGTCACCTCCAGCCAACAGCAACTCGGTCTCCTGCCCGCTGCTTCTCGTCGTCTGTTGCTTTTTTTCGAGGTGGTTAATCACCACACGCGCCTATCTCCTACCACGCTCTGTGATTGGAGACACACCGCCAAACAACTCTTTGACAACTCCACCTGCAAACTTTGGAGAGACCTACATACGTGGAGAGGGTACCGCCGACAAACCTGGCACTTTTGATTGCTCATATGTCTGCTTGATCTCGAGCGGCTCAACTTTTGAACTATCCATTGGCCAACTTGGGTCGCGCCGGGAGGCTGGGTTGGGTGCAAGACAGTAGACCGCCAAGCACCCGGCGCTGGCACCTGCTGGGCCCCGAGCTCCTTAGTTGGCACCTGGATCAGGCGGATAGCGACGTGAACGGTTCGAATCAAGATTGCCTGGATCACCATCTCTGCGACTCCTGGTGATCACATCCGCCCTCCCCGCTAGACCACTTGTCAGTTCCCTCTGAGGCGGAGTTATGGCGATTGTATTCCACACAACAATGACTCTGAACTCTTCCGAATATACCTGGGCCGGTGCGTTGCCGACCGAGACAGAGGTAAGACTTACATTTGGTGCTTCATTGGTTTGCATCGTCTCTTCATCTCCCGATGATCCTACCAAAAAATCTGGATCCGTCGAGCTGACTCGGTGATTATCCAAAGGAGATGTATGACGGCAACGCACGAGACTTTTATTACTCGAGCCGAACTCCCCTCACTGCGCACAACGGCAACGCGGTTATCAATTTCGAGACCAGCTCACGAGGCTATGGGGCCGATGACAAACCACACAAAGACAACTCAAGTGCTGTCGACAGAGCCTCACTGGACCCCAATGATGGACCGAGTACCGACTCTCGAGAAGACTTCCACGACCGAAGACCAAGAGAGTTCTATGGTGACTCGGATAGTGATGAGAATTCCAAATGGATACACAGAGACAAGCTGGCAAGGATAGAGAGTGAGGAGCTTCAAGCAGCGGGCATCATTCTTCCCCGTCCCAAGGACAGAACCAGGTCAAAGAGCCAAAATAGACCAAGACGAGATCCGAGCCAGGACAAGTTGAACAGCTCTGGCAGGTCGATCGCAGGATCCGAGTACACGGCGAGATCTAGGAAGAACTCAACGGCAACGTCGACGACCGAAACACGTACCGCTGATCCAGCCTCTATTGCCAGTTGGGACTTGAGGCGGCCGGAGGAGATTTTGGAAGAGGCCGAAGCACAGAAAGCAGCCAGCAGCAGCAGTGGGAAGAGCTCTTCTAGGATACCCGTGGCTAAGAGCAGCCATGTGCCTATTCCCACGGAGCATATTGCACGGGATACTGTGCTGACCCGGAAACGCGATCCTAGCCCTACCGATGAAGATAGCATAACGTACCCGAAGACTCGGGCTCGGAGTGGAAGTACTGGCAATGCTCCCTCGAAGACAACAAACGCAGGGACGACGCCACAATCCAACAAGCGAGTTGATTCCCAGCAAAAGAAGTCTTCTGCGACGGCTTCACCGGTCAACCGTAAAACGAAGCCGGTCAATGGGACCGCGGGGCGACCCAAGACTCGGGGTGGACCGAACAAGGACTCGACAAGCAGCACACGTCCTTCAACCAGGTCCGGCGAACGCGAGTTCTCGATCACCAACAGCAAGCCCATGGAGGGCGATCCGCCATGGATGGTGTCAGCATATGCCCCTGATCCGCGGCTGCCCCCCGACCAACAATTGCTGCCCACTGTTGCTAAGCGCTTGCAGCAAGAAAAGTGGGAGCGGGAGGGCAAATTTGGCAACATCTACGACAAGGACTTCAGACCGCTTACAGATTCCGGATTTCCAAAGCCGCCAGAAGTCACGGGTAACTCCTCAGAAAAGGATAAAACTGATGCCGACGAAAACAAACAGGAGGAGAAGGTGGTGCAAGACCAAAAGGCAGAAGACAGCAGCACCTCTAAGGATTGGCCGCTGAAGCCGGAGACCAAAAGCCCCACGCTCCCCGGGAAAGGGAGCTCATACTCAACAATACCCAAGATTTCCGACAACAGACCTGTCACGTCTCCCCTTGCCAGTCCCCTGCCGCCGGGCCCGCAGTCTCAGGCCGGGAAGCCTGTGGTTCGGCTGCCAGAACCACCTGAAGAAACCAAGCAAAAGAAGGGATGTGGCTGCTGTATCGTAATGTAATCTTCAGGGGCGTTGTCGTCTTAAAAAATCCATACCATCTTGACTCTCTACCTCTTCCACTTAACCTGCCGCTCACTTATCCGCTCAGCCACCCGACGACCAGACAACAGAAACCTTCAGGGCAACGCACGCTTCTCGCATTCCCAAAACGTCTTGCTGGGTCAGACCTGTCCCATTTACATCAGTCAATGCTTATGGTGGCCAAACAATTCTTTGCCTGCTTTTTCTGTCAACCCCATCACCAGCCCGGCTGTCAATCACAGCACTTCTCCAAAGCATGCACATGTTTCGTCAACCTGCCTTGAATTTTACAATTAGGCACTTCCCTTTCTTTCCAGCGATGTCAATTCACTCTTGTATATCTCCATCTGTAAGGCCCTGCATCATCTAATCGTTGGCTGGACATCATGGCTAGCTGTTTGGTATATCTCAGCTGACCGACGGCTGCCCCGTTGCCTCGCCAGGCTCCATCCTTGCTAGAAGCAAGGAGACACTTTGTTTCATCGGGGAAAACAATCTGTTTCGTGTTGGGCATGTTTTGTAATGAATCACATTCCTTTCTTCGTTTGATTTTCCTCCTTTCCTTTCCCCTTCTCCCCAATAGTCGGTTGACTCGCCTCTACCTAGTGTTATTTTTGTCTTCTTTCGCTATCTTTTACGTTCATAATTTCTGGTGCTGGGCGCGGTAGGAAATCGTTTTGGTACTTATCGAGGCAGAATGCGATAGCCCTCGGATTGAGTGATCATCGGTTGGGCTGGCGTGTGCGTGGTTTACATACGAACTGCGGCAGGAGGATTAAATGGGAAGGAGACGTCTTAGTCTTGGCTTTCCGTTTGTGCCATCTGACTAAGCATACCGCATGGTCCCAGGAAAGTGGCCTTTTATGAGCGATTGCGGTCTGGTATTGACCTTGCACTCTTTTTGGCGTTTATTTCCTCTTTTCCTTTCACATACTTGTTTGTCCTGAGCGTTATTGCTTCCTCATCATGGTTCTGGGGGCTGTTTGATGTATTAGTGCCGTTGTTCTCGAATCTTGCCTTTTGGTTTCTGTTGATCGGTTTCTGTTGATACACTGAAGAGGTAAGCAAGGTGGGGCTAGGCGTTCTACATAGGCATATTATCTAGCAGCTGTATTCAGAGAGTGTGTTGGGATACGTGAAGGGTGAAAGGGGGAGACCCAACGTACAGGATAGTCGCGGAAAATCGTTTCAGTGATGGTGTATGGAACTAGCAACAAAGCGAATTGATATACCTACCTCCTTGTTTATGTAATGCACTGCTGTGTCTTTCAAAAATCGTGCCTGAACAGTCTTGGTTTGCTAACTTGAGCAATCTGTGTCCCCCACTTGTACTGACATTCTTTTGCCGATCCCATTCAGAGCCTACGTATCGGGTAGTCTGGGGGGTTCTGTCTCCTACTTGTGCCTGTTATCTAGTAACGAATGGTTCCTATACACCGACCGCATCGTCTCATCGGATGTTAGGCAGCACAAAGATGAGCACGTACGAGAGATCTTGATGATCAGATAACCAGTTTAAGGTGAGAGCCCCGGTTCTCCCTGTGACCCCCTTGTTGGTATGTGCACAATCTCTCTCTTCCCAAGACAATGACCAAATACTGATTGTTTATGCACAAGTCAGACATCTTCACACTTAAGATCGCATGTTTTATACTGACTACCTAGGGGTTGCTTGTCTAGTGGGAGAGACACTTTTCCCCCTTTAGCATGTAAACAATGGGCTGATACAGGTAGTAGGCCGTCCAGATTCGCATGTGTTTTAGACCAAGGCTTTCAAGATCAAAGTTGTTCTATCAACACCTTTTGAAGAGACCCAAACTACATGATACAACTAGATGTACCATCATGCTAGGATGCTTGACCCACACAGGACATAAGTCACACTTCCCGTTTCTTGTGATCCTCAAGCCTAGCATACAATTACTTTTTCCATGCCATGTTTTGCTAGGACCCGACGGCGTTTACCGACAGTGGTGCCGGCCGAATCGGGGTCATACCCAGCTCAAACACCCGAGAATTCCGGCCAAGGCAAGATACGTAGTTACGTAGATGGTTTAGCTCTACTATGCATTGAACGCATGAGAAATAAGCGACACGAATGTAAAGCAGTGGGTGTGCCTATTTCTTCCAATACGCGTCCGAGGTTTGCAGCTCTGCTGTGTCATACACTCTAGCAGCAAGTACAGATTTTTGGCACCGATATTCCTACTTGGTATGTATCTGGAGACAGGTCATAATCAAGTATCATGAAACGAATTTTAGTCGGCTTAATATACTGGGTGATTGACGGTTCTTTGAGACAAACGGAAAGCTTAGAACATTGAGCTCAGCGCTGAACAAGAGATGTAGGATCTGTGCGTTGATCGCCCATGGATTTGTCTCGGCCAACTCGAAGCGGCGAACGATCTGCAAAGATCGAAGAGTACTGACCCTCCCCATGGTATCCGTAAGTAATGTTGATCGATTGGCCTAGAACATAGTGGAGGTGAGCTGCTGATAACCACCAATAAGGCGAGCGACGAGAAAGGATGGGACCTTTTTGATTGGGTGTATGCATAGTTACACCCAGCGGAGATCGATTAGATTTATAACGATAGTCTGACCATAACGATATAGACCGGGGGAACCATCGTTCTTTGTGTGGGAAAGTGGCAATTCCTAGTGATTGAAATATACGATATAGTTTCTGCTTCGTCACCTACATAACATGATGAGTTTCGTTTTAATGTAAACACCCTAGATTGCCCGCTAGCGAGCTATCTATCATGCTCTCTTGTGAAGAAAAAATCATCCAAATTTCCATATTTGGTCCCTTCCTTGCACAGAGCTGGCTGATTGATCTCTGGCCGCGATAAATAGTGTGGTTTTCATGTTTTCGCTATCAGGTATGTTCGTAAAGGTATCAACCTGACCTAAAACGAAAGAGTGGGGAGGTGTGGGAGCAATGATTTCCTGGCCATAATGATATGAACCTGGGTGACGGAACCCATCTTTATCCGCAGGTCTGACTATGCTCATCCAGAGAATCTTAGGTGCATGGTCGATCAGGTCATCCAGGGCAAGGTGTTTGCAGACTCGTTTAAAAAGATCGAATGTTACGATGCTGTTGCTTGCATTGCACGGACGATGGCCCTCAGCAGTTGAGTTGATCAACGCCAATGTCGGAAAGATGAGCTGTTTTCGAACTTTAGCGGCCGGACATCCCAGGCTTTCCGAGAATGCGTTCGCGGGAGGAAAAGTTTATGCAGCCCCACTAGCGGAGCCTGGAGTGAAACGTTCTTTTGCTTCTGGAAGCGATTGGTCCATCTTACGGGGAATTTAACGGCGCGGATTTTACCAGTAGGTGGGGTCGATGGGCTGGATCCAGCCTGCCGGAGTTTCCAACTTGGATTTTGACCTGGCTTTCTGCACGACATCATGACGGATACGGGCCGTTACACGTAGTTATAGCTCGCAATTATGCTGTGTATATACTAGGAGGGACATAAAAGGGGAACATGGCTGGGACCCTTTTCAACACCAACAGCTGACTGGTGGTGTACATGGCGCAAGCCAAATGGAAGCTTGTTCCTGAAACCGTGCGCTTCGTTATGCCACAGGTTCAGTTCCCAAAAAGCTTTGCAGCCTCGCGGTCGGATATCCCCGTTCGAAGCTTTCAATCCGGCTAGGTAAGCATGCATGTATGTACCTATGTATGTGCACAACATACCTCAGCCCTCGAAGTCTGTCACAGTAGCCATGGCCAGCTGTGCTGGTGGGGACTGTTTGCTTTCGAAGAAAAGCTATTCTCGCAGGCTGGCGCGCCTATAGACCACAGTAAGCTAATGGAAAGCAAAGATCGAGGAAAAGGTCTGCATCCAGGGCTGGTCCAGCTGGGCTTACCCTTGCACTTGACCGGATACTGGGCACCTTGAATTTCTGCTTTTCCCCCATGCTTGCTTCACTGGCTTCAGCACACGGGTGTTGCAGCCGCCTCACTTTTTACCAGGTGTGAGTCAGCCCTCAGAGCGCAACATTGCACTAATGAAAAATACTGTGCTGCTGCTTGGGAAGCATGGCTTTGACATTAAAACTTTCCTGTTACTGCTTAACAAGGAGACTATGACGACTAATCAGAAATTGTTGTCCATACATAAATTCGGTCATCCTACCTAGCTGTGAAGGTTTGGGAAATTAATTTTTTGCACGGCATTTAAGGGATCTCTAGATTAGGTTTTGTGGAAGCTGTCGTTGAACATAAACCCATGGTGTATAGGCAACGAAAAGTTCTGGACCCAGAACACAGCAGCAATTTTGTGGGAACATGTAACAATGCATGTAATTTTACACAAAGAAAAATTCTTTATCCTTGCTCAAAAGCATCCTGTGCTTGTCCTCGGACTTCCCACGCCAGCCGCATGGCCCTTCATCCTGGCACAGCTGTTGGTGACCAGAAAAACAAGGCCGAGCCTTGTCCAGGTTTGGGGGTCTAGCCCAGTCGATTTCCCACAGCCCACTTCTACCCAGAAATAAAGAGTCAGCTCTTCCCCGTCACCCGAACACAATGTTGTGTGCAGTCTTTCAAAGATACACGTTGCTGTTCTGCGTGGTAACCATTTGGCCATTCCCGCCTTGAGCTTGCCATATATACGGGCCCAGCCTACCGGTTTTACTGAGCAGCACCCAACACGTCTTTCGCAATGTCCACAACAGATCGTCCTCCACAGGTCCCTTATCACGATAGCTCATCTTCCACCTCGACGTCCACAACATCCTCCTATTTGTCTTCTCAACTGGGGTTACCTGGGCCGTCTAGTTCATCGTCAGGTTCGACCACTCAAAGAAGCATGGATTCTACACCGCGCCCTCCTGTGCAGGTTGCGATCATCCGTTGTCTTCGGTGTGCCCGCGCAGAAGAGATTACCAGCACAGACGACCCGAGTACCTATGGCATGATCCAAATTGGAACTAACATTTACTACTGCACCCGATGTGCCAACCTTGTTGGCTACACATGAAGCTACGGTTCTTTGAAAACACAATGTTTCAGAGAAATCGCTTTGTCAACGAGCGCATTGCGGAATGAGAGGGGTTAGAGCTGGCAGTATCCAAGATAGTTGCCAGGCAGCCGCGCCATGCTTCAAATGACACCGCTTAGACCGATGGCTCAGCCGATTTGACACATCTAACGTGGCCATCGCTCTTGCTGCATTGCAGCTCTGCTCGAGTAATACATCAGCCGACATCAAGCGGAATACCACAAAACATGCTGCATCGCGATAGCGTTGCGTGTCAAGAACTCAGGGACCTTGCGGGCAACTAATATCGTTCACCATGCACCCGGCCTTTGATTGAGAGGCTAAATTCCTTGTCAGCAAGCATGGATTCACTTGTCTTACCGATGCCCTCTTGGACATGGGGCTGCAAGATGGCTGCGTGCATGCGGACGAGCTTGGAAATGAAATTCCTAGCAAACGGATTCCTACACGATAACACCTTTCATCTAGGCCTTGACAGCAACCCGGTGCAACAAACGCTCTCAGGAAAATGAATGGATATACTTAGCATGGCGGCAGACAACAGCGACATTGTCCTCTCGTTCTTCCGTTCATACCCACCTCCCGCTTTTGGTAGCTCTTTCTGCGGTTTTCTCGTTCTGTCCAATCAGCGGGGAGCTTTAGATTTTTCACCAGCCGGTTCGGTCCGCCATCGAAGCTGCCAAGCCGGTGGCGTCGTCTCAGACCCACAGTCAGCACGGTTCAGTTGCCTGGCCCAGGGCAGCAGATCATTATTTGCATGCCAAGTAGTAGCTTGAGCTATCATTGTTTGCCCTGGTTGAACACGATCGCGGACGGTATTTTCTGGCAGACGATCTCTTCATTTTCATCCCGCTCAGCATTCGGTGCTCTCTGGTTTATAGAGATTGAAGCTCTGAGCTCATGTTGAGGTTTAACGAAGTGGATAGAAGCCAACTGTGAGGCTGGCCCGGTTGGTCGATTAGATGATAGATGGGGCATGTACTTCCCACAGGTTTCAGTTGTGATTATAAATCAGCAATGTATTACTGCTCTGTATTTCGAGGCTCATTGTTTTTAGCATGACACTACAATACTTATACCAGAACAATGAAGACGCATGAGTGCTGCCGTGTTGCCGCCCCTCAAAATGTGACGTATGGAGAGACACCTGCTATAACGACGCCTTTTGATAATCCTTTTATTCCTCTTTCTCAGGGACACACATTTAATAATTGGCCGACAGGAACAGGAAAGGGGACAGCAGGCAAAAACCGGCGTTGAGTTCATTACCTAGATACATGCTATAAGACGCTTGTGACCTGATGACATATCTTGTCACCACTTCTCATCCATTACTCTCCTCAAGCAGCCACTTCTCAGGCACCATAATCATCCACGCTGTCACAATCTTACGCCACTCTGTATCCCGAGATAACAGGTCTATTCACTTGCTAGAACAAACCAGCCTGGGCAATAAGCAGGAGTGTAGAAAAGCCGTGGGAAATAAGCACTAGGCTTTTTTAGACAACTGGGAAAGCTGGATTCCAGCTAGGAGCTGACCTCCCACGTAGTTGGGGAGATTCGCCTGCTGACAGCCACCCCACACTCAAGGTACCAAGCTGCCTGTCTACATGTCCAGGCGTTCGGGGTTTAACTCGCGATAGCAAGTATCGACGCGATGTTTGTCACCCCTCCATTTTGACGTCGCGCTGTTTGCTCATATTCTTGAGTAGATAGCTGCGCTTGAAGTACTCGTTGGGGTGCACAATAGTCTCCAGTTGTACGGCTGTGAAAATTCCTTCCTCCTTAGCACGTTTCAGCTCTGTCTTATGAAGGTACTCGAAGACACTATTTTGCAGTTAGTAACTCTGCCGAAATAATACCGTAGTAGGGTAATATATACCGGTTACAAGCCATATGATATTTCTGGCTCTCCTTATCCTCCTGGATACCCTGCAGAACCGCGCGATCGGAAACGCCAGCGGAACGCAGCAGTGTAGTCAGGTTGTCCATGCTAAAGTGGCGAAACGGGCAACCGTGAGCCTCGCCGGGGCCAGGGGCATGCTCGGTCAGGATCTTCTGGCAACTGAAAGGGCTATAACCGCCGGAGCGGCGGTTTGCGTCACCGCCAACGTCTCCGTAAGCGTGCCGCACGTTGTAGCGGTACTCCTTATTGAAGGTGTCGTCACTAATTTTTTTGAAGGCCGTACGCCAAAATATCAAACACTCCTCTAAGTTTAAGCCGATGCCCTTAAGGAACAGCGTATACTGCAGACGGCCATAGTGCTTCAAATGACAGTCGCGACGCAGAGTATTGTGCAAGTGCTGCATGCATAGGGGGAAATGCTGTGCCAGGTTATCGATGTTCCGTGCTGAGATTTCGGCACCCTCGACAGCAGTTGCGGAACCGCTATAGCTCGAGTCGGGGGCGATGAAGTTCTTGGAAAGATGGTTGAGGATCGGCGTCAGTCGGTCATCTTCGTCTAGCCGGGGAAGTGCCCGGGCTGTGAGCTGTACAAGTAATGCTTGTCAGCGGTAATTCAACCTTCGGGATCTGTGAACTTTTCTTACTTCTAGCGCGCGCTCCAACCTCCTGGTAAACTCGTTCATGATGATGCTGTGCTGTAGAGGGCCAGGTACATAGGCCTTGCCGGCCTTTACGAACACTTTGCGCCCTTCGATTAGATCTGGAACTCGCGTCCAGTCAACTTTATACCAGTCTTCATCCATGACTTGCTGAGCCCTCTTGCCGTAACCAAAGCCTGCTGTGACGATGAGTTGCTGCGAAAGCTCTCCTTTTTCATCCTCCAGGACAGGCTCCCATTCAATGTTAAGGGAACGAATGAAGGCGGCACGCTCGCGAGAATCGTCTGTCTGGAATCGCAAGCGGAATAGCATGGTCTCAACGCGAGCGAAGCGACGGCGCAATTCCTCAGTAGAGGAAAATGCCAAACGCAAGATAAAGTGGCTGTAGTGGTCCTTTTGGCGCTGAGAGTGCAGCTGTGAGCTGCTGGAGCTGTTGGCGTCCAGCGGCAAGTACTTGTCTAATAATGGCTTCATGTACGCCGCCGTTTCGGCGGGCGTCTTGTTGCGGAACGAACATGCCTCCAACTCGGCGAGAATTCGCAGCCTGTCAATAGCCCATTGTTCGAATTGCTCGAGAGTGATATCGGCTGTTGGCGGAGTTGCGTAGAAGTTCAGACGGTGAGGATACTGCGTCTCCTTGTACAGCGGATCGGCAAATTGCTTTTTTCGGTAGTCGACAACATTGCGCCGCTTGGCATCAATGCGGTTGAAATCCTGGCGGATCATGTTGTAGATTGTTGCTGGGAGGTTTGCTCCCAAGTGAAGCTCGACGATTGCCTGGGTCTAGAGGACCGACAGCAGCTAGATGAATGGAGAGCCCAAGACCGATTCAACGAGTGGGTGTTAATGGGCAACGCGTCGAAACGCGGTTTACGCGTCGCACCAATTAGGGACGTGGTTCGCTTAGCCAGAACAACCTAGCCCCTGATCCGAGGACTTTTGAAACCCTAACCCTGGCCTTAATGGCACCAGCTGAGCCCCATGTACCATAAACGGTATGAGTTCCTGTGTGAAGAATATAGGCCTTCAATGAAAATAGATTATCCAGCCAATAAAAGGAGAGAAATGTGTGAGTTAGAAGTACAGTAAGTGCGAAATGAGAGCCAGTTTCAGAGATCCAGCCATTAAACCAATGTGGCTTGCTAGTAAGAGTTCGCGCACAACCCTTCTCTAACTATAAGCTACCAGAGTTTGCGATGAGCTTTCTCTGATGACTAACAAAATTTTGCTATGAGGTCGTTTCCTTCTTTGGCTCGCCGTTTCGTGGTTGGCCGGATAGTTCGTCCATGTTCCAAACCATATATCCCTGAAGCTTCCAGAGAAGCATCTGGAGCTTGACAGTTGCCTGTCTACCCAGTAGGAACAACGATCCACCGCGTAATAGTGCTGACTGGCTTCTTAAGCGGTCCAAATGCTCGGAACCGAGCAGTACCTGAAGATTATGAACTGCAAGTTTTTTGCCAAATCGTGATTCTGGAAAATCCATGGTCGACAGCCTAGGTGGCACGAACTCGGCCCCCGATGACGCTCCGCGGTCATTGGGAAGACCCAGAAACAGGACGCATCCGCGATGTTTGTGCTGTCCAACTTCATCCCAACTCCCAAGCTTCGTGATGTACTTGCGACCTTGCGTCTCAACCATACCAGCAAAATAAACCAATCCTTCGACAATTCGTCGACGCATTAACTCAAGAACAACGCCGTGCATATCAGGGCGCCAGATGCTGGTATTTAAGACCTTGGTGAGGTTCACCTGCCCAGTGCTGCTCATGCGTAGGAGCTTCTTGTAAGCTCCATTGTATGGCGATGATTCTCTCTCCAGTTCTTGCATGAGCTTTTGGCTGGCGAGAACATATGCAGATGGCCCTGTACGAGTGCAATGAGACACATTTTCCCCTCCATGGAGAGCGGGTGAGACCTCACCCTCGTCTTCATCCGACGATTGGTTGGTTACCAAGTCTTTATGTGGAACGTTTTGGGGTGCCTTAGAGTCAAGGTCCTGGGGCACAAAGTAGGGTTGGTTCGTTTCGGGGTGAGAAACGAGGTTGAACCGCTGAAGAAAAAACTTGGGGAGTCGTGTTGACGTGATTGGACAAATCCGGATCGGAGTGGCCAGGGCCTGAGCTGAAGAAAAAGTTAGACTTGTTGCCAAGAAACACACTGAAACTGGGTGAGTTGATGTACCATAGGGATTTCGGACAAGATGGCGTTGGAACTTAGTTGGCTTATATGGAGATATGCGGGGTTTTGGCTTCTTAAAGCGCTGCTTTGCCTCATGAAAACTTGGATCCATCATAGGCGAAAGCGGAAGCTCTCCAATGGGCGTTCTGACAGTCTTTTTTTCTGTGTCAATTGGGATGGCGGAGTAACTTTCATTTGTGACTTTAATGCTATGTTTGGTGGCTTGTAGCGCCCTGGAGACTCCGCTGTTGCTTGTATAAAGACCTTTAAGTGTGAAGGGAGTGGATAAATACCGGTAGGCTTTCCAAGCTGTTGGCCTGGAAAGTGGACTGCTGAGAAATTTCATCACAGATGCAGACTTATACTCGGACTTGTGCTTTTAAAGGTTTCCACTCTTTTGGTTGAGGGGAAGGAGTCAAGGCAAATGAGGTTGATGGGCGGTTAGGTGTTGTTTGAACAGGACTTGTAGTTCCCATCGTCATGTCATGGTTTGAGAGTCGGATTGGTCAAGATCTTAATGAGGTGAATGGATTGCTGTTTCCCTGCCGGTGTTTGGAATTCTTGGCGCCATATCCCAGTAACGCCAAGGGCTTTCCTTCCGCCGCTCGGCGCAAGGGACCCGCTTTCTTGGCTTCTTGCTGGATTCTCTCTTTCTCACCGCCGTCAATCTGAACAATACCTCAGTTAACAGAACGGTGCCACCTGTAACCATGAGCTTTTGCCAGCTAACATATCGTCTACTCCAAAGAATAGGCCTGGGCGCGACACAATGTCGGCGCTTTCACAAGCTGGGAGGGTTTTCCAGGCCCGTCCCTCTCACAGGCACCATTCCAATGCCCTACATCACTGAGGTCACAGTATGTGTTCAAGACACCTTGTCAGTGCCCTTTCATATCTCTGTGAATTTACTAACAAGCTAGTCTGGTGGCTGGCGGACATGTAAGTCTCTGAGCTTACATCTTCCGGTCAACTCGTCCAGTGTGTATTAACAGCACTTTGAAGCCGACATCTTTTCCAAACTGCTTCAAGTATGTGGCATCCTCTAGTATGTTGACGACTTCATGCGATAAATTGACCTGAACAGGAACGGATCGTTTGTCTTAATGGGCCTATCGATGACACCGTGTCAGCCTCGATAGTTGCCCAGCTACTGTGGCTTGAATCTGACAACCCTGACAAACCCATCACCATGTACATCAACTCTCCAGGGGGTGAGGTGAGCTCAGGGCTTGCTATTTACGACACAATGACCTACATCAAGTCACCCGTTTCGACAGTGTGCATTGGGAGTGCTGCCTCCATGGCTGCTATCTTGCTCATTGGTGGCGAACCAGGCAAGCGATTCGCACTGCCACACAGCACAGTCATGGTGCACCAGCCATTGGGCGGAACTCGGGGCCAGGCTGCTGACATCCTCATCTATGCGAACCAAATTCAGCGGATACGAGAGCAAATCAACAAGATCGTATACAAACACATCAACAAAACCTTCGGCTATGAGAAATTTGATATGCGGGCTGTCAACGATATGATGGAGCGTGACAAATATCTATCAGCCGAAGAGGCTAAAGACTTTGGCATTGTTGATGAGATTCTGTATCGGAGAGACAAAAAGGACGACAGGACACAGACAGCGACAGCGGCGACGCCAAGTCAAACCAAGCCCTGATGATGTTTTCAGAAGGGCGCATGAAGGGCGTAATTAGACAAACCTTGTCACTTCGGAAGGGATCATGGGTGACTGGTATCATGAGGGTGTGATTGGCTTGGTTTTCGAGCGACAGCGGGTCTCTGCTTGTGCCAGCAGGCAGTTGTACATCCGTTGATTGAAGGCAGGTTGGGATTCAACAGATCTTGATCCAGCCCTCGATGATGTGAGCAGACAAGATGGAAGTTGGCCGATCGGTCAGGCGGGGGCAGATATCCTGATAGTTGAGTTGTTCGCCTGCAATTTTGGCAATCTCTCTGAAGACATCACCTCGCAGACTTCTGGACTAATATCCATATGCTCTCCATGTTTACACAAATACCTATGTAGTTCATGTGTGATGCCTACGAAGCTACTTGAGTTAGTTTAGACGCAAGTAAACTGAAGTGCTATCACCGATGACAGCATGGAGTTCTCAGCTGGTGCCTAGGTCGCTCCGGAGATTTAGCGTTACAGACAGCCAATCGGCAGCCTTGTATTTTTGTCAACTGCCAAACATTTGGTGGGGTTAAATCGGAGCTTGCGGGGCCGTAATGTCGTCTGTTCCTGTGACTTGTACTGCACAGACTGGCTGGCCTCTTTTTAAGCTCCGAATTCGCCCAAAAGTTCGATACAGCTCTGCTATCCCAGCTTCTCGACTTCAGGTCAGCTCATCTGCTCTTTTCTCCCGCAGCTTGGGCTTTGTCAAAAACCTCGGGGCACTATCAAAGCTCCATGACGTCTGAAGTTTGCCAATTGATCCCCCGTTAGCTTATCGTCTATACTTCCTTCCTCGATTCTTCGCCATGCTCTCGCCACTCCTGCGCTCCAGCGCTCCCCAAGCCCGGGCCTTCAGCCGGGCGATTCCGCTGAGGAACCAGCTGTATGTTTCGATCCGAATCCATCTTTGTGTAATTTGTCGCCTTGGTGTCAATAAGAACCGGACCTTTAACTGCCAGTCATGTTTAGCCGTTCCCTTTTCACCACGCCTAGCCGCCATGCCGAAGAAAAGCAGCTTAACCGGATCTCGGCCACCATTACCCAGCCTAAGTCACAGGGTGCTTCTCAGGCTATGCTCTACGCAACCGGCCTAACTGAGGAGGACATGAACAAGCCTCAGGTCGGCATCTCGTCGGTGTGGTATGAGGGCAATCCATGCAATATGCACCTGCTCGACCTCTCCAAGATCGTGCGTGACAGCGTCGCGAAGGCTGGCCTTGTGCCTATGCGGTTCAACACAATCGGCGTTTCGGACGGTATTAGCATGGGTACCACGGGCATGAGGTACAGTCTGCAGAGTCGCGAGATCATTGCCGACAGTATCGAGACGGTCATGCAAGGCCAATGGTACGACGCCAATATTTCGCTGCCGGGCTGCGACAAGAACATGCCTGGTGTGCTGATTGCCATGGGCCGTGTCAACCGGCCCAGTATCATGGTGTATGGTGGTACTATCAAGCCGGGCTGCAACATGAAGGGCGAGCCTATCGACATCGTCAGCGCCTTCCAGGCCTATGGACAGTACATTTCTGGCGAGATCGATGAGAAGCAGCGCTTCGACATCATTCGCCATGCCTGCCCTGGCGGCGGTGCTTGCGGTGGCATGTACACTGCTAACACCATGGCTTCTGCCATTGAAACCCTCGGCATGACCCTCCCCGGCAGCAGCAGCTTCCCTGCTGAGGATCCCCGGAAGAAGGCGGAGTGTGAGAGCATTGGCGAGGCCATCAAGAACCTTCTTCGTGAGGATATCCGGCCCAAGGATATTCTGACGCGCACAGCCTTCGAGAACGCCATGAAGGTAGTTAGTGTTCTTGGTGGTAGTACCAATGCCGTCCTGCACCTCATTGCTATTGCAGATTCGGTCGGTATCAAGCTCACCATTGACGATTTCCAAGCCGTGTCGGATAAAACTCCCCTGCTGGCCGATTTGAAACCGTCGGGCAAGTATGTCATGGAAGACTTGTGCAAGATCGGCGGTACTCCAGCTCTGCTCAAGTTTCTGCTCAAGGAGGGCATCATTGACGGGTCCGGCATCACCGTCACTGGTAAGACCATGAAGGAGAACGTCGAGAAGCTACCCGGCTTCCCTGAAGACCAGCCCATCATCCGTCCTCTGAGCAACCCGCTGAAGCCAACTGGGCATATCCAAATCCTGCGCGGTACTCTGGCCCCGGGTGGCTCGGTTGGCAAGATCACGGGTAAGGAGGGTCTTCGCTTCGAGGGCAAGGCTAAGGTTTATGACTATGAGGATGCCTTTATCGAGGCTCTGGAGCGGGGTGAGATCAAGAAGGGCGAGAAGACAGTTGTAGTCATACGCTACGAGGGCCCCAAGGGCGGCCCTGGTATGCCGGAAATGCTCAAGCCAAGCTCTGCCATCATGGGTTACGGCTTGGGCAAGGACGTCGCTCTCATCACAGATGGTCGTTTCTCTGGTGGCAGTCACGGTTTCTTGATTGGCCACATCGTACCTGAGGCCATGGAGGGTGGCCCGATTGCATTGGTACAGGATGGTGATACTATTGTTATCGATGCTGAGAAGCGTGCTATCGATCTCCTTGTGTCTCCCGAGGAACTTGAACAGCGCCGCAAGGCCTGGAAGAAGCCTGCCTACAAGGTGCCTCGTGGCACATTGCGGAAGTATGCCCAGCTGGTTAGCGATGCCAGCCACGGGTGTGTTACTGACAGGGCGGCTGACGCTGAGGAGTAATGGCTGGTAGTTGTGAAAGGGCTTGGCTGGTTCTGTTTTCTTTTCAGAAAAAGGGTGGGTTGTCTTGTATATAGTGGTTCGTATTCAAGGTTTCTCATAGTTTTGGTCGGTGGCAACAAAAAAAATACCAGGTTGGCATTGCCTTTATTCGATATTACTTTTCCCCGTCTATCCTGTGCCAGTCATCGAGAAAATACAGGGGATGAGAAAACCATGAACAAAGCAGATAGATCACTGACGGGTACATTAGGGCTGTGTGTGACTGACTAGAAAAGAGCAGACACCATATGACTTTTCGGGTTTCCGTCTACTCCTTATCCAGGCTTTTCTTATGAGAAGACCAACGGCCACTGAGGACAGGAAAGATCTTCCTTTTTTGGGCCGAATTCGCCTCTAGCGTTTAACCCATACATTGACAAACGCCTTCTTATCTCTTAGTGTAAGGTTTACCCGGTGCGCCCTTCCAAGTCGAGCAAGCGCTTCGGCGACGTTGTCCAGCAAAGCCTGCTCCTCCCGATTTCCGGGGCCACCATCTCCCTCCTGCTGCTGTTGCTGTTGGGCACGTGGTGGTGGCACGTTAACCCAGTCACCACCATTTGTTGCGCGAGATGTATTGTAGATTGGCTCAGCAATACGGACGCGCACGCAATGAGTTGGCCGGCCGAGTAAGTTCCAGAGGAAGCGAATCCAAGCTCGGAAGCCAGGAACGGGAGTCGTCACATCCGGGGGGGTGTACCGCAGAGAGATGGGGAAGATGGCGTTCTCCGCAGGAGTCGTCAGGAGGCATGGGCTCAAAGGAAGCACACCACGGCCGTTGGTCGTCCCGCTCTCGGGGAAGACGACAATGATACGGTTTGGATACCGCGAAAGAAGCGCACGAAGGTCCGTAAGGCCTCGACTACCACCCGGTTGCGACTCGATCGAGTCTGCGAGTTGAAAATCTGCCGAGAGTGCGTAACATACGGCCTTCAACAAGCTGATGCGCCGGACTTTGCGCGAGCGCGGATGGCTGGCAACAAAGATGGGGTTGAAGACAGCGGCTAGGTAGAGCGCATCAAGCGGAGAGCTGAAGCTCGCGGCAATGACAGATCCAGGGTGTGGCACACGGGTACGTGGCTGCTGGCTCAGCAACCCGCGCCTCACGCCGTCCAGCTGCACATCCACCCACCAAACCGCAGGGATGGCCAGGAATATCCATAAAAGAAGCTTCCGAATCACTACCGGTAGCGGAATGTACTGAAGGAAGAGAAAGTACACTCCAGCGTAGAACAACAGGAGGGGAAGTCGAATGCAAAAACAGATTGCATGGCCAAGTCTTGCAAGCTGCGACGACAGGGTTGTCACTGGCAGGAAAGGTGACACCCCAGAACCTGTAGACGATAAAGGGTTAGCAAACAAATATTTCGATTTTATGTTGTATAAAAGGTGCAAGCTCACCTCGGTCGCGAAACTGCGAAAACTTTTCCATGTTGTAGATATGTTCACTGTAGCTGGGTGGAGAGCATGAAGAACCAGAGATGAGTTGGGACGGGTTTCGAATTTAGGTATACTCCAGGAAACTCAGGTCCTCAGGGTCAAGTGCCCATTGATTGCTCTATACATATGATAAATGATTATTATATCCGACAGAATTAAGCAAATGGCTGAAGTAGCGACTGACAGGTGTTTGGTTCGGCTCGTGATTATGGACCACCTGGATGACTCCGTCAGAACAAAGCACTGGCAAATCAAAACAGGAAGCTTGGTGGTATTATCACGTGACTTTGTCGTTTGGAAGCATGTGAAGGGGGTGTGTGGCAGATGGTAAAGGCAGGTCGTAGCGATGTGGCAGAATAATGGCTCTCTGAAGGGACACAAAAAACTCATGAGCAGCCCCTCCAAGTTTCCATCTACATGGAAAGAAAATGATTGAAGTTGGTAGGCATGTGTCTCCCTGACAATCACGAAGCCGATTAGCTCAGGGAGCTCTAAAACTTCCTTGATAGCTCTCATATTATCGTATAACTACCTCCCTCTACCGGAAGAGCAACAGGCTACAGGTACCTACCTCAACTACCTAAGGTGCCTTGGTGTACGTTCCCACGGAATACCAAGTAAATTTTGCTTTGCAGGCTTTGGCGGCGCTCTTTGAAGTTTGGATGCGCTATATCCTGAAAGGCAAAAATCACTGAAAAATCTCCCCTTCCCGGCCGGGAATCGAACCCGGGTCTCAAGCGAGTCGACATGACAAGCTTGCATACTAACCCCTCTACTACCGAGAATCTCATTCAATGCTTGAAGTCTTGAGTCCTTGTGACCCATGACCTCGACATAACCAGGGACATGCCACGTTGCTGGACCTGCCTTAATCAAGGATTGGGGGTGCGTTCGTTGCTCCTATGGACGTCAGTATCTCTGTTTGGCACATACTGTACAATGTGGCCTACAGCACACGGAAACGCTCCGAAATGCCATTGCGGGATGAAGTCGGATTCTGGAATCTCCGATGCCGTTGGGCTATTGGCAGGGGTTCGATCTCGCGCCATTCTCCTTTTGACACGGCCAGGTCTCAAGGGTCGCAGGATATTGGATAGCTTGACAGGTCGACCGCGACAGCCATGGTCGGTGGGCTTATACCTCAGGAAATGCGCTACATGTATCTCAAGATTCTCAAAGGGGCACGCTGAAATCAGGACATGTGCCCCATCCACGGGTGCCAAGAAGGGCGACAAGTCGATACACATTCAGACCATATTGATCCCGCGACATTGCCATGCAAACCAGAGTGCCAAACATCGGATGCACGTCAGATAGGGCTGCAATACGCCCTCGTCCAAAACGCCATGATCGTTCGAGATCTTGGATCGCACGATGGCACTACGGAAAACGGACGTACAAGCCTGGCTGAGCCTGGCAGGGTGCGGCGGCAGTGGCAGGCCACTGGCAGGTGGGCGGGTGGACGGGAGGGGACATGCCCCACAGACCGTACGATTGGGCCGGTAGCCAACGAGAGAGAGGGGAAGAAGTGGCAGGAAAGTTCCGAATGGCGGCGCACACATGGCTTCATGGGGGGAGCAGCTGTGCAGATACTAATTTTTTCACCACTTTTCTCTCGAGATCTCAAGGAAAAGTACTCACGGCCCGGATGCCTATCCAGATGTAGCGCCTCCGGGCTGTCGGACGTCGGTTTTTTTGCTGTGAGCCTGTGAGGAGACGAGGAGTCAAAATGGCTGCGAGTCCCGGCGCGGCGCCTGGGGGCGCCGCAGCTGCTCCATCCCAGTCTGCTTCTGCTGCGTCTGAAGTCGCTGTCCCCCATCAACGACAATCTGATGCTGGCTCCTCTTCCACGTCAGTCGCACCTACGAAGTCGGCGAATTCAAAGCGCACTCGACGAATCTCTGCTGCTGCTGCTCTCACCGTCAGACCCGCGAGGATCCAAGTCCCCGTCCCCCCTCCGGCTCCAGCCAATCCCGTCACTGTTTACCATAGATCCCCACCAGACCCCACCATGGCAGTCCTGGGCGGGCTGCCATTGGCCCCGGCCATCTTCTTCGGTTGCCTGGGTGAAATAAACAGACAAATCGCACAGTCTTCAATACACTCCTTGAGGCCAGGAACAAACACCAGCCCGAGGAGAGATCCCCCCCGCATCTCCCCAACTCTGCCGCCAACCTCGTCTGCCCCGGGCGCGGTGCTTCTCTCGTCCTTCTTGCTCGTCAACTATCTACTCCCGCGCATGCGCGCTGCCCTCAACATGGAGTCGTCCGAGAATCCGGTGCGTGCCCCCTGCAGCTTTGTTTACTCTTTGCCCAGAGCCCCAATCGCCGACAGCAACCCACCGCGACCGCGCTCTACCCTTGCCTTTGTCGCCGCGCTGGTTCTTGGAACTCTTAACTGACCTGCTGTGAACGTGTAGACCTTCCAATCGAGACTACATCCCCCGACGTTTAGGAGCGGGCTCCTTCAAGAGATGAGCGACTCGCATACCAATGCCCGCGCTCATACGTCACAGATCCCCACTAAGCGTACGCACAACGGAAGCAGTAGGCGTTTTGTGGTTATTTCCAGTTTGAGCCTGCATTGTCGCTGACACTGTCGCTCCCGTTGAACAGTCTCACAGCCGGAACCAAAGCGCAAAACGCTCGCCGAACGCGCCGGCGAGCACCCAAAGGCCCAAATGTCGACCGCTACCCATGGCACCGGTATACCACGGCTCAATTCCATCAAGGGCCAGTCGATCGCCAATCTGAATGCCAACACACATGCTACAGCCCCCTCGCGGCCTATACACACCAAATTTTCAAAAAGTGTTGGAGGAGGCATGCGAGCCGCGCCCCAACCTCCCCGAGCGCCGACGTCAATGGGCTTTTCGCGATCCACGAGCACCCGTTCGCGAGCCAATACGCGGACATCGCGCCCACAAACCGCCGTGGGTTATCACGATGCCGAGGAGGAAGTCATCGAAATATCGCAGCACAAGGGTACGAGCCTTCTTGCGTCGTTCTCTCAGCAGCCCCCTCCTAGCCTGCTCCCAAGAAGGAAAGGAAATGCCCCGTCTCTTTGTATTCAAGAAAGGAGAAGCATTTCAGGACTTAGCAAGCAGTTCGCCAATCTGTCATTCCACTCCCACTTTGAAGACCAAGCGGTCTCCGGGCAGGCAAGATCCTCATCCAGTGCTTCTTAGTCGGATGCCCGGATGGCGGACACAGACTGTCCCTCCCAGTCACAAAACACTCACCCCCTCAGCCATGAGCCAGCCTCTATTTCCCATTTTCAAGCGAGCATCCGACTGCCAGGCACACCACCGCAAGTGCAGTGTGCAATGCAGGCGTTGGGCAAGATGAGCTCCCTCATTAAGAGCATCCGCAAAAGTCCCCCGTCGCCGACCAAGTCCTGTTCTCCGACAAAGGTATATTTTCTCACAAAGGACTCGAACTTAACCAATTTCACAGGTTGGGATGTCGACGGCCGTCTCAGCGAGTTTGAATCCCAGTTTGAAAAGATGAAAGAAGCATTTGAGGGGACCATGAAAGACAGGAAAACGTTGGAGGATGCTATCGATTTAGCAAAGGCTCGAAGTACGTGATCCTCATGATAGGGCGCTGACAGCCGGAGCAGTCAAGGTACTGACTCAGGCGCTTGCAGCAAATGATCTTGAGCGGGAGAAGCAAAGGTTGTTGGACCAGAACACTCAACTCCACAACCAGCTTGAAGCCCAACGACAGGAAATCTACTCATTGCAGCAGGAGAAGCAGTCCATGCTTTTAGAGTTTGAGCGCGAGCAACAACGACACAAATTCGATCTGGAGGACAAGGTTCGGAACCATAGGCATGAGCTTGATGAGGTCCGGCGACAGTTCAAGGCCGAAGTCGACCAGATGAATCGAGAGCATCGCGAAGCTCTGGAGGCTTTGGAGCGGCAACATCGAGCACAACTGGCTGATGAGCAGGCACAGAAGGCACGAGAGCTCACTGAACTGAGGGCTAGGCTAGGAGCTGAACAGCAGGATATGAACTTGGAGCTGCTTAGGAAAGAGAGGGAAATCCAAGAACTTCGCTCCCATATTGAGGCCCTCAAGTCAGATCTCGACCGGGAGCAAGCCCTGAGAACAACTCTCCAGCAGCAAGTAGCCGAAATGTCGACGACGAACCTGGCTCTAGAGGACCGGATGCGGGCGTTGCGGGCCAAAATTGAGTTCCTCGAATCCGACAGCAAGCAGCAGTCCGATGCGTTTGCTCAGATGGAGAACCGCCTGCAAGAGGCGCTGCGTGTGGCCGAGGAAGCACGACAAAAATTAATCAAGGAGGAAACGGAGCGCCGCGTCTTGTTCAATAAGTATCAGGAGCTCAAGGGAAACATTCGAGTCATGTGCCGTGTGCGACCAGTTCTGGACCCGTCTGAAGGAGAGGAAGCCAAGATCAGTTTCCCGGACACTAAGACTTCAACCCAGATCGATGTTACGGGTCCCGAAGAGCGGAGCAGTCTGGGCACCGTCACTCGCAAAGTGATTCCTTTCGAATTCGACCGTGTCTTCGACCCATCCGTGAAGAACGAAGAGATTTTCGGCGAAATTTCGCAACTTGTCCAGAGTGCACTTGACGGCTACAACGTATGCATCTTTTGCTACGGTCAAACCGGCTCCGGCAAGACATATACGATGTCATCTCCCGATGGCATGATCCCACGCGCTACTCACATGATTTACGATACTATCACCAAACTTCGAGAAAAGTCGTGGTCGTACACTCTGGAAGGCTCCTTCGTTGAGGTTTACAACGAAGAACTGCACGATCTCCTCGCTGAAAACACAAATAATGGTGTTCCCCGCAAAAAGCTGGAGATCCGCCATGATGAGGTCCGCAAGCAGACTACTGTGCTTAACTGCCGCACCGTGGCGCTGGACTCGCCCGAGAAAGTGGAAGCTATGCTGAAGCAGGCACAGGCCAACCGCAGCGTAGCGGCTACAAAGGCCAACGAACGCTCATCGCGTTCGCACTCTGTCTTCATCCTGCGTATGGTTGGTGAAAACTCGGCCACGGGCGAGCGCTGTGAGGGTACCCTCAACTTGGTTGATTTGGCTGGCTCCGAGCGCCTTAAGCACTCCCAGGCCGAGGGTGACCGAATGAAAGAAACCCAAAGCATCAACAAGAGTCTTGCATGCCTGGGCGACGTAATCGAGGCTCTCGGAAAGGGGTCGCCACACGTGCCCTACCGCAACTCGAAGCTGACCCACCTGCTGCAGTACTCGCTTGGCGGGAATTCGAAGACACTCATGTTTGTGATGGTTAGTCCTCTTGAGGCTCACCTCAAGGAGACTATTACGAGTTTGAGATTTGCTACCAAGGTTTGTTTCGGCTTCTTAGCCCCTATTTTGGGTTCATCGATGTTGACGTTTTTTACAGGTGCATAACACCCACATTGGCACAGCCAAGTCAACAAAGAAGTTGAAGTCTGTTGATAGGAGTAGTGATTGATGGCGATCATTATGACGATCTTTTCATGTTTGGTTTCGGCGGTTGGATCGAATGTTGAAGCTGGCAGGTCATCCTTGGTTGTTGGGTTCCCCCTTTTTCTTTTCCCCCCTCTCTTCTCGCCTTTTTTTCATGATACCACGACGTTACCGTATAAGCGATATCGAACAGTTTCGGTGTTTTCTATTCTGTGTTGGGTTCTGGGCTCTTTCTTCGGTCGTGTAAGGTTCTGGACAGCGGGCAATGGAGACGGGGCGAAGTGCTGAAGCAGGATGAGACGTACAAGTCGTCCCGTCTTCATGTTGGAGCACACGCCACCTGATGATTGGGATGGATCGATCTCTGGTATCGTGTTTTGCTCTTGTTTTAGCTAGGTCTTATGAGGGCGTTTTGCAAGAGGGGAACACTAGGCAGAGGGCATTCGTCCCTCAGCAAAGGTTGTTGGGTTCTGGAGTCGGAGTTTGGCTTTGTATATAGGCATGGCTGATGATGAAAATGGAAATCGTGGGAGGCTCCCTGCTTTTGTGTTTTCGAGCGCTCTCCTTTACATGCGTTACCCTGTAAAAGTTCCTATTTAATGGTTGAACATTTTATAGCTTTAGCTATTACACTGCCCCTTTGTTGTCTACCAAGCTATCTGTATTTTTGATTATGGCCAAAGTAACAAGTGTTGGGCATTTTATCCCAGGGAATTGTTTGTGTGCGGACAATTGTAGACAAACAGACCTTCTATCCCTGTGATCATTCTTTTTGCACACTTCCCTGTAATCCGTTTTTTGAGAGGAGAGAGCTGCATATAAGTTCTAATTCACACAATGCAGCTTTGATGGCCTCTGTAGTAGTTGACAAATTTCCTGCGCTAAAGATGCTGAAGTGATGGCCTGGGATGTCGATTGCTTTAGTGATTATATCCTCATGATACATACCCCAGCCAAGCAGCGAGTCCCTCCGATGGATATCGATTCTGCTGATACCCTCCTGGGCAACAGGGACGTAGTCTTGTGCCCGAAGGAGTATAATTGGTGGTGGGTTCCTAAGTCCTCCTTCAACTTCATGCAAGCTGTTTCCACTATCATTCGAGGGCGTCCATACTGGCAACTCCCATTTGCTAACCATCCTCATAGCCTCTGCGAAGCATCTCATGATGCGGTCTTTTGTCTCTTGTCTGGTGTGCTTGCTCCATTCCATCGAGTGATCCACGACAGGTAGCAAAGAAGCTGTTTGTACAAGTGGGCATACGGTGTCAATCATAATAATCCCAATCAAACGTAACTTTTTGAACCATTTTGGTGCCTTTGTATTTTCCTCCTGCAACTGCCGAGCCAACTCCAGTGAGATCAGTCCGCCAAAGGACCATCCCCCAATGATAAAATCTCCACTTGAGATCACACCTTTGATGGCTTCAGGTACTCGCGGGCCATCTCAGGGATGCCGCCCTCCCATGCCTTGCCCGAATCATAATGCGGATTGTCGATGCCGTACACGGGGCGGCCTAGATAACCCAGGAAGTGGTAACAGAAGGTGGTACCGCCGCCGTCATGGACGAGAACGAGAGGAGCTGGTGGCGCTGAACGATTCCAAACGTTGGTAGCGGGTGAATGCTTATATGGCTGGATGAGGGCAACCTTTGCGACTACGTCAGGCATGGTCGGAGTTGCTATGAAACTTGAGACCCACACAGGGCTGGTTAGGTGTGAGCACAAAGAAAGACAGGAATGAAACTGGATGGTGGATATACATCTCTTAACTCTTTATAATATGAGATTGATGCCACAACATCAAGCCTGTTCTTTCGAGCAATTGCGAGTCCGCTGTAGTAGACAAAGACATTGAGTGATGGACTATTGATCCACAGCCAATTTTGAAATGAAATTTCCAGAGCGGGAAGTTAAGGACTTTGGTGAATTGAAGACCCCCGGTAACTAGCTAGGAGTTCTGATTGCACAGCGAATGTGGCCAGTGGATCAGGTACCACGATACTTTGAATGAAAAAACGGTCTTGTGAAATACGGCTCGTATGAAATTAAGAGTTGAGATGCCGTTTGGTAAGACTTTTGCAGAGCCTAGATTCAGTCTGGTGCATTCATAGCCGCTGTAAGGCCCCCATCCCCTCAAGCAGTGCTTCCCTGCGCTTGAAGTTTGGCACAGCAGCGGAGTTGTAGGCGCAGGGTCTTGCCACATCATGCGATCTAAGCTGTACCTTGCTCTTACTTTTCATGTAACCAAGAAGCAGTTCCAGAATGAGTCTCTTACAGGTTACCTCAGGGCACTGCACACAAACCCTAATGTGTTTTAACATATCATGATCCCTGCAGACTGTCGACCAGAAGCTGATGTGGACCTTGAAAATGAATACCAGAGATCTTCAATACATGGTGATGCACCAAGACTTTCCTTTTTGTGTACTTTGGAAAACGCGATGCTCAACTCTGCTCTGCTCTCTTCACCCTTTAACTCCCCTACAAAGCGAATCAAGTAATCCAAGCTCTCCCAAGGTCTAATGTAGCCAACATATCCATCTGGTCTGACCAGCACATGTCCTAGCATTTTACAGAGTCTGAATTCGACATGTAGCACCCCATCTAGATTTGCATACCAACAAGAGCTCGAATCTCCTAAGACCTCCCACTTACCAAAAATAATATAATATGTCTTGAGATCCCATTTGGAAGCAGAAGCCACACGATTGGTGGCAGTCCTTAGCCAAATTCTTCGTTGCTCGTCGGCTTCGCAGCCAACAAGCACCACAAAATGCCACTCCCTACCCACGCAAATCCTCTGCAGCATTGTTTTAACTTTATCTTGCCCACCAACCACTATCTCCCATCTACTAGCTGGTCTTCTCCTCTGAAAGGACCGTTCTACCCGGGTGCGGCCCCCACGATGACGCTCTCACTTTTTGGTATGATATTCCCAGTTGAGAGATGAATGAAAACAGATAGCGGCGTTGGGCGAGGCTACTTGCCATCCAGGGAAGAGCATACCGAAGAAGAATGTTGCGTAAAGGAGCCAAAAGCCAATGGGTTGAGGTCATCAAGGTGGGGAGACGGTCAATGCCACGGAGCAGAGCCAGGCCAACAGGCCGACGCTCAACATTGTACGAGTTAAGGAGTGCTTCTGACAGAGCTCTGGCTTTGCTTTTCGGAGCTCCGAATTCTGCTGAATTGTTACTGGGTGGGTCGTCAAAAGAAGAGGAAAAGCGTAAAAGGTTCAGGGCCGTGGCAAGTTTCCAGCCCAGATTTATGGTGTCTTGATGCCAGTGTTCATGCCTTGGCTATCAGCTAAGGAGTGAGTATGGGCAGCATCGCCGGCAACGAAAAGACGACCGTTGCGATAGCGGCCAACCAACGATAATGAAGTTGAAAGCGAGATAGCTAGACAGGGTCATAGAGCGTACCAGACCCAGGAGGTGTCATATTGTTGGAGATGTCCTGGAACAACTTTAGCGTGGGTTCTCCCTGGCCCTTTGGTACATGATTTCTTAATGCGACCAGGCGGAAAAGCTGGCCCTGAGAGGTAGAATCGCCAGCAGACTGCTACTGCCTAGGCACATGGTTAGGCGATCCAGATCAAGGCGAGCGTCGCGCAGATGAGCGTCACACAGCACGAAATCCCGCGGGTAAGCGGCACCTTCGAACTCTAATCCTGCAGCATGTCTAACGACGCTGTGGGCGTCATCGCAACCAACGACGTATAGGGAGCACATCGTTTTAGTGTTGCCATCAGAGACCTCTAAGGTTGCGGTGACGCCGGAGTCGTCCTGCACAATGTCGATTGCCCTGACAGGACGCAGAACAGCGAGGCCATATCTAGCCAAGCATTCATCAAGGAAGGACTCGGTGACAGCCTGGGAAATGCCTAGGGGAAGGGGAAACTCAGTGTTGGTAATACTGAGGTCATCAAGGCTCATGCTAGCAACGACTTTTCTGTGGATACATGTCACTCCTCCATGCACAATTCGACCCCTACGAATGATCTCGTTCGCCTGCTCCGTGGCGGTTCAGCAATTCCAATGTCTTGGGCTGCGGGTTCAGGGCTCGACTCATGTCGCTCCGAGCTAGTGTTTGATCAACAATGCAAAAGGAGATGTCACGGAGGGCGAGCTCAAGAGCAAGGGCGGTTCCAACAGGGCCAGCGCCGATGACGAGAACATCACATCATGTGACATTGGTAAATTGCTGAAGACGTCATTAAGATAAAGATCGCCGGGAAGACTTATCAACATTAGAATACTTGATGACAAGTAGCACTAAAGACTAGGAAGACGGACTTCAATCTTATATGCCGACCATGTAGGAACAATGCTGACCTTACTAGGCCAAGCAGTCAGCCCGTACCTAGTACTTAGCACAAAGGGCACGAAGGCCGACTTGAGGTTTACAGCCCGCTGCTTATTCTTTGTTTTGGCTTAACACGGTATTTCAGTGGCGGTTGCGCGGCAATGAAGGGGACAGGAAGCCAAGCATCCCTCCATGGCGGAAATTGGAGCCCATAGCACCGACGAGGGCCGACCAGGCCAGTGCAAACATCGAGACCGATGTGCGAGGTGCAAGGTACGCAGTTCAGCAGGCATTGACAAGTACCGAACGCCTACCTTTGCGGTCCTTCGGGAGAAAAAAGAGTCAGGGAGTCAAGAAAAAACTCAACTATCCTCTGACCATGTCCTGTGACACACTATCAAGTGTGATCGATACAGCAATTATCAGCATTTAAGTCCCAGCGCTTTACAAGAACACTTGATGCGATTAAGTAGGTCATCTGAGCCATGGCAAGAAATAATCTACTAGAAGCACCGATAGAAGATGTTCATACCATGCAGGACCAAACTGAAGCAGCCACCTGCATATCAGATCACATTGGCTCCCAGCCGAAGATGTGTTAGCCAGCAGTGCAGGGTCACGTGTGAACGATGGATCAGATGCGTATGGACCAGTATCCCCAAGTATATAGTGTTGCCAACTCAGCCGGATTTAGTATTCTTTTTCCTTTTTCCCTCAGCTCTCTTTGCCTTTTTGACTTAGATTAATTGTAGTATCCGTTCTTTCCGGCATAATTTCTGAAACTGCTCTATGGAGCAGAGTCGTGATTATACTATTTTTGGCCCACGGCGGACTTGCGCTCTGAGCTTGCCCATGGTCGTTCGTTTGCCAGTATGCCTGGTATTACACTTCCCCAGATGATGTGGTGACGCATCCTTAGATCTCGCCACTATTCATTGCAATCTCAGATTCCCTCAGGATGTGAGGAAGGTGTGGCAGTTTTAAGCTTATGTTCAGAGTGATGCTAGGTAGCCAGTCTATCTTTGTAGCAGTCGTTCTCGGTGATGGACTGTCGGTTGAAGTGAATGCGCTGGTTTGGCGTTCATCAAGCCTCTCCTAGGAGGTGGTTGTCAAGGAAGAACATCTTAGGTGCATTACGTTACTGTTTCTTGCGAAAAGACAGGCCATGTATTTAAGTCATGGGCTATTACATACGATACTCTATCCCCATTGATTTAAATAGAGGGTCTTTTATGCAGCTGCTTCTGCCCAGCTCTCCACCTCGCCGCTGCCAGTTCATTGATGGCAGGAAGCCGGGTCTGCTGACCCGATGTCATGCGAGGGGCCTGCAGCCAACCTGAGACCCCACGTTGTTGGCTTGGCGGACAACCCACCAAGGACTGCGCTGCTGATCGATTGCCGAGCTTGACCTGCAAGAAACACCAGACATCCAAGTATCTTCGACTTCTAGCTTCGCGCCAAGCATGGATACCTGCTCAATACTTGAACAGTTATGAGGCTCTACGGCATCAGCTAGGTACCCAACCATTCCTAGCCACTCGGTAGTCATCAAACAGCTACAATTCCCACCGTCTTCATGATGCCTGGCCTGGCAGCTTCACGGTGGGCACCACAAAATGCTCAATGCTCCTCCTCCCAGAACTCGCGATCTTCCTCGTCTTCTCGGCGCTCATCTGCTCGATCTCCCACTCGACCGTCCTCCCCACCAAGGGTGACCTTGACTGTACCTCCTGTGACCATTGCCTGCAGCACGAGCAATGAAAACAACAACACGTCCAGTGCCGGTCCTTCTCCGCCTGCTGCCATGTCGAATCACGTTGCCAACAACACGAACAAAGGAAACAATGGTTCTTGTCCGCAGCGTGATGCGAATTCTGCAAAGCGGGAGCTCATTCGCTTTCACAAAATCTTCCGCCGCCTGCAGTGGAAGCTGCGCTTTCTCGAGGTCGGCTACAAAGTGGCCATCGAGCGCGAAAAGATTGACCCGGCCGTTGTAGATGAGAACGAAATCATGTTCAAGCTCGACTACTTCGAGTTCTTTATGCTCATGGAGCGCGCTATCATACACTTGCTGCTGGTATTTGGAATCGTCGTGGAGAGGGGGAGTTTGCTTGCTCCAGACAGCCACAAGGGCAACAATGGCAACAATGGCATAGCTCAAAACAAGGACAAGCCAAAAGGCCTTGCGGCGAGTGCATGGCGGACTGTGCAACAGCATACTTATCATGCCAACGTGATCGCCACGCTGATGAAGAAGGACAACCCACTGCATACTGCCCTCGGCACCGGCGAAGTGCTCCGTCAGTTACAGCGGGCCAAGGAGCTCCGCAACCGATGGAAAACTGCGGGGAATGATGAGGATGACAAAGTTCCCAGTATTAATGGTGGTAGTGACCCAAATCAGAATATGACTAATGCTCCTGAGACCGAGTGGCGACCGACCAAGAAAGTCCCTGCCCCCCTCGAATCATACCGTGTCCCAGATATCGTGAATACCATCCTCTGTGGCTTTGATGCTGCGGAGGGGATTGCCCGGCGTTATGTTTACGAGCAGGAATACAAGGCAGAGTTTGGGCATGCTCCCTCATCAGAAGATGGAGATATCGAGATGCGTGGGTTGGACGATAAAAAAATACGGGACTGGGCTACAGAGGTGGAGGAAGAAGAGGCGCAGAAACAGCGGCAAGCGTACAGGTTGAAGGAAATAGAACGGAGGGAGAAAGTAAGGGAGATGAAGTTACGCGAATTGCAATGGCAGTATCAGGAAGAAGATGAAGAGGATCCATGGGGCTTTATGGTGGAAGCCATGGATTGGGAAGCTGTGTGAGGAGTTTTTGACACTCTGCTTCTGGTTGAAGGTTAATTGGAATATTATTTTTGCTATTGTTGGCATAGGGGAGTCGTAGCCTATTGTGAGGAGTTTAGGCATGAGCATGGAGGATGATACAAGAGTTGTCCAGAGTCAGCAGGCATCATCAGGCGCACATGAGTATGCAGAATCATCCTCTCAGCATCTCCACTGGTTGAATTACATCAAAAAACTTGGAATGGAACGTTTGGACGCGCTCTTCCCCTAACAGCTTTCCATCATCTGCATTCTCTGTGGTATTAAACATCCAGTAATGGAATGCGGAGTTGTTAGGAGACTTTCAAATATTCGAGATCACAAACTTGGTACCTTGAGTTCAGATACCTAGGTAGACTTGGCCAACATGTGCTGCAGAGTTTCTCCCCTGTTATTATCTTTGCAAGTCTCAATCTGGTTTGGGGGCACATAAATTACACGAGCACTGAAGTTCACTGTGGCTTTGGGGAAGGGAACTTTTCTCGGTCTTCTACCTTCCTATCCCAGCTGTGTTTATGACTTAGTCCTTGTGCCTCTCGTGTTTGCGAAAAGTAATGGGGCAAACAAAGACACCTGCGTTTTCTGGAATGGTCCGAGTCAAACAATACGACCTGGGGCACGACAGTGAGTACAGCCATTAGCAGGGCACAGGAGTAAGGCCAGGACTTCTTGACCAGGTACGTAATCTCCGAATTTCATCAGCCCAACAGGCCAACGTGACTGTGTAGTGCAGAGAAGGGGAGATATTCGATGAATCTCAACACTGTTAACGGACCACTTTTGTCCGACCAGTCAAAACTACTCGTTCATAGCATAGAGACAACAAGACGCCTTCACATCTAGATGGCATCATAAGATGAGGTTTGTAAGTGAACGGAACAAAGACATAGGACCCTCAAAGAATTGCACAGTAAGTAAGCATATGTATCGTTGTGGCCACAACTAGATGCAACATTAGTTGAGGGTCAGGGAGACCGGAACAATCGGCTCCGTGTGTATTATGCATGTGCACGTGTTGCTCATCGATCTTGCAGTAGTGGCAGCGGTCTGAGATCACATTGTAGATTCTGCTGCACAGCCAAGTTGCCGATACCTTCATCGGTGGTTGGGAATACGAACAGAAGCAGTAGCAAACGCAACGGCGCCGAAAGAGCCAGGAGATATGTCGGCTGTCCGCAGGACACATGCATACCCGCCTGACCACACACTGCCAGGTGCCCAGAGCTAAGCATGATATATGTGGATACAGTACGTTCCTCAAACAAGGACACGAGGATGGATGGGGTATCTGGCAACAACAGAACCAAGACTATGAAGACAGTCTTCTTTTGGCTTCGGATGCATGTAGAGAAAATCAGGTCTTTTCGTGTTTTGTTCAACAGGGAGTTGCCAGTGCCGCAACTGCCCAATAGCACGGTAATGGAAGCTTTGCTGGACACAAGGACGGCAACAGGGCAGGTACCAGGGGAAAGGAGAACAAGATATAAGATGCTCCCTTCAACTCAACCCTCCTCCGAAGAAAACCTGGGAGACCCAGACTTCACTGGCAGCTAGTTCACTCATCCCAATAACTTGCCCCAACAACATTCTTCATCCAATACATTGACTTAGCTTGCTTGATACCCATCCATATCCCAGAGAACAATATCAACATGCAGCTCACCAAGCTTGCCAGCATTCTCTTCTATGCCACTGCTACATCAGCCATCACAGGTTAGTAGTTTCATTCTTGTTTAAAGCAAACTTCTTTGATTGACTGGCTTCTGTAGTGTCATACGACACGGGCTACGACGATGCAACTCGCTCCTTGGCAGCAGTGGCGTGCTCAGACGGCACCAATGGAGTCATGTGGAAATACAACTGGAAGGTCCAGGGTGATGTGAAGAACTTCCCCTTCATTGGAGGATCGGAAGCAATCGGTGGCTGGAACTCTCCCAACTGCGGCACTTGCTGGGCGGCGACATACAACGGCCGCACAATCCATATCTTAGCCATCGATCACGCTGCCCATGGGCTCAACATCGGTCTGACAGCTATGAATGCGCTTACGAACAATAAGGCAGTCGAATTAGGTCGTGTTGATGCGCACGTCGTGCAGGTACCTCTCAGTAACTGTGGGCTCTGAGCAAACAGGTGAAAGAAGGATGCTATGTACCCCTGACAGCAAAGATGCAGTTAGCCATAGGGTAATGCTGATAATAAAACAGCCATAACGCTCAGTCATTCATTCGTGTTCCCTTTCCAGTATTTTCTAAGAAACTTGACAACATCGGTCAACATGGAGGGAGAGTACCAGTGCTCAAGGCCATGGTATTCATGCCTTTCTATAACGGCAAAACCTGCAGCTTGAAGACATTCAGCTGCCTGCCTCGACAAAGAGATGGGCACGTTGTCATCTTGATCTCCATGTCCTAAAAAGACAGGAGTATCGTATATCCTCGGGAGGGTTGTTGATGCAGAGGTGTAACAGTCTATCTCCAGTCGCTCCTGGAGTGCCCTAACCACCCGGGCGCCAATCCCTCTATCTCCCCTCTCCCCAATGTATCCCAAACGAAAATCGTTCCTCTCAAAAGGGTCGAACTGATCTGCCTCCACGGTGCGTTCCTCTGCGGCTCTCACTTCGCTTCGAACCAATCTAGCAAAAGGCAACCATCCACCCATTCCCCAAAATCCGCCTAGTCTTTCAGTTCCATCCCACAGGATCAGGGCCATTAACGCGGCTGCACATCCTTGGCTGAACCCTCCAATGACAATGTCCTGTGCCCCATGCTTTAACAACACTGCTTCTTCTCTGATAAGATCGTGGATATGCAAGACTGTGTCACGCAGACCTGGGATAGCACGCCATTCCTCGGGCTCCTCATCTACGTGTTCTTTCGTTGTTGTAGTAACCGGGGCAAGGTGCCAGGAGTCGAACCATTGAGGTATGACCTTGCGCTTGTAGATAGTTGCGCGGTGAGAGGGAGCCGCAGGAAGGATAAATTTGGCGTGGGGGTAGATTGCTCGGAATGTGGATAATCTTGCTGCTGTTGCTGCTGGTGATGACGATGTTAACTCTGTTGTTTGCGCTCGCAACGATGATTGTTCGGACGAATTCGGGAAAGAACTTAGGACATATGTCGTATTGTTACGAGTATCAGGAGCAGGGACGGGAATGGGCATTGAGAAGAGATCAGTCCAGAACGGAGTCGGGTGGAAGCCTCGACCGTGGAGCAGGATAAAGGTCTGTTTGTGTGGCTGGATGAGGGGAGATATTGTCACTGGAGGAGGAAAGAAGCCTGGTGGATCAGGTGCCATTTGTAACTAGAATCCAAATGCAAGTCTTAAAAGAGGGAAGCAGTCGTATTGAGATATTTGGACGCTGAACGAGGAAGATGAAGTCACGTTGGAGATGTGAAAGAGTTAGACTCAGGAATTAGCTCGCAAACAAGTAGTTTATATTAAATCAGCTGCAGCATACCTTGATTAACCATAGAATTGTTCAGACCTTAAAGTCCTTAATTGTTCAAGTCCAAACCTGTAATTTCTAAGCTCAATCAAATACAGGTGGACTTCGAGCAGTTTGGTAAAGAGAATAATATCTTGAAGATTCGAGAAGGTAAAGTGTTGAAGTACAATTAAGAGATTATTCAAGACAAATAAGGGTGTTATCTTGGGTATCCACACTGTTGCTGCTTGAGGTGGGTCCAAGCTGCTTTATAATTCGTGCAGCCAACATAATGCCCGACGACTCATGAGTCCTGTTGCGCCACATCATCTGCGGCTGATGGAATGGAGAGCAATACATAACGTTCATTTTCGGGGATCAGGATGGTGTCTCCCCGGATTGCATACAACTTTTGAAGTGGGCACATAGACAAAAGGTACCTCAATATAGGTAATCCATTTCTAGCTCAGAGCATATGATGTTGAACAGTGAAGTGATGACAACTTGATAGGGAGAAATACCACAATTGGATAGGTGACTTCAGTTGGTGTGAACGTCTCCAGCCGTGGTAAAGGACAGAGCATCCTTTCTTCCCAGAGTCCAAATGACTAGCTATGGGAGGAGATTTTGATACAACGAAGGAAGTGAAACGCACAGATGGTGAAGGGCCGGAAATCATTATCACAGGTGATGATGGGCAATTGTGGATAATCGAAAAGCGCTGCCCGATTAGCCAATGTTTTGGCTTCTGGGAGGGTCTGCACCACGGCTAGACCTCCCAGCGTATCGGGTAGAATGCCTTCGTCAATTCAACCGTATCACAGAAGGAACATAAGCATTCAAAAAGATATACCTAATTTTTGGCGATACAGCTTGCAAAAGCGTTTTTTTGTTGTGGGATCTGTGGCGCAGGAAAAACATTGGTTCACTGAAGAAAACCAGCCGACACTTGAGTCATGGTCAGACTAGAGGAAACCTATATGATTCCTTTGATGAGTTTTAACAGTGTTACAAGATATGTGCACAATTGGTAAGAAGAGTTACTGTTATACTACGTATGACGAACTGTAGTCAGTTTAGATACAACACCTCTATCTTAGCAAGACAGTTTGAAAGGCAGGTAATGTACGTGGTTAGAGTAATTCTTGCGCAAAGAATCCCACCCATGGTCAGCATATAATATCCAAAAGAATTAGCATTCAGGCTTAGATGACACATAAATGCTGAAGAAGATCGAACGCCTTTTCAGACTCTACCAAAAGAGGGGGATGAAAAGTCGTGGCCGATTGAACTGCGAGGCAAATCACAAGCCACTGTAAACACATTGCCCTCTCCGTTACCTCAACGACTTCCTGTGGACAGCCGCTAGTATGAGAGGGCTATTGCTCCTGCAGGAAACATATCACTGACAGGTCCGAAATCCTCCAAAATCTGACCATCTATGCAGCATGACTCCACATATGACCTCCCACTTAACACGGTCATATTCCAGGCCTTCCGGCCTTGTAGTCAATGAGGACCCAGAAAGAGGGGGGATGTTTGACCAGCCATGTGGTTTGCGTCACCATGCATAAGAATCTAATAAGGCTGCTTGTCCTCCGCTTTATGTAGTTAACAGTCATAGCGAGAGATTTTCCCAATTGGCTGAGTGCAGAGGGCTTCTGCAAGTGCATACCGGACTTTTTTATGAGGAGGAGGAAACCCGCCAATTTGACTTTGAACTGTGCATAAGGGAGGAATAGACAAACCAATCATATACTGAAACTTTACCGGCATCAAGAGACGCAACTCCTGCACATGAAAGACCAGCTTGCTTTGAGATTGTTTGCTGTGTTCGGTTAATGCTGGCAAGACTTAACTCATGCCTCCAACTGCTTGGTAAAAATGGGCATCTGATTTCTGGGTAGCTGCCTCCTAAGGGCTCAAATGTACAAGTCGTACTTGAATTTAGAACAACCAAACATAATCATGTGGTTGAACCTTAACTGGTAGCTGGCAGTACGTTCACATGCCCAGGGTAGCAAAGGACTGACTGTGCGGCAGCCATGTTGAAAGGGGAAGAGTGTCGGGCCTGCCCGGCGTACGAGCCTATTCCAGTGATACGCTCTGGGTGTTGTCACTTTTTGGTGGTCACATCAGGTACCGGGGCTCTGTTTGTTGTATAGAGTCCAACAGAATCAGGTCAGTTGTCTTCATGACTACTACGCATGCGGTTATATCAGTTTGTTTTGACCGTTGGAGTTGGCCAAGTGCAAGACTCGCAAAAATTGTTGTGGAGGTGACAGGCTCGTCTTAGACATCGGCCCGAACCCCAACTTTTCTCCAGATTTGGGCTGCGGAGAGCTAAAGCTTAATCGTGTGAGCGCTGTAAATTCATGATTAGCGAGCTTCGAAATTTTCTGTATGAGTTGGTCGGCGGTTACGTGGCTGCCGAGCGCAAGGACTTGTAGTGTGGCAGTGGTCTTACCGGCTTAAAATCTTGTCCGTTCCAGGCCCACAGCACGACCGCCGAGCTGCTTGCCACCCCCTGAAACCTCTGACGGCACGCACTGAGATTCCTAACATAGACAGTGCTGATTTCGGGGATTTGGGTTAGGCTTGAGCATCGATGTTCAAGGGCGTCGGGCTCAAACCACGATCAAACCCTGGACATACATTCTGGGCATAAAATGGGGGAAATGCCAACACCATGTAAAAACACCTCGGCATCCTCCGTCACCACCATGATTGCTTGAAGGGCGCCAAGCCCATCAGCCAAAATCCTGGAGAATCAGGACAAGGAAGTTGGTCAAGCTTTGCTACCAGATTTGGGTAGTTTACTGTAATTTATGTGTCATATATGAATCAGCGTACACAATGGAGCCCGACCCCAGCAAGGCTGCCAAGACCAACAAGGGCTTCGTGTCCGTTCTCAGCCTCATGAAAATTGTGGGCATGAAAGCAGTTACTCGAACGTGGGAATGCGACGTCCGCAGCTAATGCTGTTAAATTCCAGTTCGCTCTGCTACTGCGGCAAGACCGAGAAGGCACATACCTACCACGTCTGCAGCGTAGGGTACCTAAGTGGCTTTGGCCATGGTGTTCGGAATTGGAAAGCTTCCAGGACGTGGGCGGACACAGCAGAAGTGTCTGCGTAAGTGGGAGTGTGGGTGTACCTCCAAGGCAATCTGTTCTTACCAATTTTTTCTTACCCAAGAGAAGTCACCTGTCCTATTGTGCACTACCGGCTCCACTCATAAGAAAAATACGCTAGCCTTCTGTTGACAGGGAGTCCGGGGAAGATCGAAAGGCTTCCTCTTTCCAGGCCGTCAAGCGGATTCTGATGTGCAAAGTAGTCCCACAACCAGGACATCAGATTTCACATGCGTGTGATAACAATCCACTGCTATCTGGAACGAAGAGGCAGGGTCGGTATCCGACCTTCCCGCCCTGTCCACGTACCTATCCACAATTTTAGCGCTTTTTTTTTCAGGCGAATATATGTGGTACTCCCAACTGAGATGTCAAGATTCACAGCCTTATCGGGCCGAATGTGGAGCAGCGCAGCCAGTGAATGCTGGGGTCTCCGCATTCCAAGCTCCAGACTTTCGGAGTCCTAAGGATTCAGGTATCCAACCCCAGCCTTTCCCGCACTCAATACGACCTGCTTCCCGTTTCTTGTTTGCAGCACCCCGCAGCGATGCGACGAAGAGAGAAAACGGTTGTGGAGGTTACCTTAGGTACTACGGTTCTCCGTCGGGCCAGTTGCCCCGTAATCTCAGGTGCGTGCATGCATTTGAGCAGAACCGACAACCAGCCTAAGCACTGCGTCCCACCGTAAGTGAGGTAGGGAAGTAACACAGCAGTTCGTCGCTTGGCGAGGGAGAGCCTTTGGATGGAAGCGCTTGCGCAACATGCTGCTGCGTTACTGCGTTTGACTCGCTTATGGCGGTACCTAGTACGGATTGCGAATTATATAGTGGATTATCAGGTACCTAGGTATATGGATTATTTGTCTTTGACAAGAACCCAAAATGGGTTCCAATGTTCAATTGCAAGTGTCTCATACTTAGGTTTGACCACGGGACGTGTTCCTGACCCATTGCACTGGATCATTGTCCTGTGCGTTCGAACTTGGAGCCCACCGATATGTAGGCAGGTACGATAGCATCAGAAGAGACAAGAACCATGCTGAGATAAAAAGGAACAAATGACGACAAACCAGATACGTATCGGTATGTTCACGAAAAGCTCAACAAGTCTCTTTGGATAGATCCATGAGAAATACATTAAAACGGCGCTTCTCTTGGCCCCGGCATCCGCAAGAAACTTCTAGGCGATGTATTTGTACATAAACATAAGACTACACCTCTTACTTACCTACCCACAGTGGTCGGTGACAGACAGGTAATGTATTTACGTGAGAACTCCATTGGGTCAATGTACAATGCCCTGGAAAATGCGGCTCTGTGTACATATTCAATGTCTGCGAGAGACCCTCGCACACAGACGGCTCTGGCGACTTCGGTCAACGTCAGCGTTCCCAACGTATGGGTCCGTAAGGCTTTTAGCTTACATGCCGTACTGTACAATAACTTACCAGCGTTGCTTCCCAAGCTGCGCCTTGCACGAAACATGCGGAGATACCAACTCTGATTGGTTGTTCCCTTAGCCGTCCGACGCATCCTCGGTCAGACGGCAGCTCATCGACTGCAGGCGCAGGCATGCTGTTTTCTTAGTACGCAAAAAAGCACGGAGTAGGTACCTTCCATGTATTACTTGCCTACTTTGCCCGTTTCTCCCGTTGGCCAGCTGCTCACAACTGGTTTGGATGCCGAACCAAGTTCAAGAAGACATCAGGTACCTAGTTGTCCGAGGTGTAAAGCATTAACGGTTATTGTCAGTTCTTGACATGCCTGACTTGAGTGAAATGAGAAATGGGCTTGGGTGATGTTCCAGATGTTAGGCAACATTGACAAGGAAAAGATCCGTTTTACACGGAAAAAAATGGAAAAGCACCTCCCTCTGTGTGATTGCGCTGCGTGGCAGTTCTTGGGTGAAACGCACTGGCCGCGCGCGGGGACAAGAGTACCTAGGGCAGGAAGGCTCCGTTGCAAATTTACGGCTGAGGGGCGCTAAGCGTTCTTAGGAATAGGCGGCCCCCTCCCCCTTCGCGATGGAGGAGTCCCATTTCTTGCAGGTCATTTCCGCACCCATCATTTTGGTGATGGCTCCCCGTCTTCCTTCTATTTGTTCCTTCTTTCAACCATCCACCTGACAGCCGCATCAAAAGCATCGACTACAACCCGCGACCTTCGCCAGCAACAAACCTCAATTGTCGACTCCGGATCCTCTAGAGGAACGAGGTGCCATTGTTATCACCAGTGCACGCGCACAGGGACATCACCGTCACGCTGTTCCTGCATCCGACTAAACAGCTGGCCTGCCTGGCCGATTCAACCTCAGATTTCCTACGATTGAGAGCCCGGAGTCCCCACGATTTACGCCCCTTCAATCCCAGACCGTCCCAACGCATTGGAATTTCATCTGATTTGGCTTGTGGATGTCGGCACGGTGATACGCGGCGCAACGCTGTCGCCTTCGTCAACTTGGCATCACGATAGCACTTTTGTGAATTTCGGGGCCCACGAGAGAGTTTCACGGATCGCCCAGCGCGATCCACATCGTCAAGTTGGAGCCCAAAAAGATGTCGACGGCTGTGAAGCGGGCGTGCGACGCCTGCCACCGCCGTAAAGTCAAGTGTGACGGCATCAACCCGTGCCGCAATTGCTCTGCATCGCAACTCACCTGCACCTACAATTCGATCCCGCAGAAAAAGGGCCCCAAGGGCTCCCGCGCCAAGGTCATCAACGAACTCAAGGAGACGCAGCGCCAGTCCACGCTGACCGCGAAGTTGCAAAATGGCGCCCTCGCCAGCCAAACTCTGGCCCCAACCCCACGGCTTCTAACCAAAGAGCTCCTCAAGACTTGCGTCGATTTCTTCTTCAACCACATGTATCCAATTATGCCGATTCTCGAGCGTAGCCGCCTCGATCAAGATGTCATGTACATGGACCAAAATCTCGACACCTACTGCCTTCTCACATCGCTTTGCTCTTTTGTGTCCCTGCAACCAGGCATGGTGATGCCCATGACCGACCCATTTAACCCAGACATGATGTTTGGCAATAATATCGTCACTGGCACGCTGTTAATGGAGGAGACACTTCGTGTACGGAAAGGGTTCGATTATGTGGCTTCGCCAACGCTGAATAGCGTCTGCACAAGCTATTTTTTGTTCGCCGTCCACCATGCATTAGAGATGCACGAGAAGGCCTGGTACCATCTGCGCGAGGCCACAACCCTGGTCCACATGATGTCTATGAACGAAGAACAAGCATACCTGCAGTGCGACAACGGTGATGGGATTGATGTGTCCAGGCGGAGACGCCTGTATTGGTTGCTTTTCGTAACTGAACGGTAAGTTCTGTCGCACTTGCCAAAAACATCCGATTTGCTCGCAGTTTCGGATGCTAACAAGCACATTGTTGCTACAGTGCCTATGCCCTGCGTTACCGCCGTCCGTTGAGCCTACAAGCCAGTATTGCTCTGCCCGCCCCAAGTGACCACCCAGCCGATCCCTTCGCGCATAGTGGGACTAGCTTCCTGCGGCTCATTGGCCTCTTTCGCGGATTCGATGAAGTTCTTCTTCAACTTTGGATGAAAACAAAGTCGGAGTGCTCGGACCCATACCTTATGGCTTTGGAGAAGCAGATTCAGGACGTGCTTCCTCCATACCTGAACGATACCAATGCCCAGCTCTCTGAGATTCAAATCAACCAGCAATGGCTCAAGCATAAGGCTTGGGAAGTCAGCATTGCAAACGGGAATGACAACAACGCAGGGCTTTCATACGTCGATAACATCAACATGCATGAGCTTTTGCCCATGGTTTCTCACTTCCCCGGCAACCTGGGTTTACAGGGTCTCAGCCTGTTTGAACATCTGCTCAACGTTACCTGCGCCTTAACTGAGATCCTTGCTATGCAACCTGCGCCCAGGACACCGTTCATCCCTTCACCACATGACCAACTGCGCAAGATCCTCAACGTCGTTCATGTTATCCGGAATGGAGAGCACCGATTTTTGCCTTTGTTGTTGAACAAGGTGCATGCAGAACTCCCAAAGCTTGCGAGTCCAATGCTCCAGAACGCCCCAGAGAGCGCAGCATGCCCTGCAACCATTGATATCTTTGACGGATTCGGCACTGCCGGCATGGCGCAACCTCCCTGTGGTTTTAGCAGCGAATTCGACAACAAGTTTGGTGTCCCACGACTTAATGATATGACCCCCAACTCCCATTCTGGTTCCAATTCTAACAGCCCCAACTCTGCTCCTTCCGGCAACAACGATATGAATTCCCCTTTTACTACGAGTTCTCCCGGTGGTATCATGTCACCTGGCATTGACTTGCCCCATGGGCTGCAGACGGATTTCACCAGCATGCCAGAGATGGTCATGAGCCCCATGAGCCATGCACCACCCCCTTCCTCACTACCTACATCGGGGGCAATGGCCGATCAACAGTCGCAACAGCCTCAGCATACTCCCATATCTCCATTTTCCAACTCAAATCACCAAATCCACAATATCGCCGGTAGTAACGTCAACCCACCAACTAACATGGGGCTTGCTTCTCAGATGCACTTGGGCCAGGGAATGAACAGCGGGATAAACACAGGCTTAGCACAAACAGTCAGCAGCACAAGTTTACTGGCAAGAGTACAGCCCCAACAGCATCGGACGCATAGTTTTGCTATGGGAATGTCACAGTTACGAGCAGTCGGGGATTTTCAAGCTCTGCAACGAGCCAACACGGATGTCATGAACCCATTAACATTGAATACCATGGGGACGACTATAGATTTCAATGCTCTACAAAGGTAGCAATTGCACATAACAGAGGAGTTGACGCCGTGAAGGGGTAGCTATTCCTGTGGAGCCAAACTTCTACCGTCATAAATCTCTGGTATATGTTTTTTCCTTTGGTCACTTGAAGGAGGGGAGCCATCTGGACATGCATTCAAATCGTCTTGGGACAATCGTGAGGAGTAATGCTTGGTTTTTCTTTCTTTGGTTATACTTGTGGCTTTCTTTGGATAGGATTTTGGGGCATACAAGTAATGGGTGACAGTGAGCCCCATTCTCAAGAATTGGAAAACAGCACCCAGACAGGTCTTATTTCTTCCCTGTGATATTTTTGTTCTATCTTATTTTAGAGATTATGCTTTGTGTTTATAGGTGGCTTGATTGGAATAGGTATATCGAAGGGGAGCTGGGTGTTTCGACGGTGTTAGCAGTTAATGATGGCTGGACATGGAGGGAAGCAATTTGGTTGTTTCATATCACGATTATATATGTTCATTCTGGACTGTACATCAGCAGACATTATTGACCGGGAAAGAATTGGTCACTCGATATCTTTGGCATGCTTTCTCGCTCTCCTACTTTACCAAATGCGTTATTCACGCGCCACAACAGTATCGGTTAATTGTACCCGCCTCCAGGAAATCATTGTTTGGCTGCATGCCAGCGGTGACCGAACTTTAGAATGATGATCCGCGGGCACACCAGGTGGTAGGAAAGTTCTGGCAGACAACCGAACAAGCGAAAGTCCCCATCACGACACACGGAGAACAGTTTAATTATAGGTATGTGACACGACTGCTATTCATGGCAACATATTAAGTTACACATGCAGTTGGTTGGGTGTTGTAAACAATATTGGAGCTTCAACGGGTCCCAATCACCTAGACTTTTTGACGAATTCCATACTCATGATAACTTTGAACAAGAATGTAATACAAAAAAAGGTCGTCATGAGTCTGAATGAGAGAAGAGATACATCATTAATACACATTGCCCTCGTCAGGGCTGAAGCCCCGAACATGCTCTTTTCCTGTCCACAACTTAGCCAGTCATCAAATCAAGTGGGCAAAATTCTCACCTGAAGCGGAAATAAGAAGGGGGGAATGGGATTAGCAGGGTTGCAGCCACAAATATCCTGGTCTGGCCTAGAAACGGGTTGGCAAAGCCAAAGGGTCCCATACCACACTATCGGCCTTTCCCCAACTCAACGGCCCGGCTTGTCCACAGGCTGCGCTTGAAGAAGATATTTATCTGAATTCAATTGTATGACATAAGCAAATGAGCGTAGTGCGTGCCAGTGGTTACCAAAGTGGCCTGTTTTGGAAGAGAGGAGGATGGAGAGTACGGAAGATACTAGGAATTATGGGCTCAAGAAAGAAGGTTTAGGCGGTTTGCTGTGGACTTCTACTATCATTCCAAGATGGACCGACTAAGTATTCTGCTCAACGGTGTCTCTAAGCCTGGAAGAGCCGCGTTTGCTGTTGGGTGAATCTGAAGGGGAAAAATTGGAGCGTGGCAGATCTACCTTGGTAATCTTTAGGATATGAATCAGATGGTAAGTGATCATGCCATTAGTTCCGGGGAAAACGAGGCGGTACAGTGAGAACTACATAAACATGGTTGGCCTGTATTTATATCGATGCTTATCTGTCGGACATTGAAGTGGCACAGTCCACGAAGTGTCATTCGCGGACTCGCTGTTGAAAGAGATTGTGTCTACCTAAGCTTATAGGTATCCATCCTCCTTAACCTGTTTGTATGTTCCTTTTTACATATTTAATTCACTCTTTGCCCATTATCTTAGCCTCTCGCATCACCTGAAATGTCCCAGAGCGCCGGGAAGATTAGATGTAGATGTGTCAATACCTAGCTAGTCGGGAGTTTTCTCAGCTGTTACTGCTTGACTGCTCGGTCTGTTATCCTTGAGCTCTTGACTGAGTCCAAAGGTTCACATTATATAAACTCCTGGATACACTGTTAGTAATTCTCTTTATCTCTCTCATTCCGTGGAAATCTTGTGTCTTCTCATCAGACCGAACCTCTTTTCTCGTTGACCAGCCAAAACCAACCTCATCAGGACAGAAAACACATCCAATTCGATTGCAAACTGTAACGAGCACGAGCAAATTGAAGACCTCCCAACATAGGATCAGACATCCTTCCGAGCTGTTTAGTAGACAATCACTCCTTAGAAAAAGCCTATCCGACAAGATGTTTTCCCGGTTCACAGGACAATACCAGTCACAGTTTCAAGAGTACCGCCACCCTCTTTCTGTCCGTATTCTAGTCTCTGGAGGAAGGAAATGGGTACTCGCTATCTGGAGGAAAACAAAGGCCAAAGCGAAGGGCAAGGGAAAGCAGAATGGAAGCTCGGGGGCGAACAATGGCAGCAGTGACCAACGGTTGAAAAACGGTTGGAAGACAGACGATTGTGTCATCCGCAATGAGGCAAAAGCCAGTTTGAGTAACGATGGCAGATCAACGTTAGGCCAAGAAAGGGGAGGCATCTGGTCTCGGAATGTGGTTGAAGATGCAATGGATTGGCCCCAAACTTCTGCAACAACAGGTGCTTTAGGGTATGTTGTCACTAACTGGGAATTTTATGATGTCGGAGCAGTTTCGGACCCCAGAAATAGCCGGTGGTGGGAGGACATTGAGGTTGGTAGCTCCAAGGGGGGCTATCACCATAAATGTAGAAGCGTTAGGAGTTTTGTTTTGGAAGAAGGTTCATTGGAAGACATTTGGTTCAAGCACAGGCACCACAACAACGGCAGAACGTGGATGGTCAGCAGTATTAACAGCGACTACAGGCAAAAGTCAGCTGCCCGCCTAATTCCTTGGGTGTATGGGTTCCTCGCAGCAAAGATAATGACGATGCGCTGGAAAGCCGGTGGAGGTTATGTGGTTGTCAACGGTGCCCTCAAGGAGGAAAGGAGTCAAAAGGGAAAAGACCGGTGGCTGGAACTCCTTTTCATCAGTCTCTGGAGCATTTCTGGGCTGTATTATCCTGTGTCAGACCCAAGCGTTATTGACCAAGGATCTGATAGGAAGTTGGTGAAGCCCACCGGCCAAAGGAACCCTGATGAATGGGACGAAGAAGTTGAACTTCAAATCATTTAGTTGAGTCAAGGGCATGATTTTTCGGAAGTCGGCTATGTGGGTTTCTGCTCACCTTACGCAGAGACTCTTCATTTCCTAGGCTTAGTCGTATGAAATTATCGGCGTCGTGGGTATTTATTTTGATGTGTATGAAAAGGATCTATGACCTGCAAGATCATGTAGCAACTCGTGAAGGGATGTCAACTATATCCCACATCTTTCATCTTGTTCAAACAAAGGGGCCTTAACTTAGTGTACACACTATATGATACGCTGACCTGCGTGATAGAATGCGTTAGGCCGAGACATGGCCAAGGCATAACAGCATGTGATGTGATCGTTGCAAACCTGAGATCATCAGCCGGCAGCGTTTGGCGGACGTACCTTTCTGTTGGCGTGGCAGTCTTCAGATCAGAAAGGGCTTCTTTTTCAATTTGAGATGATACTGTTTACTTGAGTGACAAGGTGGAAGGTATTTTGTGCTTACATATATCATCAAGGGACGGATCAACAAACATCTCAGGAACAATAAAAATGCTGGTACGAAACGTAGCCGAAGGGCGCAAGAGGGGACTGATGCACTGTCTATCCTTTTATTGCTTCGATCGATAAACGTGCCCATAAACAAGCGGGAGGAAAACAAACTCCGAACCATCTACCAGGAACCCACAGCTTGAATGGACCATGAACAAACAGCAAACCAGACAAATAACCAGAGACAAACAACACATCGAGCCCAAGAGAGCACAAGGACGGCTAAGCCACGGCATATATTCCTACATGATCCCTGGGGAGGGCGAGACCGATCAACTCCACCGAACTACCACCAACCAAAAATGTTTAGGCATGCTTCCACGCTGTGCTTGCTTTCTCCACCACTTATTTCTTTCGATACATCCACCCATGTTCTTCTGTACCTCCCCAAACGAGATCAAGGAACTACTCCTTACCAGCCAACCGGCCAATCCTCGTTGACGGAAACCAACCACAAAACACAATCCATCCCGCCAATTGTGTGTACGGATCCAGGCCACCAACACGCCGAGCTGAGAGTCACGATCAAACCCAACAATCGCCAACCCGGTTTCAGCCGAACCATTATGAATTCTTAAGGGATGGAGGAGACGGGAGAGGAAGTCGAAGCGCCGAATGAGCTATGCAAATGGTCTAACCATCTTTCTTCTCACCGTTACCGCTGCTCATGCCACTACCATTACCACCGCCACCCCCCGAAGTACCAGCTGAGCCACCGCTATGTTCTTTGTAGTCCTTATTGCTGCCGCCAAAGTCTGCCTCCACAATGGCCTTCTTGTCCTTGCGAGCCTTAATAACAAACTCAGCCATGATCTGGATGTGGTCGGCAGGGAAGTGATAGTTGGGGAAGCCTGGCACACGCTTGAGGTGTTCACGGTCCGGAGGACCAAGCAACTCGACAACTTCAAGGGTGTTAGTGGAATACCAAATGTAATCGATGACTTCGGCGAATCCAGGCACATAGTTGGTGAAGGTGAGTTCATCTGGAGTGCCATTGAGATGAACATAGGCAGAACGCATGCTGAAGGGATGCTCAACACCATCCCGTGTGAAGCTGCCATACTGGTGATCGCCAAAGTCATTGTTGCCCGGCTCGACACGGCCCATTGAAAGGAGCTCGTACACGCTGCTGTCGGTGGTTGAGTTGTAGTCACCACAGACAAGCAGAGGGATGTCGGTATTATTGCGATATTCTTGGGATGGTGCAGGCTCAGGCAGCTCTTCTCTTTGTTCACCCTCGCTTAGAGGTACCTGAATCATCTTTTTGTCCTTGAGAGGAGGCCATCTGGCATATTTCTCAGCCAACTTGGTAATGTTTTCCATCAAAATGGCTGTTTGAACCAGCTTGACGTCAGCCAGCGAAGGTTCCCAGGCTAGATGGGTGTTGGCAACGATGACCCGGGCGCCTGTGGCTCTGCTTTCGAGGAAGCAAACAAGGCCAATGTTGTCCTTGGGCATGACACGGTTGAAGATGTCATGTTGGTTCTTCATGTCAGGACGGTTGATGGCAATGTTGGCATAGTCAATAAGTTGCTTGTCAAGCAAAATCCACTTATTTGCCTTGTAGAAGACGGCGCAGCCGTCGACGGACTGGGCTTCCTTCTCAGACATTGTTTTCGCCTTTGGGCGTGGCCAGTGTACCCCTTTGTAGCCATCTTGAGCTAGCTCTGGACTGAAGTAATCCCGGAACACATCGGTGGCAATCTCTTGAAGGCACAAAATGTCGGCCTCTCTTTCGCGCAGTTCTTGGAGAATGCGCTTCTTGCGGTAGTCCCAGTTAAGGGCGCCGGTAGGGGTGTAACCATATTGCGCTGTAGTGGCAAACTTGTCGCAAAGGATGTTCCAGGTAAGCACCCTGATACGTTCAAGGTTCGGCGACACGTCTTCTTGGATCACAATTGTTTTCCTCGGTTCGGGAGGCATGGGGACTGAGTAAGTAGTAGACACGTTAGTGCTATGACCATCTCTCGCGCCTCTTCAGGTGATCGTGCTTAACGTACCAGGAGCTTGCTCGAGAAGCATGTTGATTAGGCTTTTTGTGCCACGTTCCATGATCTCTTCCTTAAGCGTTGGGTTGAGAGGATTGCCATCAATGCCGAGCATGTTCAGGTGGTGTAGTGAGCCGAGCTCATAGGGAAGGTCGCGGATTTGGTTGTCAAATAGGAGAAGCTGCTCCAGGTTCGTACACATGCCAATCTCTGGAGGGAGCTCCGTAAGGAGGTTGTTTGAAGCCTCCAGCAGGCGCAGTTGGCGAAGTCTACCAATCTCGGCGGGGAGGTAGGTTAGCTTGTTGGATGCAATGTAGAGCTCCTGCAAGAACTCGTAGCTGAACAAAGCAGGGGCAAGAACGCGCAAACCCTGACCGCTCATGTCAAGATTGAACCAGTCCTGACGCCCTTTTTTCTTGCTCACGCTGTACGGTCTTCTTCTTTCGTCTTCTCCATCGGCATCTTTCCCAGAACCTCCTCCAAGCGAAGAACCACCAATGCCCTTGTTCTCAGGTGCTTTGAGCCGAGCATAGTAATGGGGTTGGTGTTGCTCAGTCATAGCGGCATGTGCGCGCTCAGCCTCCTTGTGCAGGCGCAGTTGCTCGGCCCAGTGTTCTGTGATCTGCTGGGCCGGGGCACCTCTCGCCGCGGTCGCATGGCCATTTGGTATGCTGGCACTGGAGAATGGGCTGGCATTTGGCAGGACGCCGCTTGAGAAGGCAGAATGGCCCATAAGGGCGGCTGTACTTGCGGCATGGGCGCTATGGTCAGGCTGGATGGCTTGGTGATGTTGGGCATGAGCCTGGTGGGGGTGAGCCGACTGCTGTTGGAAACCGTACAGCATGGGCATGGCTTGCCCACGTCCTGGTGCGCCATTCAAGCGGGTATTGTGCCCCTGTTGATGGTTCTGCCCGAACATTCCGCGTGTAGTGGTTGTCGAAGATGTCGCTGTTTGGGGATTTGCGGTGCCGACAATAGAAGTTTTGCTAAGGGACGATGGCTGGGTAAGTACAAGGCGGTTGAGGATGGAGTTTAGCAAGAAACCGTTGGCGAGATGGTCGCTAGAGAGTGCAGTCGGAGCAAGCGGACTCGAGGCGGCGTGCTGCAGCAGGGAGAGGGATTGACCATCTGCCATCTACGAAGAGCGAGTCGAAGAGGCTCACGATGGGGGGGGGCGGGGAGAAGACGCGGTAGGCGGGAAGGAAGAAGACGGACGGACGACGGTCTGGAGGCGCAGAGGATTCGAAACTCGAGGCAGCAAGGTTCGCATGGGACACGAGAAAGCCGTGATCTGGCATGGATGCAAGTTGCTGAGCGTCGTGCCGCGGCGGGTGACGGGGGGTAAGGGAGCGCTCAGAGAGCCATCCACCGGAAAGGTTGGGCGGATGGACAAGACTACCGAGCGCTTTCGGTTTGAGTGCTTATCCCTGTGTCTTTGTTCTGTTCCCTCGAGATCACTGGAGAAGAGACTAGTCGGGATGCGGGATACTCTCGTCGCAAAGGCGAAGGGGGCGGACGACGAGGAAAGGGAGAGAAGAGAGAATACGCAGTGAGGGTAAAGCGAAACGATGCTCGATGGCGGAGTGAAATTTTCTAGTTATCGTCTTCTATTTTCTTTGTTATCTGCTCGCTCGGACGACGTGTCTAGAAATGGAAAAGCAGAGGAGTCAGCGAAGCGAGAGATTGGAGATGCTGAAGATGATGCGGTTAGGAGGTGAGACGGGGAGAGTGGATGGTCGGGAGTGGATAGAAGATGGAGGATGGAGGATGCGGATGTGGATGTGGATGTGGGTGTGGCCTGCGTGAGTGTGCTTTGGATGGATGTCCAGCGTCCGGTGTCCAGAGCTCCAGTGGCAGTCTGGCAGTGGATGGGCCACTGATGGATGTGGAGACGCTGCGTGGGCACTGCCAAGCAATCCTGTGCCGTGTGCAGTGGGCTAGTGGCGGCCTGTGGAGTGGAAGTGCCCATTGGCTGAACCTCGAGGCTCAACTCCAATCCAGCGGCTGTCAAGATCCCACCAAGAAGCTCCCAATGTTCGTCTCCATACCAGCATAAGGTGTCTTTTTGCCCAGCTAGGCTGGCTGGGCATCCATCTATCATCTGCACAGTAGTGTCACCAATTCAGGTGCCAGTGCAGAGCGTTGAGCAGGGACGTTGGCCCTTGGGCTTGTCTTTCTTTTGTGTCCCGGGCAAAACTGTCAGATCGGCTGGCCTGATTGCGCATTGGCCTTACTTAGATGCTACATGAAGAGGTGGATGATTTGGCCGAGTCAACCAGAAAATGAGGGGTCATGCGCCTCACTATATCGATGAACGCTTAGAATCCTGTCTGAATAGCAGCTCAATAGTTCTTTGATGGTTTGCAGCTGTAAAGCACTTGGTTGGTTCGAATGTACCACCTTCTTTTCTATTATGCTGTTTACACGTTGTAGTGATCGCAGAAAGTTTGTGCTGCTGCTGGTTGCTGCGCTCACCGGCCTCACAGCTTCCAACACGTGATGTGTTTCAGCCTGGCCTCCGGTTTTGCTGATCCCATTGTTCGATCTCGAGTCCGTGCACCATTTGCGCCCGCACCGCATCTGTCATCTGTCATGGAATGCATGTTGTACTTACAGTCCCCTCCTTGAATGTACCGTACCTACATGTTAAACGTCACAGCAAATTGCAAAAGCTCGCTGAGCATAGAGCATGGTTCTGCTTGGAACATCTCTCTACTGTACGATTAACTGTCTCTGGATTGGGATTCGTAGCACGTGCCCCACGAATGCTCGAAGTTAGATATCAGCCTGACAACCTTGGTAGTTTCTTCAAGCGAATCAATGTTAATGTTCTGAAAGAAGGCGTTGAGTATCACCCTCGAAATGAATTGCCGTAAAACCAATCAGCTACCCGGACACCCTTATACCCAACGTTTGGAACCTGGGAGCATTTGGGACCCTGCAATGTAATCGAAGCACTGAGCGCTGGCAGGGGTCATCAAGGGGCCAGATGGGTGCTGCAGGCCGAGGGCCATGGCGCTGACAGCTGAGGCACAGACATCTTGGAGGAACAGCCAATCCACAGGAAGCATTGAAGTGCGGGGAAGATCAAAAAAGGCTTGTCTGCGGCGCTGTTCCACCGCACGCGGTGAACGGGTGGCAAGTGAGAAGTAACAGCAGCGTCCAGAACCGGACAAGGCTAGCAGTGTAGACCTAGGACACAACGGTCATCGGCTACAATCCACAACTCTGGTAGGCGTGGGTTCAAAGGATGGATAAAGGTCGGGCCTGCCTCCCTACTTACGGGCCGTATGTAAAGGCCAGCTCTTCCGTATAAGTCGAAAGGAGCTTTGTCCACACCAGCACCAGTCAGGATTCATTTGCCGTTGCACCTGGCTTTCTCAGTCACCGTTTCTCGGTGTCGAGGCCCTGAATTCCCGGATAATCGGCGTACACTCAATCAAGCCAATGTTGCTGTTTCCCGGTCTGCTGGTTTAGCCTTCTTCCCGTTATATCTCACACAGCCGCAGCCATTGTTCCAGTCATAACGGCGCGCCACTTCCCTCCTTCCCTTTTGCCAAAAATACTTGTTAACGGAACCACGGCAGCCAACGCAACCGCCAGCTAGTTCTCGTGAGCCATTTGCCCTCGGACCGTCGCCGCCGTCCAGCCCCACCTGACAACAAGTCCCGGTCAAGGAAGTGCAACATCAAGGCAGGCTGAGCGGTGATGCATCAACCGACACTTGGTCAAGCGTTGAGCCTTTTCTCCTGTTGAGCTATCCGGAGCCAGAGCCAGACTACCGGATGCGATCTGTGGGGTTCTGAGCAGCCGAAGTTCCAAGGCTTCTGTGCCCGGCGCTGTAATAAAAAGTCTGGCGTCGTCTGGCACCCAACATTTCCAATCTACCTCTTGCCCCTCCACTTGAACCCGCGAAGCAGCGGCGGCGACAACCGCTAGCAGGCAGATGCGGCATCGAGACTCAAATACCATGCATGGCCTGTAGTCCACTCACTCGCTCACAGACGCGCATACACACACGTATACACGCCATCGTCACCTAAAGAGCGTTCACCAGGCCTTACATAGGTAGTAATACCTTCAGGAGCCCACCTAAAGTGCCAGCACAAAGTTAAGCGACCGTCGCCAGCGACGTTGAGAACGTTTGTCCTAGGGGAAGCTGGCAGCAAGATACTCCTGTCACTTGTCAGACGACCAAGCACACCACGGTTGCTCGCGGCTTAGACCGAGGCTCAAGGCTCGTGTACTCTTCTCTTTGCAGCGTGTGCCGGCCCCTCGCGATCTGCAGTCGTGTCATTTTCTGTCTGTGTTCTTGACCGGTTGCCCCTCTTTCTCCGATCTCTCGCCCCTCTGGCCCTAGCCTGTGGGGGCTGTCATTTTTCTGCTGGGCAGAGAACCGGGCACTTCGGCAAAACGGGGATCACACTTCCAGCCCAGGCATCTACTCCAGAGGACCAACCGACCAGCAGAGTATCTCAGAATACACATATCCTTGAGGTAACCACAAATTCTTTGTCCCTTAGGTCCGACAGCGGTTTTTTGGTGACCAACTGGGGCTGTCGGTGGGAGTGACAGGGAGTCGAAACACCAGACGAGACGTGGAAGCTGGAAACCTTCTAGAACCAGCCGCGGCACACCGGCGTCTCCGTTGCATCGGGCCAGCGCAACTCCCGTTAATTCACCAATTTCGCCCATTACAACGACTTTTTGCGTGCAAAAAAGGAGCGCAGAGTTTGCATTGATTTACCGTCTAAGCGTCATTGTGTGAAGACGCAGGAGTACTTGGTCCTGTTTGTTGAATGCAGGGGAGGAGACAAGCCTTAGTATCATCAGGAAGCACAACCGTCCCGTTGCCATCGTCATCGATCTTTATTGCCCTGCTAAAGCAAGTTAGGCATCAATTGTGTCTTAAGCAGTGTCCTACACGAAACTCCGGTCGCAAGAATCACCCTCTGGTTGTTCTGGCACGAGCCGTTGGGAGACTGAGATTAGCGCAGGGAAAGCTTAGGGGCTGCGCCCTCAGCTGCACCACCGGAAGCCCCACCGCAGCCAACCCAGCGGGGCACGACTCACCCCGTTTCGCCCCTGCAAGGGCCTGTTGGTGAGCATCCATCCCGCCATTTTGGAACATTGCAGCAGTGGACAGCTCAGGAACCTGGAAGGGGGGAGCCTGGGGGAAAAATTCGAGGCGAGTTTCTAGCGTCCTTTGCTTGTGATTTTAAAAATGGAGTTCATGGCAGGTTATGCGGCCGCGAAGGCCCCTTACTCCACTTATCAAGTCGAGCCCGCATCGCAATCACATCGCTCCAACATCAACAAGCCAACACGCTCCAATTCAACGTCGGGAACACACAAGAAGCGTTCGCGCATTCCCGGACACGCGCGAACGAACAGTGCCAGCACAAGCGGAAGCGGAAGTGGAAGCGGCAGCGGCCCGGGCGCGCGTAACGACAGGGACGACGTTAGCGGAGTCCGGACCGACCCTGTGACATCAGCGACGAATCTCCTGAGTCCTGTGAGCGCCGGAGCTGCTGGAGCTCCCACAGGCCGTTTGAGTGCAGAACATCAGCGTTTGAATCAGCAGCAGCAGCATCACCATCTGCCCCTCCCCCACCATCACAACAACACTCTCGTCCGACGCGCATCTGCTCGAGATCGGGATCGAGACCACGATCGGGACAGGGACCGGGATCGTGCGTCATCTAAGCACCACCAAGATAAACATTTGCCAGCAACACCCCGCCTAAACAACCAGGACGCAGCGCCCAGCATATCCCTCGGCCCAGCAACCGCTGCTTTCGAACCATCCTCTTTACGGGCCGCGGGCCCTGTCAGCATTTCTTTAACATCTCCTGGTTCGGCCAAGCATTCTGCTACCATGCTCACAGATATGATGATGGGTACACGGGCGGCGGTCGGTGCAGGCAGCATGCCCCGTGCCGACAGTGTGTCCAGCGTCTCTGGGACAACAACGACGAGCAACCGCACTGTGTTCTTAGGAGACCACGGAGTTGGACCTGAGCTTGTGCAGAGACCATTCGTCGTGCGCAATGGGCGCACTTACATCGCCGACCCGACCTTGCCATACCCTTTACCCGTCGACCTGGAGGAGCTGCATCGCCAGAGCCTGAAGACGATGCTCCTGATGCAGCTTTTCGGCCGGCCTATATGCTCCCCAGGCTTTGCCAACAACCCCCCCTCGCGAGTCCTCGATGTGGGTTGCGGCACTGGCTTCTGGAGCATGATGTGTTACCGACATTACGAGGCGCGCGGTCAGGCCGCTGACATGTCCTTCACCGGCATTGATATAGTACCGTTGTGTCCTTCTGGGCCAGTAGCAGCGGGCACGGATAGCGGTAATAGCAACCCTCAAGTTGCCCCCGTGCAGGGTATGAATTGGCGCTTTGTGCAGCACGACCTGCGTAAGCTCCCTCTCCCTTTCCCCGATGCCAGCTTCGACTTTGTTATGGTCAAGGATATGTCTTTGGCCACTACGACCGGCACTATGCAACAAAGCCTGATTGAGGAGTATATCCGGGTCCTGGCCCCCGGCGGCTCGCTCGAAATCTGGGAGACTGACCACCTGCTGCGCATGCTACGTCCTCATATCCCCGAACCAGCGACGACGGTCATTCCTCAGCCTACCGACCAGAAACAGCAGCAACAGTCATCGGACTCCAATCACCACAATAGCGACGACTCCCCACCCGATGGCGACGACCCATCCCACCACGAAACATTTTCCCCAACCGACGTTGGCGCCTATCTCATGACATCCAAGACACCACTTTCCACGCCTCTCAACAACTTCTTAGTCGAGTACAACGCATGGGTCACCCGCGCCCTTGAAGCCCGTCAGTTACCCGTTATGCCATGTACGCTCATGAGTCCATTGTTGTTGCAAGAGGCCGAAGCCTTGACAGGTATTGGGTCGCGTCGGTTGGCCGTGCCGCTGTCTGAAATCCGGTGGGAGCGCGAAGGGGTTGGCGGCGTCGTCACCAAGGATGGCAAGAGCTACATTGATAGCACTGGAGCTGGGAGCAAAGGAAAGTATACTGCAAAGGACGGGAACCCGTCAGGGGGCGTGCTGCAGCCCGCGGCTGCCGCGCTTAGGAGGGCAGCTCTTGTCACGGTCGTGCAACAGATACAAAGCTTGGAGCCAGTGTTGAGAGAAGTTAGCGGGAAAAGCCAGGATGAGTGGGACACGTGGATTGGGAAGATGATGGGGGATTTGGTAAGGGAGAACGGGACAAATTGGGGAGAGTGTCTGGAGGTAGGTGTATGGTGGGCGAGGAAGCGCTGATGTGGGCGTTTGTGTAGATGTGCCTATGTTCGTTGTTGTGAGCCTGGTTGACCATTTGTTCTTTTGCTGTTGTATAAATTGATATCTTTGGCTGGATGACCTTTATCACTCTACAAGTTGGCAAGCACGGATGGATAGGTTTAAACGGGTTGATGACTTGGGTATATACCCTGCTGTATGTTTGATGCTTGATGTCTTCGAAACAAGTATGTACTGTAGGTATGTTCTAGATTGAACTCAAGGAAATGATATCGATGGAAGGTTATATCAAGCATAGTAAAGACCGACACATAAAACACTTCCCATTGCTTCGAGTACGAATGTTTCAAAAAGTTTCGTCTTCAAGCGTCAACCTTCCAGAATCCTCCATGTCAATAACTGTAGGGCAGGCTGGTCAAACAGCTCCTGCTGCATGCTCGTACGATGTAGTCTAACTTTACATCAGAAGCACAAGCAAGAGCAAGGTTGAGCCATTATGCTTTTCCCCCTGGTCTCTGCTAAAACTTTTCGCATCCCCCATTTTGTATCATAACCCACCATAGCGTTTTTGCAGCGTCCGGTACTTTCTCAGAAAGTATCTAGAGAAGGGGAGGGCAAAGATAAAACCGACCATAGTGTTAGCCAACCAAAATAACGAAGGGAGAGAGAGCTTCATCCACACCTACAGCGCTTCAATTTCTGGTGTATACCAGTGCTCTGTCAGCTTCCGTTGTCACATTTCAACTGTGCGCACCAGGCCGATCGCCTTCCTCTTTGGCCTCATATCATAGGGAACCTGAGCTGCATAGAGGAACAATACACTCACCTTTCTTCACAAATTCTGCCCTAGCTATCCCGCGCTTGATCTCTTCTTCATCGGTAAGATGGGCGTTGGCCATAAAAGCACGGTGCAGACGCTGCCGAAACCAGTCGTAGCCTTGGGGATAGTCACGACCAAGGAAGAGTAGCTCTAGCACAGCATAGGTACGTGCATGTAAGCTTGTATTCAAACATGTTTTGCTTGGAATTGCGGCATGACCTGAGCTACCCTTATAAATAGCAATGACCTGCCTCCTGAGCTCAGGATATACCAGTGGTTTGGACATGGCTAATGGTTTGAGGAGAGCTGCAAAAGTTGCTAGCTATGTGTGCAATGTGTCATGACTGACACCTGAAGATTGAAAATGACAAAGATGTACGTAGTCGGCTGTCCGGTGGCTGTTGAACTGTTGTAAGGTCGATCTTGAACCTTGATCAAGCACCCTCACTGTCCTGGGTGTGTCCGTCCGAACCAGAAAGCAGAACTCTGGATAAGGAATGAACGTCATTGGCTGCCCCTGAATGCTGGAGCCCATACAACAACCCCATCTTATCTTATCAGCAGGTAGTCAGTGCGATCTAATACAGCAGTTTACTGTACTGGGAGACCAAGGAACCAATTTGACATGCAACTTGCGGACGATAAGTGAGCTTCTTCGGTGTATAAAGTATGTAGAAATCTAGTGTAACCTTATATTATAGTCTACTCAGGAAATTATTCTGGTTTGCTCGTGCCTAGCAATCGATGTGGACAAACCGACCCAACACAGTACCTATACGGGCTTGTTAAGTGGGGGGGACCTCCCACCTGCCGCTCCTTGTCCCCGTGTTGCCGAGAAACCTGGTCGATGGCGGCATCGGGGCTTTGGGTTGCACGAGTTCCCTAGTTAAAGTTAGTTTATTGTTGAAGATGCCTAGGTTGAAAATGACCACCTTGGACTATTTTGAACTGATTGCCCTCCAAAATCTGCTCTGCTTTGTGAAATAGCAATTGATGACATTCCTATCTTAGGCCTGTATCAAACGCATGACAACACACAGAGCGGTCTTCCAAACGAAGACAGGATGTCTGCCCTGAACACTTCCTCCTCCCGACTCTTGGTGTCCTGTAGGCTCCTGCCAAGAGCTGCCTCGATATTGTCGCGACTGCTTGTCCAAAAGCCTCAAGTAATTTCTACGAAGTACTTTTTTTCTAGTTCCCGGTCCTTTCAACAACATGGCCAAATCTCACATCAGCAACCCATCCTTCCACCGCCACCACCACAGCGCTGGATTTCTGATCTCCAGGCCCGCATTGGCAAGTGCATCACCTTCGGTTGCAGCGCATCGCAAGTTCAGCAAGCGGCAGGAGTGCTACGAACCATCGCAACGGAGTGGCGCGAACTGCTTGCTGGAAGCGAGGGGTTCCTGACCGATGGTCGTGGAGGACTAGATGGGAGGGGTGTTGCCTGGGGGGAGATGGACAGTTTTGTGAGTCAACTGTGAAACGGCAGAATGAAGGCCGCGTCGTGCTGACAGGTACGGAATAGGGTCATGTCAACAACGTCAATTACTACCGCTACGCCGAGACGGCAAGAGTCAATTGGATCACTCACTTTGCGGTTCATACTGATCCTACCCATGGAGAGGAGTGGAAGGAGTTGATGACACCTAGGTCGGTAGGTCTTATCATGAGAAGTTTAAAGTGTGATTTCAAGTTTGTATGTTACCGGGTCCTGATTCTGTTGCACTCACTGGATGTTGACTAATGGACCATTTGACTAGCCCCTGGTCTATCCGGACAAGATTTCCGTCTACCACAAGCTGCGCAGCAAGCCTTTGCCGGACTCACAAGGGAATAACCCCAGTTCATTTGTGCTGGACTGTATTGTTCTTTCACACCAGCACCGGCGTGTCTCAGCTCGGCTAGAGGAGGATATTGTGGTCTATGACTACCGGGCCTCCACGAAGACCGGCATGCCTAGGTTTGTGCTGGATGCTTTTGAAAGAACGTGGCAGCTGCAGGAACAGGTTGCACTGGAAGCACGCAGACGCATCTGGGAACTGATCGCTACGGTCGAGCGGCTTGAGAAGGAGACGTGGGACAGGCCAGATGCGGTGGAAGATATGGGGTACGCAATGAAGAAAATGCCGTGAGCAATTACGGTAAAAGCAGCAGGTAAAAGGCCTTTTGTATGTTAACAATGCCTGCATACCCATGTATATGCATATGTTATCTCCCGATCAGATTTTCATGGCACTCTCAGTCCTTTTCTAGGACGGCTGGTAGGAAAGTAGAGTCATCTGGACATCTCTACCATGGACCTGGATACTGCACTCCATAGGGCTACGACGATATGCATGTGCAACCACGATTTAATGTATGCGGTGCTGTATTCATGGAGGGGCAAGTATCGCCTTCACAAAACATTTGTTTTTAAGCCAGCCTGCATAAGGCCAACAGTCGGTCCTGTCATTCTCGGTAGGGTAGGTTCAGGCCAGTCGCAATTCGTTGCTGGCTCGCGGCTGCAGAAAAAAAGATGAAGAGACCTGCTCAACCCCATAGCCAGCAAAACCATCCAATCCAAATGCACAAAATGTCTAGGGCTGCTTGCACACCTGATTGTTACAACGCTGCTGAGCCATTGGATGATGAAAAGACTCCGCAAGTCGCGCACACCCTAGTTCAGAGGTGTACGAATTCTGTGACCTGTTGGCTTGGGTTTCTTTTAAAACAATGGTGAATATCCTTACCTGGGGGTTGACGCTTATGAGTTTTAACAAATTGCCTTCTTGTACACCTGGGAGAGCAATAAGAAACAGAAGAGGACTTGACCTTTTTGAATGAGCCGCAGCAGCACGGAGCACGTAAGCAGCATAGCACGGGGTCAGGTTAGGAAAAAAGGTGCCTGATCTATCGGGATGTCAGATACCTGTTGTTTTTGTTATAGGTACATGGCATCAAATGGCGTTCCAGATATCTCAAGGATTAGGGGATGTAATCCATACGTACGGCTTTTGGGGGCAGTCTGACTCGTTCTCTGCGATGATGCCAGGGTAAGAGATTTCGCTTAAGAGTGTTTGGCGAGTTGCTAACCTTTTACCTTCCTGGCCGACACAAATCTTCTTTGGAAGCAAAGCCGAAAGTTGCTTTATGGATAGGTACGTAACCGAATTATCTGGCCGCTGCTGATGGCACCAAAAGAGTTGCAGTCGGCAAGCTAAGCAAGGGATCGATCGGTGGGCTGAGTGCTTGTCTGCCCTCTCCGCACATTGGCATATCGATCGCGTGGGATGATTCGCTGATGCCCTTGTAATCGTCGGCAGTTGGGCAGCCGTTACTTTCCCATCAGCACATCCAACTGTGAATGTAGGTACTGGTCCGTACGTAGTGTTCTGAGAGCGCTGCATGTTGGTTACTTAGGTCTCTTCATGCTCCCTCAACGGTGCCGCTCATACGCCTTCTCCGCCTACCAGTTGTTGTGCTCCTCCCGCTTGCAAACATCAAGAAGTAGTCGCTGTTGGCTTGCCATGTGTTGTAGACGTGCACAAGGCTTTGTCGTTGCTGGACCTTTTCGCTGCTTACCAGACACTCGAGTAGCATTGACTGGGACTGCCTAAAGGCACCTATGAACTCCATTGGTGTAGGTCTAGTGTATGGAGGCCCAGTTTCATACAGAAGACACAATCCTGAGATCTGCAATTCATACAACGCGGGGTTACCTTGTATTGGGAGGAATGTGAACCCCGCTAACGGAAACGGCCCTGTCAATATCGCCACTGAAGGGAGCCGAAACGCCAAACCGCAGCAACATGGACTCTCAAGGAGCCATGCATGGTACGGTTTACATTTTGTAACACTAAGTATGCACATGCTCCGGCCAGATTTTTCAGTGTGGCCCACACGGCCCTAGCATTGTTCCCCGTGGTGTTCTGGCAAAGGCTGGTGAGGCTGTGCTAAGCTCCTGCTGGCATCTGGTGGAGCCCGTCAACGCCCAACCAAAAACCCGCTTAACCTGTAGCAAGCAACCATTGAAGTGAAACCGTATTTTTTCTTGGTCAGCCATTGTAAACTTCGGCTGTGACCGGTTCGATCGCCTCGAAAACCCAAACAACAGTACAAAACGCCTGGCAAAACAAAAACACCACTAAGCACCACACGTCACATCCGCAGCGCCCGATATATTCTGCGACTCAGCACACCATCGTCTCGCTTGCACGCAGCAACCACTAGCGTTTATCTACTGTTTAGGTCGCCGTTCTCGTTGTTCCGGCAGCCAGCGCTGTGCATGCCGGCAAGCAACCATTGCTCCCGATCCGAGGGCGCCTGTTCAATGCTTCGGCTTGGTCGACTTCTGCTTGTATGATTGGCCCCCCCTCTCTCGCCGTCTCCATCCCGGTCTAGCATCCCTTCGTTCCCGTAAACGCTGTCATCGCCGTCGTCGCCGCCGTCGCTGCCGCCGTCGCTCACCCACATCCGCCGTGCTAGGCTGGCTCAGAATTCGCTTCTGGGCCAGCGGATGCGCATGCCTCGCCCCTCAAGTTCGGCCAAGCGTCACCCAGGAGCAGCCAGCTCGCGCGACAGCCGCCATGAAATTGGCTCGGTAGGCCCAGGCAAGCGTGTGGCAAGGAACAAAAGCCAGGTCCAAGGCCAGAATCAGAACCAGAACCAAGGGCAGCTCAATGGGAGCGCAGTCGAAAAGGCTGCTACCTCTCCCTCTGCCGCTGCTGCTGACAGCTCCTACTCGGTTTCGTCTTCCTCTGTGCCTCCGTCGCCCGCCTCAGCTGCTGCCGTCGCAAATGCCCCGCCCTCGGCCTACCTCTTGCCAGACGACATGTCCTCCGACCGCAAGCTGGCTGATGGAATTCGCAGGGGGTCGCTAGCCACCACTTACTCCGACTCCTCGGCTGACTCCCTCCTCGACGCCCACGTTCCTGCGGCTGCACACTCTGTTCCTGAGGAGACGACGCACCGTCGCATCGATGTCAACGACGCAAAGAATACGAACGTGCATCGCGACCCAGGGCCTCTCGATTTTGCCGTCACTGTTCTCCGTGCTTGCCCCCTGCAGGACACCATCGCCATTCTTATCATTCTAATGCAGGCGTCCCCTACTGTCCTGGCCACCATCTACATGCTCTTCACCTTTCTGACCTTTGTCCCGCCTGTCACGACCAACTCCGGCCTCAGCATCACCGAAATTTTTGATGGAAGCCAGGGAACTCCGTCCCTGTCCACGTTGATAGTTATGGACTTCATCATGTTGGGTATTTGGGTTTTTCTCTGGGCCCCTATGCAGCAGTTCATACTAGATTTGGCCCAGGTAGTTATATCTCTGACCCTAGGCGGCGGCGGCACATCCAATCGTGGCACTACCAGCAACATCCTGCTCTGCGTCCTCATTGTTGGCGTTTCCCACTGGACCCATTATTCCCGCTGGAATGGTTTATCCCGAGTTTCTTCCCTTTTTGGTTCCAGCCGTTTTTTGTCTTCCAATGACGAACCGGTGCGGCCATTGGAGCGGAAGGGAACTTATGGTTGGGTTAGGAGCATCCTAGCAATCCACATCCTTACTCAGGGGCTCGTCCGATGCATCCGGGAATGGTATTTGCGTAGGGAGCGCCGCGACCAGCAATTGCAGGGCCTGTTTGACCCCGAAGCAGGAAAGCTGGCGGCATTTTCGCCCGATGGCTGCTCTGATGCTGCTTTGATGGCAGCGGAGAGCGAGGCTCACCTACAAGCTAGTGCCGCTCACCTGTCCAGCAAAAAGAGGCGGAAGCAAAGTGCTCAGGTCCGCGTCCGGCAACCGCTCTGGGCTGCTCTTGCCAGTACAAAGATCGTCATGGTTAAGGAGTACGAGCTGTCGCATGCTGCAAGTGAGTCAGCCGGCTCCAATGCAACCGACATCCATAACCTTGGCAATGCACCCTTTAACACTCAGCCTGAGCAGATTTGGATTTGCTACGTTGGGTGTGATGAGGTTTGTTTTAATACCAGTCACTTCCCTCATCAGAGCGACTATGGAGAAATCGTGACGGAGGATAATAAGCCGGGAATCGACATGTCAAAGCCTTTTTATGTCCGAGTCAACAATGCCATTTGGCAGCCAACGCGCATTATTCCCCTCGAGGACGATGAGGAAAGGAAATACCAAGGCACGCGCTGGACGGGTGACATATACGGACTAACTCCTCTGTCCAATTATGAGTTCGAGTTTGTCAGCACACGGACTGGCGAGATCATCTTCTCAACCAGCGTGCGGACCATTCAGGCCAAGAATAAAGATCCCGAGACGGCCCCCAAAACGGCCCCGAGCAACTCGCGAACATTGGCTCGCCACGACTCTCCTGTCACTACTCTGCGGGCCTCCATTGCCGCAGCTGAACTGAAGCTTGCTGACGAGAGAGCTCGTCTCAAGGCTGTTCGAAGAGAGAACAACCGCCGACTGAACGCAGCTCGCAAGGAGATCGAGAAGCTCACTTCAGCCGTTCAGTCGGCAGGCGGCGACGACGAAAAGTTACGGCAGAAGATCGCGCAGAACAGGATCCAGGAGAAGCGCGCTGAGGAATCAATCAGCGAGCTGGAGACAGAACTCAAGGAGCTAGAGACGGTTCCCGAAGAACTGCTGGCAAAACACCGGGCCAGTCACGATGCCTGGACCTCGGAAAAGGCCCGGTTCGATCAAGCCCGTGCCAACTTCAAAAACTTCAAGCAGGCCATCGACAAGCAGATTAAGGCTCTTGAAGAGGAGAGGGCCAGCCTACAGGCGAAGCGCAACAAGATCGCTACCCGTATTGCCAAGGTCGACGATGAACATGCTCGCATCACTGACGCGAATGCCAAAGGGCTGAACGAAGCCGAGCGTCGCCGGCAAGAACGCGCGAACCTCGAAGCTGAGCTTGCTCGTGCCGAGCAGAATCTCCGTGACCGTATCCAGTCCATTCGCTCCAGCAACCTCAACAAGCAGGTCCAACTGCATGATATGGCGGCTCAGATGCAAGCCTACTTGGCCAGTTTCCAGGACGATCTCGCCGCCTATGACGTCGCTGGTCATTATCCCGGTGCCTCTGGGCAAGTTGGCCCTTGGCACTCCTCCGCCCCAGCTCCAACCGGCGCATATCCTGCCACGTCTGGTCCCGTTGGCCCCTGGCCGCCCGTCACGATGGCTCCTTCACAATATCCTTTCGCGAACTCAATCCAGCCCTCTCCTGCACTTGCTAACAGCGCCCCTGCTCTCAATTCAACCCCTCCGCCGCAGCACCGCAGCCGTGGCCGCTCTTCATCCATGCTCAGCTCTGTCTCTGGGTTCACGCAGTCTACAGATGAGGATACCGATCTTGGCGCAATTGGTAGCGGTCGTGGCGCCGGCACTCGTGCGATGGCTACGGCGTCCGTCACCGCTACGTCAAATGCTAATTCTACCGCCAGCGTTAACATCAATATCACCCCCGGGGCTGTGCGTAGCCTGCCCCCCGGTTTGTTCCCCCCTCTGCTGGCTTCGGGATCTGGTTCTGTCCCAGGGCTGCTGAAGACGCCTGGGTTTGGGTCTACCGGGTCTGTTGGTTCAGTTGCCTCGACTGGGTCTGCTTTCGGATCAGGATCTGCCTCTGTGTCAGGATCCGGGTCTGGCTCAGGCTTAGGCTCTGGGCGCAGCAGTGTGCGTTCTCGGGGTAGTGGCAGCGGAGCTAGTTTGGAGGGTGCTGAGGCTGTTGTTGGCATTACATCCGCTGCTGCAAGTGCGGAATCCTAGTGTACTGCAGATGCACCGCCAGCAGGTACAGGCTCTTTGTGGTGTTTCTCGATTCCATAAGACTTGCCACTTAAGTCCTGTTGTTTCCTATCTGTTGTCATGCACTTCTATCGCGCTGCACCCGACAATGAGTGAATGGACAGGACGACTTGGTGGACGCATACAATGGGTGAGCCATCCACGTTTTGTGTTGGATTGGGTTCGCTGGCCGTCTGCAGCAGCGACCTTGTGTACTTTGACCCGACCTTCTGGCAGACAAAAATGTAGCATTTGGTGCGGTTTCAGTGTAAGGAATAATTAAAAGTTTGCTGGCTTTGACAATTGGCCCCTGTTGCTGATCGATGCGTGCTCCTGTGCATAGCTGTAGACCAGTACTTCGTTCCTGTCCTGCCCATGCATGGCTTTTCCATCCAGGAAGTGGAGGTGCGAACCAGCAACATGTAGCACTCAGATTTCCCAGACGTTAATTGTTGGGATAAGCTTTAGAATGCTGGGAAACGATGATAAAATGTATCATGCAATATCTTAAAAGCTGCCAGGTCAGGAGGTAAGGAACAAGTGACTAGGAAATGAGTTTAGGACTCCAGCTATATACAGCGAATGGTTCATGCATCAAAATATCAAACGATATAAAGATGTTATATCAAAATTACGGATACCACACAAAATCACTTATCATGCTCCAACTTTCTTCGGACCAGATCCTCGTCTACTTTTATTACTATTTCAGCAGCAATCCTAATAGTACTCTGCCATATCGACAAAACTGCCCGCTTTTTCAACGGTGCAATTCCAATACCCAACAACACCGCGCCAATCAAGAGGCCTATGCTAGCAGTACCGCGACGGCCAGCACCGTTCCTCGAATTGCTGCTGTCACCATTGCCTTCCCGTCTCCTCGGCGCTGAATGCGGCAAATGACGGTGTGACATCGCGCTTGGTCAACTCCGGAAACAACTCTCGGTTCTCATGTAAATACCCCTCCTCATCATCACCACCATCCATGCTGAGGACCGAAGGCTCATCATGATCGTCGTCGTTGATATCCTCATTGAAGATATAGCTCTCCGAGGAGTTGTCATCCCCTCCCGTCCACTCGTCGTCAGTGCGGGAAGAGATATCGCCGTCGAGGACGATGATCTTCTCGTGGTTCAAGTTAAGCAAGTCTGGGTCAAAGGGATGAGAGGGGCTAAATGAGGGGGCACTGGATGAGCAGGTACAGGATTGGGGGGAACGGGAAAAGGAGGGACTGGCTTGGGCGTGACTTCGATGGCCTCGGTTTCCACTTGCACAACGGGGTCCGGCTCAGGGTTCTCCAAGCCAGCAATGACACAGAGAATTGTGGTTGTGGGCGCGATCTCTAATCAAGAGGAGTCAGTCTCCAGTCTCGTGGGTTCCGGGTTTTGTGGAAGACTGGGGAAAAAGGGATAAGATAACGTACGCATAACAACAGCTGCGCCACAGTTCTGGAAAACGCAATGACTTGCCGTCGTGGCAAAGGCCGACTTGCTCTCTTTGGCCGTTCAGTGCTTTCCTGTTCTTCATCTTCTCTCAGAAGGCCTTTACGAATGTGCCCTCCCTTGTTCTCCAAACCGAAGGCCTCCACGAGGTATTGTTAGCTCAACGTCAAGGGTCATCTAACCTTTACCAATTCTTCTTCGTCTACATCTCAGCCACCAGTTGTTTCAAAATGAGGATCAAAACGATGACCCTCTCCCCCCTTGGCCTCGTTGCCTTCGGCGCAACGGCTCCAAAGCCGATCCTTGATCTCTTCCCCCAATGTGCACGTGAATGCGTTCAATATGCCATCACTGATGGTACTGAGTGTAGCGAGAAGGACTGAGCCTGCATATGCGAGGGCTATCGCCATAGGGATCTGCCCCTGATCGACAGCCTCTGCCCGAGGAAGGGATGCAGGCGCCGTTCATGCTTGCTAACTCCAACAGGCGCGTTCACCCTTGTTAGACCACAGCTGGATGTGGAGCATGGTGTGGCGGAAGACAGAACTGCGAGAAAGCGTGCGGCGATCATGTGCAACACCGAGCTAGCCAGTCGGGCGTTGGGCTTAGTGTCCCGGATCCATGGATCCGCACCTCGAGCCTGGAAAAAGTTCCCTCAAGATCCCATAGTGTACTAGTAAAGTAAATCACTGGTAAGTCATCGGTAGTGTGCGGAGTGTCGAGCAGTAACCACATGTGAACCGATCCGGGGTAGTGGTGCCGTTGTGGGCGATCGATCATCATGAACCACACATAACTACAGAGAAGGGCATATCGGCCGTTCCACTAGTTGGAGTTATCACCTCCTTGCTTGCGTCTGGCCCAATTCCGTGAGCAGCCGTCTTACTCAGAGTACGGAGTGAAGGCACAGTCTGTATGTTGCCTCGAGTTGAAACCTTTAGCAGCGGACAACGCGATAATCAGGACCAGACGATTTCATCACACGAGTTGTCGATAGAGCGGCATCAGAGAGCGTCCAAACCAGTAGGATGAGTGACAAGCAAGCCTGTCAAAAGATACAAGAGAAGCGTTTTCGTTAACGTCAACACATAGACTCTGGGATTCCCATCGAGGAATGTGCGCTTAAGCTCACGTACGTGCTCCTTACTGAGTATGTAGATAGCTGAGGATGCGGGCTGGACCGAGACATCTCTCAGGCCCAAATGAAGACATAAGTAAGGGGCAGAATGCAATTCAAGTTCCCACTCTGTGACGTTCGAGACGAGACGCGCCCAAGTTGAAGCCGTGGTTTACGCGACGGAGATTCAAATACACAACCGACGTCGGAAGAAATTTGGATGGTATACTTCTTCTTCACTACCTGCCCATCAGTGAAGATGAAGGAAGGAAATTGAGAGAGCTTTGCAACCTTTCAAGCTGCGCAGCTTCCCTTCATTCTAACCTGCAGATGGCTGAAGTTGTTCGATTCAGAGGAGACAACGGCCACAGCCCTGCCAGGGTCCAGGCTGGTCTAGCCCGTGCGCGTGGTTGTCTTCTTCTCTTGAGGGGCCAGTGCCCCAGAGCTTACCCTTCCAAAACGTGCCCACCACACCGCCGAGGATGCAACCAGCACTCCCTTAATGCTGTTGCCGTCAGTGTGCTCTCACCGTCTTGTACGCGCTGCCCCCCAAAACTGAGGCATATTCTTGAAGCAGCTCGAGAGTCAACATATGTATATGATGCATCCTGTTCTGCAGCAGCACGCAGCACGCCAACTGACGAGCTGTCCCGGATGGGCTGGTGCCAGCCTCTCCAACAAGAGGGTGTAAGAATGTCCCTTTTACTTGCCGCTGGATACTTGGGTTTTGACAGTTGAGCCCTTATGAGTTAGACAGACATTTGATGTCGCTAAGCACAGACTTCGGGGAACCCGGGCAGCGTACCACCAACGTACAAGGAGGGCCTAGGGAAGTTAGGGATGAGTAATTCATACAGGTGACAGTTGACAACGAGAGGTGGTAGTCCCGTGAGTAAAGTTACAATTTTAAGATGACAGTAGATATTTGTGGGTATCAAGCCAGTATACGTATCCAGGAGTGCCAACCATCCACAACCGATCCATGCAAACAGTTCCGTTCCGTTTCTTAGTAGTTACCTGCTGGGCATGTTTCCCAAACTCCGAAAAGAAGACTTGATTCCGACCAGGCCCTCAAGCCTCTTCGACATTCTCACCAAACGGATAATTGAACTTCAACAATCCATTCAATCCGCCAACCCACGAATCATCATCGTCGTTCAAGCCTTTAGGATCTCCAGCCCTCGGCGTCCGAATCACACACGGCACGCCACCCCTCCATCCATCGGGTAACTTCTCCAGCTGCTCTCCCTCCACTCGGACTTCCATGCCTATGCTCACACCGACACGCCGTTTGCCGTCAATGCTTACAGGAAGCTCGCGCCCGCGGTTGCGTTTGCTGAGGCGCAGGGTGACTTTGGTGTGCAGGGGCAGCACCAGCGGACGGAAACTCAAACTGCGCGGGCTGATGGGCGTTATGAGCAGCGACTTGACGAGTGGGTGCACAATGGAACCACCCGCACTGAGAGAGTAGGCCGTGGACCCGGTGGGAGTGCTGACAAGTATGCCGTCGGCAACAGCTTCGGTAAGAAAGTGGCCGTTTATAAATATATCAATAATGGCCAGGTGAGGATGTGAGCCGCGGTCAATGGAAACCTCGTTGATGGCGTGCAGATACGGCGGGCTGAGGCTACTGCTGGCCGGGCGCAGGGACGATGGCGGGTTGACATTTATGGGGTCAGTCGGCGCACCAAGGTCGGGTTCGGCAGTTGAGGTTGGGATCAATTGCTCATTGATGTTGCGGCCCTGAGCGTCGTAGATGCCTACACGCAAACGATGCCGCAGAAGGATTTTGGAAGTCCGACTCGGACCCATGCATTGGCCGTTGCCCCGGACGCTGTCCCAGGCCGAGAGTGGAGCAAAGTCCGGCTTCGGCTCGGTGTCGGACTCTGCGGCCGTACGGGTGTGGGGGTCCAGGAGGTCCTCAACACCGACAGAGCACCCGCTCATGTAGCATTCCCTCCAGGCACGTTTATATTCCTCAAACTTCCATTCTCCAAGAAAACCTAATGTGCCCATGCTAAAGGCCAAGATTGGCGGCACGCTGTTGTGCATGGAAAACAGGCTAGCAGCTCGCAGAATGGTGCCGTCGCCGCCCATGGTGATGACAAGGTCGACTTTGCGAGCAAAAAGCATCGACACGTCGCTCGGAGCAGTTGTGTAGACTGGGAAGGGTAACGTTTCGTGGATGTCCTTAGCTATATGGCTCTCCAAGATCACATTCAGCCCTGGATAGTTGTTCGAAATGTGCCTCGCGAACTCGATAGCCCTTTTTGTGACTACTGGCGCGTGTAGTTTCGGCATGATTAAGATATTGCGTGGAGGTTGAGGCCAATAGAGAGATAGAAGCGACGAGCTTTTTGCCTGCTGGTAGTGAGGGATGATTCGGTCGGGAAGAGCAGCGACATCGAGGATTTGGTGACGCAAGGCCGTAACTGAGAAAAAGCGGCGCATCACCGCCGCATGAACGGCTTGGGGCCTTCTTCCTGAACGTAATAGGGGACCGAAACACAAGGCGGTCATGGCGTTGGTATTCAAGACCATGCTGAAGACACGAAAATGGGCGTAGTGGCAAGCTCGAGCTGGGATTGATGATTTCGACATGTCAACATGGTTGGCGATCGCAGGCGACTTCTAGTCGACGCGAACAGCTGAGGAGGGGGACGACAAGCAACAACGAGCTTTTCGCAACGTAGATACTCAGCCCTAGCAATTTTCAAGAATTCTAGGATCCCATTTGCCGGACCCACGGTAAGAAAACCAGGGGATTTTGGGCTTCAAACTATAGTAATGGAAGGGGAAGCTTCAAAGAAATCGAAAGTTTGAAGATAAGATCCACCATCACAGACTATTCCAGATCATATTAGCCAATGGGAGCGTTTCGATTACATGTAAGATACCTCGCCGGTTTGACTTCAATGATGCAGGAAGGTCCTACCTACCCTGGAGCACGTACAAAACTGCGTAGGTACGTCCGTCCAAGTTCCTCGCTTGAAAGCGTTGTACGCATACCGGATGTCCTTTTCACTAGTATTAACTGAATCCAATGTGTTGATAAGCTCTTTTTATCCTTTAAGTTACGTTGCCTTCGGATGATTACGTTCTTCAAACCACGGTTAAAAAGATGCTTCCTCTTTCCGCCTACCTAGGTACCTGTAGTTGACACTGGTCGGAATCGGCTTCCCAGCTTCGGCAGTCAACTGAGCCACGGTTTGTCTTGGCGCAGGGCTCCGCAACTGGGCACCCGGTGGTGAAAGGCGGGGGTATCACCCGGTCCAACTGAGCCCGCAGAGGGAGGACATAAGGCCTGCAGTCACGGCATCTACGGATCTGTATACTACCAATGATACATAGAAGTGGTTCACATGATCCATCGTTTCCACGGTTGGTTTCTCTATGGCCATAAGGTCATCAGCGGTTTAGCACCTGTGCACATGAACAGGTGGGTAGATGTAAGCAATTCCTTAAGGCCGCAAAAGGTTGCTCGTGGTCAGTTGCGAACTCCACCAACCGCTGTTTCCATGTCTCAGTTCCATGGTCAAATCTTCCAAGCTATGTGCCAAACCAACAAAGTGTAATCAGTATTTGGTTTCCGATATAACGACCGCTTCGGTTGACAATATATCGATGCCGAGTTACCTATGTGTTAACGCAATGTTAACCTACGTACAAGACTACGACGTTAATGTGCTCTTAGATTACCTTGGGTACTAAGTACGTTCTCTAAGTACCTAGGTAGGCACCTACCTACCTACCTAGGTACTTATGCTAAGCAGACCATATCTTGCAGAAAATTTCGTGCTAGGTTTTCTGAAGTCAGGTGCAAGGCACCCAATATGCCTAAATTAAAGCGATTTCTGGCCACCATTACAGCAGGATACTCTAGCAGATTTTAGCTGGAGGGCTTGCTAGGACGGTTTACAGGACGATTCACGAGATAGATCATGGATGCAGAGTGTGCTGGCCCCACTCGCCCCAGGCCTATGGTTGCCTGCATCTCTTGCGCGCCTTGGATGTCTCCAGCAGCCAACACCATTGGCTCAGGTTCAATAACCGGGACTTCGACATCTAAATGACCACTTCCCTCACTTTTTGATTCTGGTTTTTCTGCTGCGCATTCTTTTTCCTCACTCATATTGTATAGCTCCCTGTTATCACCTCTTAACGCCGTCTTCGCCGGCCGACCCCGACCCTCGTTTACGCAATCTTGGCATAATGGCTGCCGAACTGCGTCATCGCGCGCCGACCCAGCCATCCGAGAGGACTGACAACACCGCTCTGCCCTCCGACCTGGGTCCCAGCCCTCACCCCTCGGGTCGGAGAAAGCACGGCACGCTGGTTCAAATAATCAGAGGCGTTTCGGTCACTGTATACTTCGTTGTTTGCGCAACCACGTATGTATACCCTCTCGCTCTTGTTCTGGTTTCCGTGATGGCAACATCTCTGGCTCTGGGCTAACCTGGAGAGTCCTTGATACTTACAGGATCCATGCGACTCAGCTCATCGGTTCCCCGCTCTACTGGATCAATCGCGACCTCTACTATGCCTACATGTCCCTCACTAAGCGGTCCTTTGGCCTGCTCATCACTACAATGACCCATTGGTGGGGTGCCACGACCATTCGCATCAGCGGCGATGCCTCCGTGGCCGATCAGATCAGAAAAACAGAAGATGGTCTTGTTGAGTTCTCCTTCCCGGAGCGCATTATCATGATCGCAAACCATCAGATATACACGGACTGGCTTTATCTTTGGTGGGTCGGCTATGCTAACTCGCCCAAGATGCACGGCTTCCTCTATATCATTCTGAAGGAGTCACTCAAGTATATCCCAATCATTGGGCCTGGCATGATGTTCTACGGTTTCATCTTCATGTCGCGCAAAATGGCCACCGACCAGCCCCGGCTCGCCCATCGCCTCGGCAAACTCAGGACACCCCACGCAACCCCCGATGGCAGAAAGTATCTCGACCCTATGTGGCTGCTTCTGTTTCCTGAGGGCACCAATAGTTCGAAAAATGGCCGTCAAAAGTCCGCCAGATGGGCCGAGAAGATCGGGGTCAAGGATCCGGAGCATGTGCTGCTCCCCCGCAGCACCGGCACCTATTACTGCCTCCAGGAGCTTAAGGGCACGGTCGATTACATCTATGACTGCACCGTGGCCTATGAGGGCGTCCCGTATGTTCCCCATGCTATGCGTCTTAGAAACAGTCTCGTACTAACCTGTTTCCCTATAGACGTGGCCGGTTCGGAGAGGAGATCTTTACCATCGGCGGCACCTATCTTCGCGGCCAACCTCCCAAGTCGGTCAACTTCTACTGGCGCCGCTTCCGCATCGCCGATATCCCCCTTGCCAACCAGGAAGAGTTTGACATGTGGTTGCGCGAACGCTGGTACGAGAAGGACGCTCTCATGGAACAGTACTTGACAACCGGCCGTTTCCCTCCGACGCCTGCCGTTGATGGCGCCGACACCAAAGGCCAAGAGGGAGGTTACCTTGAAACCGAGGTTCGCACGAAGCGCTGGTATGAGTTTCTTCAAATTTTCAGTGTCATTGGCACAGTGAGCGCGCTGGTCTGGACTGCACTTCAGTTCAAGACCCTTCTGGCCTGGTGAAAAAAACGAGGCTGCGCTATCTTACTGTGGCCTTGGCTACCAGTGACAACACAACCTACAGCTGCATACGCGATATGTCCTGCGAGATACCCCACTCTGCTGTCTTTTTATATCTGTGACCCACAATCGCCATTAGAGCTGGTGATTGGTTCTCTCATAACCACCTTTTGGACTATCTGGCGAGGCGTTTGCATTAATTCCCCCCTTCCCCCGCGGAGCCATCAGTGCACAAGCAAGCGCAACGATGTTTTTGGCGCACAAGGTTTCTTTTAATGCTAGGAAAGCCATGATTGGTCGGCAATTCAACTTCTCGATACCTTGGATATAGGCGTTTGGATGGAGTGGGCGGGCTTGGGAGCTTGTGGCCCGAGAGAGTTTGGGTCATCATGCTATTCTCAACAGGATGCTCGTTTCGTTGTTGCATTTTTATTGAGATATGTTATTTGATGTATTGTAAAACGCTCTGCAATGACTTGCTTCCTTGGATAACTGCATAGCGTTGACGTCAGAACCGGGCCATTAGGGTCTGGTTGCTACCCAACTAGCGCTGGAGTTTGAGCCCAATCAGCAGCCTGCCACGTCCCCAGTTTCGGCTGGAATTTCGCTGTCCACGTTTCATATTACTTTGAAACACAGGATGCCTGCGTGTCTGCCCGCAAGGGGAGCCTGCGATTTGGCTGCCGAACATCCGCACGGTTGAATATACTCCTCAGTGTTGTATTTATGAGGATAAACGGACCGCTTCCAGAATATGTCTCTGGAGCCATAGCCTCGGGTCCGGGGTGTAATTCAGGTTAAGTAGGTCGGCTTTCACCGCTTTGATTGCAAGGTGGGCCCTCCACATCAATCTGACAGGCCGCATCCAGAGCAGGTCCATCCCTCGATCTGCTTTCCGATCGACACGGCTACCAAATTTTCCGTCTTTGGTGTCGGGTCATGGTGATTCCGTGATCTATCCTTTCTGACTAGCTCTCCAAATGCCGAAGACTTGGCTGCGCTCAGCGGAATGTCGTGATATCCAGATTATTCACCATTGCTTCACGATCAGACTCCCTGGACCTGGACAGCGAAGGCTGGATCTTTACCGCCAAATGATCCGAGGAAGTCGTACCTTTTGCTGACCAGAGGTTGATACAGAGAACCTCTCTTCGGTGTTGTTTGTGGAAAATTCAGATGATCGCTGCCTAAACCGACGCTCTCATTTTCTGAACGCTCTATGACTGTAGGAGACTACCACATAAATAGGCACCAGTTCATGTACTCCTATCGTGGGCCCTACCGTCCGGAATCAAGGTTCAGCACCCGAAGGTCCTGGATTAAAGTGGAGCTTGAGCCGCGGTAAGTCATGAGTTTGTGAAGCTATAATGATACCTAACCCTCTGGTCATATATCGGGTTCTTGATCAGATTGCTAACGTTTTTGTTCCAGATTAACTATGAAGGCAGTGAGCACGCAGCCAAAGCTTGGTTAATGGTGTTGGTCATGTCTCGTCAATTCGAGCGCAGGGCCATCACACTATGCAAACCATAAGCTCGAACCTTAGCTTTCCAAATTTGAGTTTTAGGCACCTCCCCATCACAGCTTAGCGAAGTGGCAATAAGAGAGGAACCAAGATACAACAACTTGCACTTTGGTATTTATCTGTTGCTGTCGGTCTATTAAACCCTAAAACAGCTCTTGCTTCTGAGTTTTTGAAACATCCACACTTCCGAGCGCAAGATGCAGAACCTTCGGCGAACCTCAACAATGGACCCCAGCAAGGGTGGTACCCCGATGTCCTTCCCAGCAGTTGGGGGGACTGTTCAACCTGGCAGCGGCAATGAATCCTCTGGAGCTTCGTCAATGGTTCGGCAGGGGCCCTTCCTAGCCCTGACAGACAAGCCATGGAACAAGGACAAAGCCGATAACAAAACTGAGCCGAACAGTCCCCCGGTATCTCCAAAATCGCGGCCAGTGAAAGCAGCCGACTCAACTTCACTGGACCAGACACCACAGGCTACACACCTTAGACCTTCACGGTCGCCTTCCTCAACCCAGATATTTCAAAAGCCTTCCAACCCTAGTCAACAGTAAGCAAACTCTTCTAGGAGGAGCTTCACACTGCCCAATCCTCTTACTCTTGATGTTACGTTTAGAGCCGGCTAACGTTCATTTTGCTCTTTTGATAATGTTGTCAACAGACACGACAAGCCCTCCTTCTCTTTGCCACAATACTCTTCACCTCATCAATATCCCTCTTCTGGAGAATCCCGTGATCTCTCTCTGCGCCCCATGGGTCAGTCACAAAGTTATTCCAATGGCAGCCCCCATCCGACGCTGCCTTTTTCTCACCTTGTTGCGACCACGACTGGTACCATAACCACTCCTGGGGCTGCGGCACCCCTGAGCTTGCCAATGGCATCATCATCATCAGCAGCAGCAGAAGCGACTGATTCGATCACCATAACTACTACAACTACGACGACCACGACCACCACAACCTCAGATGGGAAAGTGACCACAGTGACAACAACGACAACCACAGTGACAACAACAACTACCACCACAAAGACCTCGACTACCGCAACCCAACTTGATACTTCGCCAAAAGAAGGCCGAAAAGTAACGATAACGACCACCACAACCTCCAATCCTGCCAGCGTCAACTCCAGTGCAAGCAATGCCGCCAACCAGAACCCCTCCAGTCCCAGCCCCAGTTCCAAAGTTAATACAAATGCCAGCACTATGAACGACACCAGTAAGCCCCGCAAGCAAACTCTCACCCTCAAGCCTGTACGCCGGCTACGAGCCAGGGCTGCGATGGCCCAAAATAACAACACCAGTAACAGCGACTCAAAGGATCAACCACCGCCCGCTCCTCCTCATGCTGCCTAGGCACTGGTTTTGGCCCGTTTTCTCAGTTCATCTCTGAGTCAAGGAGACAAGAGAACAAGTGAAAAGTGTGACCGGGGAGACGTCGATAGTGTGATCCCTTGTTTGGGGAGTACTAGCAGTATCTCACACAAAAAAGTCTACTTAAATGATTCAAAGAACACAAAATGATGTGCTGGCAATTTGCTGTTAGCTTTGTGCCCAGGTTAGCATGTGGGACTCCAGCAAGCCCGGAGTTGCTTTTTTTTCTGGATGAGTCTGTGATGAAGAAAAGGAACAGGTGAAGTCCGTGTGGTTTTTGTAATAACAGTTTGCCATGGACCACTGTTCTGTTCGGCCATCGTGGAATTTAAGGTGATTGAGATATATTCTATTGGATGTGACAGCATGGCAGGCACTAACGATCGCTGACTCTTTGGTTTTAGAACTGAGTTTCTATTGTCAATATTGTGTCTGGTTATTGCTTTTTTGAGAGGAACTTCCCGTTTCATTGAGGTTGCCTTTGACGACAGATCACGTTTTTCCGATGAGCGAACTTCGTTGACATCCATCTGTTGCTTGGTGCCAAAGACTTACGGATATGATGTCGAACTGTACTGACCGCCAGACAGTTGCAGGATAGCTGACTAAAAGACCTGTTATAACCGTGGGCATTGTTCTCCATTCCTCTCCATTCGACTTGTCAAAATCAGTGCCATCTATCTACAATCATCATCTCCTCCATTCCCGGATGGTGCTGAGCCGAAGAATGGGCAAGTTTGGCTTCGTCGGTTACCCAAATTATTGGGCCTGACTAGGTGTCTGTTAGCCCTTGCTGGGCTCGAGTTGTCCCTTGAGCTTCTTGTTGTCAAGGAGCTTTGACACTCTAAATCACTGGGTATCAAGCTCGAACCGATCATACAACCGTCCCTTCCTTGGCTTTGATGGCCTTTTTCACGCTTGAAGCCCTGCGATCCGTAGTATTGAAACTGGCAGACGCTCTCAGAGAATTGAGACATCGACTTACCTCTTGAATTATTTTTGCCGCCTTTACTGAAGAATTGAATTAGGACGCGGCTGGACATCCTTGTACGAGCACAATCTCAAGCACTTTTTTCCTCTGAAGGTTGACTAGAGCCAATCGTCTTCCCCTCCGTGAAGGAGCTCGTACCTTATCAATTTCTATCCTGAAGCATATGGTTAACCTTACTAAGTGGAAGGGCGAGCACCGATCTTCTAAAATAATGGCATAACAAGAAGGCAAACTAAAACCTCCAAGCTGAATCTATCCAATCGCCGTCTGCCGAGGTTTGTTGGAAACAGTAACTGTGCTGCACCTCTAGAATATTTACCTATGTTTGGAGCAACCCAGAGGTTATCCAATACTCATGAAGGAGCGATGTGCATGGTTGACTGAAGTGTCAAGGTTTGTGGTTCGAGCTAGCTCGATAATATCTGGCTTCAAACTACACTGATCTTTCACCTTAGGCTGTGCCATTACGTTATCCAGCAATCACCTGAAAGACATCTCTATGTGTTGCTTCAAGTTTGACTCGTGTTCGTTGATCCATCTGCCAGAAACCTTGCGGGTCAGAAAATAGAATGCCTAAGGATCACAACATGGTTGTGAGGAGCTGTATAAATGGGGTGCAAACAGTCAATGCCAAGTGATTATGTATTAACATTTTAGGCTTTGGGTTATTGATTTGTGAGCAAGTCAGTTACTATCATCATTTTTTTGAAATCGCATAAGACGGCTGTTCTGGATGCCGGGTAATTCCATTGGCTTAATATCATATCGTTATCCATCTCATGCCCCTTTAATTTCCGGATACCAGAAAAAGCGAACCTTGAAATGTAGATATATTAAATCTGTGATATAAAACAGACAAGTCATGTCAATAGTTGCACAGAGCCTACAATGTATATTCAAGCTCCAGAGAATGGAAGACTCTTAGTTGATGTATCCTGAACTCGCCGTGTCTGAATGCAATCTATAAGGATATGATGATGTAGCTTCTTATGACCTACCATGATGAACGTTTGCAGTGTTTGACAGCCCGTAGGCTGATGGTAAATATTTCTGCTCAGCCCTAAGGCTTAAAGCCAAACGGTATTGTGTTTCAGGCTGGACAATATTAATTAAGAAATCCCGGCAAAAGCCACTATGATCTGATCACTCCGCCGCTTGCTCCGAAGAGATCAATTGAGCAGATCCAAACATTTAAGGATGGAAAGATTGCCATACGATGTTAAAAATGAAATAACGCCATGGCAATTGTCCTATATCATCTATCACCCAGCATCCGAGCCGGTTGACAAGAATAGGCAAGGTCACATCGACTCCCTCAAATCCATAGGGCCTACTATTTCCTTTCTTCACACCCATCAGCACGTGTATATCTTGAACAGTGTGCTTCGGATGTTCCTCCTGGAGTCTCAATCAGCGATTTTGGACCTGAGATGCATACTAATACACGTTTCTACCTAGACAGAAATTGCTGGGTTCGTATAACGCATGGGCTCTTCATTTTCCTCAATGTTATTGCTTATCTCCTTTTTTTTAGCTTTACTGGGGTCCGTGGTCCCATCCCAAGTGTCACAACTCGACGAGACGAATGCCTTAGCAGACTGCTTGACTAAGGTTTCCGTACCAGTTGATGAGCCGGGATCTAAAGACTGGCAACTCGATGCCACACCATTCAACCTGCGACTCCATTATACACCAGCCGCCGTGGCGGTTCCTACGACTGTCAAGCACATCCAGGACGCAATTGCTTGTGCACGCGAGGTTGGAGTCAAGGCCAATGCAAAGTGCGGCGGTCACAGTTATGGCTCGTTTGGACTTGGTGGCGAGGATGGGCACCTGGTAATCGAGCTGGATCGCATGAACAATGTTTTCTTGGATACAGAAACCGGTATAGCAACTGTCCAAGGTGGTTCACGCCTTGGTCATGTTGCCTGGGAGCTATACAACCAAGGGAAGAGAGCCTTTAGTCATGGGACTTGCCCCGGGTAAGTGCGGACCTGAGAGCTTAAGGGTGTCGCTGGTGCTCGCCGTGCTAACAGAAATAAAAAAGTGTTGGTGTTGGTGGACACACACTACATGGAGGATATGGAGTCAGCTCTCACACCAAGGGACTAGCCCTGGACTGGCTAGTTGGAGCAACGGTTGTGTTGGCCAACTCCAGCGTTGTCAACTGCTCAGCAACTGAAAATCCGGACCTCTTTTGGGCTATTCGAGGCGCAGGAAGCTCAATGGGGGTTGTGACCGAGTTCCGCTTCAAGACCTTCGAAGTCCCTGAACAAGTAACTTACTTCATTGCTTCTGTTCCATGGACGACAGAGACAAGGGCACGGGCTGGCCTCAAGGCTGTCCAAGAGTTTGCTAAGACCATGCCAACAGAACTAAACATGCGCATGTTCATTGCCAGCAGATTCACCAACCTTGAGGGACTCTACTATGGAGATAAAGAGGGCTTACAGGCAGTTCTAGCTCCACTGCTAGAACAAACAAACGGAACTCTGGCGCTAATCAGGACGGGAGGCTGGCTCGATCAGGTCAAACACTTTGGTAACGGAATAGCTATCGATCAGCAACATGGTTATCAAGAGGTATGTGACGATTATATCATCCATGGAACGAGGGGAGAGTTGTGCAGTTACATCCAGAAAAGAGTTGCTGACGACTGCGGCAGCATGAAACCTTCTATTCAACTAGCCTTTACACCCGTGAACTCAACGACGCACAGCTGAACAAATTTGTCAGCTATTGGTTCCAGCATGCCAAATCCAACCGCCGTGACTGGTATGTACAAATTGATCTACATGGAGGAGAGAACTCGGCGGTGGCCAAGCCAGATCTGGATTCGACGGCCTATGCACATCGTGACTTCTTGTTTATGTTCCTCTTCTACGATCGCGTTGATCAGGGAGTGGCATACCCTTTTGATGGCCACACCCTCATGCAGAACTTCGTCCACAACATCACTGCGGATATGGATCAGGACAATTGGGGCATGTATATCAACTATCCCGACCAGAACATTGATCAAGACTCAGCACAGCGCAATTACTGGGGTAGGCATCTTACAAGGCTACGAAAGATCAAGAAAGAGGTGGATCCCGACAACCTCTTCCATTATCCTCAGGGTGTGTTGCCAGAGACTGAAGAGTGAAACTACAAGTTACTGGAGTGCAGAGGCATTTGCGCAGCATTTTGGGGACCGTTTGGAAGCCCTCACCACTTCCAAGGGAAGTTGGCGTCACCATCTGCCACCAGTCTTTGCACGGCTGACAGAGGTTGCTAGTCACCCTGATGAAGGGTGCAACTTGAATGAATAAAGAAACTGAGTCATGACTTCACATATACTTGAAGACGCCTCGCTGCGAGTGATGTTTTCCATCATGGGGAAATGGTTTCGTGGGAGCCGATTATTAAGAGCCGGGGATAGGCAATGTAAAATACTGCCATCGAGCTACTAAGGCACTGCATCCGGAGAGCCTAAGGCAGATATAGTCGCAGACCAGCTAACAATCGTTTAGAACCAAACCTTGTTGATTGAGATATGAGAACATAGCAATGACTATGAGTACAAAAAACACCGGACAAGCCAGACGCCCTGGCAACAAAAACAGTCTCCATTCCGACGAGACTAAAAAATGATGACAAAAGGCCACATGTCTTCAAAGCATAATTTGGCCGATGATGAAGCCATTGCAGCAATAGTCTCCTTTGGGTTACTGTTCCTTTTAACACCGCCTTTAGTGCGGCGTGGGCTGGCTTTACTTCAAATTCTGCTGTTAACAAACGCTCCTGGCTCTTCCCTGGGAACGTCTCTTCAACCCAGCTGTATTTATCAATAAACTGCCACACAGTCTCACCCACGCACCTCTCCACATCCATGAAAGCTTCTACTGCAGCAACATAATCTCTCTCTTGAGCCTCTAGATCTTCCTAACTAGGCGGCAGTGTCGCATGTGCAATGTCGAGCTCCGTAATGATCACTTCAAAACCGAGGGCCACAAATTCATTCACCAAAGCTGCATCAATCCGGGGTGAAGTATGGTCAATGGTCAAGTGAGCTTGGAATCCAATACCGTGAGTGGGAGCTCCCGCAGCCTACACGGCATGTACGAGGTCTTTAGCAGCAGCCGCTTTGGAAGGAATGACTTCGAGATTGAAGTCATGGGAGCACAACTTAGCAACTGGGTCGGCTTCACGAGTAAACTGGAAGGACAGCGAGATATAAGCCTCTCCCAGAACTTCCAGAAAGTTGGACGTGCGAAGAGTTTCATCATCGTTAAGAGCCTTGTTCACCACGTCCCAAACATAGCAAAGCCCCTTGAAATGGCCAACTACTGTCTTCATGTCCGCATCCAGTAGCGCTGTGGGGGTCGTAGGCGTCCAGCGCTGCTACGAACTGGTAGCTGACAGTTAGCCCGCAGGACGATAGAAGCTGAGAGCGACAAATTTTCAAGCCATTATTTAGTGAAGGAAGGTAACACATTCTTGTTTGTGATGTGTAGGCAGTGTCGTTGAGATTTCTGGCTTCCAAAGAAGTTCCATAGTTTTTCTGCTTCTACAAAAAAAGGAGCGCAGACCCTTGGTGTTATTGGTATGGTCTTATGCTGATATCGGCTTGTTGGGAATAAGCAGTAAGCCCACAATAATCAATGTAGTTGGGTTTAGTCGTGCCATCGTGACTTGCTCTGAGCAGGCTCGGGTCCATCTTCCAGTTTCCATAGTAATGAATGATCCAATGAAATGATCTGACATACTTCGACAACGGAATTAGACAGGTATTGGTAAAAGTTAAAGGATCCGTTTCCAGATCTTGCCTCCAGTTCTTCTTCCTGTATATTAACCTAAGCCTGTTTGAGTGACTCATGCAACCGCTTGGACCTAGCCAAACACAACCTCTGTATGTATGCTCATATAGTGTATATAATAAAGGCCAAAGTCCATTTATAACCCTGCAGTGACTGCGCAGGGATCATGCAAACAGCAGGAAGATCTCTTTCCACTGTGACACGTCGGTGACACCCAGAGTTTGTGTTCCGGATTTTGATGATGAATGACAGAGCTTTTTGTAGGAGTGCACAGGAGGCTATGTGTCTAAGCAAATGTTTCCAACTTATATTGGTACAATATCGTAAAAAAAGCTGGATCTATTTCGATATCTTGTATGACAGTCGCCAGGTGACTTAAGGGTCTGGAGGCCCCCCTATTAGGTACCTATAAGTGGATGCCAAGGACTGGTCGGGCAAGGCTTCATAACGAAAGCTTGATGTACCTACCTTATCATACATACACGTGTACAGGCAAGGAGGTGTATCCAGTATGAGTTGGAGCATCAGAGGAAGGAGAATGACAAGTGTTCTTGGGAATAAGACTACTCCATGGTATGTAGTCGTTCATCTTGATTTTTTACAAACTAATGCTGAAGAATGGTCCGATAAATATCCAACAAAGTGCGCAAGTTTCCATAAGTAGGTAAGTAGTGTAGGGGATGTAACGTTTGATGTTGTAACTCACAACTACCACGCGAAATCCCCTTAATGTCTTGAGTTTCAGCCCCGCGCGATCTCCTATCAACGCTGACAAAAACCACATACGGCCACCAGACCATGATATTGAGACTAAGAACCAAATGACATGTGGAAGATGTACCCGGTGACATACAGAGGGCCAAAATAAAAGTGCGTGGTCCGGGTTTATAAAAGTTCTGGTCATCGTTGCCGGCGTCTAGTAGTTGCCCAGCCGTAGATGGCAAAACGGTGACAATGTTAATGACTATCAATTTTACTGGGGATATATGCGCAACCAAAGGGATACCGCTGAAGGATCATGAAGACGAGATCCACATAAACCATCGACACCAGAAAATGCTATTCATTAAGTCAACCCATCCGCCTAAGTCCACATAAGACTCGGGCCTTTTGCAACAGTAAAAGTATTATTCCCCTCCCATCAGTTTTACCAACTTCATGCAAAGCGAACCTCTTCAAAGAGTCCTGCCCTCACTTGCACCAAGCCTGCTAGCTCAAATAAAAATGATTGCAGGATAATAACATTTGTCAAGATGTGTGAGACGGTCGCTGTCTTCTCTTCTCCCTCTCCCTCAGCGTTATCTTCCCCTTGGGAAGTGTTGGAACCCCTTGGTTCGTTGTCCGGCTGCTCATCTTCGGATGGGGCGAGTAACGCGTCTGCACCTGCCCCATCTTCGCCTTTATCCTCTTCATCAGTGTTGGAGAATTCCTCATGAGAAGCATGTGAGGCTCCAAAGCGGTCAAAGTTCAGGACAACTGGCTCAACTTGTTGTCTGCCACGAGCTTCTGCGGCGGAAGTCCTGACAGTCTTAGGGAGGCCAACACGTCTCGATAAAATAGTTTGATCTAGAGCCTGGAAAGCGCGAGCTTGACTTTCGATAATTGGATTGAGGCTATGAGGGATATTCAATGTGTTTTTGGCGACGTTGTGGTCTAAATCCAAAGGAGGACTTGGTGCTGGACCTGCTGATGTGTACGGCCTTGTCTGGCTTGTCGATGGCGTGCGTAATGGAGACTGGTTCGCCCCAAGAGGAGTTGGCACGGACCGGTCAGACCGCTTGGAAGAAACAGTCTCCCGACGGCCACGTGGGCTGCCCGACCGAGTGGGAGTGCTTATTTCGGACCATATACGCTGAGCGAAACTCTCCAGGCCAGACGGTCTTTCTCGCGATACATTGCGGGACTCTTCAGTTGCAGAGCGATCTATTGCAGAAGGTGCACCTGCTCCCCGAGATGGTAGTGGCTGGCTTACACAATCCGCGATCTGAAACGCTTCTCGACGTTGCTGAAGAAGGTCATCAAAACGAGGAACTGTTCTCCGGTAGGCGGCAACCTGATCGCAGAGTGTTTGAAGGATCTTGAGTAAACGTGGAAGACTTGATTGGATCCACCTCGGGCGACGTCGACACTCTTGCATCGACTGAAGCTGCTTGTACTCAATGTATTCCTGAGAGTCCGGATCGAGAGGAGGATCTGGAAGAGGAGGGCTAGTATCATCTTCCTCATAGACGTAGTTTTGAGGATGCCGCAGGAACCACCCTTCAAGATGCATATATCCACAGGAAGCCAAGTCGATGATAGCGTCAGTTAGAGCGAGATTGATCTCGACAGGATTCACAAAAAAGGTCTCAAGGCGGTCGAGGACAATGTTAAGTAAGGGATCGCTTGGATGCAATGTGTGAGAGCGAACATCTCGTGGGGCCCCGGGGTGTGTGTCTGGAATGGGTGGCAGTTTGTGGTTGTAGGTTGAAGTTTTTGGCGTGATAAGCTTGATGGAGCAGGGGTGGTTCTCCAACCGCACCATAATATCCTTCAAGATGTTGTCGTACATTTCTTCAAAGTTATCCATACCGCCAATGGTTCCAGCTAACGTCATGAAGTACTCAACTTCCTGCTGGTGGGCGCCTGATGTTCGGTTGAGGGTTTCATCTAGCACACCTTCCGTATAAAGGAGAGTGATGACAGCGTATCGATGGTGCCTCTTAAGGATCACCGATACTAGTTGGAGCGTGACGTAGACAGTTTGGTTGTTCTGCGAACGAAGACAAGAAAGGATTAAATCCACGAGGTTAAACAACAGCGGGTCTGCTGTTGAGCCTCCTTTAGATGCCATCATGGTTGCAAGGTCCAGCGACTTGCGTTTCCTGGCAGCACTCACGCTATCCTTGGACTCGGAGTTCACGGAATTTACAATATCCGGTAGACCGAGCAGATAGTGGAGGATCAGGTTCACCATATCGGGATGATCAACTGACTCTAAAATTCTGCGAAGATAGGTCAGAACGGCTACTGACGAGCCGCCATCGATGTCGGAGGATTCGAGTAATGAGGGATATCTGCAAGGTTGGTAAGCCCAAGACTCGAGAGAAAGAGCAGCAAAACATGGACCTACAGCAACTGCTGCAAAAATATGACTTGAAAATGCTCCAGTAGTGTGGACTTGACTTCGACCGAGCGACAATGGTTCAGGACATCTTGCCAGAAGAGCAGGTGGGAGAGAAATGTGTCTAAGTGTGTCTGGAATTCAAAGGAACAGGAACTGGTAACCTCGTAGCTCGTCTTGGGATGCTGGTAGTCGGAGAAAGCAAGAACAGGAGGAAGCTCGTTGGCTGGGTGGTCGATGACGAGTTTTCGACTCAGCTGACTGTATAAGGCACCCAGGCCAGTGGCCATGATGGTGGCCAGGTCGCTTTCTACAATCCACTGTTCCAGAGACACGGATGTCGACGCAGCCTCGACAATATACAGCAGGCCAGTCCTGGCAAAATCGCCGATTTTACCTTCATGGTGGATGTAATCGACGAGAAGGTAGAACAGGGGGAAGTCCTGCTTCTGTGTCCGGCCAGCGAACTTCTCGCGGTCGTCTAACAGTCTGGCGTCCGGGGATCCGTGCCTGTGCGGCTTGAACCAGGCAGGAAGAATCTCCGGATTGAGGCGTATCTTAGTCGTGATGTTGAAAGCCAGTTCAACAACCCGAGCTTCGGTATCATGGCCGAGGCGGATGCTATTGGGGCCTGTGATACGAATAAGGAGGTTTGTCAAGCTGGCCGAGAAATGGTCGTTCTCAACGAATGCCTCCTCTTCACTCTCCACAAGCGTTGCAAAGAACAGCACGGCCTCTTTGATAACCCATTGATTGAAAGAGCTGGTGGCAATCTTTGCAACGGGGATGTAAACCTGTTTAGCGGCAGCAAACGCGATGCATGGATGGGGGAGTGGACGGCGAGACTCATCGCTGAGAAGACTCGTAAGCTCTTGAAGGCGAATCTCGATGTATTCTGCGGCCTCGTCGTCTTGGGCTAGGTTGGAAGAGGTCCGCCATGCGTGCTGGTAAGGGCGATGACAGTTAGCACAGGGAGGATGGGCCAGAATGGCAGCAACCAGTTTGGTGATTTGAACGCACCAGGAGCTGAGTATACTCTTTCTCGAAGCGGTACAGGCGGCGGGTCGGATCTTTTGCGAAGTCCTTGCGGGAGCTTGCAGACGATAGCGGCGTATGTGCTAGGAGGCGCAACCACTGTGCAGTCGATGATGTTAGCGGTTGAAGCCCTTGTATGCTTGCTTGCTTCAGCCATAGCTGCCCGACTGGATACATACAAAGTCCATGGCGAAGTTGGATTCATATCTAATTTGAAACCAAAACCAAATTGCACGTTTGGCAGGTAAACAACAGTTGGCAAAAACGTTGGCTAGTAGGCTGTGGTCTCTTTTATCAAGCTACCAGTGTCTCGAGTCATTGATGAACCACATAAATGCCGTGGTCCAGATGTCGCGGCACAGGAAAATCGCCCATGCCCTAGTACGCTCAGTTGGGCCGTTGGGTGTGTCCGCAACAGCCCCTGGCCCTCGTTCTGCTGGCAGCTGCATGGTGGAGCGCGGCCCGCTGCTGCCCCCACAATTCCGCACCAAACCTGGATTAGATCAGTGGAGTTCTGCGTGGTGCCCAACCCCGCGTCCAAACCGAGGAAGGGTCGCTGTCGTCACATGAAGCATCTTGCCTTTTTAGCTTTCTGGCTATAGCTCATGCTAGCAGCGTAACAGTCACTGCATTTGATCCCCAGATGATGAACGCGACATAAAGGAGTTTTCAACCTTATAAAGGGTGAATATTCCGGGGATTTTCGAGTATTTTCCGCGCCGCTTCTTAGGCGGTGGGAAGTCCAGTTAGTAGCCTACGGATCTCTCAAATTTCATGCCCCCAGTTCACACCAATGCTTGTAGGGAACAGTTGCTTCCGGAATTGTCGTTTACTGCTGTTTATCGCATACCATATCCCTCTATCTACCTAGCTGTGCCTACTCAAGTTCCTAGATTCTGGAACACAACACAAAACTGCTGAAGACAAAAGCTCTTGCTGGCGGTGTGGAATCGGCATCCAGAGCATCTGATGTCTTAAGGTCCACATCGATGTCTATACGTTTGGGTCTTCAATAGACTTTCAACACCGCTCTATCTTTCCAACGTCTACTTAAATGCAAGTGAGGCGAATCCAACAACAACACTCTTGGCCCAACCGTGTCCAATTATGGATTCGTTCTCTATCCATTATGATGATACTTTTTGAGCCCGATATTGTCTATATGGACAAAAGAGGGCCGCCCTATTACGATCACAAAGCCATGCGAGATTCTCCCTGATTAGATGAGCTAAGGCTCTCCGTAACAATTGAAAGCCTTTGTGCAATCAGTTTTTGTTCTTGCTGGCCCACGAATTCCATCCAAGCTATGTCAACTGTGCACAACTCGTTGAGAACATGTCCTCAAGGGCATCCACAGTATAGCTAGGAGGCAATTTAATGTCCAGGTCAAGAGATAGTCGGGGACATGACATATCTGATGCAATTTAGGCAGTTAAGCAATTACGACGAGTTTAAACTTGGGCAAATGTCTGGATATGAAAGTTCGGATTCGATTACACAGCTACTTGGGCAGTCCTCTTCAGTCGGAGTGAGCTAGTAAACGGGCCGGCCGATCGTTAAACTTCATTGATCTTGAGCACATTGAAAATGCTCCAACAAGGAAATCGATATTTATCAGTAATTTAATCCAATCTTGATTGCAAAATACCATGCATCTGCGACCTTATAAGGAAAGGGTTTGAATCCGTCGCAAGTACCTACTTGGTGAGGCTCACCACTCCTTAGGTAGAGGGGTTCGGCGTTCCCGATATCGCTTATCGTAGTGCCCTGACCCCTCCATGCTGCCCCACCACGTTGTTTCTCGAACTTTAATAAACTGAACCCCTGGCTGAAACGGGTTGCTTGCTTGGACAAAAACTCCAGATATCCCACGGCAGTGTATAAAAATGATGGAGCACGATCCAAAGCTTCGTAAGTAACACTTCCTGCAGCCGGGGTCCGTACTAACTTCAGTCTTGCAGCTGCATATTCCACGGGTGATCCCAATTCGTTTGCTTACTCTACAGCGCGGGAACGGTGGCCGATCATCCTCGTGCGCTTCCCCAGCCTCGAACGTGAAGTTCCCGGACGTTAACACTATACCCTGATGTAGACTCAAGCAATTGATGATGTCTATCGCACTGTAGCCAACTGTGACGATGCCGCTCAGCGCGATGAAGGCAAAAAGATTGTAGCTGAGCTTGCCCAACTCAAGTACGAGGTTCAGCACGACCGCGCTCTTACGTTAGTTCTCACCTTTCCAGCCAATTTTGGAGATCAGCCAGGACAGTGTTTCTGAACAGAAGCTGCACAGTCCAATTCGAGATGATGGGTATCCAGATGTTGCTATCTACAATAAGGAGCTTGAACAGCTTGGGCCATTAACGTGGTTAAGGGCCCCTTGGCTGTTCACCGAGTGCTACCTCTTCCGGTAAGTAATTTTTCACCTACGGAACTTCAAAAATTATGTTACTGACACTCCCCAAGGCGAATGAGTACCTACTTCACTCTTTCTCAGCGTTGGAAGAACTATGATGTATTTGCCCGACAAAAGATCAAGACCTTCCGGTCCTCGCGTCCGGCCGTTCTCGAGCTCGCAGCCCGCTACAAGGAACTTATTACACAGATGCGCACCAATAGTGAACATAACCCTGAGGCTGAGAAGCTTATTTTCATGGAAATGTGCGAGGTTTGCCTTTGGGGTAACGCGACTGACCTCTCACTCCTGACTTCTCTCACTTACGAGGACATCCAAAAGCTTCAAGGCTCTGAGGCTCGCCGCAAGGCTGAGAAAAACGTTCTTGTCAACGAGCTTCCAGCCGTTTATGCTCACCTCCTTGCGGCCAAGAACGATCCGGCCAAGGCACATCGTGACCGTCGCGTGGATATTGTCCTCGACAACGCGGGATTCGAGCTATACGTTGACTTGATCTTGGCGGGTTACTTGCTGTCAGCAGGACTGGCTACAACGGTCGTCCTTCACCCCAAGTCGATCCCATGGTTCGTGTCGGACGTGCTGCCTAGCGATTTTGCAGTACTATTGAACGCACTGGCAAATCCGCGTAGTTTTTATGAAACTCCATCTGAAGACGATTTGCTGCAAAATAAGCAGCCAGAAACGCTGCGAGATAAGGAGATTGAAGAGCTCGAGTTCCTATTTAGTGAGTGGAGCAAGTTCCATGCCGAGGGAATGTTGGTTTTGAGGCCAAATCGCGTGTGGACAGGTCCAGGTTGTTTTTGGAGGTTGCCTGCTGAAGCTCCCAACGTTGTTGAGGATTTCAAAGAGTCAGAGCTTGTTATCTTCAAGGGCGACTTGAACTATCGGAAACTGGTGGGGGATGTCAGCTGGGATCCAACGACTCCGTTCACAGAGGCTCTTGGTCCTCTTGGCCCCGCATCGGGGATTAATGTGCTGGCGCTGAGAACTTGTAAAGCGGATGTTGTGGTTGGACTACAACCAGGAAAAGATGAGGAGCTGAAGCAGATGGAGGGAGGAGGTGGCACTTCGGGGGCTAGGAAATGGGCATGGAACGGCAAGTGGGCTGTCATGTCGTTCTCGAAAGGATCTTGAACATGCAGTATCCAATGAATTATACTGAGAAGGCACCATAGTTTGGAAATCAGCATGATGAAAGTTGAGCAACTTGGACTTCGCGGTGCCAACAGCCCTACTAGAAACGCAAGGCGATAGTACCAGCTTCTCTAATCATTGTTTAGCTGTTAGGCACTCCACATTTCTCCCAAAGATATGCTACGATGCATTAGTACCTTACCTAAACAAGAGGAATAATAAACTTCTACTCGTTTGCTGTGATATGTAGCATCATGTAGAGCGTCTTGGGATGAAGGGGCCAACAAGTCGAAACCCTGACTGTGTACCAAGTTTTCGGCTGCGATAAGATAAGTGATAAGATACGGATAATGTAGGGCTGTGACAACGTTGCTAAAACAGTCCAATAATCAAGCTGCCCCCGTTAAGCGCCACCGATCTGCACAGCGTGGCACTTCGCGGTCGACAGTCTTTCAGCCGCATAAATCCTTTGCAGACACTAAGCAAAGACAACTTTTGTGACTGGGCATCAATCATTTTCTTTGCTATGCTAGTCACCAGGTCTCTACGGCGCCTGTTAGCGAACAAGTTCTGGATCTCTATTCGCCTTCCTTCATCGTGTGCCTTCCATCCACCACATCAAGAACTGCATCTTTAGTGAAGTTCCTTGCTCGTTCACGCCATGTCCGACCTCGATACATTCACATTTATTCCTCTCCATATCGACCCTAAGTCGAAAGCAATCAGCGCAGCACCAAATGCGCTTGGCACTCCCTCCGCCAATAAGGCCCTCGAAACCGAACTGGCTGCCCTCAACGCTCTACATCGCGCTTTGCACACACAGATTGAGGGCCCTATTCCCGTACCGCCGCCCCCTGTTCCTGTGAATCCGAAGCGGTCAGCCAATATCAACAAGCTTCGAGAATCAGGAAATGCCGAGTACCGCAAGCAACGCTATGGCGATGCGATCAAACTGTACACTTTGGGTTTACAGATGGCGTTAACGCGCCCAGCCTGGGAGCCAGCTGGCCTCGTACGTGATGAAATCCACCAGTTGTATAGCAACCGAGCACAAGCGTACATGCAGCTGGGGCAGTGGCCCGAGGCTGCCGCAGACGCAGAATGCAGCGTTGAAGCGAAGCGACAAGGTAATGCGAAGGCCTGGTATCGCAGAGGGAAGTGTCTTATGGAAATGAGAAGACTACAGGAAGCACGGGAGTGGGTTGCCAGGGGCTTGGAATTTGAAGGTGAAGAAAAGGAGCTGGCCGAACTGTTGAAGGAGATCGACAGCAAGCTGGCGGCCGAGAAGGCGAGCAGAGATGCCTGAACAGAAACAGAGCTTCTTGGAAGCGTTCAGCAGTGGCTCTTTGCAGGTGCTGTTTTCAATTTTGGGAGTATGAGGTGGGCAAGCGCAGCAACATAAACTGTAGTGTTTGCTATGGTTTGGCCATTCAAATTTTTGGACGGGCGTCTGGAGTTATGATTATGGGAGTGTAATAGTAATAAAGACTCAACAGGCTGTAAATCACGCTAATTATGGAACTATGCACCTGCCCCCTCCAGTTTGTCCTTTCATCCCTGCTGAAGGATATGGCGATGGGATTCGAACCTCCACACTGATAACTCTCGGTGTCAAATAAGCTTCCTGCAGCCTATGGCTCAGGTTTCTCGGGTTTCTTTCTTAACTGCCATAAAACTTGCTCATAACTTGGACCCAAGTTGCCAGAACGATAGATATTACCAGACACAAACAGCAAAATAATGAAACAAGCAAACAGGACATGACCCGTGATCGGAACCAACCATACTCTATCCTACCCATCACCTTCTCGCGGACGAATTTCCCAGAAAGTATACCTGTAATCCCTCCAGCACTCTCAGAAGTTGATGCTGAGTGTATTGCCAATGCCAAATGAGATCAGAACACGAGCACTGGTACGCTTTCCCCACAATCGTCGTCGATCCGGGCCTCATCGGTGCGATCACATTCCGAATCTCCACTGGATATCCATCTGCTTCACCAGATCCTCACACCTTCTCCTTCTTCTCGTTGACAACCTCCACCACCGACGGCTTCCGCGGCCGCATGACGGCATCTTGGCTCGTCATGCGCCGGGACAGTGCCCGCTCCAGCTTTGCGTTCAGAGCTAGCCGCGCCAGGTTCTCGCGTTTTTCCTCGTTGAGGAACACCCGCTGCTTATCCTCCAACGGCGGGTTCTTAAGGCGCTCCAGGCCGTCGACGATCGGCCGGATCTCTGGATCGAGGCTGCCCACCGATGGAGCGAGCGACGGGGTCATGCTATAAGTGCTAAGCCGAACTGACGCGCGATTCTGTGATGCCGAAGACGGGGACTCGTTAGTCAATGTCGGAGGACTGGGAGACGATGACGTATGGGGTTCGGGGTCGGCTGAAGAAGAGTTGGGCATTTGAAGGGCTAGGTTCAGGTTTTTTGAGGGAACGGTGGAATCGGAAGTCGGTGTAGGGGGACGTACTGATGGTGCCATGATGGGGCGGGAAGAATCAAGTGAAGTAGGCATTTCAGTTGCTGCTGCTGTGCGCTGGAAGTCGGGCTGGTGTGCCTGCAAGGGCTCGCTTCGGTTTAGTTGGTGGAGGCGTCTCTAGAACTTGAAACCGGTGCTGGCCAGGGGGACAAAGATGGATTGAGATGAAGGAGCAAACGGCCGTGTCCTGAATTTGCTATTTTTTGTTTCCTGAGCGAAATCGGCTTGCTCAGGCTGCTTTGATCTCAGCGCGTCCTGGTGCTGACCCGCCTGGCGGCTCTTCTGGCTGTTGCGAGGATGGGACGAAAAAAACGGAAGATGGAAGGAGTAAGCTGTTCAATGTGGGACAAGGACGGGACCAAGCACGCGTTGAACTCATCCTCTGTTCTGCATATAACGAAGAAACAAAAGTATGGGATCGCTGCAAGCGTAAGAGAAACCCCAGCAGGCCGTTAGCGCGGGTGCATTCATCCAAGCCCTGCAGTTCAAAAAAGCGGGTCTCAGGGGCTTGTCCAAGCTGGTAAAACATGATCATGGGATACCAGCGAGGAGTGACCATGGTATGGAAACCTACCAATAAACGGAATCCATACCGAACTACCTCCGTAATTACCTGAACCTACTGACTACACCGCACTGTGCACCCATGTCTGTCTGAACAGAGCAGAAACTTCTGGGCTGCGACCCAACTGCGTATGGGCTGATCCTCTTGTCTCTCACTTGCTTTTACAGACATCCAAGTATCACCAACCTGCCTTGAAGGTTTTGGCCTGGATCTATTTCCTCCATTTCTTGTCTTACGCAGGCGTCCAGATTTTAACAGATAACCGGAAGTGTTTTCGTGACCCAGAACACCTGCCACTTATCTAAAGTACACAGTGCCTACCTTACGTTGTCGTTGTGGGCTTCTACAACGCAAACCATCAGCAGCGCCCAGAGTAATGTTCCGTGAGGATCAGGAGACATTGTATGCCACCAGGCTCGGAGCTGTCCGACCCTGCTCACCAGCATGTCGCTCAAGACCCTCCGCCCGTCCGTGCAATGCATGGTGTTTGCGATATGAATATTGGCTATCGAGAGATGGCTTGTCAGCATGTTCATCATGCAAGCCACCTGCACCGTCTGGACGGCTCTGCAGGGTGCGCAAGCAGAGCACGTGGCAGATGGAGTATCATCGGCCGGCTGCATGGGTTGACGAGTCAGGCTCAACAAACTTCTGGCTACTCAGAGAGATAGGTACTCTACCCCAGACCTCGACGTCGACCCATTTTCGGGAAGATGGCATCTCAATCCTGAAATGCTACAGAGACAGTATGGCGTCGCGGTTTCGACTGACAACGCGAACTTTGATGGGTTGGGTTCTACCTCTTCGTTAAGAAAGGCTGAGTGAGCCTAACTGTCCAGAAACGCGGGGCACTGTTGGTTGTGGCCCCCGCCTTGAACGCCACACAAGTTCTGGGCTGACAAAGGCCGCGCGATGTTTCCAGGTGACAGGACTACCTAGCCTGAGAGCCAATGGAAGAAGCAAGACTTTGCTTGTCCCCAAACATCTCGATTCGTTAGTTGATAACAACCGAGGACTTCTTGATATCGGGCAAGCTGCCATACCTTCCAGATGGAAGAGAATTCAGCTGTTCCATTATTTGTACAAGCTATAAGGTCCCGATAGTCCTGATTTCCGAAGCAAGTGTAGTCCATGTCGACAAGATAACCATGACTCGGTCGTTCGGGTTCCATGCTACTCAAACGCTCAGTTGTGTACGACAATTTTCTTCATCTGCTCTGGTCGCACTTGGAGACCTCTTTACAACCATGGAAGCCTCAGTTAAATTTCTGCATAAGTTTCTTAACCAAATATGTTTCATAGGTGGTCCTCGAGGGCTCTTACTCTGCCGTATCTGGAGCTGAACTAACAGCTTGTCCCCTGGATTGGTCGAAATGACTACCTGGAGTCCCCTGCCTGGGATCTCCTACACCACACTCACCTCGGATTGACTGTCTCAACTGGGCTTCTTTTACAAATTAGTCCTCCAAAAGGAAAGCCTGAGCGGAATTGAGAACTTCAAATGTCAATCCTTTTACATGACAATTGTAAAGTAGTTCCATCTGTCAGTTCTCCCTTCCCTGCTAACGTGCACTCGGAAGATACTTGTGTCAGCGGTGGACCGAGCCCTGATAGCTCAGTTTTGGAGTAGTTTGGCCAACTTAAAGCAACTGTGTGTTCAGCATCGTGGAGAAAAGGAATCAAGTTTCATTAAATCAGATATTTGAGATTGTTTGGTCCATATTAGTTTGGAGCACCCCACGGTAACTGTCAAACCTGATTCCTGCATTGTTCTATGCCATTTCCCAATTGTAATCTGAGCGCTTTGTTTTAACCTCAAGGTAACCACATAAAAAATTGGACAGGATTAATGGGTATCATCTCCCAGTTCTCGAATAACGTGAACTCCACGACACCTGCGCGAGTTATCGGGGCTAACAGCCACTGCAAGAACACCAACTTCAGAACAAACCCTGTTTTTGAGCATTAGGGTTCTTATTTAGCGGTATTTCTGTCCCTTTTTATGAGATGATCCTCTGATGTCCTTGTCCTTTTTCGACAACGCTCTTCCATCTCTTCCACTGTAATCCAGTGTAATGTTATAAGACGCCATTGGGTCTGTCGACGATGAACCCGAACTCCCGCCTTCACGAATGGCTTGTCGAGCCTTTCGAGATTCTTTTCCTTTCTTGCTTTCTTTTCGGCCGGATTCTCCAATACTAGGTGCTAAGCAAACAGTTAGAACCTGCTTAGCCCCAATCAAGTGAGATTCGAACTTGGGTTGGGCAAGGCGGGCAGATGGGTGTGAAGAGATATGACGCACGATAAAAGCGGATACTTACTCTCCTTGATGCAGTTGCGGCAACATCCATGATCGCACCTCCGAATCTCCTCCCACTCATTTGTCAATGGATTCCTTTCCGTTCGAGGATTGGACAGCTCATGCAAGCACCATCCTCCAGTGTTTTTCCCCCCACAATTGCAGCAAATCCAGCTCCCACCTCCTGCGTTGCGGAAGTCGCAATTCACCAACGGACAGTTCGATGTCACTGGCTGAGATGAGGCAAAGGTGATGTTTGGACAAGGAGTCTCATATCCCGTCTCCAAATCTATGAGAGCAGAAGGGCAATAGTGCCAGTTCACTGACTGATGGCCGCAAGGGTGAATATGAGGATGTCCGTGGCACATATTGGAGTACAAACACAACGATAAGATATAAATGTCACGAAAGTATGTCAGGAATAAACTTCCACTGTCGAAGGCTACTAGAAGACATATGATACAGGCGGGAATCGTTTGTTGACTTCTGGAAAGCCAAACTTTAGAGTTAGATGTCTTCAGTGTGCCACTGTCACTCTTGAACTAGAGGGCGTTCACAGGATAGCTTTGGATACAAATAGTTTATCATCAGAAGAGCGTTATAGTGGAGTACCAAATCTGACTTTTCTGCAGCACACAGAGCCGAGACCCGTCGGACGATCGCCAGATGTTGATGTGTCTTGACGATCTGGAGGGTACATCATTGATTCTGTGCTTTTGGTCGGCGAATTCATTTCAGCCACTCGGTGTGAGCGGGGCAAAAGCCAAAAGTACTATCATTGTGCGTCGTGACAAATGGCTCTTATTTGTATGCAAGCTTGCGGTAAGCATGATTTGAGGATATCAAATGTCTCAATCATTCTGGAATGAGGGACCCTGGTTAGTGATAGGATTTTTTTCCCCTAAACTCCTTCACTTAACCATGGGACTGTCAGACATTTTATCGGTATATCGAAGATCTTTCATCAGCAACAACCTACTCGTGGTATCTGCAGATCTCACAATGCAAAGACCCTGGGAAGTGTAGAAGCAAAAACAAAAAGAAAAAAGAATGCAGCCATGTCTTTACCCCCTCCGGTAATTGGTAGGCAACAGGGCATGGTTGTTGCAGGGCGCACGGTACTTCACTCAAACCCGTCTCTTGCCAGCAGCTGATCGATGCTCTGTAATACCCTCGAGCATATAATTTGTGCTCTAAAAAGGAATCTCCGGGAGTGTAATTTATCACATTTATATTCATGAGATCGTTGCGGATCTGACTGTGGATTGGTAGATGGATAATGGCAGCGACGATCCCAACCATTACCGATTCTCGTCCCAAGAAGAGACAGTCTGGCCATCCACAACAGTACGGTGATGTTGTACACAGTATGTATCTGAGGTCGGCAGGATCTGGCCAAAGAAAACGCCAGATCTCGGAATCTAAAAGGGGCACAGGATGTGAACCCCCCGAGCGATCTGCTGAGTCCAACTAATAACCGCACTGTACACTTATCGACTCTCCTTACTGCCAATAAATGCACTGTGTCTCACATGGCATGACGTCGTTTCTCCCAGATCTAGCATGCATCTTCGTCGAGCGCTACACATCCTGGTTTTATCATCATTCTTATTCTCCCGATGCTGAACAGTAAAGCCACACAAAGTGGCCAGAGTCTTAGAGTCACCTCTCTAGCGAATGTCAGTAAGGGCTTGTCGAGGTTCAAATTGAAACTTCTATGTCACTCGGTCCTAGCTTTGCCACCCACAGCCAAACATCAATGTCAAATACACATAGACAGATTGATGTGTTTATAAGACTACAACTCTCGGGTTATCCATGTGTGATTGATGAATGATGAAACCGACTAGGTACACTTCGAAGCCCAAAGTGGATAAAGGGACTCACTAAAATACAGGTATTGGTAGAAACTATTACTTCCCGCGGGCTTTGAGCTACCACCTTGTAGTGTCCAATTAGAAAGTGTCATTGGTAATCAATCAGGACCCTGTCAGTATAGTGCTGCTTCGAAAACATTCTGAGGTGTGTTGTTATATAATCGGTACACCCTTTTCCCCGCCGCTTTGATCTAAACCTTCTCAGATCCCCAGGCGTTTAGGTAAAACACCAAAATTCGGCAAGCTATTGCTTTTTAAGATT